GGAAGAACATTAGGATAAAAACGGTCAAAACAGAAGGAAATCAGATTTGTGCCAAATCCTTCGGCGGGCTTTTCTTTAGGACACTTTTTGCAGGCAGGCAGCAAATGAATTGCTTATCAGTTTTGCAGCAGCAAAGCTGTGCATTGATAGCAGCGGTTAGCTGCTTGGCCCTCAGTGCCTGGATGAAGCGCACAAGTCCCTCCCCATTCCACTCGCCTCTTGCCGGCACTAAATAACCAAACAATTCTCTCAAGCATTTAAAAGTGGAAGGAGAAGAATTACGAGAGAACATTAAATTTTGTTAACTGGGGAACATTAAACTTTGATGGCTCCGTGTTCGCTCTGTGCAAACCTGTGGGCAGAGACTTCTTTGGCAATTTCCCATTAATGCATCTTCCAGAGTGTTGCCGGGTATGTAAACTTTAAATAGATGGCTCAGCAGCTGAGAACTGAGCCTTTCATAGATCTCTTTGATAGAGCAGTTTTTTGCTTTGTTTTTTAAGGATAAGAGGTTTTTGAAAATACAGGCAGGGAAAGGAATACTCACCGCCTTCCATCCATTCAAGATGGACGAGGCTGTCAGAGAAGCTAAAAGAGTTATTATGAATATGCTGGATCCATGAACTTGCAATAAGAAACTCGCCAGCACCACCTCCCTTTTACCTGGTGGCTTGGTCCATGGCTTCTTTGTTTTCATGACATCTGGGCAGCTAGTTCCTTTGCAAGCTGTTTTCTTTGGTCAGACATTGAATCCTGCAAGACTGGGAGCTGGGAACATTGGAAGCTGCCTTATATTGGCCCATTTTGCTCATTATTGACTGAGACTGGCAGCAGCTCTTCAGGAATTCAGACAAGGGATATTCCCAACCCTACTTGATGTCAGGGAAGCACAATTTGCACCATCATATGTGATGTATGTCCCCATATCTATTTCACTGTACAGTGGTACCTCGGGTTACATACACTTCAGGTTACATACACTTCAGGTTACAGACTCTGCTAACCCAGAAATAGTGCTTCAGGTTAAGAACTTTGCTTCAGGATGAGAACAGAAATCGTTCTCCAGCGGTGCGGCAGCAGCAGGGGGCCCCATTAGCTAAAGTGGTGCTTCAGGTTAAGAACAGTTTCAGGTTAAGTATGGACCTCCGGAACGAATTAAGTACTTAACCTGAGGTACCACTGTATCTACATTAGGAAGTCATAGCCAATTCCAAGCCGCCATAAGTTTATTAATCTCTATGATTTTTCCCCTTGTCCCAACAGGTCTCTCCAAAGATGATTTGGAAAGTCTTAAATGAAGTGCTTTGAATTTAGCTGACAGCTGTCTACTCTGATTTTGTCAGGTGCTGTTTATGAAGTCTAACATGCCACCAACCATCAAATAGTGTCCATACCATTGCATGGATCAAACCTGAGCATTAAATGCTATTTCATGTCTGCTATCAAAGACAGGCAGGTCCTAATTGCCCTTTGAGTCATATATCAATCTCAGATGAAAGCTCGTTGTACATCTGATATTGAGCATTTGGGATATATTCACGTCAAATATTTGAATACAGTGGTACCTCTGGTTAAGAACTTAATTCGTTCTGGAGGTCCGTTCTTAACGTGAAACTGTTCTTAACCTGAGACACCACTTTAGCTAATGGGGCCTCCTGCTGCCGCTGCGCCGCCGGAGCACGATTTCTGTTCTCATCCTGAAGCAAAGTTCTTAACCTGAAGCACCATTTCTGGGTTAGCGGAGTCTGTAACCTGAAGTGTCTGTAACCTGAAGCGTCTGTAACCCGAGGTACCAGAGAATTCCCAGTGACTATATGACATCAGTGTTGCTGGTGGAAAACTGAAGGGAGACCTTTGTGAGCAAATTGGGTGTTTAGTTTTAGAAAGAAGACTGAAGCCCTATTGGAAAGGATAGAGCATGTGTTTGGGGTGAAGATGGTCCCAAATTCAATCCCTGGTATCTCCAGGCAGAACTGAAAACCCTAGAGTGCTGCTGTTAGTCAAATGAATAGAGTACTGAGCTAGATGGACAAATGATCCAACTCAATTAGAGGACAATGAGCTATCACCATGATTTCCTTGAAATTTTCCCTTGCCTAAATCAGCAAACATATCGCTATTTCTGTTTCTTCATCATCGTCCCCCCCCCCCATATTGTTTGTAACCCAGTGATAGAAGCGCCAGCGGAGCCTGTGGAGGTCTAGTATCCTCTCCCATTTTGCTTTCTTGAAATGAACATTACTAGCAAAGTGCATTATTTTTCCATTAAAAATTCATTTTCTAGTGTATCACTTTCAGGGCAGGTAATTAACCAACAAGCAACACTGCCGTCTCCATTAACTGTCTCCAGAGTTTAAAGAGGTCCTCTACTTCTGCTGTTTTTCCTCTTTTCTTCTTCATTTCCTCTTCATTTCATACTCTTCCAACCCATTTGCAATTTCTTTCAGCTTCTATGGCAAGGGTATCAGCAAGACTTCACCACTGAAGCTTCCTGAAGCCCTAAAAGCTTCACTGGTGATGGCATCATAATCTAATCTGATGGGTTTGGGGCCCATCAGATGCATCCGTAAGCATCAATGAACCATTATCAACCTCCTTTTAGGGCTCCCTCAAATGAACCACTTATTATTTATTTCATTTATGAGCATTTATTGAGCAATCATCCTAATTTGCTTCCACAAAGTTTATGCACAAGTTACATTATATCTTGCCTTTATTGAGCATTCATTCTGCTTCATTATACACTCATCCTGATGTGCTTGTGAGGTATTTATGCATCTACCTGTATAAATACCTATGATTCCTTCCGTACTCCTCGAAACATTTCCCCATGGCTTCCCTAACCACAGTGTCAGGCAGCAGAGGATCCAACCCCTGCAGCAGGTGGCCAGGAGCAGATAAGACAATGAAAAGCCCTTGGCATCTGCTCTTTATTCAATATTCACAGAGAGAGGCTTGGGAATGCAGCCTCTTGGAATAATGGCGTTGTCCTGAGTGAGTCTCCACCCTCCCGTCTCTCCCACTTCCTCATGCGTCATTGATATGGATGCTGAAAAGTTCCTTCTGCCTTTGAGCTCTTTGCTCTCCTTCAGTGCTTGTTGGGTTCTGGGAGATGGAGGGTCTGGAATGCTTTCTAAAGACACTGTGTCTATCAGCTGTTGCCCTCCAGGTGCTTCCTCCTCCTCCTCCTCCTCCTCCTCCTCCTCCTCCTCCTCCTGTCCCATTATTTCCCTGCTTTCCCCGTCATCTGCCTCTGAGCTGTGATCTCCCTCAAACCCCTGCTGTAATTCTGAACTGTCTTCTTCTTCTCTGGAAGGGTCAGGCTGGGGAGGTGGTCTCCACCATTTCTCCTCTGCCCAGTCCCTGACACACAAAAAGTAGGTTGTGCTTGGATGACGTAAAGGTAAAGGGACCTCTGACCATTAGGTCCAGTTGTGGCCGAATCTGGGGTTGCGGCGCTCATCTCGCTTTATTGGCCGAGGGAGCCGGCGTACAGCTTCCGGGTCATGTGGCCAGCATGACTAAGCGGCTTCTGGCGAACCACAGCAGTGCACGGAAATGCCGTTTACCTTCCCGCCAGAGCGGTACCTATTTAACTACTTGCACTTTGACATGCTTTCGAACTGCTAGGTTGGCAGGAGCTGGGACCGAGCAACGGGAGCTCACCCCGTCGCAGGGATTCGAACCGCGACCTTCTGATCAGCAAGTCCTAGGCTCTGTGGTTTAACCCACAGCGCCAACAAGACTTCAATTGCACGAATCTAAATTTCCTGCTTTGCACTTGAATCCCTTTTGCAAAGTATTAACTTATTTGCCTTTGTGTCAATATCCTCAATAGACGTGGCAACCAAAGGGCACACAAATAGGGATGTGTGGACCACAACTCACGCACAATTTGTACTTATCCATGTTGCCATTTTTACCAGTTTCCAAAGGAAGCGAGTCACTATAGACTATTCTATGATCCATAAGAACATAAGATGACTCTGCTGGATTAAGCCAATGGCCCATCTAGTAGCCAACCAGGTGCTAGTGGGAGGCATGTGATCAGGACCTGAGTGCAGTGGCTGCTGTTCTCAGCAACTGATATTCAGCAGCATACTGCCTCTCACACGTGCATATCTGCTGGAATATCTATTGATATCTACATCCAGGAGACTCGCAAGGATCCAGCAGCAATGAACCTGATCTCAGAGCAAAGACAGGATTCTAAAATATACTCAGGTGAAGAGTGGCAAGAGGATTGTTGGTGAAACTGAAAAACAAAAGGCTACAAACCAAATCTGTGTGTTTGTAGGATGTGGATCCTCAGTGTTTGCAGAAGTATGGAAACAATTTTAGGAGCGAAAACCTAAAGGGCACTCCATTGAAAGAAAAGAAAGATAGCAGATTCATTGAGACTGAGCATTCTTGGTTGCCATGCAATGCTGTGTGTGTGTTGGGCAGAGCGAATCTTGGAAGATGACATGGCAAGCTGGGACAGGAACCCTCTAACATTTTGTTGCAGGGCCCACTTGTACAACTCAACATGCCCAAGATACACACACTCTGCATGTGCAAGAGCATCACTCACCACCAACCAGGTAAAGCAAGCCTGCAGAAGACTTTGCCCCTGGTGGAGGTAGGGTTGATGTTACACCAGCTAGTTTGCCTTAAGCACAGTGCCCCACCTCATCCCACCAGTAAGCCACTTCTGCCCATTTTCTAGAGCAGAGATGGGTAACCTGTGGCCCTCCAGGTGTTATTGGACTCCATTTCCCATCAGCCCCAGCCAACATAGTCAGTGGTCAGGGATGGTGAGAGCTGAAGTCAAGCAACATCAGGCCACAGGTTTCCCAACCCCATTCTAGAAATATAGAAACATCTCTCACACTAAGTATCTCCAAATGCCCTTGCCCCTTGAGAGAACATCCATTCTGCAAATCCTTTCTTTATCCAGTGACCTCATGCCTCTGTGACCTCATGCTACTATGGTAACCACTTTCAGTTCTGCAGGAGAAATCAGTTGACTTCATCTCCATGAGTCTCATTCGTTTGATGAAAAGACAAAGGAGATGATCAAGGGAGCCTTTGGCTTCTCTAAGAAGTGTAAAGGGAATTCAGATCTGTTTGGTTTGGAGTGATATAAGACTATTTTCTGTGGGACAATGCGGAAAGGGATATCTACAGAAAAGGTTGAAGGCCCAACGTCCTCTGAAGAAAATATTGTAGGACTCAGGGCTTCTATCTCAACTTTACTGGTGAGTTCCCCTCCACTAGCATAATGAGGATCAATTGGAAGAGCTGGTGAAGGGAAAATCATGATAAGGCATGATAACTGTCTTCAAAGGGTGTCATGCAAGAAGATGGATCAAGATGGAACTGGGAATGGCAGGGAAGCATATTTTGGGTAAACATCAAGAGAAACTTCCCTGACCATTGGCCAGAGATGCCCAGCAAGATGTTGTCTACCCATGGTGTAAACCATAATAAGCCAAATGGACCAGCAGTCCAATTCAGTGCAAGTATATGTAATGGTGATGGTGCCAGCAAGGGCTTCCTGTTAGATGTTGACACCCCACCCCTCCTTCTATTTGTGTGCTCACCTGTTGGATTTGCATTGTCATCATGGGAAGCCTTGCAAAAACTCAAGGCTATCAAGTTATCAGTAGGTATAAATGTAGCATTCTCTCCTAGCAGACTTTGGCCAGCTCTCAATTTCCCCGTCAATGATTTTTTGAACCGAAGAGATTCCTGTGCCTTGAAAATCCCATAATTTCTTTTTCAATTCCATAGGCCACACAGCTTCTGTGATTCTGATGAGATTTGCTTAAATGGCCCCCTCTGCCCGATGTCATTGATTTTATTTCCTCAGTCCCTCTCATCAGGTTGTTTGTAACTAATTACACATTCAGTCTTGAAGCTTGTAACTAAACCTAAGTACAAATATCCCAGCTCAGGTTTCCCAATTGGAAAATGTACAATTTGAGAAGGAAGTGAGAAGAGATATATATGCACACAACATTTATATACTATTTGATTGTAATAAAACCTCAGAGCAGTCATATAAACATTTTAATTGTTTTTTGTTTTGTTTTTTGATTGATTGATTGATTGATTGATTGATTGATTTATATACCATCCTTTATCCAAACATCCCAGCGGAGTGTACAAAATTAAGTTCATAATTTATACAGCATAATAAAAGCATAATACACATAATACAGCATAATAATAATAATAATAATAATAATAATAATATAATAATAATAATAATAATAATAATAATAATAATAATAACAGGCCCTCCACACCACATTTAACAAGCCATAGATTATTTAATGGCTGAAGAGCTGGGTAAAGAGGAATGTTTTCACCTGGCACCTAAAAAGAGGTAATTATGGCACCAGAACAGCCTCTCTGGGGAGAGCCTTCCATAGATGGGCAGCCACCACAGAAAAGGCCCATTCTCGTGCTGTCACCCTCCAAACCTTGGATGACAAGTGCAGGGTCCTAGTTAGTTCATATAGGAAGAGGCAGTCCTTAAGGTATTGAGGTCCTGAGCCATGTAAGCCTTTATAGGTTAGCACCGGCTCTTTGAACTGGGCCTGGAAACTAATTGGCAGCCAATGCAGTCAGGCCAGGATCAGTGTGATATGTTCAAACCATGTTGCTCTGTTGAGCAACCTGGCTGTCAAATTTTGCAGCAGCTGCAGTTTCTGAACCATCCTCAGAGGCAGCCCCACATATAACAAACACACTACAGTAATCCAACCTAGAGGTTACCAGAGCGTAGGCCACAGAAGTTAGGCTATCTCTGTCCAGATAGGGGCATAGCTGGGCCACCAGCTGAAGCTGACAAGGCACTCCATGCCACTGAGGCCACTTGGGCCTCTAGTGACAGTAATGGATCCAGGAACACATTCAAGCTATGTACCTTCTCCTTAAGAGGGAGTGTAACCCCCCTCAGGAGTGGGCAACCCATCTATCTTGTCAGGATACTGTCAGCAGCTCCCAGCTAGTTGCCCAGGAAAGTATAAAGAAAAGGAAAAATTTCTTACCACCCATTTTTATTTCAGTCTTACAGGGAGAGGCTATAGAACCCAGCCTCTTGGATAATGGTGTTGTCCCGAGTGAATTTCCACCTCCGTCTCTCCCACTTCCTCATTCATCTCCTCTACAGGTGCTGCTATGTGCCCTCTGTCTTTAAGCTCTTTGCTCTCCTACTTTTAAGGCTCGCCAGGTTCTGGGTCTGGGATGCTTTCTAATGACAACATGTGAGCTGGGTTTTGTTCTGGCTCTCCCATGATTTCCCAGCTTTCCCCCTCATCTCCCTCTGAGCTTCCTCAAACCCCTGTTGTCAATCTATACTGTCTTCATCCTTCTCCTCCCTGGAAGGGTCAGGATGGGGAGGCAGTCTCTGCCATTCCTCCTCTGCCTAGTCCCTGACAATCCGGTCTAAGGAACCACCTACTAACAGTGCCTCTGTCTTATTTGAATTGAGTTTCAGTCTGTTGGCTCTCATTCAGTCCATTACCGAGGCAAGACAGCAGTCCAGCACATCTACTGCCTCACCTGCAGATGTAACGGAGAAGCAGAGTTGTGTGTCATCAGCACACTGCTGACAACATACTCCCAAACTCTGGATGACTCCACTCAGAGGCTTCATATAGACATTAAACCACATGGGGAATAAAATATATTTGAGGCTATTATATGACTCCACAGCAAACTTTTTCTATGGCAGTTTTGCAGCACACTGTAGAAAATGACACGGCCCATTTGGAACGCTGAAAGCTTTTGCAATACCAATAGATCGGTCAATGAATGGTGAGGATCACCCTGTGGAAGGATTTAAAGCAATGCTCAAGGCAAGAATGGTTTGTGTGGCCACATATGAATTGCCACAAAAAGTGGACACAAATTGGCAGACAATTTGCATTTGTGAATTTTATATGCATCTACACAAGTTATAGCTGAATAAGTACACTAAGTCCCCTGTCAGGTTTTACACTGTAGGTTTTAAATCTGTATTTTACCTGCCCTAATTTGATATGTTTTTTATTTAACAGAAGCCATATGCCACATACTCCACAGAAAGCCTCTAAGCAGTTTACAAAGAACAATTCAAATATTCATTAAAATAAAAAGTACTGATAAAAGCAAGCGCTAAAAACAAATGGGCATAAAATGCCCGTGTGTGTTTGAATATTTGTTAATTTAACAGATTCCTTCTGAAAAGGATATAAATGCCAGGTAATGTCTTTTAATTGTGTTTATCTCAGCCTGTTAGAAACCATTTATTTATCATTTATTTATTTATATTTTGGTTTTAATGCACTGAATCGAGAATTTAAAAAATTGCAATACAACAGCTGCAAAACAAATAGAGAACTCTTTCACAGAGATAACTGTCCTCTGTTAAGTAGGACACATGGCCACCATTGCAGCACACCTTCTAATACTTCACACTCTCTTAACATCCTTCTCATCCTAAGAATTTTTGTCCAAACCCTTCTTTCCGTGACATATAATTGCTGTCTTCAGTGCCAGTACCTCCCAGCAACATCCTCAGGCAATGGCTACATTTGGGACCATGAATTAACCCTGGGTGGTGAAATGCCATTTTAATTCTGCAGTGTCCCCAATGTAGCATTGCTCCAAGGCACTGTGAGAAATTGAAATGCTAGGAACAATGGGGAGCTGCCTTTTTAATTTCCCACAATGACCCCTATTCCCCACACAGAGCTACCTCTGGCATTGCTCACCCACTCTGGGAACTGTAGCTCTGTGCAAGACTATGGGGAGTCTCCTAGCAACTTTCAACACCCTTAAACCGCATCTCTCAGATTTATTTGTCGGAAGCTGTGACTTCCGACATCATAGCACTTTAATTGTATGATTAGAAGGTGGCTGTACATCCCAGGGGGAGGTGAGCCTTTTTTATTCTCTTTTGATATATATGTATTTGCCGTTTTACTGGGTAAACTTCCCCCAAAAGGCAACGATTTGAAACACGCAAGTGGGTTTGAAAAGAACATTGCTGCTGTTTGCTCAGTGGAAGGAAGGGAAAAATCTTGGATTGGAGTTACCATATTTTTCACTCTATAAGACGCACCAGACCACAAGACGCACCTAGTTTTTGGAGGAGGAAAACAAGAAAAAAAATATTCTGAATCTCAGAAGCCAGAACAGCAAGAGGGATCCCTCTTGCTGTTGTGGCTTCTGGGATAGCTGCACAGCCTGCATTAGCTCCATAAGACCCACACACATTTCCCCTTACTTTTTAGGAGGGAAAAGGTGAGTTATAGAGCAAAAAATACGGTACTTTGTCCTTGGGAGTTGGGAGATGGTGCAAGACTATGGAGGGGTATTCTGGACAGCTGCCCGGAGCAAATGGCGTCTTTTTGTCTGGGATCTGGCGTATTATGGCTCATGTTGGCAGAAACCAAAAATGGAATTGCTGGAAGTGGACAATATTAGGGGAAAATGTTTCACCAGAACTATGAAGACCAGTGGTTGCACACTTAAATGAAAACTAAGTGAAGGATTGACATCAGAATGGTTTATTGACTAATTAAGACTAATTAAGAAATGCAATGTAATATTAGATTATTAGCATTCCGTGAAATTCAGGGCATGGGAAGTCACCTAAAGATATATAATTTGGCAATATATTTGGCTTTTCTTTTCTTTTCTTTTTTGGTTGTATTGTATTTTGGAATGTTATAGTCTTGTTTTTATTGTATTATTAAATTGGAAAACTCAATAAAATATTATTTTTTAAAAAGAAAGAATGTGGCTGTACACACCTTCCCCCAATATTGGCATCCCTACCTGTTTGGTATCCACACCATGGAGTGGGATAGCCTGATGTCCTTTTGCATTGCATCCTGGTTAACGGCAATCCCTTGACTTTGTTTCCAGAGTATGAAGAAGTTGCCCATTGACAGTTCAGAATGGCAAAGTTATTTTGATGAGAGTGGCCAGTTACTCAAGTCAAAAGAGTTCATTTCAGCCAAAATCCTGGAGAGGGTGAGTGGTAGCTGGGAACCTCTGCTTGTAGTGTCTGTGTGTGTGTGTGTGTGTGTGTGTGTGTGTGCATAGTGTTTTTTATTTGCACTGTGAGCTTAGTTGTGTTTCATTTCTCATTTTATTTGCACACCACTTGGAGAGCTTTTTTTTATCAAGTAAGTGGACGTGGGTGGCGCTGTGGGTTAAACCACAGAGCCTAGGACTTGCCGATCAGAAGGTCGGCAGTTCGAATCCCCACGACGGGGTGAGCTCCCATTGCTCGGTCCCTGCTCCTGCCAACCTAGCAGTTCGAAAGCATGTCAAAGTGCAAGTAGATAAATAGGCACCGCTCCAGCGGGAAGGTAAACGGTGTTTCCGTGCGCTGCTCTGGTTCGCCAGAAGCGGCTTAGTCATGCTGGCCACATGACCCAGAAGCTGTACGCTGGCTCCCTCAGCCAATAAAGCGAGATGAGCACCGCAACCCCAGAGTCGGTCATGACTGGACCTAATGGTCAGGGGTCCCCCTTTACCTAAGTAGTTTATAAATCTTCTAAATAAATAAAGATACAAGATGGCAGTTTCGTATGCGCAATGTAAACAGACTGGAGGTGATGAGGCAGTTTCCATTTCCATGCTTGTTGCTATCATTTGCCATTGTTTTTACATGCAATTTTAGATCTACCTTTTAAATATTCCCTTGCAATGCTGATGGTGTGCTCTTTCTCTTGGAAGCTGCTGTTTTTACTCTGGGTCAATATGGGGCATCGGTTAGCATGTTGAACTACAGCTGGGAAGGCCTGGGTTGAAATTCCCACTCAGCAATGAAGCTCTCACTGGGTGACATTGGGCCCGTCACATTCTCTCAGCCACCCACACAAGGCTGTTAGGAGGATAAAGGGGGGAACCATGTACACAGTGTTGAGTTTCCTGAAGGAAAGGTAGGATAAAAAAAAGTCACACTCCCCATTGCATCCAGCCAAACAGCATCAAAAGTTTTTAATCATGGAGAGAAAAGAATAAAATTAATTTAATTCAGGGGAGGGTTCTGGAAGAGACCTGAGAGGACAAACTCTAGAGTGGCCACTTATGTATCACTCAAGATGGGTGGGGTATAAATTAATTAATTAATTATATTCTATTCTATTATTATTAATAATAATAATAATACAAAAACAAACAATGATACATCCAAATAGTGGTATAATACCATGTGCATATCTAGCACAGGTTCATTTTCTTACAAATTTGAAATAACTCCAAACAGACCTAAAATCAAAGGTCTGTCTCTCCACCCAACCTCCATTAGCCTGGAGCTGTTTTGTCTTCAGGAGAGACTTCATTAGCACACCTTTGTCTTCGGTAGCTTTCAAAGAAAGAAACACTCTTCAAAATGACAATTTGCAACTGAAGAACCCTCTCACATGATCTAAAGTTAAGCACCACGTGAGAGGTAGCAGAGCAGATACATTAACAGTTTATTAGTAACTGATAAGGTTCCCAGAGAGCTCTTCTTAGATTCAGTGGAATTTTCCGTGTTAAACCTTCAGCAATACACATTCAAACACAGTTCCCATTTCAATGTCAGTTAAACAATTACTCTTAACATTTAAGACTGGGAAAATATGAAATGCAGAGAACTGAAACTGTCAGATTTCTCCATCTCTACCTGTTGGACTGCTCAGTCAACCTCAAGACCTGTACTACTCTCTCTTCTTCAGGTTCTTGATCTTTAAACCAGACTTGGACCAACCAACCAAGTTGTGCCCAGTAAAGCAGACTCCCAAAGCACACGCAAATACCCCCATAGCCTGCTACAGCCCTGCATTTATTTATTTATTTTTATTTTGCAAACATTCAGAATAATACTCAGAAGGAAGGTAAAAAATATAATGACGCTGACATGGGAGAGTGGAGTGGTTTCCTGGGAGTATTGTTACATGATTCATCGCTTCAGGTTTTTCCTATAAGGAGGGGAAATAAGCCTTTTAGAGGCATCACTGGGGCAAGGACACGATGGCCTTGTTTCTACATCCCTGAATGGCCGAGTGGGACTAAGCTGTCTATGAGCATCTAATACATGTGAAAGATTTGTGACTTTCCTTCCACTAGCTCATTTAGCACATCTCCAGAGCCAAGGTGAGGTTGCCATGGTAATCGGAAGCCCCGGCAGCTTCGGAAAAGGATTCTTCTCCAGGGAAGTTTCTTTTCGTGGTAATGGAAGCAGTCTTGCCCAGCAGATGTAGGTTTGGGGTCAGAAGGATTTTCCGTTCACTGGCGTTCCAGCAGAACCTAGAGAGAACTGGAGAAATCCACCTTGGGGGATGATAATCATCAGTGTTGCAGAGCTGCCAACCAATTAAACTTGGATTAAAAAGCTACATTTTAAACCAACTAAATAACATATGGGAGCGGCAACAAAATGTTGTTGTGTGGAGTGCTCCTTTTTTAGGATTCCTGCCATTCCCTCCCATTTCCCCCCTCCACATTTTCTTCCCCATCCCAACAGTCAGTCAACATTCCTTGCCCACTGAGTATGCTCATTCCTCATTAGACTTGGGTTTTGGGGGGAGGGCTTCCCCTCCCCTTATGTTCCCCCTGGCACAGTAATGTTTCTTTCTACTTCAAAAAAGCTTTTGATTTCCTGAAGCCCGTAAAAATTTCCGTCTTGTTCATGGGTGATACTGCTTTGCCTACATAAACTATGGCACTCATAGTCTAAACCATGGGTACGCAAACTAAGGCCCGGGGGCCGGATCCAGCCCAATCGCCTTCTAAATCCAGCCCGCAGATGGTCCGGGAATCAGCGTGTTTTTACATGAGTTGAATGTATCCTTTTATTTAAAATGCATCTCTGTGTTATTTGTGGAGCATAGGAATTCGTTCATTTATTTTTTTCAAAATATAGTCCGGCCCCCCACAAGGTCTGAGGGACGGTGGACCAGCCCCCTGCTGAAAAAGTTTGCTGACCCCTGGTCTAAACTTTGGAAATATGAGAAATCATCATACAGACGCTCCACAAATGTTTTAAGCAGCATGAGTCTTGTCCACAGGCACACAGTGTAAACCATGGATGGTTCTTTCACATGTGGTGGACTTGTAAAAGGGTAAAAGAGTATTGGGAAATAATCCATAATGAATTGAAAAAATTGTTTAAAAGTACATTTCCAAAAAAAAAGAAGAAGCAAAGAATAACAGAGTCCTTTTTGTGGGGATAATCCAGACGGAAATTCACAGGTGTCAAAAATTATTTATGTATGCTACTACTGTGGCCCATGTTTTGTTAGCCCAAAAATGGAAAACGAGTGAGGTCCCAACCAAAGAAGAGTGGCAAATTAAGCTGACAGAATATGCAGAACTCACAAATTTAACAAAGAATAAGAGAACAAGAAGAACATATGTTTAGAGAAGATTAGAAAATGTTTATTGAATAGGTAAAGGTAAAGGTACCCCTGCCCATACGGGCCAGTCTTGACAGACTCTAGGGTTGTGCGCTCATCTCACTCTATAGGCCGGGAGCCAGCGCTGTCCGCAGACACTTCTGGGTCACGTGGCCAGCGTGACAAGCTGCATCTGGCGAGCCAGCGCAGCACACAGAACGCCGTTTACCTTCCCGCTGGTAAGGTTTATTGAATACATGGGGGGAAATTGTGTACACCTGAAAATGTTGGCAGCATTAAGATAAATTGAACAGTGTAACTAAGTTGTGATGAATGTAATACAGTGGTACCTCGGGTTACAGATGCTTCAGGTTACAGTTGCTTCAGGTTACAGACTCCGCTAACCCAGAAATAGTACCTCGGGTTAAGAACTTTGCTTCAGGATGAGAACAGAAATCGCGCAGTGGCAGCGCGGCGGCAGTGGGAGGCCCCATTAGCTAAAGTGGTGCTTCAGGTTAAGAACAGCTTCAGGTTAAGAATGGACCTCCAGAACGAATTAAGTTCTTAACCAGAGGTACCATTGTAATGGAATACTGAATGGTTTAGTTTTTGTAAAATATGCAGGGATTTAAGATATGTAAAATGAACCATGGAAAGAGAAGAAGGGAAGCCATTGATATTTTAAGGATGTTTAAATGGGTGTTTTAAATTGTAAAACAGAAAAGATAATGAGAGAGAGAGAGAGAGAGAGAGAGAGAGAGAGAGAGAGAGAACCATGGATGGTTGTTGAACTCCTTCAGCTCCTGTCATCTCTACCCATGACCCCTGGTTGTGGCTCATGGGGCTGAATTCCAACAGCATCTGGAGAACCATAGGTGTGGTCGAAACCTTTGCAATCCAACCCTCTACACATTGCCTTGAAATAATTCACATTAAGGACAGTGAGACGTGCTTCCAAGTAAGTGCCTTCTAGATGTTGTTGGACTTCAGCTCCCATAAAGCCCAGCCAGCATAAGCCAATGGCCAGGAATGATGGGAGATCCAACAGTGTAATCTCCAAGCAATCCATCTGCCAATTAATCCGATGAAAAGCTTGAACATTTTGCATCTCCCTATTACGTCTTTGGCAAATTAGTTTCACCCACCATGCAAGGGGTTTTTCAAGCAGTCTACATGTTCTAAAGTTGTTTCTTCAGTCGGTGAGAAGTGCTTTCCCACCTTCATTGGAGGGAAGGAGACAGCCACCAAAGCCCAGATGAACCCAGGGAAACCTAGCACTTCTGAAGAGAGCTGTGAAAATGTTCTCTCTCCCCCCTCAAGAGCTCCACAGTCTGTCATAAATGTTAGTCTTTGCCTTGATAAATTTAGCCAGTGCCATGACCTTGGCAGATCCCATTTGTCTCTCGTGTAATTTTATCGAAATTGCCAAGTTATTCCACATCTGCATCCTTTTCCCTTCTCATCTAAACCACAGCATCTGTCCTTGGGACTTGGAGAGTGCTTATTCTCAACCTCTGAACTTGTTGCTTTTCTACCTGGAAAAGCAGTTTGATTGCCACTGATTGCTTACTCAAGTTTAATTATTCTCTAGCGCTTTTAATTTGGCTTTGGGTGAAAGTATTCTATTGGTTAGTTTCTGCTGGCATCAAAACACAGCTAAGCTGTTGAGGGTATGGATGCAAGAAGGCATCATTTTCCATTCCACCCTTTATCCCTTTATTCAGTACATGCAGCACTGTTTCCATTCCACTGCAGTTCACCTTTCACTGGAAAGGACGTTCTTTTTTCACCGTCTGCTATAATGCAATTTACACGACATAATTTACATTGTCATTTTATTATTCCAACTCATTCATGCCAGTGCGAAGGAAACACAATGCAAAGGGTGGGCAGGATGTAATCATTTGCAGACTGAACGCAGCAACAGTGAATACCCAATGTATTGGCTGGGTTGATTTATATTCCAAACAAAGGACAAATAAATGAACATTGACAATTTCTGCTCCTGTTTCTGTTTTCGTTGGAATTCTCTGACATTTCATCCCAGTGAAATGGGGGAATCCAGCTGTAGTCTCAGACTATGAAGCTGTTCCTTCAGGGGGAATGCAAGCCCTCCCAGGATAGGTCATCCACCTAATTTTTGGACACAGGAACTACCTCAACCACAGCACCTCTGTCTTATCGGGATTCAACCTCTTACATAGCCTTTCACTTCTTGCCCAGACTATAGACAAGGGACCCCCAAACTCAGCCCTCCAGATGTTTTGGGACTACAATTCCCATCATCCCTGACCACTGGTCCTGTTAGCTAGGCATGATGGGAGTTGTAGTCCCAAAACATCTGGAGGGCCGAGTTTGGGGATGCCTGGTATAGACCCTTGTGGTTGGTTGGGGGTGAGGGAGATGGATGAGTAAGCTACCTGACACACCTTTTTTGGCCTCACCCCCTCCTTTTGTTGTTGTTGCAGGGTTTGGATCCCTCTGTGAGATCAGAAGCATGGAAGTTTCTCACAGGCTATTACTCCTGGAGGAGTTCCTGTGACGAGAGACTGACAGTTGACAGCATGAGGCGGTGTGTGGATAATGTCAATATACAGTTTAGTCACTAGATGGCACTAGACTTAGTTGTGGCTGGGTGGAGGCAGGAGCTTCCTGTGGCTCTTGTCTCCTCCCTGGAAGGAGACAATAAAGTTCTTGTATAGAGTCCTGTCTTAGATGACAGTAAGAACATGAAACAGGTCTGTTCTTCCCCCCCCCCACTACACACACACAAATGCACACATACACACACACACGTAGCACAGATTGGTCCATTAGGGCAAATGGAGCAATGTCTCACTCTTCCCTCAGCCACGCCCACCAGCCTGTCTTCTTACCCACAGCCAATCAGGGTGTGGCTCTGCCTGTCCTTGGATCTGGCTCCACTTACCATTGGTCTCCCTGCCTTCTGCCCCACCAGCCAATGGGCACCAGCCACTGCTGCACATATGAGCTTGGGGCAGTCCTCAAAAGAACTTCACATCAACTAAAATCCAAAATATCCCATGAACATTAAAATTGGAGAGCATGTTGAGTTAGAATCACAGAATCGTACAATTGTGGAGTTGGAAGGGGCCCTGCAATACAATTGCCTGCTATGCAGCGATCTCAACTAAAGCATCCAGCTTGACTCCTTTCCTAAGGAGTGTTGCATTCAGTTTGACAGACCTTTGTACAGGGGAGGAATGTGTCTGTTTTTAAAAGTTTTAAGGCACTGGGGAAAAGAGATGCACCTATGGTGATCGTCCAGCCTCCTATTCTGCCCATAGCTGTCAACCGTCCCTTATTTGGCGGGAAAGTCCCTTATCCCAGCACCGTGTCCCGCTGCTGTCCCTTATTGATGATGTCCCTTAAATTTCCCGGGTTTCAAAGGAAGCAGCTCCTCTCCCTCCCTCCCTGCCGGCCAGGGAGGAGGGAGGCTCCAACTGTGTTGCTTGTCTGCATTGCTCACCCAATAAGGAGTCTAAGAACGACTGGGGGGTGGAGCTTGCATGCCTTGAGCCGATCAAATCGGCCACGTTGCCTGGGGACTCGCCTTTGCTCAGCACTTCCCAGCGGAGAGATGACGGTGGTTTTCCTTGCTGCATCCCCTTTGCCAGGTTGCTGTGCTGTGGGAACCACCGCTTGAGGCTTTGTTTGGCTACTGGGTGGGCTTTCTGCCTTTGGCTTGGAGGGGCTCAAAGTTGAACATACCGGTGCTCCGAAAATCCCTTATTTTGGCTGCTGATCCCTTATTTTCGAGGCTGCTGGTCCCTTATTTTCAAATCTGTAAGTTGACAGCTATGGTTCTGCCCCTGTTGCTGCCTTTGCCCACAGGAGGCCAAAGTGTCTTGGGAAAACAGATGAAGGAACAAGCAAACCCAGTGGCAGCACTTAATTCACTAAGGCAGTGGCAGAAGTCCCAGCTGCAGGTCTGGCTGATAGTGGCAGCCTTTTTAATATCCCCACAATGCCCCCACAACATCACTTCAATTTGGGCACCATAAGAAATTCAAACAGAGGAGGGGTCCACCAGAGGGCACTGGCTTATATTCTGTTCTGTGCAGTGACTATTTCCACACTTCCTTGCAGGAAAAGTTACGAATCTTTGTGCAACATGTGTGAAAAGATCCAACCTCTGCTGGAAACGGAGCACAGGGATTTCATGGAGGTGCGAAACATCATCAGTGAGTAGTCAGGAGGGCAGCGATCAAAATGAAGGGAGCTTTCACAATAAATGGGATCTGGGTTTTTACCTAGGTGGCTGAAATGCAATCAATGGGCATTAGGAAACTTACTGATCCTAGGTTAAACCATTGCTCCATCTAGGCTGGGCGTAATGAGCATGATGCCCTCCAATCCAGATGTTGTTGAACTCCAAATCCCATCAGCCTCAGCCAATAGTCAGGGATGATGGGAGTTGTGGTCAGCAAGATATGGCAGGCATCCTTTGCCTACCCCAGATCTAGCCCACTAGAAGGCAGCCCTGTTTGGGGAAGTTTTTAATGTTTGAATGTTTTATCGTGTTTTTCATATTCTGTTGGGAGCTGTCCAGAGTCGCTGGGGAAACCCAGCCAGATGGGCAGGGTATAAATAATAAATCGATGATGGAGATGATGGTAATGATAATGGTGATGGTGATGGTGATGTTATTTGACTGGCAGCAACTCTTTGGCAGAGGTCTTTCTCATGACCTGCTATCTGAACCTTTCTAACTGGAGCTGCTGGAGACTGACCCCTAGACAAAGTACAGATTTTACCACTGAACTATGGCCCTTCCCCAGCCACATCTCTTGTAGGTCTAGCATAAACATGCTTTTATTTACCCTTGTCTTTGTTTTGAAAGCTTTCTAAGAAAGGTCTGCTAAATTGGAAAGTATCTCTGGCCACCTCCAACCACCTAATCCTGGGGCAGCTGCCATGGGGCCATCTCGACGTTTTGCAGGGCAACTCACATCCCTAACAATTGGCCATGCTGGCTGGGACTGACGGGTTTGGAGTCTAACATCTGGAGGGCCACAGGCTCACCACCACCACCATGATTGGTTGTCTCTGGCTTGAAAAGAGACCTCATTTCTACAGGATTACAGCCCTATTAGTAGTGAAGAATTGTGTTACTGAATCACCATTACCTCTGAGTGGTCTGATAATTCTTTTCACCATCAGCACACCACTGCGAAACTATGGAGAGAAGAGAATCCTTTGTGCGTTCATGGTGAAGTCATCTTCATTGCAGATTCAGTGGTTTCCATCACCACAGGAACACACTTTGTCTTAGTTTTCATGGCTTAGTACGAATGTGTGGTCTCCCAGAGTTATGACTAAGTTGCTGTTTCTTGAGTCCTCCCATTGCCTTTTTGTGAGCTAACCCACAGTTTGGCTTAGCACATTGTCCAAACGGCCATGGCTTAGCCATTGTGTGGCTCAGCCTCTCCTCTGGACTGGGTTATTGAAATGAATTTTTGAAATAAAAATCTGTTTAGATAAAAACGATTTTTAAAAATTGTGAATAAGTTTGAGAATACAAGATGTAAGGTCACAGGAATCTCAAAAAGCACTTGATAAGCATAAAAAATGATTTACAAAGAACAGTTTAAGACTACATATGACATGAACATACACACACACACACACATGAATGATGGTTACTGTTGCGTGACAATTTCAATTTTTTCAAACACTTCAAATATTACATAAGATTTGCTGGGTTGCATCCAAGTTCATACTTCATCAGAAAGAAAATGGGTAATTTCTTGCAGTTGTCAGCTGTAGATCCCCCTAAAGCAGATTGTTTGATTTTTCCAAATTGTATCTTGTTCATCCAGTATGGTTCTTCTAAAACAGGTATCTTCAACCTTTTCAGACCCAGGACCCCTTTCTGAAACGTTTACCCTATACAGTGGTACCTTGGGTTAAGAATGTAATTCGTTCTGGAGGTTCGTTCTTAACCTGAAACTGCTCTTAACCTGAGGTACCACTTTATCTAATGGGGCTTCCCGCTGCCGCTGTGCTGCCGGAGCACGATTTCTGTTCTCATCCTGAAGCAAAGTTAACCCGAGGTACTATTTCTGGGTTAGCGGAGTCTGTAACCTGAAGCGTCTGTAACCTGAAGCATCTGTAACCCAAGGTACCACTGTATTTGCCTGGTGGTTGAGCTCCTGCTGTGACCCACCTTTGATCAGACATGACCGACTAGTTGAAGACCAGTCTTCCACAATATCTTAAATCATTGGAGCTCTGCTACAAATACTTTAATAGCATTGCCAAATTTGCAAAGGAGCGATTGTGTCTTGCAGAAGGTTCCAGGTTCAATCTCAGTGGGGCTGAGAGAGACCCCTGCTTAAAGAGAGAGAGAGTTGCTGCCAGTTGCTGTAGTCAGTACTGAGCTAGATGGAGCAATGATCTGACTCAGTATAACACAGCTTTCTGTGTTCCTATGGTGTTCAAAACATGTGGCTACTGCTCCCATGATATTTCACACATGAGTATCAGCAGTGTGGCTTTGTCTCTTTTCTCCCTCACTCTTGGGCTACTTCTCCTTCATTGTTTTGTGTGCATAAGGCTGTTTCGATTGCCCATACCTGAAATAGAGCACCCTGAGCTTGTTAAGGGGCAGGAAAGGGTTAACAAAATGTAATTATACAAATGTAATGCACACATAAAGGACGCAGGTGGTGCTGTGGTCTAAACCACTGAGCCTAGGACTTGCTGATCAGAAGGTTGGCGGTTTGAATCCCCGTAACAGGGTGAGCTCCCTTTCTCAGTCCCTGCTCCTGCCAACCTAGCAGTTCGAAAGCATGTCAAAGTGCAAGTAGGTAAATAGGTACCGCTACAGTGGGAAGGTAAACGGCGTTTCCGTGTGCTGCTCTGGTTCGCCAGAAGCGGCTTAGTCATGCTGGCCACACGACCCAGAAGCTGTACGCCGGCTCCCTTGGCCAATAAAGTGAGATGAGTGCCGCAACCCCAGAGTCGCCTTTGACTAGACTGAAGCATCCAGGAGTCCTTTACCTTTTTAATGCACACATATGTGAGATGAGAGAGAGGCTCCACCTACACTGTGCATTTAAAGCAGTATTGTACTACTTTAAACAAGCATGGCTCCCCCCCGCCCCAAAAAACCCTGGGAACTGCAGTTCATTCAGGGTGCTGAGAGTGGTTAGGAGACTCCCTATAGTCTTCTCACAAAACCACAGTTCTCAGAGTGGTTTGACAGTCAGTCCCTCTTCCCAGGGAATTGTAGCTCTGTAAGGGAAATAGAGGTCTTCTAGCAACTCTCAGCTCCCAGGATTCGTTGGGGTAAGCCATGACTGTTTAAATTGGTATGCTACTGCTTTAAATGCATAGTGCAGATGGGGTCAGAGTTAGAAAATGATGTTCCCAAAGTCCAAGGCCACAAAAGCACCAAAGAGTATATTTTCTCACAAATGACAGGAAGGCAGCACGTAAGTGATTATTATGATTATATTCAGATTCCCATGCAAGCGTCTCCCAGTTGTATAACAAAAAGAATATTAAACGATACCGCAGAATTAATGTTACAAATCAATGTAATGGTCATAAATCTGGCCAAGGGAGCCTAGAGAAAGATTTACAGCTTAGGTGGGACCCAGGCGGGACCTTCAGAAGTAATAGATATTCCATCTCGGCAGAGGATTCCTTAAGCAGGTCACATACCCAGGGAAATGTTCCCCTTTATTACTGCCCTTCGTTCTCCCAGGAATTGGTCTAAAATGAAATCATTTCCCACTTTTATAGAAAAAGATAACGTGTTAGATAGCAGTTCCTCAACGATGCGCACTTCAAGGGCACTTGGGGTTTCAAGACATCTCACCTTCACCATTAGAGTTTTGAAATTTCCTGTCTTGTTTTAAATCGCCTCACTGCCTTTTATTTTAGATCCCCCCTTTTTTACAATCAGTTTCTTCACTTGACTATGAACTCTTTAACCTCTAGATGTGTGGATGAATTAGCATACATAAATGAGCGGTTTTCACTTCTCTTGCTCTTCTGAGAAAAACAGCAACTCTATTGGTTGCTAATATAAAAGGTAAAGGGACCCCTGACCATTAGGTCCAGTCGTGGCCGACTCTGGGGTTGCAGCGCTCATCTCGCTTTATTAGCCGAGGGAGCCAGCGTTTGTCCGCAGACAGCTTCCGGGTCATGTGGCCAGCATGACTAAGCCGCTTCTGGAGAACCAGAGCAGCACACAGAAACGCTGTTTACCTTCCCGCTGAAGCGGTACCTATTTATCTACTTGCACTTTGATGTGTTTTTGAACTGCTAGGTGGGCAGGAGCAGGGACCGAGCAACGGGAGCTCACCCCGTCACGGGCATTCGAACTGCCGACCTTCTGATCGGCAAGTCCTAGGCTCTGTGGTTTAACCCACAGCGCCACCTGCATCCCATACATAACATAGGTAATGGGTAAAGGCATTGGCGTAGCGTGGGTTGTCAGCACCCGGGGCAAGGCAAGTAATTTGCGCCTCCTAACCCGTGCATTTTAGCAGGGGCAGAGAGCTGCGAGTGCGAGCGCGCGCCCCCCAGATGTTGCGCCCGGTGCGGCCGGCCCCCCCTGCACCCCCCACGCTACGCCACTGGGTAAAGGGACCCCTGACCATTAGGTCCAGTCATGACCAACTCTGGGGTTGCGGCGCTTATCTTGCTTTATTGGCCGAGGGAGCCAGCGTACAGCTTCCGGGTCATGTGGCCAGCATGACTAAGCCGCTTCTGGCGAACCAGTGCAGCACACAGAAATGCCGTTTACCTTCCCGCCGTAGCGGTACCTATTTATCTACTTGCACTTTGACATGCTTTCGAACTGCTAGGTTGGCAGGAGCAGGGACCGAACAACAGGAGCTCACCCCGTCACGGGGATTCGAACTGCCGACCTTCTGATCGGCAAGTCCTAGGCTCTGTGGTTTAACCCACAGCGCCACCCGCGTCCCTTAGTGGTTGCTGACATAGCCATGCGCTAATGTGTTTTTTTTAGCAAACTGACTAACTGGGAATCATGGTGAGGAGGGAGTAGAGAGTTGCAACCCAGCTGGAATGGATCTGGAATGAATCTGCAGTTTTTGCCTGTGTCTGTCTCTGGAAGTGGTGGTAGTGTAAGGGAGAAGGACTTCTGATTGCAGTAGCTGCAGATCCATTCCAGCCTTTACCTTTACCTTTACATCTATCTCTGTTTCATGGCTCTGTCTCTATCAGAGCTCTACTCAACACCTTTCATGGAGAGCAGTCTGTTGGGACAAGCAGTGCCAGATTTACATATAAGCTAAACAAGCTATAGCTTACGGCCCCACTCTCTTGGGAGCGCCAAAAAATTTAAAGGAAAAAAAACCTGGATGTACATTTCCAAAATATAAGATAAAAAACAAATAAAATAAAACCTACATACAGCAACAGTGTTTTTTGTTGTGTAGGCACCTGTGATGTAAGTAATGCAGTTTAGGGAATACAAATTTCACACTTCTGAAGAAGAAATAGAAAAGGCCATGTTTCTTAGAAACTGTGCACACTGGCTGAAGAGTGTGCATATTGCCCAGAGAATGCACAAAATGCAGTTGAGATGTGTCATTCCCCAAAGCCTGTTGGAGGTCATGCATAATGGCCAGACGAGGAACAAAATTCAGTCAATATATGCATATTACCCCAAGACCTGGTTGGGGATTGTGCATAATGACTGGAGAATGTACTAAAATCTAGTCAATATATGGGCATTTGGAGTTGGAGGTGTATGGAACCTACCAAGACCCACACCTCACTTGGGTCCATTGTCAATCTGGGAGCCTCCTGAGCAATTGCAACAGCAGGGAGGGCACTCAAAAGAGGGGGGCACTGAGAGAAGCTTGCCCTACCCCACAAACGAAAAACAAAATACCCTGGGGCCATTGCCAAAAAGCACAGTAGGTGACATTCATGAAAAGATCCAAAGATTATAAGGAGACTGTTGGAATGAATTAGAAGGAGAAAGAGGAGATACTAATGTGCAAATGAGATGTTTTAATGCATGCTGTGAGACCAATCAGCAAGTGAATGTACTGCCTGGCTCACTGGCATCTACTACAGCATAAATTATAATGGTTGAGATTGAATCCAGGTCTTTGCTTGCAGCAAGCTGGCAATATCACTCAGAGGGGTTGCAGCACCTTTCTCTCCTTGTACTCTGGCTTGGTTTGTGGCAATAGCTCCATGTGGCCATTTCTTTTTCCACAGAATCTGATGTTCAGAGGCTTTACATCAAAGATGCACAGGGCAACACACTTGTAGACAAAAGCCAGCTGGAAAAGATCCTTCTGCTGAACTATGTGTGCAATGTGAAAGCTGGTAAGTAGATAAACAGAAAATCCCATCGTATCTGGCCTTTGTAGAGGTTAATTCTAATGCCATTGCCAACCTACACTATTTTAGTTTTTTCTGGTTTTCCTCCCATTTTTCCCAGACCAGATTTCTGGCATATACAGTTGTTGTTTAAATACAATTACATTTCCTACTTGTCTCATGGTAGACAGGCAAAGTGCTGCTGAATTTTTATTTATTTTTTACCCTTAGTTTAAAACTTCCTGGTTGACCTGAGCTAAGTCTGGCATGACAGCTTACTCTATGGTCTTAACCCCTTCATGCATTAATTAGGCTTAAGCATGTTGCTTATATGAGACTGTTTATCCCACACTTGTGGCATGGGAGTGATGTGGGCTCTCCTGGGAGGAAGTCTTCAGAATCAGAGGAGGCTGGTACAGCAGTGTCCTCTGGCCTGGAAGGACGATAAGAGGCACCACATCAGTGGTGCTTGAGTGTGGGTTGTAACTGGGGACAAGTTATAACAATGAATTATCTGGTTAGAAAAATGGGGAACTAGAATAATTATAGAACAAGAGTGATGGGCAGAACGTTTCATCTGTATCTCCCCATCCCACACTCTTTCTGCTCTCTGGCAGAATATCAGCAAGGCTTCCATGAGATGCTCTTGCTTTTCCGTCTACTTGTGGAGAAGGAGCATGAGATCTACTGGCTCTTCCAGTTCTTCCTCCAAAAAACAGTAAGTTGGTTGGTTGGTTGGTTGGTTGGTTGGTTGGTTGGTTGGTTGATTTGCACCTTGCCTTTGCAAGAAGAAGTGTCCAAAGCAGGTTGCAATATTTTTAACTATTCAAGAAATTTGCAAAAATCAGAATGGAGCCAATAAAAGAGCTGAGCAGCAGAAGAAATCAAAATACAGCAGGGAGACTAAAGACTCAAACAGAATGCTAAATGCTTGCTGAAAAGCGCTTGGTGGCAGAGTTCCGCAGTCTGTATGCTGTTGTGCAGAAGACCTTTCTCCTTGTTTCTCACCAACTGTACAACAGCTGGTAAGAACACAAGAAGAGTGCTGCTGGATCTAGTCCACGATTCTGTTGTAACCTTCTGGAAAGCCCACAAGCAGGGCCCAGGTGCAACAGGGCTTTCTTCACTTGTGATCTCCAGCAACTGATAGTCAGAGATATGGTTTCTATCAGGTACTGTTAGCCATTATGGGTCCACACAGTCTCCAGAGTCAAAACACTTTAGAGCTGGTAGGGACTTTGGAATTTGTACTCAACCCTCTGCTCAGTGCATGGTCTGCAGTGCAGGATTCTACAGAATCCCCGAGAGATGACTATCCAGCCTCTGTTTAAATGCTTGCACCAATGGGGAGCCCCCATCCCCACTTAATGCAATCCATTCCCCTGGTAGAAAGCTCTTACTATTAGGAAGATTTGCTGAAAACGACTTCCTAGCCAGTCCCACTCCTTAGTTCTAGTTCTGGAACAGCTGATAATAAGTCAATTCCATCTTCTACTGCATGCTGAAATATGAGAGGCCCCATCAGTATTGGCATTCCACCGGCTTTTGAATACACATGTTTACACAAGCATTCTCCTGACCTCCTGGCTGGAATTCCTGGCTTTAATTGTGGTTTTTGCTGTTACACTGCTTTAATAGGCTTCTTTACTATGTATTTTAATTGGCTTCTTTGTTATGTATTTTAATTATAGATGTTTTAATGTGGTTGTTTTACTATTTATTTTAATTACAGGTAGCTGTATTTTTATAATTGGTTTGATACTCATTATTTGGCTGTGTGCTTTTATTGCTTGTGAACTGCCTCCATATATCAGTTCTAATAACAACAACTGCCACCCTTCAGATATCTGAAGACAGTATGCCACTGAATACCAGTATGTTGATGAGTAACAGGGGAGCAGGGGGGCAGTGGTGCTTATACCCTGCTTGTGGACTTCCACAAGCCCAGCCACTGTGTGAAACAGCAAGCTGGATCCTATCAATAGATATGTATTCTGATACAACAAGGTTCATGTGCTTTAACTCATTTATATATTTATTAAGCCATCCTGTGGGTCCTGATGGATGGAAAGCTTGGGGTGGAAGTCTTTTTAAAGAGTGCATTTGCTTGATGTAGGAAGGTCTCTGAACTCCAAATAAATGCTGGGGATTTTCTTTATAAAACAAAATAGAAGACACGGGGCAGTGCACAGCTCCAGTTACAATCTCTTGGATCAATGAGGCAAAGGACTTTCTGTTGAAGCAGAGGTGCAGGAGTGCCTGTTCTACATTCTGTGCTGGGGAACAGAAGCTAGCACATCCAGCATTTTGCTAGATATCCTCAATAGGGACTCTTCCCATACAGGTCTGGGCAGAGTACAAATGTGTCCCTGGAACAACTATATATTTCGGTTTCCTGGGTGTCTTGGGGAGGACTTATTCCCATCATGTGGACTGACCTATGCAAGATCAGGACGCAGCCAGCCTGCGCCATCTGGCCTCATCATTCTCCTTTGAATATTTTCACAGCCCAGGATTCTTGTTTTCCAGGAGAATAGCTGCATTATGAACGTTGGGGTGGAGAAAAACCTGATCATGCTTAGAGCCTTGATTGCATTTATGGATCCAACCTTTGCAAAGCATTTGGGTAAGTTCTGCCACCTGCCCAGTTTCTTCAGATATCACGCCACATCAACATGCCAGCAACAGTTTTGGGATTGCCAACCACTCTAGCAGGCCACAATATATGGGTAGTGAAAAGTATTGTTGGCTTTAAGGATCAGAAGTTATACAGGCCAAGATATGTGTGCAAAGAGTCCCTATTACTGATATTTAGTTACAGAGACAGATTCTTTTCCTGCTTTTCTTTTATTTGTTATTTTCAATTTTATACATTTCAATAATTTTACAATCATTTTAACATTTCAAAACTCAACTTCCTTGACCCTCTTTCTGTGGTTCCTTAAATTTTCTTATATATTTTCTGCATATTCCAAATTAATTTAATTTACTCATTTGTTCATCTACTTTAAATATATAAAACTGCAGGTTATTACAACAATCCTGCCAACGTTCTTATCTGTTTACAGTTTATTTGTAGATACAGTGGTACCTCAAGTTACAAACGCCTCAGGTTACAAACTCTTCAGGTTACAAACTCCGCTAACCTGGAAGAGTTACCTTGAGTTGAGAACTTTGCCCCAGAATGAGAACAGAAATCATGTGCCGGCGGCGCAGCAGCAGCAAGAGGCCCCATTAGCGAAAGAACGCCTCTAGTTAAGAACAGTTTCAGGTTAAGAACAGACCTCCGGAACGAATTAAGTTCGTAACTAGAGGTACCACTGTATTCCACAAACCATTTCCATTCTTTTTTAACAAGTTTGTTATCTTAATTTCTTATTTTTCTGGTAAGGTTCACCATTAATAATAATAATAATAATAATAATAATAATAATAATAATAATTTATTATTTGTACCCTGCCCATCTGGCTGGGTTTCCCCAGCCACTCTGGGCGGCTTCCAACAAAGATGAAAAATACACTAAAATGTCACATATTAAAAACTTCCCTGAACAGGGCTGCCTTCAGATGTCTTCTGAATGTCAGGTAGTTGTTTATCGCTTTGACATCTGATGGGAGGGCGTTCCACAGGGCGGGTGCCACTACCGAGAAGGCCCTCTGCCTGGTTCCCTGTAACTTAGCCTCTCGCAGTGAGGGAACCGCCAGAAGGCCCTCGGAGCTGGACCTCAGCGTCCGGGCAGAACGATGAGGGTGGAGACGCTCCTTCAGATATACTGGACCGAGGCCGTTTAGGGCTTTAAAGGTCAGCACCAACACTTTGAATTGTGCTCGGAAACGTACTGGGAGCCAATGTAGGTCTTTCAAGACCGGTGTTATATGGTCTCGGCAGCCGCTCCCAGTCACCAGTCTAGCTGCCGCATTCTGGATTAGTTGTAGTTTCCGGGTCACCTTCAAAGGTAGCCCCACGTAGAGCGCATTGCAGTAGTCCAAGCGGGAGATAACCAGAGCATGCACCACTCTGGCAAGACAGTCTGCAGGCAGATAGGGTCTCAGCCTACGTACCAGATGGAGCTGGTAAACAGCTGCCCTGGATACAGATTTGACCTGTGCCTCCATGGACAGCTGTGAGTCCAAAATGACTCCCAGGCTGTGCACCTGGTCCTTCAGGGGCACAGTTACCCCATTCAGGACCAGGGAATCCTCCACACCTGCCCGCCTCCTGCCCCCCAAAAACAGTACTTCTGTCTTGTCAGGATTCAACCTCAATCTATTAGCCGCCATCCATCCTCCAACCGCCTCCAGACACTCACACAGGACCTTCACCTCCTTCACTGGTTCTGATTTAAAAGAGAGGTAGAGCTGGGTATCATCCGCATACTGATGAACACCCAGCCCAAACCTCCTGATGATCTCTCCCAGTGGCTGCATGTAAATGTTGAAAAGCATGGGGGAGAGGACAGAACCCTGAGGCACCCCACAAGTGAGAGCCCAGGGGTCTGAACACTCATCCCCCACACCACTTTCTGAACATGGCCCAGGAGGAAGGAGCGGAACCACTGTATGACAGTGCCCCCAGCTCCCAGCCCCTCAAGACGGTCCAGAAGGATGTTATGGTCGATGGTATCAAACGCCGCTGAGAGATCCAGCAGAACTAGAAAACAGCTCTCACCTTTGTCCCTAGCCCGCCGGAGATCATCAACCAGTGCGACCAAGGCAGTTTCAGTCCCATGATGAGGCCTGAATCCCGACTGGAAGGGATCCAAATGGTCCGCTTCTTCCAGGCGTGCCTGGAGTTGTTCAGCAACCACTCGCTCAATCACCTTGCCCAAGAATGGAAGATTTGAGACTGGGCGATAATTGGCCATCGTGGCCGCATCTAAAGATGGTTTTTTAAGAAGCAGTTTAATAACCGCCTCTTTCAGCGGGTCTGGGAAGGCTCCCTCACGGAGGGAAGCATTCACCACCCCACGAAGCCTATCGCCCAGTCCTTCCCAGCTAGCTTTTATAAGCCAGGATGGGCAAGGATCCAGGAGACAGGTGGTTGGCTTCACTCGTCCAAGCAGCCTGTCCACATCCTCGGAGGTAACAGATTGGAATTGATCCCCCGCAACTTGACTAGACAGGACTCTAGCACTCTCCGGCCCTGCTCCCATGGTGGAATCTACTTCTTCCCGAATCTGAGCGATTTTATCTGCAAAAAACTTTGCAAAATCATTGCAGGAGATCATGTGGCCCGTACTGGGCCCCGATGTCGCAGGTGGTTCCGCTAAATTGTGAACCACCTGAAAAAGTCTCCTGCTGCTGTTTTCTGCAGATGCAATAGAGGCGGCAAAGAAAGTCTTCTTCGCCGTCGCTATCGCCACTTGGTAGGCTCAACGTTGAGCTCTAACCTGTGTCCGGTCAGATTTGGAATGAGTTATCCACCACCGGCGCTCTAGCTGTCTCAACGGTTGTTTCAATGCCCTCAGATCCGTGGAAAACCACGGGGCTGTCCGGGCTCCATGCAATCGGAGAGGGCACTTCGGAGCCAAACAGTCAATAGCCCTGGTTAACTCCACATTCCAGCGGGCCACCAGGGAATCGGCTGAAAGGCCATCAACATGGGATAAAGCATCCCCTACGACTCTCTGGAAACCATTTGGATCCATTAAGTGGCGGGGGCGGACCATCTGAATTGGTCCCACCTCCCTGCAGAGGGGATGGGTCGCAGAGAAGTCCATAATTCCATAAATTTTTGTATCCATTCTTCTTTCACTGGGACTTTTTCTTCTTTCCATTTTTGGGCAAGTAACTTTCTTGCAGCTGTAGTTGCAAACACGAATAAATTTCTATACAATTTGGGTAGTTCTGTCCCTATAATTCCCCAAAGGAAAGCTACAGACAGATGTGTTCACAGTAAGAGCAATTGGATCATGGAATAATTTGCCTGAAAGGTTGAAGGTCTTCAAGCCAAGGCTGAGCAGCCATCTCTTGAGAATACTGTAGCTGTGGATTTCCTGCACAGAGCAGGAAGCTTAAGCAGATGACCTACATGATTCTATGTTTCTACCTTCTGTCCTCAACACAGAAGACAGCAGGACAGGAAGTCTTGTACCTCACTGTTCCAAGATGCCATCAGCATCATTGATTCACAAAGCAACAATAGGAAGGCATTCCCAGGGGTGGTGGGCTCTCCTTTGCTGTCAGTACTTAAGCAGATGCTGGCTGACAGGGCATCCTATCAGGGATATTGTTGTCGCATCCTGCACTGCACTGCAGATCCTACATGGATCAGGAAGTTGAACTAGATGAGCTCAAAGGTACCTATTTGTTCTGTTAGGTCAATCAGCCCAGTCCCTCTGGGTTGAGATTCATGGGTACTAAATTTCCATTTCCTTAACATTTCTAGAAGAGAAAGGTCGAGTGGTACAGTCCTTGTTCCCTTGGTTCTGCCTGTTTTTCCAGCGAGTTTTCAAGTCTTTTGACGATGTCTGGAGACTTTGGGAGGTGAGTGGTTTTTGCTATTTACATGGCTGGAAGTTTATGTTCCTGAAGAGATGCTGGATAGAAAACACCCCTCAGTACCTGTTTGGGTGACTAAATGGACAAATCGTCTCGGCTGGTATAAGGCAGCTTCATCTGTGCATCTTAATGCATTGGCATATTTTGCTTGCTACCATGCTGGCTAACTGGATTTAGATTGCTTCCACATGTCATTCCTAAGAGCAACAGTGATAGAGAGGCAGTTCCTAAAGCAAATGCATAATTAAATGAGAATATATATCTAGAGAGAGAGGGAGGGAAAGGGAGATTCTCAGCGCAGTCCTGGAAACCTGCATTCAGATTCCAGTGAGCAAAATCTTCTCCGTGCAGCGGATGCCACAGTGGATTTTAAATGCAAAATCTGTTTCACTACGGCTGGCAGTTCTCTCCGTTTTGTTGACTCTCTGGGCAAAAATTAGGGGGCTTGGCAGCCTTGCCAGACGAGAAGCAGCCTCTCCATGGTACTGCGCCAGTTGCCTCCCTGATGCTGGCCAGTGATTCCTGCCAGCTACACAGCTGGTGCGCATTAGTGGTTGCGCCACAGCTCCTCTTAAAGCCTTTTTCTTTTCTTTTTTCTTTTTTTGCCTTTTTAAGTCGAATCCCAAATGGAGGCCAGGACTGCTGCTGTAGCAGGATGTTCTGACCCCGCCGAACAGCAGCCATTTGTTTAGCAGCCTCAGCCACCCCTCCTGTACCCCGGCGCCTTTTATTATTTCAATTAATATGTGCAGAGAATTTTTCCCTTGTGTTTGTCCTTCCTGCTGAGTCGGCTCCTGCACACCAGCCGTTTGCCGGTAATTATGTGGAAGGGAGGTGAAAGGGCAAAGCTCCATCTGGATTGGGAAAGGAAAGTTCTTCGCTATCTCCAAAGAAGCTCAATTAATCCAGGCCATTAGGATTTGTGTTGGTGTTATTGTTGTAGCAGGTCGGCCTACTAGCCAGTTCCTCTAGGGGTCTTTGGGCTTCAAGCAGTTTATTGCAAATGCTGCCTATCCTTCCTAGGCTTGTCAGACCTCAGAGTATGACCTGATCTTTTAATGTTTCAGGGTTCTTCTATGGGTCTCTAGTGGAAGGAGTAAAATTTCAGGGTGAAGGGTCAGAATCAAAGGGACAAGCTCATTTCCTTATGGCTTAAAGGGTTTCTTTTTTTTCTTTTGTAACCCCCTCTTCTCATACATCTGTCAGTCTCTATCACCAAGAAACCAAGCAAAGGAAGGACTGTGGACCAGTGGTGGGGCATCTGCTTTGTCAGTGTTTGAAAAGGAAAAGGTTCTGACCTCCTCTGTGAAATATACTCGGAGTCAAGAGTGGATTTCATGCTCTTTATTCAGCTCATAGTGGTGAGGAGGAATGGAAGTTCCCCCCGAATGTCTGCTTTATATACATTATTTACACAATGGGCCCCACGTGATTGGCTAATTCCGGGATTCACCTGTAGGCCAATCAGGTTGCGGATTCACTTCCACCTGGAGCTGGATTAGGTGGCTCCTGTGGACCAATCAGACTGCTGCATTCTGGACCCTATTGTTCTAGGACCAATCAGACTGCTGCATTCTAAATCCTATTGTTCTAGGACCAATCAGACTGCTGCCTTTTGGATCGTATTCAACTCAGTACATAACACTTTGCCTCCTTTGCCTGGTCCTTGAGAAAGAGTACTTTGCAGAATGCTGCTTTTATTCTTAAAAGTTGTCTTCTACAACCACGACCGACAGCTTTATACATATCAAACGCAACCAGCTTTCGACCATCCGACCAACCCACCGCACACACCATCAATGACCACTCTATATATACAGGCATATGCAGGTGAAAGGTTGTATGCATCATGCAGGCTTTGCCAATTCATTGTAGGCCGCTGACTCATGCTCCTTTTGTATTAAAGAAACAGCGGCTAATTTTTAGCCGTCACATGCTTTGCATGTAGAAGGTCTCTCTGCCAATCAGTGCAGACAAATACTGAGCTTCCTACATGCCTTAAGTCAGGCTTGTTCCAGCTATGTGCAATCCTTTGCCCATGTCATAGTCAGGGCCGTCTTTACCCAGGGGGTGCAAGGGGTGCAAGGCACCCAGGCGCCGAATTCTGGGGGGGCGCCGGGCGCCCGCCGCTGAAGTCACCTAAACTCTTAACTGTCTACCTGTTATGAAATAATAAATAATTTTGATAAAGGTAGAAAAACAAAATACATATATACCTAGGTATTACCGAAATGTATACCTATTGTTTCACTAAAGGACTTTCGACTTTGTGCGCTCATTTACCAAAGACGTGTCACGCTTGTCATTCACAACGGTGGTGCTTGTCAGACTCAATGATGGCACTTGTCATTCACAACAAAAGATAAGGCATAAGCGTGGTGTCTGACATAAGCATACTGGGGGTGCTGGGAGGATCTTTGCACCCCAGCGGTGCATATGCTAAAGACAGGGCTGGTCATAGTTGGGTTACAGGCAGAAGTCTTGGATGAGCCCGGAACCTTGAATTAATAACCATCGAACCAGCCAGTAATCAGAGTTGAAGGACTCACTGAAAAGCAGAGCTGAGGAGCAAGCCAGAACCAAACAACCACCAAAGAAACATGGACACGCTAGAGCACAAGAAGACATTCCTGCTCAAATAAAGCTCATCTGGAACAGGAGTCCTTTTATAATGTCTCCTGCCCAAAATGATCCAATGACCAGCCTGAATGGGCAGAGTCAATCCAGGGCATGAAGAATCCACTGAGAAGCTACCACCTCCAGTCCAGTAGTTCACCACACCAATCCAGATGTTCCTGAAAGTGTCACTAGGCTCCACCCCTCCCCTAACAGCTTCCACCCCTTCTGCACCAGCTGAGACCACCCGTCCCCTGAGCCACAGGAGACCTTAGTACAGGCTTCCTCAAACTCGGCCCTCCAGATGTTTTGAGACTACAATTCCCATCATCCCTGACCACTGGTCCTGCCAGCTAGGGATCATGGGAGTTGTAGGCCACAAACATCTGGAGAGCCGAGTTTGAGGAAGCCTACCTTAGAAGCAACCTTGTCCCTGCCCTCTTTCCTCCACCAAATAATGCCACATTTGTTTTCCCTGCACTGGTTTCGCTTACCTCTGTCTTGCTTAAGAAATAACCAAAGGTCACCTTCTCTGTTGTACTGGCTATGTGGCAGAATTGGATTTAGCTAAGCTCTATTTAAAAATATGCATGCGGAAAAAACTTTTCAGCCCAGATCAGTCTGTGCTCCACAGGAAACCTGAGTTTTTCTGTTCATAAAGGGCTTTGCTTCATTTCCTGAAGGCTGCAGTGACTCAGTATCCTAATCTTGGGCAGGGCATGGAGTGGGAAAGGAAAATATGGGGAAGGGAAAGCACCTGAACAGTAAGTTATCTGGTCTCCTCCAAATCTTGAAGCTGGGCCTCATTGTGGCAGGATAAACCCACAACGGTCACATCCACACCTAGGATTCTCATCTTCCAATTTTGTCTCTGCATTTTAGAGTTCTGGAATTGCCTGGCTTTGCGTCCAAAGTAGATTCAATGCATTAAGAATTCTCGATTTTTCTTGGTTTTTAAACTCTCCAAAGGTTGCATGTGCCACACACCGCATGCACATTCTGCTACAACTTTCGGCAACTCTGTTGCATTTACATCTTCCTTCCCCACCCCCCCATCATTAATTTACACGCAAGCCTAGATAAAAGGTGGAACAAAAAAGCCTATTAATAACAACAATAATAAATAAGCTGTCCTTCATCCTAAGGTCCTAGGGGAGGTTACAACAATTAAAACATAAAATTAAAAGCAGTTTAAAACATATTGCATCCTAGAAATAAGGTGAGTTCTTAAAATATACATCCCACATGGCAAAAGTGTGGGTAAAGAGTTGCACCTGAAGAAACCAGAGGCCTTTCTCCTGGGCATAGTCGGCCAAACGGTGTCAAAAAAGGATAGAACTTTCTTTATGTACGCAACAACAGCAGCAAGAATACTCATCGCAAAGTATTGGAAGACGCAAGAGCTCTCCACACTGGAGGAATGGCAGATGAAACTGATGGACTATATGGAACTGGCGGAAATGACTGGTAGAATCCGTGACCAGGGAGAAGAGTCGGTGGAAGAAGATTGGAAGAAATTCAAAGATTATTTACAGAAATACTGCAAAATTAATGAATGTTAGAGTGATGTTGGATTGAAATTAAATGGTTTCTAGCTATACAGGCTTCAAAGTTATATATAGATTAAGATTAAGGATTAGGAATAAAAAGGTTAAAAGAATGGAAAATTGGCTATTAATAGATAAAAATTTAATGTTATATTATATTAAGATTAAGGATTGGGATTAAAAAAGAGGGAAAGGAATTGCTGGACAAATAAACTAAATTGGAATACAAAAGAGGGAGGTATGAGGAGGTCCAGAAAATAAGTAAATTCAAAAGTAGTAATGAAAAGATAGAATTGTTTTTAACTGGGTTTTTTTCTTTTTCTTTTATTTTTAATTTTGTATTTTGTATTGTGTATTTTTCTTTTTACTGTTAAATTCTCTTCTATTGATGTGTTTCTTTTTATCTGAAACTTTAATAAATATCATTAAAAAAAAAAAAAAAGAGTTGCACCTTCCGCACCTAATTCTGTATTGCAATGCAATAACTAATGAAGATTCTTTGGGTTGTGTTGTTTTACTAATGCACAAGACCAAAGCCCCCCCCCCAAAAAAAACCATTATTGATGTGCAACCACACCAAGAGAGCCATTTTGCAGTGTTTTGTCATTGTACCTGTGCACAGGGGAGGGGTCTAAGAGATGCAAATTCTCTGAAGGAACAGAAAGCTGTGAATGAGGCAAATTGTTGTTTGCCATTTTCCTAGTTAAACCGGAATCTGGGATGAGTGGCACGCAGAGCAAAACAAATCAGGAGAAAAACAAAGGAAGTTACAGAGGAAATTGACTCATTTCTAAGGCTCTAGGTTGCCTTGTGGTTCCTGCTGGCACCCAGCTGTGTGTCAGACTAGACACTTCCTTGAATGGTGTGCTGAACTACTCCTTCTATACAGATCCTGATAAGTCAGGGATAAGATTCTTTGCAGTGTGATCTTCTGGTGTTACAAAACAGGCATCTTCTATAATAACCAGGCATCGCAGTGTGGCTCATATCACCTTGTTGTCATCCTTTCTCCTTCAGACATAGTGCATGTCTTACACAAAACAACACTTGGGTGCACACATTGCTGTCGACCTAAAATGACTGATGGGGAAGAGAAAGTAGAATAAATGCTAAGCAGAGATTTCAAGCGGTTCAACCCTCTCCCTCGCCTGCTTCCCCATGACATCCACTGATTCTAGTGAAGTATGCTGAAAGAATTCAATTTCTGTGCATTCCAGTGCAAATTGATCTGATCTGCAGCAGCTCCCAGACCAATGTGCTGAGTGAGATGGAATAATCCTTCAGATCTTACACTTCTCTGAATCTTTCGGTACAATTTTCAGCTCAAAATGTAGCAAAGTGTGCCCAAAATTGCAGAAATGTGTTAAAATATGTACAGTGATAAAGAACACATACTTAAATAAAAACTTTTGTCCAGATCTTTTTTTAAAACAACAATCAGCAAGTGGCAAATATTTGGGTTGCAGGGAGCATTTTAGTCGCCACATATTCGGAAAAGGACAATCAAAATAATCCAGGGAATGCAGTGACTCCCCTACGAGAAGAGGTTAAAGCATTTGGGGCATTTGAGATTAGAGAACAGGCGAGGAAAAGGTGACATGCTAAGTTTATGGAATTATGCGTGGCATTGAGAAAGTGGATAGAGAAAGGTTTTCTCCCCCTCTCACAACACTAGAACTATGGCAAGTTCTTAAAGAAATGGGAGTGCCTGATCACCTCATCTGTCTCCTGAGAAATCTCTATGTGGGTCAAGAAGCTACAGTCAGAACTGGATATGGAACAACTGATTGGTTCAAAATTGGGAAAGGAGTACGACAAGGCTGTATATTGTCTCCCTGCTTATTTAACTTATATGCAGAATTCATCATGCGAAAGGCTGGGCTGGATGAATCCCAAGCCGGAATTAAGATTGCCAGAAGAAATATCAACAACCTCAGATATGCAGATGACACAACCTTGATGGCAGAAAGTGAGGAGGAATTAAAGAACCTTTTATTGAGGGTGAAAGAGCAGAGTGCAAAATATGGTCTGAAGCTCAACATAAAAAAAAATGAAGATCATAGCCACTGGTCCCATCACCTCCTGGCAAATAGAAGGGGAAGAAATGGAGGCAGTGAGAGATTTTACTTTCTTGGGCTCCATGATCACTGCAGATGGTGACAGCAGTCACGAAATTAAAAGACTCCTGCTTCTTGGGATAAAAGCAATAACAAACCTAGACAGCATCTTAAAAAGTAGAGACATCACCTTGCCAACAAAGGTCCATATAGTAAAAGCTATGGTTTCCCCAGTAGTGATGTATGGAAGTGAGAGCTGGACCATACAGAAGGCTGATTGCCAAAGAATTGATGCTTTTGAATTATGGTGCTGGAGGAGACTCTTGAGAGTCCCATGGACTGCAAGAAGATCAAACCTCTCCATTCTGAAGGAAATCAGCCCTGAGTGCTCACTGGAAGGACAGATCCTGAAGCTGAGGCTCCAATACTTTGGCCACCTCACGAGAAGAGAAGACTCCCTGGAAAAGACCCTGATGTTGGGAAAGATGGAGGGCACAAGGAGAAGGGGACGACAGAGGATGAGATGGTTGGATAGTGTTTGCGAAGCTACCAGCATGAGTTTGACCAAACTGCGGGAGGCAGTGGAAGACAGGAGTGCCTGGCGTGCTCTGGTCCATGGGGTCATAAAGAGTCGGACACGACTAAACGACTAAACAACAACAACAACAACAACAACAAACCTGAATGATGGAAGATTCAGGACAGAGAAGAGAAAGGATTTCTTCACACAGTGCAACACAGTTAAACTCTAGAACTTGCTCCCACAGGAGGCAGTGAGGCCACTAACTTGGATGGCTTTAAAACAGGATTAGACAATTTCATGGAAGATCGGGCCAATCAGTGCCTACTAGCCATAATGGATATGGGTGGTGCTGTGGTCTAAACCACTGAGGTGGCTCCTTACATGGGTCTCCTGCTCCTCATTTAACCCCTGCAAAAACCCTGTCGGTGTCAGGAGCCGATACAGAACAACAAACCCCTGTGTTGCAAACTTAACACAACAAACAACACAAGCAACACGAAGACCAGTAAACTAGATAGCACTGCAATTCTTATTGCATAATATACAACAAAAACAAATTGTGTACACTTGTAAATTCCCTAATATATTTGAAATCAAATGAACACACGTCTGTCAATCTTTGAAAGTCTGTAGAAGTCTAATGGGTCTCTAGTTGAAACAAAGTGATAAATGCTATCCTGTGGGCTAGGTGGTAAAACTTTTTAGGCGTTCATAGTGCCGAAGTAGTAAGTGAATAACAACGTAGGACAGTGATCCCGGATAATCTGACTGTTTCGCTGGAATTTACAAGTGTACACAATTTGTTTTTGTTTTTGTTGTATATTATGCAATAAGAATTGCAGTGCTATCTAGTATACTGGTCTTCGTGTTGCTTGTGTTGTTTGTGGTGTCAGGAGCCAGCCAGCAGTAAATGACACAGAGTTAAGTGAAGCTAACTCTTCATTAGAAAAATCAGGATCGGCACAGGAGTGCCAGGCCTAATGAGCACACCAGCTCTCTCTGGTAGGTCTTGCCCCTATGAGGCAGTTGTGGAGGCTGGAGGTCCCTGCCGTCACACAGCTGCCTAAGTGCTCTCCTCTCCCAGGGTTTCTGCAAGCAATCTGAGACTGCGCCAGTATGCCTGTCCTCTGCTCCTCCTGCTTCATGCCTCTGCGGGTTCTGGGAGACCAGCGAGGAGAGGAGGCTGTCGCAGCAGCAGCAGAGACACCTGTGCCTATTCACCAGCCAGACTCTCTGCCTCTTGGATTCCTTCCTCTCCTGCTTCTGATTCTGGACTTCTCTCTGCCACAGACTCTCCCAGCTCACCAAGCCCTTTTACCCCTTTAGCTTTGTTGCTGTGGTCTAAACCACTGAGCCTCTTGGGCTTGCTGATCAGAAGGTCAGCAGTTTGAATCCCCACAACAGGGTCAACTCCCGTTGCTCTGCCCCAGTTCCTGCCAACCTAGCAGTTTGAAAGCATACCAGTGCAAGTAGATAAATAGGTACCGCTGTGGCGGGAAGGTAAATGGCGTTTCAGAGCGCTCTGGTTTCCATCACGGGGTTCCGTTGTTCCAGAAATGGTTTAATCCTGCTGGCCACATGGCCTGGAAAGCTGTCTGTGGACAAACAGCATCTCCCTCAGCCTGAAAGGGAGATGAGCGCCGCAACCCCATCGTCACCTTTGACTGGACTGAAGCGTCCAGGGGTCCTTTACCTCCTTCCTTCCTTCCTTCCTTCCTTCCTTCCTTCCTTCCTTCTTTTTTGCCCTGGATCCAGGGTCAGAGGCCTTTCTGAATTCCAATTGCTGGAGACCACAGCAAGGGAGAGTGGTCTTATTCTCAGGTTCTGCATATGGGTTTCCCACAGACATCTGGTTGGCTGCCTGTGAGAACAGGATGCTGGACTAGATGGGCCATTGACCTGATCCTGCAGGTTCTCCATATGTTCTTATTGGGGTGAGGGGACAAGCCAGTGTGGTGTAGTGGTTAAGAGCAGTGGACTTGTAATCTGGTGAACCGGGTTCGCTTCCCCGCTCCTCTACATGCAGCTGCTGGGTGACCTTGGGCCAGTCACACTTCTCTGAAGTTTCTCAGCCTCACTCACCTCACAGAGTGTTTGTTGTGGGGGAGGAAGGGAAAGGAGAATGTTAGCCGCTTTGAGACTCCTTTGGGTAGTGATAAAGAGGGAGATCAAATCCAAACTCCTCCTCCTCCTCCTCCTCCTCCTCCTCCTCCTCCTCCTCCTCCTCCTCTCCTTCTTCTTCTTCTTCTTCTTCTTCTTCTTCTTCTTCTTCTTCTTCTTCTTCTATGAAAGAATGGGAACCCGGAATTTGGCACAGGATTCTATGGTATAATGTATCCCATTATATGACAATATGGGAATGAATGTTAAATAATTGCAAAGATTTGTTAAAACTGTGACATAAGCTAATTTTTAAATCTCCTAATAAATACACAAACACAGGACAAGCTGTTTTAGAGGTAATATAACAACAAAATGTGTTGGAGATAATATTCAAAATGTATAGTTCACACAAGAACAATAGATCATGTGTAAGCAATATTTGTTACAACACCCTCCAGAATATTTATAATGGTGGTATTTTACTTTTTTTTTAACTTTTTTGGGGGGAAATCTTCTCTGTCTATACAAAATTAGAGTTCAGATTTTTTTAATGGGAAAAAATATCACAGATGAATGCAGAGATGGAACAGACGTATGAATGAGCACACATATAATTGGCACAGGCTGGGAATAGACTGATCCGTTCACCCCTAATTCTAGCTTGTGTTGGTCTCCTCCAAGGTGTTTCTGACTGGGCTGCCTTGCAGAAACTTTCAAGTGATTGTAGCCTACACAATGTTGCAGACAGTGAGAGATCAGATCCTCAGAGAAGATATGAATGGAGACGACATTTTAATGGTGAGTCAGACTATCAGAACACCTAAAAGTTACATGAGATACAATTTAAGCACCAGGACTATAATCTAGGGTACCCTGGAATTCCCACATAGGCAAGCTACCTACAAAAATCTTGGTGAACATTGTATGCTGCCCTGATATTTTATGATACAGTGGCATACATATACTCTTATACATAAAGAAATGCTGAATGGTGAAGTTGTAGGGTTGGAAGGAAAGCAACAGAGCATGCCTAGGGAACTTCTAGATGTTTGCTACTGCCTGCCACAGAGATTATAATGCACCAATACGAGCTAACCGTATTCAGCAACCATGCTATAAATAAGGGGTAGGAAACCTGTAACCCTCTGGATATTATTGACCTCCAACACCCATCAGCCCCAGCCAGCCTGGTCAATGGTTAGGAATGATGGGAATTGTTGTCCAGCTACATCTTGAGGGCCACAGATTTTTTATCTCTGCTGCCGCCAATTGGTTACTCTCCTGGTAAAGGTCATTTTCAAGTTTATTCTTTTACATGTGCTTTTTTACTCTTTAGACTCTTTGGTTCAAGCCCTATGGTGGGCAAAAAAGATTCCTGCATTGTGGGGGGGGTAGAACTAGATGATACTCATGGTCCCTTCCGACTCTACAATTTTATTATTCTGTGAAGTTTGTAGTAGTTGGGGGAAATTAACAGATCACATTCCACTGTGTGGAATGTGCTTTAATGTTTTATTAATATTCTTAAATATGCTTTATACATCAGCCCAGCAGATTGTAACAGCCTGGATCCTGGAAAAAATGCCAAGTTCATTTGGATGGACTTGAATTGAACTGTGAACTGAATGTGAACGGACTAGTTCATTTTGTGAAGGAACCAATATTAGTTCCTTTTTAAACATTTTGAAAACTAGTCCCTAAATAATAGCTTTCTAAGCTCTGAGTTTAATTCAGATATAACAATCAATGAGTGCACAGTCTGGGCACACAATAGTTGAGTGGTACAAATCAACACGTCTAACCCTTTTATGCAAACACATGGACCTGTCTTTGGTGTAATGTGTGAACAAGACTCAATGACAGCAAGGAAGAGCAATAGCAGAGTCAGGAGGCTCCAGGGGTTGGCGGTGCCATCCTGCAGGATGGCGGGCATCACCAGTGATGCTTCCCACTGGTGCTGGAGCCGACTGACTTTTAGTCTGATCATTGTGGGGAAAACCAGATGATACTCAGGGTCCCTTCCAACTCTACAATTTTATTATTCTGTGAAGTTTGTAATAGTTGGGGGAAATTAACAGATCACATTCCACTGTGTGGAATGTGCTTTAATGTTTTATTAATATTCTTAAATATGCTTTATACATCAGCCCAGCAGATTGTAACAGCCTGGATCCTGGAAAAAATGCCAAAGATCATTTGGAGGAACTTGAATTGAACTGTGAACTGAATGTGAATGGACTAGTTCATTTTGTGAAGGAACCAATATTAGTTCCTTTTTAAACATTTTGAAAACTAGTCCCTAAATAATAGCTTTCTAAGCTCTGAGTTTAATTCAGACATAACAATCAATGAGTGCACAGTCTGGGCACACAATACGTTGAGTGGTACAAATCAACACGTCTAACCCTTTTATGCAAACACATGGACCTGTGTTTGGTGTCATGTGTGAACAAGACTCAATGACAGCAAGGAAGAGCAATAGCAGAGTCAGGAGGCTCCAGGGGTTGGCGGTGCCATCCTGCAGGATGGCGGGCATCACCAGTGATGCTTCCCACTGGTGCTGGAGCCGACTGACTTTTAGTCTGATCACTCCACATTCTTCTTATATTCTAATATTTTCATATCAGAGACTGCAATACATTTGCAACCAAACAAACAAAAATGGCAATATAAACTGTGAAACAGCAAGCCTGGGTGACTGATAAGCTGTCACTTTTCTTCTCTGTTACAGCTGTGCAATAACATCGTAGATCTGGATGCTGATGAATTGATCTCCAAATCCTGTAACACATATGAGGTTCTCCTGAAATATAAAGATAAGGTAAAGGGGGCGGGACCTGGAACTCTCCTTCCAATATAATATTTCTGGGTTCAGAGAAGGATTCCATACACAGGCTTAAGCTTTTTCTTAAAAAAGCGTGTCCTCACAATAACAAACAAAGGCAACTCAAACTCAAACACAACTAGACTTTGTTATTAATTAGGCAAAAGCCTGAGAAATGTCACTGTTGGGGGTACACCTGGTGCAAATACCCCTGTTCCCCTCTGTGAGGTCATTTGTTCCCTGCCACTTCAGGCAGTTTCCCTAGTTAAAAAAAGGGTGGCAGGAGGTGAACAATGATATATTCCCTTTGTTATATATATATATTGCTGATGTGTCCTCCATTTGTCCTCAGGTTCCGAAGGAGTTCAAGGAGTTCTTTGGTCAGTCACTGTAATAAAGGTGCCCTGTTATAAAAGTTGAAAGAGTCACGTGGCCTGGGTGGTGTTAGTGACACAGAATGGAAGTCAACTGGGGGCAGATGTCCCCTCTCTGCTCCTATTGACGTGGGTCAGAGCAAGAAAGGTAGACTAACTGCATGCACTGTTGCCTTAGCACCAAATGGAGCATCAAGCTAGTTGAAGCCAGACCAGATCTACAGACAGTGGATCCTTAAGAGGATACCATGTTCATAAAGATGACTGAAGCTGTGATGTGGCTTGCTCCCCTACTGCACATTACCGAGCATAAGGAATGGGCAGAGTTCAGAGGCAGAGTAACTCTGCACATGCAGAAGGCTCCAGGTTCAATCCCCTTGCTTCTCTGGGTAGGATGGCTGACAGTCACAATGGACAACACTAAGGTGGCTGCTCCATGGGTCTGGTAGAGCAGCTTCCTCTGTTCCTCTGCACCACTTTATTTAAGATTCTGTTTCACATTTCCCATGGCAGAATTACCTGGAAATATGTTAACAGCCCTCTTTTTGAGAAAGGGATCAGGTGGTGGCAAGAACCCATCTCTGCCTGAGCCCCCAGAGAGCTGTTCCTGTCAGTGTAGACCAGGGATGAGGAAACTCTGATTTTCCAGATGTCATTGGACTCCAAGTCCCATCAGCCTCAGCCAGCATGGTTTATGGTCTGAGATGATGGGAGTTGGAATCCAACAACGCTTGGAGGGCCACAGGTTCCACACCTCCAATGCTGGGCCAATAGGTCTAATAATAATAATAATAATAATAATAATAATAATAATTTATTTATACCCCGCCCATCTGGCTGAGTTTCCCCAGCCACTCTGGGCGGCTCCCAATCAAGTGTTAAAGACAATACAGCATTAAATATTAAAAACTTCCCTAAACAGGGCTGCCTTCAGATGTCTTTTAAAGATAGGATAGCTGCTTATTTCCTTCACATCTGAAGGGAGGGTATTCCACAGGGTGGGCGCCACTACCGAGAATGCCCTCTGTCTGTTTCCCTGTAACCTCGCTTCTCGCAATGAGGGAACCGCCAGAAGGCCCTCGGCACTGGATCTCAGTGTCTGGGCTGAACGATGGGGGTGGAGACGCTCCTTCAGGTATACAGGATCGAAGCCGTTGAGGGCTTTAAAGGTCAGCACCAACACTGGGAGCCAATGCAGATCTCTCAGGACTGGTGTTATGTGGTCTCGGCAGCCAATTCCCAGTCACCAGTCTAGCTGCTGCATTCTGGATTAATTGCAGTTTCTGGGTCACCTTCAAAGGTAGCCCCATGTAGAGCGCATTGCAGTAGTCCAAGCGGGAGATTACTAGAGCATTCACCACTCTGGCGAGACAGTCTGCGGGCAGGTAGGGTCTCAGCCTGTGTACCAGATGGAGCTGGTAGACAGTTGCCCTGGATACAGAATTAACCTGTGCCTCCATGGACAGCTGTGAGTCCAAAATGACTCCCAGGCTGTGCACCTGGTCCTTCATGGGCACAGTTACCCCATTCAGGACCAGGGAGTCCTCCACACCCACCCGCCTCCTGTCTCCCAAAAATGGTGCAGCATGGCAAAAAGTGGCTTCCCAATTCAAGCTGCTTCCGTCCTCTGGACAAAAACTTCAGCACTTCTTTTGAGACTTTCCGGCTCTCAAGTAGCACGAAACGCCAACCGACTCCGTCACGTGCACTTTCATTTGAAGGGAGATGGGGAGATGGGAGCAGGTCCTTGCCGAGTAAATGTTTCCATTGGCCTCCTCACCCCCAGCCCGCTCTTTCCTCCTGCCCTGCTAGCCTCTCCTCGAGCTGGAAGCGCAGGCATCGGTTTCCGTGGGCGCCTGGCTACTTAAAAGCCAAATAAACAAACACGAAAGGAAGAAAATTGCAAACGAAGTGGAGCGAGGCTGCCCGCCGAACTGTGACATGTTGAAAGTGACCTTGACAGACTCGGTAGAACCTTGATTTGACACTTATCAAATGCGACAGAGGGAGACGCAGCGGGAGGGAAGGGAGGGGCACCTTCTCAACATTCCCCCCAGGACTTGCTCAGCTCTAGAGCTAGAGTAACTCAGTGTGTCTTAGGATGCTGGTGGGATTTCTGGTTACAGAAATGGGCTGTGGCTTTGCTTGTTGTTGCTGCTTTGCTTACAATGAGGACGCATCCTGCTTTTCAGGAGACATCCCTCTGTTTCAGAGGTGAGCAGTTAGATTTGGTCAGCAGGGTGGATCCTGATACCCCCAACCCCTGTGGAACACTTTGACAGGTGATCGGGCCCGCCCACCTATCAATTACCTGATATCATTATGGCATCAGGTGGCAACTTCAAAGGGGCTCACTGCCAGCACCAATCAGCTGATTGGCGCTGACATTGAGCCCTTCTTTGTCCTTTTGCAGGCATGGTTGGGATTCACACAATGCCTAGAAGTGGGAGTTTTCTATCTGCAAGCTGGCAAAGCTATCAGCAGAGGGGAAATGTCCATTCGCAGGCTTAGTTTGAAGTGTGGTTCACTGTCATCGTTAATCAGCTGATCAGCACTGTCAGTGAACCCAGCTTGCAGATGAATAATCAAGAGCAGGCTCCAAACTCCCAGTTGTTCCTTTGCAGCTGCACCTTTACCTGCTGCATGCCAGATGTCATAGATGATGCCAGGTGTGCAGCAGGGAGACATGGTTTGGGGGAAATGGCCTTTCAGGTCAATTAGGATCCCTGCTGGGCCCAGTTAGAACCTCAAGCTGGAAGTTCCCCGCCATTTGTCAAGCAGTGGGTTCTCTCTATTTGAAGGACTATCTGATCCAAGTCTGGTTTGACAATAAGCAACTGCAAAAGGTGAGATCAGAGTCCTTGAAGTTGCCAGTCCACAGTTAGAACCTGGACAGCAAATGGAAGAGGCAGGCACATAGACCAGTCTTCTGCACTACAGTGAGATACACTGAATTCCTAAATGAATTATAACAATTGCTTCTAAATTTGTAGCTATACATATGAATTAACTTGTGCAAATTTTATGCAAATCTCTTTCCTCTTTGGTGGTGTTTCCCCCCCATGCATTCCCTGTTTTTTAGTGATGTGTCAGCAGCTAAGGTACTCCTGCTGGTGTCTGTTTTTGTGCAAAGCAGACATTACTCAGTGACAGAGCGCATGTTTTGCATGTAGAGGATACACCCAGTTTAATCCTTGGCTTATTTGGTTAACAGATCTCAGCTGGAGTCAGGAGTAGGTCAATAAAAAACACCGGTGTCAGTGAAGTTAACACTTTATTCAAAGAAATCAAAACAGCACAGGCCTACTGAGCACAGCAACTCTTCCCAGTAGGTCTTGCCTACTAATGAAGCAGTTGCGAGGACTGAAGGTCCCTGCCCTCCCAACCGCTCTCAACCCAGTTCCTTCCCCAGCAGTCTAAGGCTCTACAGGAGAGGGATGCAAAGCAGACTCTGGCCAGGGGGCCATTTTGGCAGGTGGGTTGGGTCACCGTTTTTTGGAGTTTGGGGAGTTTTTTGGGTTTGATATCCTGTTTTATCACTACCCTAAGGAGTCTCAAAGCGGCTAACAATCTCCTTTCCCTTCTTCCCCCACAACAAACACTCTATGAGGTGAGTGAGGCTGAGAGACTTCAGAGAAGTGTGACTAGCCCAAGGTCACCCAGCAGCTGCATGTGGAGAAGCAGGGAAGCGAACCCGGTTCACCAGATTACGACTCCACCGCTCTTAACCACTACACCACACTGGCTCTCACCGTGACACTATGTGACCCAAGCTTATTTTTTATGCAGCTGAAGATCCTTTGGATTGCCAACAGCAATTCCAGCTTACAGCAAGGGAAGTTGGGGAATTCTGATGAAAAAAGAAACCGGAGTGGAAAGTGACAATGTTCCCTTATTCGCCCCTTCTCCAGAAGAGAATTCAATCTGGCGAATCCAATTAGTATTTCCTGCTGTTGCTGCTTTCAATCAGCAAACGATACTTAATGGGATGTGGTGGGTTCCCCCCCTCCCTCAAATTGCATCATTTCCCCTTTGCACTGAAAGTCCTGGGGTCGAAGGAGGTGATCATAATGTAACATACATAATATATGTGATTAATTACGTATGTAAAAGTAAAGGGTAAAGGGACCCCTGACCATTAGGTCCAGTCGTGGCCAACTCTGGGGTTGCGGTGCTCATCTTGCTTTATTGGCCGAGGGAGCCGGCGTACAGCTTCCGGGTCATGTGGCCAGCATGACTAAGCTGCTTCTGGTGAACCAGAGCAGTGCACAGAAACACCGTTTACCTTCCCGCCGGAGCAGTACCTATTTATCTACTTGCACTTTGACGTGCTTTTGAACTGCTAGGTTGGCAGGAGCAGGGACCGAGCAACGGGAGCTCACCCCGTCGCGGGGATTCGAACCACCGACCTTCTGATCGGCAAGCCCTACGTTCTGTGGTTTAACCCACAGTGCCACCCATGTCCCAATTACATATGTAAGTTGCTGTAATTTTGCCACCACAGACAGTGAGACAAATAATGTTGTTTTTGGCAGAGGGCAGACTGCAGCAGAATGGAAATGGTGCTGCATGCGACAAATACAGGGCAGGGCAGGAAACAAGGCTTTCTTACATCACAACTTACCCCAAGCCACGCTTTGAGCAGGCTTCAGTGAGGAACTCTGTGGGCTTGAAATAACAGCCAATCAACATTGGCATTTCCCACCAATCCCACTTTCAGCAGGCATCAGCTGTGCTATGGAGTACCCAATCAGGATCACCAATCCCAAGGAGCTTGCTAGAAGTGTTGACCAACTGGCTATAAAAGTACAGGGCCAGCCCTCTCATTAGGCAGAACAAAGGAACTATCTCAGGTGGCAGATGTCAAGTAGCAATGGCGCATTGGACAACAGACCTGTGTGCCCCACCTACATTAAGCCAGATCCCCTCAAGAAGACACAGCACTGTGGCGGGCGTCAAAAAGTAAGATTCAGCTGACATTCTGGTCAGCTTCTGTAAGTGGAAGGTGAGGAAAACAGTTCCATCTTGTCTTTAGCCTCAGACAGAAAATTGCCTTGGGCCAGTCCTGGAAGCAGTAAAGCAGAGAGGGAACCCCTTCATAATTAAAATGACTTTTTGAGACATGTAGGCAGGTGTTCTGAATCCTATATCCTGGTGCATCGTACATGAAAGACCACCTCTATGAACAAACAGCTGGCGGCTGTGCCATTGCCTATTAGTGAAGCTGTTCATCTTACGTGATTCTGCAAGCATGGAATTCCATGTGGAATCGGGTATCTGGTACAGAATTTTAATTGGTGAGATTCTTAACTTTACTGCTTGTTTATCCATTTGTTTGTTGAAAAATGTTTCCTCGTAGTTGTGGAGGGATGTTTGAACATGTGCTGGGGGGTGCTCTTCAAAGGGAGATGCTGTACTGAGCAGAGCTAATTTATCTTTCTTCATGATCTCCAGCCATATTTTCTGACCCTTGTGTGAATTCAGCACATCTATTGCATACATGTCTTCTCCAGATGCTCCAGTGCTCCTTATGCATACATACAAGCATCTCAGCTGAGATCCTGGGTTCAGTGTGCCCCCGGGATGGGGAGCCTGTGGCCTTTCAGATGTTCTTGGACTCCAGCTCCCATCATCCTTGACAATTGGCTGTGCTTGCTGGGGCTGATGGGATTTGGAGCCCAACAATAATTGGAGAGGCGCCTTATTGCCTACCACTGTTCTATGTGGTACATTCCAGGGAGCCCCAGGATCCTTCACACATTTGACCCAACCTCATTGAGCAACTTATTAGTCCCAAGGAGGCACCAAAAGAGGGGGGTAGGGGAGGAGATGAGTAGCCATTACAAGCTGCCTTGTGCACCCAAGCTGAAAATAAGTGCATAAGTGAAATAAGCCCATTCAAAGAGCTGGACTGGGCTGCTATTTCTGTTCCTGTAATCCTTAAGACTCTTCTTTAAAGGAGGGAGGGAGGATGAAATATACTTGGAGTGCTTAGTACATACCGTATTTTTTGCTCTATAACTCACTTTTTCCCTCCTAAAAAGTAAGGGGAAATGTGTGTGTGTCTTATGGAGCTAATGCAGGCTGTGCAGCTATCCCAGAAACCAGAACAGCAAGAGGGATTGCTGCTTTCACTGCACAGCGATCCCTCTTGCTGTTCTGGTTTCTGAGATTCAGAATATTTTTTTTCTTGTTTTCTTTCTCCAAAAACTAGGTGCATCTTGTGGTATGGTGCGTCTTATAGAGCGAAAAATACGGTAATAGAGGAAAAGCTTCCACTTCTCTCCATTGATTAACACTGTGTTTTTAAAAGGGGTTGTGTATGGTTTCTTTCCCCTTTGCTGACTGCTGTTATTTTAATTTGCCATTCAGCAGTTTTAAGAGTTTTCTGTTTTAATGGATGCTTTAAAAAATTTCCAGGGGAAAAAGGTTACTTTGAGCACTCTTAAGCAAGCTGGGAAAGTGGTCCAAGATTTTATCTAAATAAATAAAATACTGCACCCAGAGTAATCCCCAGCTCTGAATAGTGTTGTGAGTCCCATGTTGCATCTTGCAAAGGCAGAGTCTACCAGATAATTCACCTCTGCTCTTACCTTCCATTCAACACATCCATTGCTACTTTTTGTTCTCCTTCCTGGGAGTCGAAGCCTTCCCTAGGGGGGCCATTTACCCATCAGCAAAAGTCTGTACGATTTGCATATAATTTACAAATACTAATTTGTATGTATAAATTTCCTCTTGTTAAATCTATATCCCTCCCTTCCTCCCAAAGGAGCCCATATATGTGCATGGATGTAGAATGAGAAACAATCACGATGATTTTAATAGAAACACAATCCATCTCATATGAGGGAAGACTGCATGACCAGGTGACCTCTTTGCCTGCTCAGTCCAGAGTCCCTGTCAATGAGCAACTCCAAGGCCCCTCCTGCACTCTCTTCTCAGTTCTTTTCCTTTAACCCAGACTTGGATCAGCCAGCCCTTCAAATAGAAGACTCCTTTCCTCTTCATAGAATCATGGAATTGCATAGTTGTAAAAAAAACTCCAAGGGTCATCTAATCCAACCCCCTGCGATGCAGGAATCACACCTAAAGAATTCCCGACAATTGACCATCCAACCTCTATTTATAAACCTCCAATGAAAGAGGCCCCACCACCTTCCAAAGTAGCCTGTAAGCAAAGCAGCTCTTAGCGTCAGAAAGTTCTTCCTAATGTTTAGCTGAAATCTCCTTTTTGCAACTTGAATCCATTGCTTTGTTTCCTGCCCACTGGAGCAGCAGAAAACAAGCTTGCTCCATCTTTCATGGACAGCCCTCCAGATATTTGAAGATGGCTATCATATCACCTCTCAGTCTTCTCTTCTCCAGGCTAAATATTCCCTTCAAAAAGGAGGCTGCCCTCCATAAAACACATAGCCACCTTAGGCCTTCCTTTTGACATACCCATTCCTACCAATTCTATTGCAGATATTAATATTGTGCAGCTTGAAGCAATAGGATGAATAAAAACTGACTCCTCTTGGAATAAAAATTGTACAGACCCAAAATATGGTTTCAAAGCTTTGCTAACAGAACTTTCTTCAAACAGACTTAAAACAATAAATGATACATCCAAATCATTGCATAAAATCATATGCATGTCCAAGCACAGACTCCGCTTCTTACAATAACTCCAAACAGACTTGAAATCAAAGGTGAGTCTCTCTCCACAGCCTCCATTACAGCCTAGAGCTGTTTTCTCTTTGGGAGAGACATTAGCACATCTTTCTTCTACAGAAACTGAAGAACAAAGACTCCCTCAATGGCGATTTGCAACTGAATACATTACTCATGTGATCTAAAGTTAAACACCACGTGACAGAGCAGAGCAGAGATATATTCTAACAGTTAATCATCAACCCATTAGGTGCTCAGAGAGCTCTCTAGCTCAATGGAATTTCTCCAATGTTCCCTTTAGCAATACTCATTCAGACCCATTTTTCCATTTCAATGTACAGCAATTATATTTAACAGACTTTTCAATATGTTTCCTGCGAGGAGCAGCTTCTCATTGGATACATTAATCATGTATCCTGTGTGGAGAGGCCTGCCCTTTGGATGCTTCCAAGAAATGCACAACACTTTTATCTTGGTACAATCAGCATAGAGAGAAGGAACCTGCTTTGTACCAGGTCAGACCATGTTGTCAGACCATTGATGAGAGAAACACTACAACAAAATCCAGAGGGCACCATCTCGGCTTCCCCCATCTACTCAGAGAGGCAGTGGCTTCCCAGGGTCTATTGCCTTTCCCATCTCTTGCTATCGCAAATCCTCTCAGGGAAATCTTTGCAGTGTGGCAGGCAGAACAGAAAAACTGCCGATATCATATTCAGAGCCACTAATAAGCTATGAAGGTGTCCAGTGAACATTAATATAGAGTTACATCTTCCTTTTTCTGGCAACTGGCTTTTATTATTCCAGACATTTTGCTGATGCCGGACTATTTGTTTTGCAACAGAAGCTCCCTGGGTGGGAATCAGGGGAGTCTCTGCTAATACAGCCTGACACATTTCATCTAGAAGGCAATACAAGTTGAGCAGGAGAAAGAGGCAGGAACAGGAAACTCCCCCAGGACAGAGGATCCGTCACGTTCAACTCCAGGGTTGGGCAAAAGACCTTGGATAGCCACACCATATACTCCAAATGTCTCTATTTACCAGGGAGAGTATCTGTTTCCTCTTATACCTTTGGCAAATTAGTGTTCCCATTATTTTGGCCCTTCATGCATCACAGGGCTTTTTGAGGGGGTTGCTGTGCAAGTTACAAAAGGTATTGTTGGATGGGGTTATGAGCAGGTTTGTGGTTAGGCACCTCCAGTTCACTAAGGAGTCCAGGAGTTCAGTCTCTCCACTGCAAGCTCCATTCTGACGTGGAGTGATCTGGGCCTTAGACAAAATTGAAGAGCCATACAAAGTCCCTAATTAAAGATGCAGCCGTCAACATTGTTTTCTCCTCCTCCCCCTCCTGACCACATGCTTAATTGGGGTTTTAATTAAATTAGGCAGTGCACCACTGAATACCAGCTTCTGGGGTGCAAAACTAGGAGTAGCTTTTGTCTCCATGCTCTGTTTATGGCTGGGGTTGGGGGACCTCAAACCTGGAGGCCAAATACAGTCCTCCAAGCCTCTCCATCAGACCCTCGAGACTCTCCCCCAAGAGGATAAAATGGTAAAGGTAAAGGACTCCTGGACTGTTAAGTCCAGTCAAAGGCGACTCTGGGGTTGCGGCACTCATCTTGCTTTCAGGCTGAGGGAACTGGCGTTTGTCCACAGATAGCTTTTGAGGTCATGCGGCCAGCAGGACTAAACCACTTCTGGCGCAATGGAACACCATGACGGAAACCAGAGCACACAGAAATGCTGTTTACCTTCCCGTCTCAGCAGTACCTATTTATCTACTTGCACTGGCATGCTTTCGAACTGCTAGGTTGGCAGGAGCTGGGACCGAGCAAAGGGAGCTCACCCCATCGCAGGGATTCGAACCGATGACCTTCTGATCGGCAAGTCCAAGAGGCTCAGTAGTTTAGATCACAGCTCCACCTGTGTGCTCCCCCAAGAACACACCCCAGGTAGACCCTCTTTTTCCAAGCCATTCTTTGCATCGCAAGTGATTTAGCCTGATTTGGTTGTATCCCTGAACTCTGAAATTGCCTCTTGTTTGCTTGGGTGGAGGCCAGAGAGGGCCATGTGAGTCTGTGCAGAATCCAGGTGACTGTGCAAAGATAAAGTCTGCATGTATTATACCTCACAGTTTTGCCTCTGGCTCCACCCACCAGTGGCTTGTTGCAATAAGAGAATGCAGCCCTCGGGTTCAGAAGAGTTTCCCACAGGATGCTGGTTACCACTGTGGGAAACGTACTAGACTAGGTAGGTCTTTGATCTCATTAGACCAGGTATGGGGAAACTTTGGCCCTCCAGATTTTGCTGAACTGCAACTCCCATCAGCCTTAGCAAGCATGGCCAATGACCAGGGGTGACAGGAGTTGCAGTTCACCAACACTGGAGGGATGCAAATTTGCCATACTTGCATTAGTCAGTGCTCTTCAATGCTAGTTCTACTCAGAGTAGACCAATAGAAATGCATGAGCCAAAGATAGTCATGTTCATCAACTTCAATGGGTTAAATTCAAGTAGGTCTAGTAGTGGCTGCCACTCCTTCTGTTGACAGTGAATGTTTCCTGCCACTTTTCTTTATTATTTTAGCCACTAATACTTCGTATGCACATTCCTGAATATTTTCGTGTGAGAGAGAAAGATCTTGTCTGCCTCTCCCTTGATTGTTTGCTGCCTCGAATGATTAGGAAAGGTAGCAGTATAAATTGCTAAAGAAAGTAAATGTAAATATTTTTAAAGCGGTGGTGGTTTGTTCACAGCAGTTTTCTGTTCGGAAAATTCCAGGCAAACAGACTGTCCCCGAACCAAAAAAGCACTTGAAATCTCTGTGCAGTCCGACCCTTTGTTTCTGTAATTAAAACCTGCTTCTCCAGCTGTTTGGCATCCATGGGAGAAAGATTTTAATGAATGTAACTCTTTAAGATCTCAACAGAGGGTTCCTTGTCTCTCTCCTCCCCTTGCCCTCCCCACAACACACACACACACACACACACACACACACACACACACACACCAAATCCACTGTGGGATAGACAAGAGGGATATACCAAAGTGAATTTTTGAAGGAGTCCAATCCTGACAAGGAAACAGCTTTGCTAGGAAGGTGAAGCAGATCCACCTGACACTCTCTATAGGTCCATCCAAGAGATACAGTAAATGAGTAGATTTGGATTTCTGCATGCACACACCAGTCTCACCTCTGGCTATCTCCATCCCAGCATTCCTCAGATGCTCATTAATTGTTGCAAAGCATCCAGGCCCGCTTTAGTAATGGGCTCACCCTAACAAAAAACCATTCTCCCCTGGCCCCTGAGCATCACAATGCCATCACTCCCATCTCTTGCCCTTGTAGCAAAAGACCATGCACAGCCACTGGGAATGAGGGAACGACTCGGGTGACCACCTTGTTTTCTAGCATGGGTTCCGCTGCCTTTATGAGCCAACAATTATTTTTTTTAAAGAATTTTATTGAGCATAACAACATAATATTTTAACAATAAAACATATCCAAAAGTTTTTCCCCTAATTTTTTTCCTCCCCCATCCCCCCCAAACCCACCCTCCCCTCCCCCTCTCTCTGGTTTTTCCATACTTATAATTCTATGCATCTTGTAAAATTGTAAAGATCCTTAACTTATCTGTCTATGTATTATTAATAATAAATTTGTGAGTGTTTATTCAAAACCTGCCAAGGAGTCCAATTCATTTTGCTGTTTTTGGTTTTTTAACAAATGTTAATTGGAACAATTTCTTCAACTCATTATACTGTATATCATTTCCCAAAATTTTCTAATCTTACTGCAGTCTCACCACATATGATAAAAATCAGCCAACAATTAACAGGTATAACTGCTTTCACGATATACAGCCAGAGTAAGAGTAAAACCGGCACCAGACGCGCACGGATTTCAAGCATGCTTACTCCAAACACACACTTTGGACTCCAAGGAATCTAATACTGCTACTTTGTGCCATTACCTCTGTCAGGCAGGAGAGGGTTTTCTGCAGGACTGGTGACTTCTCGAGCTGCAGCAATTGTTTCTCGGCCTTCACATACCCTACAGGTGTCCTGGAAAAAACAGGACATCCCGTTTTTCCTCACAAAAGAACAGTGATCATTTTTGATGCCATGATCTCATGTGATTTCACACCACGATTTCCCACCAAAAAAGGACTTTTTCTGGGGCCGGAATCTACACAGGACTGCCTTCAGATGTCTTCTAAAGGTTGTATAGTTACTTATCTCCTTGGCTCAGGGGAAAAAAGCAAGAAAGCTATCACAATGAAACATCAACATGCACAAATATGCAGTGGTACCTCGGGTTAAGAACTTAATTCGTTCCAGAGGTCTGTTCTTAACCTGAAACTGTTCTTAACCTGAGGTACCACTTTAGCTAATGGGGCCTCCTGCTGCCGCTGAACCACTACCGCGCGATTTCTGTTCTCATACTGAAGCAAAGTTCTTAACCCAAGATAATATTTCTGGGTTAGCGGAGTCTGTAACCTGAAGCGTATGTAACCTGAAGCGTATGTAACCCGAGGTACCACTGTATGTGGCATTAGGCAGTGCTATTTTTCTAGAAAAATAGGTGGCAGGGCCCACTGTAAACACCTCCCTTGTTCTTTTTGAATGGCAATGGTGCCCACCTGAGAGGTACCCAAACCCACCTGAGAGGTGCCGGAACTGAGTTCCTGTGAACTCAGGGGGGAAACCTGAAAAAAGGCCTGGCATTCAGCGCCAACAAATCAGTACCAGATGCCAGCAGGGAAGCTGTGTGCAGCTCTGGTAGTGCAATATTGCACATAATAAACTCCTGGCAAGAGGGCTGTCAGAATCTCTCTTTCTCCCTCTCCACGGACATGTAGGTCCATGAGTCTCCCCTTCCATCTTCCCAATAACCCAGTGAGGTAGGTCAGGTCAAAAGATGGGGACAGCTACATCTACCCCTAGATCTGGCACTCTTAGTTATCACACCATCCTAGATCTCTTCGCAGACTCCCTTGCTGGAACCCCCAAGGGGTTCCTTAACTTTCTGCGCTTGGCACCAATATGGTTTTCGCTTTGTGTTTTATGGCCCTTTTATGCTTATCCCCTTATTCTTCTGGCTGGTCTTCTGCATCTTGGAGAGCAGGCCCTGGTTCTGATTTTGAAGAATCACCCAAACAGGAGAAAAATAAATTAAAATAACCCTTGTGACAGATCAATTATATGCGCGCTATAACTACACTGCCATAGCTCTGTCTTTTATATATCATGGTTTTATCACCCTGCAATATATTATAAGATGTACTTATAACAAGATGTGTTGTGTACATAATAGATCTGTCACATGGTTGATTGATTACTTTTCCCTGTTGGGGCGATTACTCAATATCAGGACTATTTCTTTCTTTCTGTCTTCTTTTGCAGCACTGAGAATCGCCTTTTTCCTTCTCGGTGGCTTCTGTTTTGCGTGGTATGCAAATATTCAAGAGGTGCAGTTTAACTGTACGGGTGGCCTAATTAACTTGGACAAGTGTGGCAATTTCTGACCCTCCAAGTGTCCCTATTTCCCAGGGACAGTCCCAGGAGCCATCCTGTTTTCTGATTTGATCCCAGAATATCCTGCTTTTCCTTAGGACGTCCCTATTTTCATCAGGTGTCTTGGCGGGTACGGAGTTATGCTCAGAAAGGAGTTGCAAAAAGGTTCCACACCCAGTGGCAGATGGCGCCCAGCCATTAGGTGTGGTGAATCCCTCCCCTATGGGTGACCTACACAACCTGCCACCGCCACTGGCAGAGAAGCAGCTTCAATTCACCAAAATTGCACAAGATCTCGCCAGAAATCAAGGTTGATAGTGGTGGTGGAAGGGCAGGAGGCAGGCACACCATCGAAGGGAAGGCCAAGGGGCTGAGGCACCCCAAAATTTCCAAGGAGGGGTCGGGCCCCCCTCAGTATTCCAGAACTTGTGACAGGCCTCACCAGGCCTACCCACAGCCACAGCTGGCCCTGCCAACCTCTTCTGTGGCTGCAACAGGCCCCAGGGAGGCCAACAGTAGGTGGCACCAGAGCTACTGATAGGTGGAGCCCACTAATTTTTGTGTTGTCTCCATCATCCTCCCTACTGAGCTCCATAATGACAACATGGAGACTAAGAAAGAGGAAGCTGACTGCTTGCGCCACCTGCTGGGCTCTGATGGACCAGCCGCCACTGTTCTCTTCCCAATGTGCAGCAAAACAGACGTGGAGTGAAGCCTTCGGCAATGTGTGATTATGGACGAGGCAATGCACATCATGATCCGTGGGAGAAAAAGAGGCATGTTATCAGCAGATTTATATTTTCATTTAAAAGGGATGCAGGTGGCGCTATGGTTTAAACCACTGAACCTCTTGGGCTTGCTGACTGGAAGGTCAGCGGTTTGAATCCCCATGACAGGGTGAGCTCCCGTTGCTCTGCCTCAGCTCCTGCCAACCTAGCAGTTCGAAAGCACGCCAGTGCAAGTAGATAAATAGGTACAGCTGTGGCGGGAAGGTAAATGGCGTTTCCGTGCGCTCTGGGGTCTGTCACAGTGTCCCGTTGTGCCAGAAGCAGTCCTGCTGGCCACATGACCTGGAAAGCTGTCTGTGGACAAACGTTGGCTCCCTCGGCCTGAAAGCGAGACGAGTGCCGCAACCCCATAGTCGCCTTTGACTGGACTTAACCGTCCAGGGGTCCTTTACTTTTCTTTTTAACCTGCTTTTCATCTGTGAAGCAACAGAGAGGGTCAGGCAGCTGTGGCGCAACTTCATTCAACGGAAGAAGTACCTATCACAAAGGACAGGTTGGGCTTTAAATGGCTGCCCATCGCTGCTCTTTCGGAACAACGAATAGCTTTGACAAGGGAGAAAATCCTTTTTCCCCACCTCCACCACCTCCTCCCAGCAAACAGCTGCACAATGACCTGTTGGGATCAGGGAGGATTTATTGTACTTGCAGTTTTTGTCTGTGTTAATTGTATCGGCCTGGCAGCATTGGAGGGAAATGGCCCTGATTTATTGTGTTGGTTTTTTTTTTGTCTGTGGGAAGGGGCGGGTGCAATCTCACCCATTGTGATTGAGAAATGAACTGTGTGACAGCTGTGGATTTATTTTGCAGGTGAATGAGGGATTGTTCCAAAAAGAATTTGCTCATATTAATTATGTTCAATCCCCGCTGAGATTTTTTAACAAGATTATTCTGTCTGAGCAGAGCTGCTTTGCTTTTTTTAAAAAAAAAGAGAGAGAGAGGAGACAGAAAAGAGAAATTCTGGTGTGTTAGAGGTTTTCTTTAAAAAAAAAAAAATCAATGGATAGGAATGGTTTTCCCCCCAGCTCTCCAAACTTGTAAGCAGAATTGAGCAGTGTGTAACAACTGCATGAAAGTTGAAATATGAACAGGTGTGAGACTGTCGAAGGGGGGAAATATATTGTTGTCGCCTGAAATCCGAACATTGCAAATTCATGCAGGGGCAGAAGAAAGGTTTCGAAATGTGTCCGGATGTTAGGGACTGGCCTAAGGAGGAAAGGTGAGGACTGCCCCCTTCCTCCTGAACCTTCTCGGGGAGAGGACAGTATAGGTTTTCAACAGTGATTTGCAGAAGGTCATAGTTCAGAGGCTGCAGAAGGGAGAATCTGGGAAATATTGAGAGAGCAGCAGGAAGAAGAAGAACCAGGGGAGAGACAGCTGACAGACTCGGTGTCTTCAGAAAGCATCCCTGACCCCCCCCCCCACACACACACACAGTATCTGGCGGGCATTGAAAGTAGGAGAACAGAAAGCTAAGAGGCAGAAAGCACAGATCAATTGACACAGGGATGACATACAATAGGAGAGACGGAGGGGGTGGGACTTTGCTCGGAGCAACGCCATTATCTGAGAGACTGCTTCCTACGTCTGTCTCTGTAAATATTGAATAAAACACCTTGGTAAGAGTATCTTGTTTTTTCCATTACTGGCAGCCTGCCGTGAGGTAGGGGGATCAGATTCCCTGAAGCCTGACACCAGTCATTCACTGTCTGCTTGCAAAGCTTTGCCAGAATTGACTATGGTCTCTGTCATCCTACAGCAGCAGCAATTGTGAGTAGTAAGGCCAGAGTGGTATAGTGGACTCTGGGTCAAATCCACACTCAGCCTTGAAGCCCATGGGGTGATCTTGGGCTCTCTCTCTCTCTCTCTCTCTGCCTAACTCAGCTCACAGGGTTCTTGGTGCTATGGTTGCATGCAAGAGCTATAAAGAAATAACACTCTCCTCCTGTTGTTCAGCAACATTCACACCATGCATTTGAAAGGCTATGATACCACTTCAAGGAGTCGTGGCTTCCCCCAAGGAACCCTGGGAGCTGTAGTTTATTAAGGGGGTTGATAGTTCTTGGGAGACTCCTATTCCCCTTACGGAGTTACAATTCCCAGAGTTCCCTGGGAAGAGGGATTGATTGTTAAACCACCCTGGGAATTGTAGCTCTGTCAGGGGGATAGCAGAGTGTCCAAACAATTCTCAGCACCTTTAACAAACTACATCTCCCAGAATTCTTTGGGCAAAGCCAAGACTCCTTAAGATGGTATGATAGGACTTTAAATGTCTGGTGTAAATGTGGCCTTTGGCTGAAGGTCTCCGGAGCAGCAGTTCCGCTTCCACTGTAAACTCCACCTTTACTGATAAGTAAGACCAGTCAAATTCGACTATGGGGTGTGGCACTCATCTTGTTTCAGGCCGAGGGAGCTGGTGTTTGTCCGCAGACAGCTTTCTGGGTCATGTGGCCAGCAGGACTAAACCTCATAGGTAAGAACCAGTCTGCTCTGTCAATCTTTTGTTCTGACTGAGCAGAGGAGACTCTGACTCCATGGAGGGCCGCTGCAATAGGGTCCTCCGAATCAGAGGACGGCAGCAGAACATCCTCGGATACAAAGGACACAGAAACCATGAGCTCATCCTGCTGACTTGCCTCTGGGACTGACTCTGATTGCAGTTCCCCTTCAAAGAGCCTTAAATCTCATCTCCTGAACAACGAAAATTCAGTCCCAGCTGGGAAGATAAAACTGAGGAGAGGGAGAATCTTAGATGCTACCTTGACTTCCCTGGAGAAAATGTCATATATTTATATTTATTAAGAAGCAAACTCAAATCTCTGAATGTCATTCCTTATGTAGCCTAAATGATACCACCCGCTCACAAGAGGAACGTTCTATCATACTCAGAAACACCAAAAAAAATATTTGGGGAATCCTCTACAGGACCTCCAAAAACAGTTCAATAAGAACTGAGTCTATTGTTGATGTTATTTTTATTGTTATGAAATCGGCAACCCTTCTAGTAGGAACCTGCAAGTAGGAAAAGGAAGTGCCAAGACTTCAGCTCCATCCAGATGAGCTGTTAATTGAGCCCTCGTTCCAATTTGTTTGCAGGGAGGTTAGACGACATCAGCTATTGACTGAGCATTCATTCTGATTTGTTTGCAGGGAAGAGCAGTAGCTCAGAGGTGGAGGAACTGCTTTGCATGCAGAAGGTCGCAAGTTCAAACCCTGGTATCTCCAGGTAGGACTGGGGATGTCTTCTCTACTGCAATGCGCTCTACGTGGGGCTATCTTTGAAGGTGACCCGGAAACTGCAATTAATCCAGAATGCGGCAGCTAGACTGGTGACTGGGACTGGCCGCCGGGACCACATAACACCGGTCTTGAAAGACCTACATTGGCTCCCAGTATGTTTCCGAGCACAATTCAAAGTGTTGGTGCTGACCTTTAAAGCCCTAAACAGCCTCGGTCCTGTATACCTGAAGGAGCGTCTCCACCCCCATCGTTCAGCCCGGACACTGAGATCCAGCGCCGAGGCGGTTCCCTCATTGCGAGAAGTGAGGTTACAGGGAACCAGACAGAGGGCCTTCTCGGTAGTGGCACCTGCCCTGTGGAACGCCCTCCCTTCAGATGTGAAGGAAATAAGCAGCTATCCTATCTTTAAAAGGCATCTGAAGGCCTTCAGGGAAGTTTTTAATATTTAATGCTGTACTGTTTTTAACATTTGATTGGGAGCCGCCCAGAGTGGCTGGGGAAACTCAGCCAGATGGGCGGGGTATAAATAAATTATTATTATTATTATTATTATTATTATTATTATTATTATTATTCTCTCTGAAACCCTGGAGAACTGCTGACAGTTGTAGACAATTGAGCTAGATGGACCAACCGCCTGACTCAGTAGAAAGCAGCTTCCCATGTGCCTATAAAGGTAGGCACCTTTGCATCAAGGAAGTGTTATCCCACTTTTTCCATTTCCCCACCACTTTCCATATTGCAAAATGTCAATTTGGGTGGGGGAGTGGAAATTAGCTTGCTGTAGAAAAGCTCCAAGTCACCTTTACTTGCACAACCTGATTTTGCTGGTGTGTGATTGAATCTGTGGTCACCTGGAAGAACCCTTTGGCCCAGTTGACATGTTACATCCAAATCATGATCTGGCCAACTAGAACAAGCAGTGAGCTTGCACACATGCTCCTTCACCTCTCATCCCTCCCTGATGTGCTCTCCCTGGTTCACAGTAACCATAGCTTGCCACACTTTGCAAATCAGATGAAGCACAATTTGCCCCCAAACCCAAAGGAAAAGCCATGGCTTAAGGCCCAGGTCCATTGAGATGTTGCTGAAGTTTGTTGTTCCCAGGCTCTGATTCCAGCAGTCTGGGAATGACCCTCCTGAGTTCGGTTCTTTCTTTCCACCTGCTTATTTGCTTGCCATTCCTCTACCACAGCCTGTGCTCTGTGGGACTGATGGGAGTTGTAGTCCGAAACATCTGGAGGTGGATAAGCCCTGCTTTAGCAACTGCCAGCTCTGGGACAGAAAGGAGAAAGCAGTTTGGAGGTGGGAGGAAAGATGCTGTGGAAATAACCCAAGCTATTTCCTGACTTTGAGGGGGAATTGATGGGTTATTTGGGGCTAATCCATTTCAAGCGAGAAGAGCTCATCAAAAACACCCATGTTACTCTTCCTTCAGATCAGCCAAGGTGAATCTTAAAAAAAAAAAAAAAGCACTATGTAGAGTCCCTTTTTGTTCTCCACCTCCCCGCAACAATCTTGTAAAATCCCAGCTATTCATGTCCTTATAACGCTGCAAATCTGCCTGGTGTTCGGGCAGCTTCATTGCCGACTGATAAGATACAAAGTGCTTTGCAGAATGGTTAATGAGGCGCGTTCCATCAAGGCCCTTCGTCTGGATGCCATCAGAGTAAATCAAGACCATTGCAGGCAATTAAGCGGCAGAACACGTCGCAAATGCAGCCGGCGTGTGGGCAGCAATGGGAATGCGCACGGCCTCCCTGCCTGCCTTGTCGAAGGAGACTGGCAGCTGCTTTTGCAAAGGCTTTCCCGGCTGCCAGCAGCAAGGGCTCGAAGGTGTGGGGAACAGAGCAAAAGGGAAAGGTGGGCATGCATGCACACACACACCCTGCGCAATTGGCTCTGCAGTGATACCTTATGCTGTTCGGCATGGCTTTCAGCGGGGCAGTTGTATAATTTTAGACTCGGCTCTTATTTGCTCTAATCTTTAGATCAGGGGTGGGGAACCTATGCCCCTCCACAGGGCATTGGACTGCAGCTCCCATCAGCCCCCGCCGGCATAGGCCAGCAGCCCATCCAAGTGTCCCTGTTTTCCAGGGACAGTCCCGGATTTACAGAAGCCGCTCCAGTTTCTGATTTGCTGATGGAGGGTATAGAGCAGGCATAGGCAAACTCGGCCCTCCAGCTGTTTTGGGACTACAGCTCCCATCATCCCTGACCACTGGTCCTGTTAGCTAGGGATGATGGGAGTTGTAGTCGGAGGGCCAAGTTTGCCTATGCCTGGTATAGAGTTATCCAACCCCCGAGCCAAGGAGATAGGTAACTGTCAGCCTTTAGAAGACATCTGAAGGCAGCCCTGTATAGAGAGGTTTTTGAATATTTAATGTTTTGCTAGGTGGCGCTGTGGGTTAAACCACAGAGCCTAGGACTTGCCGATCAGAAGGTCGGCAATTTAAATCCCCGCAACGGGGTGAGCTCCTGTTGCTCGATCCCTGCTCCTGCCAACCTAGCAGTTCGAAAGCACATCAAAGTGCAAGTAGTTAATAGGTAACGCTCCGGTGGGAAGGTAAACGGCGTTTCCGTGCGCTGCTCTGGTTTGCCAGAAGCGGCTTAGTCATGCTGGCCACATGACCCAGAAGCTGTACGCTGGCTCCCTCGGCCAATAAAGTGAGATGAGCACCGCAACCCCAGAGTCGGTCACGACTGGACCTAATGGTCAGGGGTCCCTTTACCTTTACCTAATATATGTTGGAAGCTGCCCAGAGGGGCTAGGGCAACCCAGTCAGGGGGGTGGGGTATAAATAATAAAATTATTGTTGTTGTTATGGAATAGGATGTCCCTCTTTTCATCGAAGAAATGTTGGAGGGTATGGGTCAGAGATGATGGGAGCTGCAGCTGAACAACCTGTGGGGGACCGCAGGTTTAGGGGGTCATGCTTCCAACTCTACAATTCTGTGATTGTATGGTAAGGTAGACAAAATTCAAAGAAAAAGTCCTTCAGGCTGAGCAGAGGAAGAGCTCGCTGTCTAAATGCTGCCAGAATTTTTTAAAACTGTGGCTGCTATCACCTGTACTATAGCTATACTTCAAAGCAAAGGGTGGGTGGGTGGGTGTCTTCAAGAGGGAGAAATGCCTTCTTTTTCTTTCTGACACTTAAAAAACGACTGCAAAACATTGCACGCAGAGGCAGAGCTAGGCGGGTGTGGTGGGTGCAGACCGCCTCGGGTGTCACCTTCGAGGGGGGTGACGAAATGCTGCGCAGCAGTGTGAGAGAGGCTTTGGCGCTCAACAACTTTGGCTCCCCCCAAAAAGCTCAAGAACTCTGGCTGTGCAAAAAAAACACAAGGGACATCTAAAGAACAAGTGTTCTGGGCTTCCTATCTCTCCCAATGGACAGGTGCAAAGTCTCTGAGCATACGGGACTTTTCTAAAGGCTCCATCCAGGACCGGCGAGGGAAGAGCCGAGCTTCTGGCAAGTGTAAAGGCCCTTCTTGCATTTCTAGATACGAGAAAGAAGAGATATGCTGCCGGTGCGGCTATATATCTCTCAATTTCTCCAATTTTATAGTTGGGGCACCTTGCGCAGTCCTGTTGTCTCTCGGTGTCTAATATTCTTTGCCTGACTGTAGCTTTTGCCTGTCCCAAGCCCAGACTTAGAAGGGCTTGAGGGGCAAAACCCAGTTTCTGGAGGGTGTTCAGGACTGCAGTCTGCCAGAATTGATCACAGAGGATCAATGGGGCTATCCCTCGGGGGAGCAGATTCAATGTCAGCCATTTGTAGATTGATGTTAGGCAGATGTTAGCCTCCATTCTCATCATCCCCATTTCTAATCTAACCCATGCATTTGAGACACATCTGGGGACTTGGAGGAGCGCTCTAAAAAGTCTGGGTGTGGCAAGAAATTTTCCACACCGGGTACCACCTGACCTTGCTACACCACTGGTTGCACCTGAAAGAATATCACTACAAGGAGGGATCAAGTGTGCAAGAGCAAATTTTGATAAGCTGGCCTTGCTGCATTTGAGAGCCCGCCTACATGTTCTACTTAATAGGACCCTGTCGTTCTGCCTCATATGCCTGTCCTGACATCATGGCGCCTCCGTTTGCCAATGGATTCCCCATTCTCTCTCCTACCCAGTGCTTTTTCAGGGGGTACTCAAAGTACTGGCACCTGTGTGTGTGTGTGTTTTTAAAAGTGTGACACTTACTGTAACAACTTCATGGTACCAGCACCTCTTTTTCTAGAAAAAAAAAAAGCACAGCTCCAAACCCTGCCTTTTGGGACGGCTGCCATCCTACACAAATATGCCAAATATCAATTCGTCTGTTCAGTGTTGCCATTTTCTAGTTTGGGGGAGGGGCATTTTCCAATATGATCTTGGTGCTATATTTCCATTAATGAAGGGTGATTGTCAGAATTAATCTCCAGCTACTACTGAACACAACCGCCACCGTTCAACGTTCTTTTTTCATCGCAGAACAGCACTTTATGTTCCAGTAGAAGTCACCCTCTCCCTCTCCCTCTGCCTGATCGTGTGAGTCAGCTCAGAAGTATATTGGTTGAAGGGCTAGACCAGGGGTCAGCAAACTTTTTCAGCAGGGGGCTGGTCCACTGTCCCTCAGAGCTTGTGGGGGGGCAGACTATATTTTGAAAAAAATATATGAATGAATTTCTATGCCCCACAAATAACCCAGAGATGCATTTTAAATAAAAGGACACATTCTACTCATGTAAAAACATGCTGATTCCCAGACCATCTGCGGGCCAGATTTAGGAGGTGATTGGGCCAGATCCGGCCCCTGGGCCTTAGTTTCCCTACCCATGGACTAAAATGTTCAGTTCCATATAAGGAGGCTGAAAATCAATGCCCTGCATTTAAGAAGTGCATAAGCAAAGCGTTTGGGTATCCAAAACAAGAGCAGTATCAACGTAGCTAACTTTAAACTTAAATCTAATAAGAACGCTGTTGAATTTTTATTATGGTACTACAGTCCATGAGTAAGCAGTGGGGAAAGATGTTGTTTTTGAAACAGGTAAAAAGGAAAGACTTCCCTTCAAAACAGAAGCATTCAGGGGGCCAGTCCCAGGCTTATGCGTTCCCATGCTTCCATTAAAGCTCAGGGGACATTTTCATTAAGTAACTCCTTCCATGGGGCTTTTCAGCTCAGGAAGCGCAGACAATCACGGCGGCTGCTGAGTGCTGGGGGAAAAAATTAATGGAAGGAGAGAGAGAAAACACCATTCTTGGCTACCTTGCAGTGACAAGGTACCAGCCAAATCATGTGCAGAAAATTGCTTATACTGGGGTAAACTCTGCATAAAAAATAATAATATAATAATAAATAATAATAATAAATTTTTATTTATACCCCACCCTTCCTGGTTCAGAAAACCAGACTCATGCTGCTAACAACAAATTTAAAACACTTAATTGATGCAACAAAAAACAGCATAAATACAGTATTAAACGTGAATAACAATTAATTCAAAAATCAATTTAGGGGGGAAATCCTTCCAATAAACATTAGATGATCACCAGGGCTAGCTGGCTAAATTAGTCCTATTTGAGCCAGCGAGGAGACCAGGGGAGAATTAGCTGTGGGATCCCAGAGCGGGTAATCTTCATAAAAAGGGGAGGGGGAAGAAAGGAAGGGGAATAAAAGATCAGGTTACGTTCAAGTTGAAAGCCAGGCAGAATAGCTCTGTCTTACAGACCCTGCGGAAGGAAGTTAAATCCTGCAGGGCCCTGGTCTCATGGGACAGAGCATTCCACCAGGTTGGAGCCATTACTGAGAAGGCCCTGGCCCTGGTGGAGGATAATCTGACTTCCTTAGGGCCCGGGACCTCTAAACTATGATTATTCAGGGACCTTAAGGTCCTCTGCGGGGCATACCAGGAGAGGCGGTCCCGTAAATACGAGGGCTCTAAGCCACAAAGGGCTTTAAAGGTCAAAACCAGCACCTTAAATCTGACCCTGTACTCCACCGGGAGCCAGTGCAGCTGGGTGAATATGCTCCCATGGCAGAGATCCTGTGAGGAGCCTCCCTGCAGCATTCTGCACCTGCTGGAGTTTCTGGGACAGTTTCAAGGGCAGCCCCACGTAGAGCGAATTACAGTAGTCAAGCCTGGAGGTGACTGAAATGCATTTTCCCACCCCAGTCTGGCCACTAGATGGCGATGGTGAGCCTTATGGAAAATTCAATGTATTTGTTCAATCGCTTTTTTTAAAAGCAGTTTTTCATGTGTCTAGATCCCACCTAAGCCTTGTATTGTCTCCATCTTCCTTTTCCCTGCTGAGTTCTCTCAGGGGAACACTGTGACTCAGGCGCACAGGAGCCAACTTCTATGGGCCATGGGGGCTTCGGCCCCCACAGTGAAATATTTGAGGGGGCCGGTCTCCCACAAAGTTGATGGATGCTCACATTCAAATGGCGCGTGTGCACTTCATCATGTGATTGGTTGTGCGGGGGGGGGCTTACCTGGGCCCCCACAACATTTTATTCAAGTTGGCACCCCTGCTCAGGAGGAGGAAGAGGAAGATGCCAGCCCAGGCAGGTAGGTAGGCAGGTAGATGCAAGTTGGCTAAGAACTGACTGAGGCTGGTGAAGCAATGCTCCATTCACCCTAATGCACTGGATATAAATGGGCACAATATGCAAATCTTTATCCTTTCCTAAGTGGCCACCCACCAAATTCCCATTTCCCGCGGCAATCAGGAGAAGGGCCTTCATCAGTGTCATATTAAGCAGACTTCACACACCTAATGAGTCCGAGCGTTTTGTGACTGCGCTTGTGTATTCATGCACATTATGTTAATCTTTACAATATTGCTATTTTTTAAATGCAATCAATTACATTATGGCGGAGAAAGATTCATCGACTGGATGATTGATTACTTGGAACATGAGCTCTGCAAGGTTGCCAGAGGGGGTGGGGAACCGGGTTACTGGTGGCAATAAACAGGACTTTTGCTTATTATCAACATTCCTCGGAACTGTCATATTTCGGGACAGTTGTGCCAATTTGCATAGAGACACCCCCATAAGGCTGGGGATGATGTCCTTTCGTCACATGGTCCTACCAATCCCAAAGGATTAGTCTGTAATCCTGAGCAGAGAGCAATGGAGGCTGGTCTCTTAGGATAAATGGGGCAATGACCCACCAATCTCAGTCTGCTGTCAGCTAACCCCCAGCTGCTCGCCTTCTTGTTGTTTAGTCATTTAGTCGTGTCTGACTCTTCGTGACCCCCTGGACCAGAGCACGCTAGGCACTCCTGTCTTCCACTGCCTCCCGCAGTTTGGTCAGACTCATGTTTGTAGCTTCGAGAACACTGTCCAACCATCTCGTCCTCTGTCGTCCCCTCCTCCTTGTGCCCTCCATCTTTCCCAACATCAGGGTCTTTTCCAGGGAGTCTTCTCGTCTCATGAGGTGACCAAAGGATTGGAGCCTCAGCTTCAGGATCTGTCCTTCCAGTGAGCACTCAGGGCTGATTTCCTTCAGAATGGAGAGGTTTGATCTTCTTGCAGTCCATGGGACTCCCCTTCATGGATCACTGTCTTGCCGTGGAGAAGGGGCTTGAATAACTCAGAGAAGCTATGAACTATGCCGTGCAGGGCACCCAAGATAGACAGGTCATAGTGGAGAGTTTTGACCAAACGTGATCCACCTGGAGGAGGAACCGGCAAGTCACTCCAGTATCCCTGCCAAGAAAACTCCATGGACAAAGACAACAGGCTTGCCTTCTTATTTACATGCAATCCCGGCGGTGGCACTGGATGTCAGTTTCCTCCTTAGTCTCATCATTGCCTTTGGAGAACTCAGCAGGGAAGAAGAAGAAGAAGAAGAAGAAGAAGAAGAAGAAGAAGAAGAAGAAAATAATAATAATAATAATAATAATAATAATAATAATAATAATAATTTGTATTTATACCCTGCCCTTCCCAGCCAAGGCCGGGCTCAGGGCGGCTAACAAGCAATAATAAAAACAAGTTGAATGAATACAACTTGAAAACAACATTAAAATACAGCATTAAAATATTGAAACATTAAAATATTAAAATGCAGCCTCATCACAGGAGGAGAAAGGAAAAAGAAAGAGGGGGAGGGAATCAAATTGGATCCAAGCCAAAGGCCAGGCGGAACAACTCTGTCTTACAGGCCCTGCAGAAAGAAACCAGATCCTGCAGGGCCCTGGTCTCATGAGACAGAGCGTTCCACCAGGCTGGAGCCAGTGTTGAAAAGGCCCTGGCTCTGGTTGAGGCTAATCTAATTCCCTTAGGGCCCGGGACCACTAGGGTGTTGCTATTTATGGACCTTAAGGTCCTCCATGGGGCAAGATGTGGACAAAACGAGGCTTAGGCTGGATTGACACTGACCTTTTAAACATTATTAGAATGATATTACACCACATATTACACCAATTCTGGTCCGATTGCACTGGCTACCAATTCGTTTCCGGCCCCAGTTCAAAGTGCTGGTTTTGACCTATAAAGCCTTAAACGGCTCAGGACCCTTCTTCATGTGCCTCCTCCTCGAGAGGTCCGGAGGATGGCAACACAAGAACAGGGCCTTCTCCGCAGTGGCTCCCCATCTGTGGAATGCTGTCCCCAGAGACGTTTGCCTGGCACCTTCATTATACACCTTCAGGCGCCAGGCAAAAACGTTCCTTTTTAACCAGGCCATTGGTTGATCTGATGGACATCCTATGCCCTTTTAAAATGTGGCTTTTTGTGGGGGCTGTTATTGGGTTGTTGCTTTTATTTTAATTATATATATTGTGGTTCTATATGCTGATCTTGTTCTGTGAACCACCCTGAGACCTCTGGGTATAGGGCAGTATATAAATGAAATGAATTATTTTAAATTAAATTAAATTAAATTAAATTAAATTAAATTAAATTAAATTAAATTAAATTAAATTAAATTAAATTAAATTAAATTAAATTAAATTAAATTAAATTATTAAATTAAATTAAATTAAATTAAATTAAATTAAATTAAATTAAATAATATTGTCCTAAAATGTCACAGGGCATACTGGTAAATTAAAAACATTCCTTACCTTTGACAACACAGTTTCCATATTGCTGGTGGCTGGTTGCTCTGCAGCGCCCTCTGTTGTCACATATTAATAACACATTATTAATAGCACATTATTCAAAATACATTACATTGTGAAATTCATTCCTTAACCCTTCCTTAATATTATAAACCACAAGTGTAGATCTACCCTTAGTCGGCTCCTCCTTCCATTGGCTCTGCCTCCACCTACTTTTGGTCTCCCTGTTTCCACCTTGCCAATGGGCACCAACCAGAACTGGCAGTCATAATAAATAACAAGATGAAAGATGAAAATTCATATTTCATTTTGTTATTTATTATGACTATGATAGATCAACCCGGCTATCCACCTGAACCAGAACTGGTAGAATGTATAAAAACTTTGGAGACACAGCCATTTGGCGGCAAAGACCACCAATATAATGGCAATTATATTCCAGCAGAACATGTCCTGATGTGTTGTGTGATAAAGAGCTTTTGAATAGATGAAATTAAACCATTTTTGAAAATTAGTACATTTGCCACAACCTCCCAGGTTCCTTTTATTCCATGGGCATCCACATTCTAAGAGACTTTCCTGAAAACACCCTAAGGAACTGTAATGGGTTTAGGGGTTGCTCGTGCGTAAGTTGCCGCCACTCCTGGCTAAGTTACCTGGTTAACCCTTTCTGACTGAACAGCCTCCAGCATCGTGACTGTCTCAGTCGCTGGCAGAATCCGTCAGTGGGCGTTTCTTAAACCTTTTCCAGCATAAAAGTTGTTTGACGCCAAGTCTCCTCCTACTCTCCCTGCACGGAAGTCTTCTGCGCAGGGAGGGTGTGGGCAGCGGAGTACCCGTACTCTCTCCGCTGGTCTCCGGCGAAGAGTCTTGGAGCCTCCTCTCCGATTCCCCCATCTGCCCCCCTTCTCCACTGGTGTTACGCTGATTTCCTTCCCCAGCAGATGGGCTGTCTCTCTCCCTACTGGGACCCTCTCCTGCATCCCTTTGGAGCCTTCCCTCCGCCTCTAGCTCCGATGGCAGTTCCCTGACATCCACCTCCCCCCCAGGACCCCCTCCGCCCCCAGCCCAACCTTCAGATCCAACCTCGTCCCTTTCCTCGGCCGACGATGCAGGGAAGCCCCTGAAGGAGCTGTCGCTCTCCTCTGAGGATTCAAAACCTGCTTCCCACCCGCTCCGATATCTTGCCGCGGGGTGGGCCTCCCAGTCTGATTCTTCTCCCTCTGACATTTCCCCTCCTTCCTCTTCGGAGGCAGGAAAACCCACAAATTCCTCCTCGTCGTCTGTGGTTCCAAATTCTTCCTCCCAGAATCTCGCTAGTGGTTTTGGTTTGTCTGGGAACAGGCTGTGGAATTCTTCCACTAGATACCCATCCTTGACCGCCTCAGCGGGGACCCAAGTGTTTTCTGACTCGGGTTCTCCTTCCCAAGCCACTAAGTACTCCACCTGGCGCCCTCGCCACCTTGAATTGAGTATTTCCGTGGCTTGGTGGTGGAGTTCCCTCTCCTCTACCCACGGGTGGGTGGTGACTCCTCCCTCCCGCCCTGGGAATTCCCGCCCCTCCCTGTACGGTGAGAGTAGGGACCTATGGAACACCGGATGTATCTTCATGCTGTCAGGCAACTTGAGCTTGAATGCCACAGGGTTCACCTGCTGTGTTACCTCAAAGGGTCCCAGCCGCCTTGGCTGCAACTTCTTGCACCCTCCCTTTAGGGGCAACCCTTGGGTTGACAACCACACTCGGTCTCCCACCCGTATGGCATCCCCCTCCCGACGGTGCTTGTCTGCCTGCCTCCTATAAATGTCCTTGGCCCGCTCCAAGTTCATCTTGAGTTGCTGGTGCAATGCCTCCATTTCTTCCACAAACTGCTCGGCCGCAGGTACACTCCACCCTTCCTCCCCCCCTCCCCGGGAAGGCCCTGGGGTGACACCCATAATTGGCCATGAACGGGCTCATTCCCGTGGACACATGTTCAGCGTTATTGTACGCAAATTCAGCCAGCGCTAGTTTCTCTACCCAATCGTTCTGTCTCTCGCTGACGTAGCAGCGTAGGTATTGCTGGAGTATACTGTTCGCTCTTTCTGCTTGCCCATTGGTTTCCGGGTGTCACGCCGTCGAGAAGCCCACCTCTACCTGCAGCAAGCTCATGAGCTTCCTCCAGAATCGTGAAGTAAATTGTTTTCCGCGATCTGAGACGACCCTCGAGGGAGCTCCATGCAACCTGAAGTTGTGATCCACAAACAACTTGGCTGTCTCCTCTGCCGTCATGGCATGTGAGCAAGCTATGAAATGGCACATTTTCGTCAGTAGATCGACTACTACCATGACTGCTGTCGTTCCCCTGGACTTGGGCAAATCTGTCATAAAATCAATGGACACCACCTCCCAGGGTCTTCCCGGCGTGGGTAAGGGTTCCAGTAGCCCTGCGGGGGCAGCCCTCTCCCCCTTTGCCCTTTGGCAGCGGTCGCACCCCTGTACATATTCCCGTACATCCTCCCTCACCCTTGGCCACCAGAACTGCCTGGTGACGAGCAGCATGGTTTTGTGCTGTCCAAAGTGCCCAGCTGTAGGGTTGTCGTGGAGTTGTTTGAGTACCTTCCCCCTCAGGGTCTCCCCCGGTACATACAGTGCCCCCTTATAGTACAGCACCCCTTCCTTTTCCTCAAAACCCCCATGGTTTTCTCTTCCGTCTCGGAGTTCCCTGATTTTACTTTGGGCGAACATGTCATTTCTAGTAAGCCCGGCCAGTTCTCGTTTCCCAACCAAGGCTCCCACACACACCCATCGGTCCTCGGGGATCACGTGTCGTATCTCCGGCGGTCTCTCCCCTTCCATGTACTCTGGCTTCCGGGAGAGAGCATCTGCTCTTACGTTTTCCTCTCCCGGCACATATCGGATCTTGAAGGAAAACTTGGAGAACTCCTGTGCCCCTCGAATCTGTCTCTGGTTGAGTACTCGCGCGGTCCTCCAGTATTCCAAGTTCTTGTGATCAGTACAAACCTGGATCTTGTGCTGCGCCCCTATTAGAAGATGGCGCCATCGACGAAATGCCGCATAGATCGCAAGCAGTTCACGGTCATACACCGTATAGTTTTGCTCCGACTTGCTCAGCTTCCTCGAGAAAAAGGCACACGGCTTCCATTCCTGCTTGCTCCTCCCTGGCTGCAAAAGTACCGCCCCAATGGCTCTGTCGGACGCGTCGGTCTCTAGCCTCATGGGTTTCTCCAGATCAACGTGTAGGAGCTGCTCTTCCGAAGCGAACGCCTTCTTCAGTCTTTCAAAGGATTGCTGGGCACTTTCTGTCCAGGCGAACTTCCTTTTGCTACTGAGACAATCTGTGAAGGGCGCCTTTAGGTGGGCGAAGTTCTTGATGAACTTCCTGTAGAAGTTGCTGAACCCTAGGAACCTCTGCACATCCTTCCGGGTTTTTGGGGCTTTCCATTCCAGCACTGCCTGCACCTTGCTTGGGTCCATAGCCAGTCCCTTGTCTGACAACTTGTACCCCAGAAACTCGACCTCTCTGGTGTGAAATTGGCATTTTTCCAGCTTGACCCACAACTGGTGCTTCTGCAGCCTCTCTAGCACTTCCCTGACGTCTCTGACATGTTGCTTCTCATTGTCTGAATAGATTAAGACGTCGTCCAAGAAGGCTACGCAGTTCTTGTACAGCAGGGGACCCAACACGTGGTGCATGAATGCTTGAAAGCAGGCGGAGCCCGATTGTAATCCAAATGGCATGACCAAGTACTCAAAAGCCCCCAGGGGGGTGAACATGGTGGTCTTCCATTCGTCCCCTTACCCTGATCAAATTGTACGCTCCCCTGAGGTCCAGCTTGGTGAAAATTTTCCCCTGCCTCACCCGTGTTAAAATGTCGTCAATCCTGGGCATTGGGAAGGTCACGGGTTCAGATACCAAGTTTAGGGCCCGGTAGTCCACGACCAGCCTGGGCTGGTTAGTCCCTCTTTGTCCACAAAGAACACCAGACTGCCCCCCACCGCCTTTGATTCTCTTATGAACCCCCCTCTTCAGGTTCTTGTCAATAAACTGCCGTAACTCCTGCATCTCCCTGTCCGACATGGCATACAGCTTACCCACCGGCAGCTGAGCCCCTGGGATTAAGTTGATTTGGCAGTCAAAGGGCCTATGGGGGGGGTAGTCTGTCCGCTTCCTTCTCGCTGAAGACTTCCTTTAGGTCAGCGTATGGTGGTGGCACCTCTCCCTTTGTTTCCACCTCCAGCCCAGCCACCCTAGCCACTGTCATTCTTGGGGTTTCCTCCCCCAGACAGTGTTCCAAACAGTAAGCTGACCCAAAGGTGACTGACCGCTGATGCCATGACACTACTGGATCATGCAGTGCCAGCCAGCTCATTCCCAGTATTATTGGGGGTCCTGCCAGTTTGACCACGTGAAAGCCAATGGTCTCCGTGTGCCTGGAAACCCTCATTTGCATTGGCGGGGTCTGGTGTGTCACTTCCCCTCCCAGAAGTTCCCTGCCATCGATGGTGGTCACTTGCAAGGGAAAATCCAGGGGTAGCAAGTGTATTTGGTGCTCCAAAGCGAAGTCCCTGCTAAAGAAATTGCAGGAGCTGCCCGAATCCAGCAGCCCCTCAACCTTGACTGGGTGCCCATTCGGGAGTTCTAGCACCACTGCTATGGCTATCGCTGCCCTGGGGGGGTCAGGCTGGGGCACTTCTATTGGTTGCTGGCCTGGCTGCTGGCCCCTTTGGTTGGCAGCCAGGCACTGTCGTTTCCCTGCGCCTGCCCTTCGTCCCCCTTCTCCTCACAGTCAGCAGCTCCCACCATCCCTTGCCAGGCCTTTCTTTGAGGGCAGACCCTTGCAAAATGTCCCAGCCGTTGGCAGAGGAAGCACTTCTTGGTGGTTTTCCACTCCTTCCCCTCCCTCTTGCGACCTTCACTGGAGTTTGAAACCTCGCGCGCGCGCCACCTATTTCCATTGGCTCAGCGTCCTGGGAAAGCTGTCTTGGTATTTCAGGAATGCGGTAGTCATGGCAACGTTCCCCTCTCGCTTCGCGTTTCTCCTGAGCCCGCGCTTCCTGCCTCACTCCAATCGCAAGCACAGCCTTGGTCAGCTGATCCATCGACTGCGGGCGGGGCGCGCGGAACAGCTCGTCCTTCACCGTTGGGGACAACCCCTCCTCAAACAACATTTGAATAGGTTCAGAGTCCAGATCCCACCCGAGACGGTGGACCAACATTGCAAAGCGCGACCAGTAGTCTCTAACTGACTGGCTCCCCTGCTTGCACCCCATCAGTTCTCGCCGAGTCACACTTTGCTGGACTTCACTGGAATACATCGCATCCATCGCCTGAAAGAATTTCTTAAGGTCCTTCAAGGCATGATTTTGCGTCACCATAAGGGGCCTAATCCATTCCCTTGCCCCATCCTCCAGATGCCCCACAACGTAGGCCACCCGTTGCTCCTCATTAGCAAAGTCATCATGCTGCAGTTTCAAAGCGTACTCTATTTCCGTTCGGAACGCATTGTAGTCCTGGGGTTTCCCCCCAAACTTGTGTACCAGCCCCGGTACCTTCCTTGCGATGGGGGTGGGTCTGACCTGAGCATCCTGAGCTCGTCTTTCGTCCAGCCGCGCCGTCAGGAGAGCTACATGCTGTTCCAAATCTCGGTTTCTCTCCACCAGACCTTGCACTGCAGCTGCTTGCTCCGTCTCTCCGGCTCCTCCAGTCTGGCTCATGGTGCTGCCTCTCTGGAGCTACGCACAAGCAACGTCAAGGACTGACGGATTGCTGTAATGGGTTTAGGGGTTGCTCGTGCATAAGTTGCCGCCACTCCTGGCTAGGTTACCTGGTTAACCCTTTCTGACTGAACAGCCTCCAGCATCGTGACTGTCTCAGTCGCTGGCAGAATCCGTCAGTGGGCATTTCTTAAACCTTTTCCAGCATAAAAGTTGTTTGACGCCAAGTCTCCTCCTACTCTCCCTGCACGGAAGTCTTCTGCGCAGGGAGGGTGTGGGCAGCGGAGTACCCGTACTCTCTCCGCTGGTCTCCGGCGAAGAGTCTTGGAGCCTCCTCTCCGATTCCCCCATCTGCCCCCCTTCTCCACTGGTGTTACGCTGATTTCCTTCCCCAGCAGATGGGCTGCCTCTCTCCCTACTGGGACCCTCTCCTGCATCCCTTTGGAGCCTTCCCTCCGCCTCTAGCTCCGATGGCAGTTCCCTGACAGGAACCCATATCCCAGAAAGCTCCAACCATGGAGCCACATTTCTTTAAAAAAAAAAAAATAGATGCAGAGTTTGACGTCCCTCAGTGTGCTTCTCATGTCACGGCACTTTCTCTTCAAATGTTCCCCACTCTTTGAAGTTGCTGGCAAAAACGCTCATTGATCTGAATGCAGCAGGACTGAACCCAAAGTCTGGTTCACTCGATCCAGAATAACCAAAAGCTTGCAAAGGCCAACTTCAGATTTTCTCTGATCATACGATTCTGAAAATAACATAGAGGCAAAATTTGCTGTTCCACTCTTGATCCCTTCTTGAGGTGATATTCTTTCAGGTGCAATGTTTTGCAGTCGTGTCAGAAAGAAAAAGAAGGCATTTCTCCCAGAGAGAGAGAGAGAGAGAGAGAGAGAGAGAGCGCCTCACTAGCGTTGCTTTTAAGTATAGCTGTAGTATAGGTGATAGCAGCCACAGTTTTAAAAAATCTGGCAGGATTTAGACAGCGAGCTCTTCCTCTGCTCAGCCTGAAGGACTTTTTCTATGAATTTTGTCTACCCTTATCCTACCAAGGGACGCGGGTGGCTCTGTGAGTTAAACCACAGAGCCTAGGGCTTGCCAATCAGAAGGTCGGTGGTTCGAATCCCCGTGACGGGGTGAGCTCCTATTGCTCGGTCCCTGCTCCTGCCAACCTAGCAGTTCAAAAACACATCAAAGTGCAAGTAGATAATAGGTACCACTCTGGTGGGAAGGTAAACAGCGTTTCCATGCACTGCTCTTGTTCGCCAGAAGCGGCTTAGTCATGCTGGCCACATGACCCAGAAGCTGTACGCCGGCTCCCTTGGCCAGTAAAGCGAGATGAGCACTGCAACCTCAGAGTCAGCCACGACTGGACCTAATGGTCAGGGGTCCCTATACCTTTTACCTTAGCTGAGTCCTCAGTTGGCCCTGCCTTTTCCTTGACTCTGTCTCCACCTTGTGTTTGGGCCTCCCTGCCTTCTGCTCTGCCAGTTCCAATGCGTACCAGCTGCCACTGATATAGACTCAAATTTAGAAGCAGAATTGCAATGCATTTCCATTTAAACAGAAATGCAATGCAACTCGTCACAGTGGAGAAGATCATGGACAATGGAGGTGAGAGTCTGCTCAAACTCATGTCCAGGTGGTCCAAGCACCACTTCCTCTTTCTTTGAACCATTCTGGCAAAAAGGTGTACTTAAGGCAAAACTGCAAGCAACAGTTTGTCTATCAGGAGAACGTTGCACTAAAATGCTGACTAATTTTAAGGAAATAAAAAAATTCCTTCCAGTAGCACCTAAGAGACCAACTAAGTTTGTTATTGGTATGAGCTTTCGTGTGCATGCACACTTCTTCTGTTCATGCACATGAAAGCTCATACCAATAACAAACTTAGCTGGTCTCTAAGGTGCTACTGGAAGGATTTTTTTTCTTTTGTTTCGACTATGGCAGACCAACACAGCTACCTACCTGTAATTTTAAGGAGTATTTTTAATAACAATAACAACATCAATAACAACAACAACGAATTTGCCAACCTGATGTTGAAACGCAGAGAACTGAACTTAAGACTGGGATGGGGTGGGATGAGAAACTGAAATTGACATATTTGACCGTCCCTGGGAGAGGGTCAACGGAGGGTCCTTTGCTGAGGGCCCTCTCACATCTTGAACCAGACAGGAAGGAGATATGCCTTTTTCAGGCCCAAATGCTTTGCTTCAGCCTGAAACCTAGCTTGCTTCCCAAATCCACCTTGAAAATCGGAAACCCAGCAGAAGGAGAAGCCCCCCGGAAAGTTTCCAGAAGATTACAAAGGAGCAAAAGAAGTGCTAGGAAGAGAAGCTTTGCCTTCCCTTGCGAAATAACAGTTTGATATTAAAATATTCATTGGATTTAAATCAGAATTAGAAATGAGGGCAGTGGATTTTCTGAACAAGGGAACAGCTGGAAGAAGGAGCGGAAAGTGCAAGGGGGGAGACGACGGAAGACTGGCCTGCTCTTGCAAGTTTCATCTGGACGCAGGACAGATCATTCTGGTGTTTCTGTTTCTCTCTTTCTTTCTTCCCTGGTAGAAGGCTACCGACCATCCAAACTTCCTCTATGCCAGTCACACACATAGACCAGATAAGAAAAGGGATGTGCCATAGCTAAAAGGAAGCCACTACACAACCTGTGAAGCGGACAAAAATCCTTGGCCCCATCTGCACTATGCATTTAAAGCAGGATACGATACGATCTTTATTGTCATTGTCCCATACAGAACAATGAAACTGAAAATCTACATAAAACATTCAAAAACCCCTAAAAACTCTGAAACCCCATTTTAAAATACAATATACTATAGAGACTCCTTAAGCTGTGTTTAGAACCAGAATTGCATTTGCGTAGAAACTGTTTCACACACGGCTAGTCCTGGTCTTTATAACCCTATATCTTCTTCCAGAAGGCAGAAGCTGAAAGAGATTGTTTCCCGGGTGCATACTATCCTGCACTATCTCTGCAGCTTTCTTATGGCACCTGACAGCATAGACTTGATCTAAGGTGGGATTGTACTACTTTAAACAGTCATGGCTTCCCCAAAAGAATCCTGAGAGCTTTAGTTTGCTCAGGAGGCTGAGAGGTGTTAGGAGACCCCCAGAGTCCCTTACACAGAGGTGCCATTCCCAGAGTTCCTTGGGAAGAGGGATTGCTTCTTAAACCACTCTGGGAGAGGAACAGAGGTCTCCTAACAACTCTCAGCCCAAAAGGTCACTAAACAAGGCAGAACAAAATCGGTGTCCTCCGTTTCTTAACTGCTAAAATGGAAAGTTGTCCAGATTGGAAAATGTGGGTCAATTTTCCAAATGTGGATTTCGAGCTAATGGATTCTGTGCATACCTGGAGGAAAGCATTGTCTCAGCAAAACAGGGAAGGGGGGTCCAGTTTATTAGTAATAGCAGTGATGATTTCATCTCTTTTCTAATTAGAAAACAGCAGATCTCCGACGTGAGAAAGAGGAAGCACAAGTCTTCCATTAATCTTGCAAATGCGGGTGGTGAGTCAGACGACGCTGTTTCTTTAATGAAAGGTCATTGTGTTACCATTGAAGCTGATTTTAATGACTTGGCCTTGGGGTGGCTGTACAGTAGGCAAAGCTGAAGCAGTTTATTTTTTAAAAAAAATCTTTCATTTATAAAACGTCCAGGCCAGAACAATTGACATGGTGACTTGGGTATCATTAGAGTGAGCTGTTGGAGACACTGGCAATTAAAAGCTGGGTATTAGACTAACACCATTCCTGTGCTCATGTTCTCTGCTTGCGCAGACATGTGCCTGAGTGCTTTGCTCGATTCACAGGGTCTTTGTGCAACTTCATGGTGAATGTGCATGATGTGCTCCCACAATTACTCTCTCATCTCAGATTTACTTGAGGAGAGACCATCATGGCTCAGATTTAGAACATGCAAAAGACCCACGGTTCATTGCTCCAGACTGATCTCCCATCAAAGAAAATCAAGGGTTGGAGACTTGTGTCCCTCCAGACACTGTTGACTCCAACTCCCATCAGCCCCAGTCACCAAGGCCAATGACCAAGGATGATGGAAGTTGTGGTCCAACAACATTTGGAGGACCTTAGGTTCTCCATCGCTAGAGCCAGTGGTGGTTGGTGCCTCTTGAGACACCTTAGACAGAAGACAGGGAGGCCCAATAATAGGTGGAGCCAGAGCCAATGATAGGGAGATGGAGGATGTCATCCTCTGGACTCATTGTGATTAAGAAGGTGGGTGGGTGGGTTGGCTGAGGTTGGTGGGGCAGAGCTCATTTGTCTTTCTTGATCAGCCTCCACCACCTGGAGTAGATAGCAAGATGGAAAAGTAGCCTGACTTAGGATGGCCATGTGTCTTACTCTACAAAGGATAGTCATCTCTTTGCAGTAGTCCTCCATTTGAAAGGCTGCCCATTCCAAGTGTGGTTTAAATATAAAGAAAAATAAGATGAGAGATCTTTGGTGACCTTGAAGTTGCCCACTGACAGAACCTCAAGAATAGACCAAGCTCACAGGTTGACTAGTCACCGTTTTATTCCTCATTACTGAGAGGTGCATGGCTTTTAAATGATAGTGTTTATTTGTGTAGATACCTATCTGGAAATTTGGATGGCTTATATTCATCAGTATGTTTCAGTTAAGATGGGTGTACCGATGGTTATTGTATCTTAATGTGAGCTGGTGTATATCTTTCTTTTTCTTCACCATGTTTTTTCAGTTTTTCTTTGCTAAATTGTCATTTTGAAAAACATTTTTTTATTATTCAGAAAGTCTTACAAAATACCAGAAAAGAGGATGTGTAAAATTTGCACCTGCTGCTTTGTACATATATATGGCAATTTAGAAATATTGGGTTGTATCCAGTATTCGTCCCAGTTCAAGGGGCAATGTTATTCCTTATACTGCTGATTTCCAGTTGTCCTGTGCTCATGCAAATATAGCCAGAACTGTACCACCCATGCACAAGAGGGAGGTGTCAGAAGACTCTGGGTGACCCTGAGATTTGCAGGGATGTGAAAAAGCTTAAGAAAAAGCTTCCAGGGGGGTGTTATGTACTGAAGTTCTCACCCTGGGCCAGCAGGGGGATACTGTATATGTTCACCCACAACTTAACAGGGGGGAATACCCCCCCCCAAAAAAAAATCCCTATAATAACTCAATGGCATTGAATGTTCGTAGACTGAGAACAAAATATTGACAAAGGGGTGGGGGGAGGAACAGAAAGAAATAACTGGTCAAGGAATGATGAAGAGTAGACAGAACCCTCCCATTGTCTGGAGGTTTTAAAAATGCCCTATGCTCCCAGGATGGAAGCCCACAGGCCTCAATGGAGAAATTTTAAAAGGTAACATAACTTCGCTGGAGCACAGGTGAGTCCATCGCTATGCTTCAATGGGGAAATGGAGATGGGGGGCTGGGAGGGGCTGGAGTCTTCAACTGGTGTGCCATTGAATCCTAGTTGCTGGAATGTAACTGTGGGAGTCACTGCCGTCAAGTAGGGATGGGTGATTATCCATTTTGGCTTCTCTCCATTTCTCAACTTTCCAATCTTGAGCTCAGTTCTCCACATTAGTTTGCGATTTTCTTCTCAAGTCCTTGTGAAAATTTGTCAGCATTGAAAGGGCATTTTTGTCGGTCCCTTTCACTAGGTGCACACTTCTCCCTGGCATATGCATTCTTGTGCACGCTACTTGACTAGACAACTGTATTCCATCATTTAGAGAAGGGCAAATTGCAGAGGGTGGCTGTGTTTCAGTTCCCAGGTTGTTTCCGAAAACGTGAATTCCGCAAGCTCACAAAACATTTTATTAAATTTTCCAAATTTATAACAAACATAAACAAAAAACATCAAAAAACAAGCAAACAAACAAACATATATCCTAACTGTAAAAATTCCACTTTTTTTATCATTGTTGGGTGACTTCCTCGAATCCCCCTGGCTGAGTTTCCATATAAATCATTGTAGCAGTTTTCCAAAACTAGTTTCACATAAAATTTACTTGATCCACTAACCTCTTTATTTCTTATCATTTTAACTTTTATCCATAGTACAGTGGTACCTCGGGTTACATACGCTTCAGGTTACAGACTCCGCTAACCCAGAAATATTACCTCGGGTTAAGAACTTTGCTTCAGGATGAGAACAGAAATCGTGCTCCAGTGGCGCAGCGGCAGCAGGAGGCCCCATTAGCTAGAGTGGTGCTTCAGGTTAAGAACAGTTTCAGGTCAAGAACAGACCTCCAGAACGAATTAAGTGCTTAACCCGAGGTACCACTGTATTCTACAACATCACATATTTAAATCCTAGGCCAATCTGATACTCGCAAGTAATTCTATTTAATTTATCTTAACATAGTTAACTAAACAATCTTTGAATTTCTTCCATTCCTCTTGATACTCCTCCTCCTTCTGGTCGCAGACTCTTCCAGTCAGGTTGGCTAGGTCCGAAAAATCCATCATCTTCATCTGCCATTCCTCCACTGTTGGTACTTCTTGTGATTTCCAATTCTTGGCCAGCAAAATTCTAGCTGCGCCTTTAAATGCAAACAAGATCAAATTCATCCCTCCTCCCTACCTTCAAGCCCTTTTAGCCAGGTTCCCCAGAAGACTCTGCTAGGAAGTTAGACTCACAGGAAGTTAGACTTGATGGACTTTGGGTCTGATCCAGCAGGCCTCATCTTCTAGTCTCACAGCCCCGAGCGAGATGGCAGCATCTTGTTGAGTTGGCCTGCTCTCTCCCATCTCCCTGTTGATGATGTGAGGCGAGGGATTGCAAGATCACAGGAAGAACATGTGTTATACATGATACGAGATTTAGCACTCAGCATCTGTAGTTAAAAGGATCTGAGGTAGTCCAAGACCATTTAGAGCGCTCTCTTTAATTTTCCACTGTCAGATCTTGGAGCCTGTGAATAAGTGGTGCTAATATAGATTACTCTGCAACAGCATAATTCCTTTTGATCAGCCGCTTACTCAGAATGCCCTTTTCCTGCTGCGTGACAGGGACAGGGCGAAGAGTTTATTCCAAAATCCATCAACACTTCTTCTGTTTTCTTCACGCTAGGGTTAACTCTTAACCTGCTACCGGCAAATGGGCTTTTTGACAAAGTGTCGCTTATCACGGCAATGTCCCCTCCTCCTCAGTGGCCGCCATCAGCATCAAAGGCATATCACGGGGGAGAAACTGAATTCTCTTCCTCCCTGACCAAAAAAATGCCAGCTAAGGAGTCGATGCATCTTTAACCGATAGACAGATATTCAACTTTTATAACAGGTCATTTGTGTTTTTTGAGGGGGGGAAAACCATTGGGAACCAACTTCCTTCCGCAGGGCCTGTAAGACAGAGCTATTCTGCCGGGCTTTCAGTTTGAACTTAGTCTGATCTTTCATTCCCCTTCCCTCCCCCACCCCTTTTTATGAAGATTACCCGCTCTGGGACCCCACAGCTAATTCTCCCCTGGTCTCCTCGCTGGCTCAAATAGGACTAATTTAGCCAGCCAGCCCTGGTGATCATCTAATGTTTGTTGGTTGGATTTCCCCCCTAAATTGATTTTTGAATTTTAAATGTATTGTTATTCATGTTTTATACTGTATTTTATGCTGTTTTTTGTTGCATCAATTAAGTGTTTTCAATTTGTTGTTAGCCGACCTGAGCCCAGTTTTCTGAACCAGGAAGGGCGGGGTATAAATAAAAAAATATTATTATTTATTATTATTATTTCATGAAACCTTATGAACCTGATGTCAGCTAAGTGGCACCTCCTTCTCTCAGGCAGCTGTAACCGTGACCTTTCCTGCAGCTGCTAGACTTCAGGCAGGCAGGTTGCCCTGTGCCACAGCTATGAATCTAAGTGGGGCTGGCCCAAGACATTTTGCTGCCTGAAGCAATGGATGGGATGGTTGTTCTCCTCCACTCCACATGCAGAAGCCAATTCAGAGGCTGGTTCCCGCACATTGGGTGCCAAGCTGAAGGGGGCACCTCACTATGACATGGTGCGTGCGTGGAATGGAAGGCGAGAGGTGCCAGATTTTGTCCTCGCACAGGTTGCCACTGAAATTTGAAAGACTGAAGTCTGTCCCTGGCCAACTGGACTGCCATGTATGCCAATGAACTAGTATCTGAGGTCGGCAAGTTGGCTTAAGCTGAGCAGGCAACATAGGGCACACAGCTCGGCCCTGTTGTGCAGAAGGGTCAGTGTGGTGTAGTGGTTAAGAGCGATAGACTCATAACCTGGGGAACCGGGTTCGCGTCTCCGCTTCTCCACGTGCAGCTGCTGGGTGACCTTGGGCTAGTCACACTTCTCTGAAGTCTCTTAGCCTCACTCACCTCACAGAGTGTTTGTTGTGGGGGAGGAAGGGAAAGGAGAATGTTAGCCGCTTTGAGACTTCTTCGGGTAGTGATAAAGCGGGATATCAAATCCAAACTCTTCTTCTTCTTCATGGGTTCTCCAGGTAAGGCTTGGAGAGACCCCTGTCTGGTACCCTGGAGAGCCTCTGCCGGGGTAAACAATACAGAGGAGAACTACCTGGAAATGATTCACAGGTGGTATTTAACTCTGAGTAGGCTTGTTAGATGTATAAGTCTGAATCAGATAAGTGCTGGAGATACAAAGAGGTTCTTTCATATGTGGTAGACTTGTAAAAGGGTAAAAGAGTACTGGGAAATGATCCATAATGAATTGAAAAAAATGTTTAAAAGTACTTTCCCCCTCCCCTGCAAAAAAAAAAAAAAAATCAGACTGAATTTCCCAGGTGTCAAAAAAGCTTGTTTATGTATGCTACTATTGTGGCCCATGTTTCGTTAGCCCCAAAATGGAAAACGAGCGCAGTCCCAACTAAAGAATGGCAACTTAAGTAGACAGAATATGCACAACTCACAGACTTAACATATAGAATAAAAGAACAAGAAGAACATACATTTAAAGAAGATTGGAAAACGTTTATGGAATATATGGGAAATAATTGTGTACAGCTGAAAACGCCGGCAGCATTAAGATAAATTCAACAGTGTAAACAAGTTTCGATGGATGTAATAATGGAAAACCGATTGGTATAGTTTTTGTAAAATAAGCAGGGATATAAGATATTGTCAGAGCTGCTTCCAGATCCTAGCTCACAGAGGATCACGCTAGCCAGCGATCATTAAACAAAAGTCTTTATTGAGTTACAGTTTCCATTCTCAAACTGCTGCGTGCAACTCTACGTCTCATGGTTAGACCGGCGAAGCTCCGTCTGAGTCTCCGCCCCTTGTACACCAACTTAATATCCTAGCCCTGCTCCACCTTTTCCGCCTGACTGTTCTTCTCTGGGTCCCTCTGCCCCCTGGGGTCTCTTCTTTCCGGGATTCCTCTGACGCTGACGCTGACCCCCCTGACTCTTCTCCCTCCTTTCGGCGGGCTTTAGGACCTGGCTCCCTTTCCGGGCTGCCTACTGTGCCACCTTCCTGTGCATTTGAACTTGGCGCGCGCGCCCAACCTTCCACCTTCCGTCTGACCGTTTCTTCGCTCCCCGATGGAGGTGTGGCCACTCCTGACTCGTGCCCTCCCCCCTGTTGTGAGCTGCCAGCGCTTGATCCCTGGCTCCCTTCCTCTTCCCTGCTCTCTGGCGGTGACGCTGGTCCCGATTTCCAACTGCTCCCCTCTGAGTCCCCTCTGGCTCTATCTTCCTGGGGCGTCCCCTAGGCTCCCCCTTGCCCTGGCCACTGGTGCTCCTTTCTGTGAATCTTCTGATTCACTGGAAAGACTCGGAGATCTCGGGTCGTCGTCATCACTCATCTTTTCTTCTGCCTCCTCCCCCTCGCTCTCTGTTTCCTCCCTTGCCCTTGCCTCTGCTCCTGAACCCCTGACAGATATGTAAAATGAACCATGGAAAGAGAAGAAGGGAAGTCACTGACATCTTAAGGATGTGAAATGCATATTTTAAATTGTAAAACAGAAAATGTAATAAATATTATAAATATAGAAAAGGAGAATAAAAACAAAAACAATACAGAGCTGGATGAATAGTCTGATGGGATGTAAGGCAGCTTCCTATGTACTTCAGGAGAACTTAGAAGGTCTGGCTAGAAGGCTGCCTTGAGTGCCTTCCAGCGCCTGCTTCACACAAGTCAATGGTAAGAGATGGCCTGGGCTGCCATGTGGATCAGAGTTCCCTTGCCTTTGGTTTCTGCACTTCTCTAAATTCTGAGCGCTCAGCTCTACAGAATGTGTCAAAAATGCACATAAAACTGAATTAATTTAGGTTAAAATGCCCTGGCTCTTAGGTTTCATAGATCTATGGGCCATGGTTCTGCATTTCATTGCCCAATGTTTATACTGCAAGGATGGTGGTGCTGATGACAAGGACGGTTGTAAGGCAGCACAGCCATGATGGGCTGGTGAGAGCCTCACTTCTGAGCCATTGGGACCATCAGATAGTGCCCAGCCTGGCTGACCACTAGTGCCAGGCCTGCCTGGAAGGCTTGGTCAAGAGACACCAAGTCTATAACTGGAGGCGCTCTGTTTTGTGTGCATCTCCTCAGCGGCGGAGCTAGCCGCTCCGGCACCCAGAGGCGCCCAGGGGCGGGGCGATCCACCCAAGGGGGATTTTGTCACCCCCCAGATGACACCCGGGATGGACCGCCCCATCGCCTCCCCTTCTTACGCCCCTGCATCTCCTCTAGCTTATATGGCTTGAGAAGAGGATTAGTCAAATTCACAGAAGATAATTGCAGCCATGCCACTTAATCACAGTAGTGGAGTAGAACATCCATGTTCAAAGGCAGTTTCCTTCCGAATAGCAAGAACTGTCGGGTAGCAAGGGGAGGACAATTACCTATATGACTTGTGGCCTGCTGACAATTTCCATTATGACAGATCCCAGAGAGATCTATTTGACCACCATGGGATGTAGGATGCTGCACAAGTTGTTCTGTGGAGGGCTTGCTCTTTTCCTTAAGTTCTGGTCAACTTGGAAATTTGTGGCTTGTTTGCTTTTCATATTGGAACATAAAGATTTAGTTGTGGCTCCATCTGCTCCAAAATACCCTCTCCAACATTGACCAGATGCCTCTGTGGACCTTGATACGGCCTTCATTTGCTTTTGGAGAGGGAAGGGGATGCAAATGAAGGACCCCTTTGCCCAGGACCTTAACTCAGCCTATAACTCAGTGGTAGAGCATCTGCTTTGCATACAGAAGGTCTCAAGTTCAATCCCCAACATCTCCTGGTAAGCCTGGAAAAAGACACCCTGTCCAAAACCTTGGAGAAGAAGGAGAAGAAGAAGAGTTTGGATTTGATCTCCCTCTTTATCAATACCCGAAGGAGTCTCAAAGTGGCTAACATTCTCCTTTCCCTTCCTCCCCCACAACAAACACTCTGTGAGGTGAGTGGGGCTGAGAGACATCAGAGAAGTGTGACTAGCCCAAGGTCACCCAGCAGCTGCATGTGGAGGAGTGGAGATGCGAACCCGGTTCCCCAGATTACGAGTCCACCGCTCTTAACCACTACACCACACTGGCTCTGCTGCCCACCTGTGTGGGCAATAGTGCACTAGATGGCAGTTGTGAGCTTCTTCATATATGCCTCTGTCCTGCATGGAGAATGTCGCTGAGCCCCTGAAGCCCCTCTCCCAGCCCACTCAATGCTTTCAAGGGCCCTTGCTGGTGTTTTGCAGCATACATTCCCCATGAAATCGGGGAGGAGGTGAACGCGAAGGCGAAGCGGGCCCACTCTGAGCCGAGGTGCCATTATTCACCGAGGGCTCATGCATAATTCAGCAAGCTGGGATTTCTGATTTCACACCCACTGTGGAACTGGAGGGGGTGAAGTAAACAGTTCCACAGGTAAGGAGCCAGAGAGGAGATGTTAATCTGAGTGATTACCTTGGGCCTTTTCCCCGGAAAACTGCGAGGCATACATGACAGCACTGTGCAATTTCTCCCTCCCTCGGATATGCGTGCTCTTATACCTAATCATCCAGATTGCCATCGAGTGTAAATTTAAAAGGGACTCTTCCCATTTCGATATTGCAAAAGGCAAGCAGCAGAGCAGGCCTGGATTTGAGCGGATTTTTTTTCTTTCTTTTTTTATTTTCTGAGCACCCACCGCCATAGCAACAAGACTCCTCTATTCCAGAAAGGTAACACAAACAGAAAAGGAAGATGCAGTCTCCTGTTCAGGGAACTACCCTGCAACGGCTTCATGAATCCAGGCTGAGGGGAGGGGGAGGGGGAGGAGGTGACAATAATTTATTCTCACCTAACACAAGCTTCTTTGTTCATTGATGTAAAAGGTAAAAAGGTAAAGGACCCCTGGATGGTTCAGTCCAGTCAAAGGTGCCTATGGGGTTGCAGTGCTCATCTCGCTTTCAGGCCGAGGGAGCTGGCGCTTGTCCACAGACAGCTTTCCGGGTCATGTGGCCAGCAGGACTAAATGGCTTCTGGTGCAATGAAACACTGTGATGGAAACCAGAGTGCATGAAAATGCTGTTTACCTTCCCACCGCAGCGCTATCTATTTATCTACTTGCACTTTGACGTGCTTTCAAACTGCTAGGTTGGCAGGAGCTGGGACAGAGCAACAGGAGCTCACCCCTTCACAGGGATTCAAACCACTAACCTTCTGATTGGCAACCCCAAGAGGATCAGTGGTTTAGAGCTCAGCGCCACCAGCATGTATATCATGATCAAGGAAGCAGCCACTTTTCTGTCCTTCTGCAGCATTTTATACTCACAAGAACCTAGCAAGGAGGCTTAGACTGATAGGGAGAGACTCACCCAAGGTCGCCTGGTGAGCTTCTGGGACAAGGCAGATTTGAGCACACCTTGCTGGCATTCTAGAATCAGGGCAGGGCTGATTTGGGGAACAAATATTACAACTGGAGAGAGACCTGTTGGAATGTAATGTCAAAGTGCTGTCTAAAATGTATGTCATTGGAACGGGAGACAAAGGATGAGCAAGTAAAATCTTCAATGAGACAGTGGGCACTAGATATTGGTCATAATATAGACATGGAAGCCTGGGAACGATTGTGGAATATGGATATAAAATTTACAGCATGTTGTGGTCTAAGAGAAAATTATATGAAAATGATATATCGATGGTATCTAACACCAAGTAAATTGGCAAAAATGTATAAATCTAAATCAAATAATTGTTAGAAATATAAAGAGAAAGAAGGTTCTTTTTATCATAAGTGGTGGTCTTGTAGTAAGATTTAAAGCTTACTGGAAAATGATATATAATGAATTGAAAAGGATGTTTAAAATAATGTTTCTAAAAAAACCAGAACAGCGCCGCTGTATCTGTGGATGTCAGTCAGCTGCAGACACCAATCCTTATACAGGATGAGTCCTTTAAAAGAGGCCCCATGGATACTGAGTACACATGTTCTACAGGGCCTCTTTTAAAACACTCACCCTGTATGTTGTACTGTAAGCTATAAGAAATTCTGAGGGCTAAATACTTAAAGAAACCAATTGTTCTCTGGGGATATTTTTATATCGCCCTTCCAGGAAGTTGGTTTTCATTGTCTGCAACCTCAAGCCTGCAAACTCCGTGCAAAGGCAACCAGATATTTCTCTATTCCAAACTCAGTTTTTATGACAGGATAGGTGGTGGAGAATCTAGATACCTTTGCTGTTTTCCGTATCCCATTTGGCCAATAGATCCATCAAATGCCCTTTAATAAACCTTTGGCTAGACTGCACATTAGACGATAGGAGGGCTCAGTAAGTGAATCAGTGTTCAGAATTTTCGATCCGCATTGACATTTGATGGCTTGGAGTCTTTAGGTGAGGCAGGTGAGCTAGGAAAGTTAAATAAGGAATAATGAGGGTAAGCCCCTCCAGGTGTTATTGGACCACAACTTCCATCGACCTCAGCCAACATGGCCAGTGATCAGGGATGATGGAAGCCGGAGCTCAGCAATGTTGAGGGCACCAGTTTGGCTGTCTCCAAGTTAAATAATTTCAGAGTACTGCTCCACTAGCTGGGATCAAACACCAGCATCTGAATCTCTTTTGTTGCGTTGCCCCGTTATTTTTCCTCCAGTTTCCCATCCGACAAACAAACAGTAAATCAGACTTGTCTTTGACAGCCAGGTGTAGAGTTGACCAGCACTGCTATTTGATCAAGCCTTTTAATGAGCTTTTCTCAGTCAATCAGCCTCAGCAAAGCAAAACCAGCAGGTTTTTAAAGAGAATGTATGGAACAACCACGCCATAGGCTGTTGTCTGTCAAGGGAAGCATCAGTGAAACATGACACGATGCTTGGCTGGCGAAATGGTGCGTAAGAATGAAGCCCACCCCCAAGGAAGTCTGACTGTTCCCAAAGACAGTTCACATGGCAGATTTGATCTATACGTCACCAGAACAGCATGCCTGCCTTTTCTCCATGGCCAGATCTCATACCTGAAGGACAGAGACAGAGTGTGGGGTGAAGATGGTGCCAAGGGCCAGATAGAGAGGCATGGAGGCCATCTGGCCTGAGGTTCTTCACCCCTGCCCTAGACCAAGCCAAGGGACCTACTTTGCCAAATTCCTCAGAACATGCCCAGTGGGGTTGTTTCCTATATGGTTTGCTACCAGTGGTCCATGTTCACTCCTGATAGGTCCCTCCTGTCTAGCTATGATGCTCATGGCTGCTGAGAGTGGGTGGCTTATGAGTTCTTTGTAGTGCGAGTATGCATTGTTGTCTTGGAAAATATTCAATAGGGCCAGTTCTGAGGTGGCTTCTAATACCTGTCTAGTTATTTTGCATCTTTCTTGTAGGACTGATGTCCGAAAGGGTTGGGTTTGGGGGCACTCCCACCACATGTGGAGATTGGGGACTAGCATGGGGACAAGTAAAAGAAGACATCTTCACCCAGGATGGATCTACACACACAGGGAAAAAACCCACTATAAAAAAGCCAGAAATTAAATTGTTATAACAAAGGGGGGGGGAGGACTATGGAAAATCACTTGGATTATTATTTTTTGCTCTCCAGCACCATCTGGTGTTGTATGTTTATAATGCATTCAAAACACTGTTTTTTGACTAATTTAGCTGAGTGCCCAGTGTAGCTCCCCTTTATTAAACACACAGCCTAACAAGACCACAAAAGAACCCATCAACAGCATACAAATCAATATGACCAACTTGACCCAACAACCACCCCCCTCACACATGAAACAAAACTCACTGCAGACAACTGAGAGCAACCAACCAGGCCCTGAGCCCACCCCCCATAACCTCTCTTATTGCCAATGAAAACTAACAAATGAATAACACGTGGCACTGACACAAAAACCTTGCACATACACTATGTAAAAGAATGAAAGTTTACTGCCACAGCCTTGTGTTATCTACAACATTAATGTCTCACATCAAATATAACTGACCTGTAGAAAGGACTTTGTGATCTGAAAACAGAGACAATGGATGTACTTTTGTAAACCAAGATAATATTTAATAAAAGCATTTTTTAAAAAACATGCTCAGTGGGGCTGTAATCCACCTGGGTATGCCCTGTATACAGTGTTGAAATCTCATCTGAATCCCACTGTCATTTGGACTTGTGCAAGATATTGTCAGGGACTGGGCAGAGGAGGGTTGGTGGAGACCGCGTTCCCATCCTGACCATTCCAGGGAGGAGGAAGAGGAAGGTAGTACAGATTTACATCAGGGCTTTGAGGGAGGTAGCAGCTCAGAGGTGGAAAGTTGGGAAATCATGGGAGAGCCAGAACAACACCCGGCTGACACATTGTCATTAGAAAGCATTCCAGACCCTCCATCTCCCAGAACCCGGCGAGCCTTAAAAGTAGGAGAGCAAAGAGCTCAAAGACAGAGGGCACGTAGCAACACCCACAGAGGAGATGAATAAGGAAGTGGGAGAGACGGGGGGGTGGAAATTCACTTGGGACAATGCTATTAGCCAAGAGGCTGGGTTCTATAGCCTCTCTCTGTAAAGACTGAAATAAGAAAGGAAGGTAAGAAATTTTCCCTTGTCTTTATACTTTCCTGGGCAACCAGCCAGCAGCTGCTGACAGCATCCTGACGGGTATAAAATCAAAGGACAGGACTCCCAGGTGGCGATGCTGCACTCCTGCTTCTCCACACATGCCCCAACACACACACACTTCAAGGAGTGGACCTCTGCCTTCTGCAGTGGGGCAGCCATGGGTTTGAGGGGTCTCTTAGCCAGCTGCCCAACATGCCCACTCATGTCTCTGGTGCCCAGGTAGTGGCAGAAGCAGTAGCACTCTGATCAGCTAGGATCAGCCATTTTGCTTCTTCCACAACGCCCCCCAATGCCACAAGGGGCATTGTGGAAAATAAAAATGGCAGCTACCAGATCCTGCTGCCCAGTGCTGATCCGAGCAGCAGAAAGAAATCTTTCAAAGGGAGCCCCGGGCAGGCAGGTACTTTTCACGGGGGCCCTGACAGCTGCCCAGCGGAGCCATATGCTGGCACAGGGCGTAGTTTCATGCATCGCTGTAGTTTTCCATCTGCGAAAACAGCTCCACATAGAGCGCATTGCGGTAGGTAAGTAGCTAAAGTAGTTAAATGACCCACCGCTGGTGCATCCTCCATTTAGTAGGTTACTTGTGGTTTTATAAAAGCTCTCCCAGAAAGCAGTGTGAGAATTAACAAGGTTTTGCTCTTGGTTCGAAAGTTCAATGTGCATACCGTCCCCCTCTCCTGTGATATCCCAGAGGCAAAACAGACACCTCTCTCCCCCGACGCCTGTGTAATTGCTGGAGGCATGGAGGCGGAAGTCTCTATGAACTCTATTTCTGCACAAGATAACAACCGTGGATTTGCATTTCAGGACCATTTTGCTACACTTCCCAGGCCGCTGAGGTCAGCTCAGCCTCGAGCGGAATGTTTTATGCAATCCCTCCCAGATACGCCGCGTTTGCCCGCAGCCTACATCGCTGACCTGCCACCTCTCGCATCTCCGTGCGTCATCCGTGGCATTGGGATCCAACCCAAATCTGGAGTGCGCTGTTGGATATCGGCAAGAGCAAAGAGGGGACGCTATGAACGGCAGCCCTGCCAGATCAGACAAATCCTATCTAGCACCGCATCCCTGTTCTCACGGTGGCCAAGCAGATCCCTATGGGAAACTCACCAGGTGGACCGGAGCCCAACTCTCCCCACCCGTGATTCTCAGCAACTGCTATTTGAAATGGTGAGGATGGGTGTGGTTTGTGCCTGCACACATAGGTGTGTGTGTGTGTGTGTGTGTGTGTGAGAGAGAGAGAGAGAGAGAGAGAGAGAGAGAGAGAGAGAGAGAGAGAGTTGTGTTTGCTGGTGTTTCGGTCTGGTCTGCACCTGTGAGTTTGTGTGTGTTGAATGTATGGTGCATGAATATGGGAGCACATGGGAGAGAGGGTGTGGCCCACAGAGGGTTAGGCCATCTTTAAGGTGGTCCTTGTGCCATTCCTGCTCTAACCACTACACCACACAAGTGTCCCCCTCAGCACACCCAAAACTTGGTGCCCATTGCAACAGGACCGGTCACACTCCCCTAAATCTGCCTCTAGATCAGGAATGGGCAAAATTTAAGCTTGTAGGGTCTACGTTGTTGTTGCTTTTTTACTAGAACCCTAAGAACCACCAGCCAGTAAAGGTAAAGGTAAAGGGACCCCTGACCATTAGGTCCAGTCGTGGCTGACTCTGGGGTTGCGGCGCTCATCTTGCTTTATTGGCCGAGGGAGCCGGCGTACAGCTTCCGGGTCATGTGGCCAGCATGACTAAGCCGCTTCTGGTGAACCAGATCAGTGCACAAAAAGGCCGTTTACCTTCCTGCTGGAGCAGTACCTATTTATCTACTTGCACTTGACGTGCTTTCAAACTGCTAGGTTGGCAGGAGCTGGGACTGAGCAACGGGAGCTCACCCCGTCGCGGGGATTTGAACCACCGACCTGATCGGCAAGTTCTAGGCTCTGTGGTTTAACCCACAGCTCCACCCGCGTCCCTATTGCTGTTGCTTTTTTACTAGAATCCTAAGAGCTACCAGCCAGAGACAGGTGCAAAAGAGCTACAGCCAGGATGAAAGAATTCTGCTCCTAGGAATCTGTTTTGAGTACCAGAATGGAAAGGGGCTCATAGTCCTTCCTCACTCAAAAGCATTCCTAGTTTCCTTGTTCTGGCTTTCTTCCTTTCAGCAATATAATTTTGGGTGCTGGGGGAAGAAGCTGTTTTGCCCTTGCTCTCATCAAACAGTTGGCAGTTAGAAATCTTTGCTTTTCTACTTCAAGTCCCCCAGAGATCAGGCAGTAGATCATGGCCAGTCTACCCCCCAGCCTTGCACGAGATGACTGGCTCAAGCCACACACAAGCTACAAGAAAGGAGATTCTGACTAAACACCAGGAAGAACTTTCTGGCAGTAAGAGCTGTTCGACAGGGAAACGGGAGGTTGTGGACTCTCCTTCCTTGGAGGTTTTTAACCAGAGGTTGGATGGCCACCTGTCATGGATGTTTAGCTGATATTCCTGCATTGTAGGGGGTTGGACTAGATGACCCTGTGGACCCCAACTCTACAATTCTATGGTTCTAAGTGCAGCTTTGAACATTGGATTCAAGTGTGGTGTGGTGGTTAGAGTATCGGACTAGGACCTGGGAGGTAAAGGTAAAGGTAAAAGGGACCCCTAACCATTAGGTCCAGTCGTGGCCAACTCTAGGGTTGAGGCACTCATCTCGCTTTCAAGCTGCTAAGTACCTATTTATTTACTTGCACTTGACGTGCTTTCGAACTGCTAAGTTGGCAGGAGCAGGGACCGAGCAATGGGAGCTCACCCCGTCGCGGGGATTCGAACCGCTGACCATCTGATCAGCAAGTCCTAGGCTCTGTGGTTTAACCCACAGCGCCACCCCCAGAGTTCAAATCCCCACTCTACCATGTAGCTCACTGGACAACTCTGACCTCTCAGACAAGCCCACCTCACAAGTTTAAAACAGGACACAGAAGAGTTGTGTATGTCATTTTAGACTCCTGGAGGAAAAGGTGGGATGAGAGAGCGAGAGAGAGAGAGAGAGAGAGAGAGAGAGAGAGAGAGAGAGAGAGAGAGTCAGTGCTGCTTCTTTTGGCGCACCTGGATCTATGCCTCTGATTGAGGGTTTTTACTAATTCCCTTCCTGCTTCCACCCCCTGGAGAAGAATTATTTATGATACACCTCGTGCTGTCACCTTCCCGTGATGGTGGAACTCGGCTTTGCCTGTGATCTCCGGATTAGCGCTCCATGTCGCAGCAGCTGAGGATGTAACTTGGGAAAGGTGACAAGGGTTGGGGATGTTATTCTTTAATCTGGACCGGCGACTTGGGTCGCCTGAAAAGGAAGATTACATGTTCACGGTGGGATTAAGCAGCAGCTGCTGAATCGTAAAAGAAGGCACCGATAAGCAAACACTAATTCTGTCAGTAATAACAGGGGAAACAGATTATTGCAGGATAAAGCAGCTCTTTCCAAAGACTCCCCTGCTACTTCAGCCCCTCCAGAGAGGATCCAGCATTCGCTGTGAAGAGAATGCTATAATTAAGGCTGCAAAGGCTTCTTCCTGGAAATAAGTCTCAGCTTCAGCATCTTTTCAAAACAGGCTGTCTCTCTCTATATTCATCGCACTAGCTTGCTTTGGAAAAACAGCAGCTCATAAGCTGTTGGATCAAACCAACCGTCAATCAACTGCAGCACCTTGCTTCTTACACTTGAGTAAGCCAAGGTTGGGGAACCTATGGCCTTCCAGATGTTGTTGGACTCAAACTCCCATCAGCCCCGAGGCATCATGACCCATGGTTCAAGGATGATGGGAACTGGAGTCCAACAAGATCTAGCGAGAGCTGGGCTTGTGGGCAGCAGTCTGGAATAAGGTAGAAGATGGGAACCCAGAGTCAGTTCTGAGAGCCAGATGACCCACAGGGTCCCTTCCAATTCTACAATTCTATGATAAGAATGAAAATAAGAATCTACAATACCCATTTGTTATATTATATATCTGTTATATTATATATACAGTGGTACCTCCGGTTACATACGCTTCAGGTTACAGACTCTGCTAACCCAGAAATAGTGCTTCAGGTTAAGAACTTTGCTTCAGGATGAGAACAGAAATCGGGCTTTGGCGGTGCGGCGGCAGCAGGAGGCCCCATTAGCTAAAGTGGTGCTTCAGGTTAAGAACTGTTTCAGGTTAAGAACGGACCTCCGGAACGAATTAAGTACTTAACCCGAGGTACCACTGTATATGGAGAGAGGGAGAGAGAGAGGGAGATGATGATGATGATGATGATGATGATGATGATGATAATGATAGATCTCACTCAACCCACCCCATTAAAAAGATGAGTGGAAGAAGAGATCACAAGCATACCTAAGTATCCCCCAAATTAAGAGCCACAAGCCTGGGTATAAATAGAAAAACAGACAGTGGTGGCACCAGGCATAACAGGGAGCCACTACAAGGAAGGCCCATTCTGTTGTCACCGACTTCCAAATCTCCTTCAGAGAAGACACACACAAAAGGACCTCAGATGATGAACACAAGGTCTGGGTTGATTCATGTGAGGAGAGGTAATCATTGAAGAATTGGGATCCTGATCTTTCTAGGTTGAAACCAGCACTTTGAATTGAGCCTGGAAACTAATCGGCAGCCAACGCAGTCAGGCCTAGATTGGTGCTCAGATTGTCTTGCCCCGGTGAGCAACCTGGCCACTGAATTCTGCCCCAGCTGCAGTTTCTGCCCAGCCAGGCTTCAAAGGCAGCCCCACTCACAATGCATTGTTGTCATCTATTCCCAGATGTTGCCACTGGCGGAGCTCACAGAAGTTAGTTTGTCCTTGCCCAGACTGCTGCATAGCTGGACCACCAGCCGAAGTGGGTGGAACGCACTTCTTGCCACCAAAACCTCCAGACAGTAGCAGATCCAGAAGTCTCCCCCCACCCAAAAAAAAGCGACACACCCGCTCCTTCCTCTCCCAACTTATCAGCACAACCATTGAACAAGCAACCTGCTCCTCTTCCTCTCGGGGCTTGTGCAGGTGGGGAGCAAGATGAGGCATGATTGCCTCCTGCTTTTAGGAATCCGGTACAGAGGAGCCTATTTGAAGAGCACTTGCCAGTGTTTGGAGCTTGCATTATGCACCACAGGGCAGGGGGAGATGCAGCCAATTATCCTAATGCTGCTTTTGCGCTCTTGTTACGGAGAGTCATTGCTCACCCAGAAGCTATTGAATTAGATAAGTGCAGAACAAACAAAACTATTCATTTAAACTCCCTCCGTATTTATATACCTCCCGCCCTGTATAAACACCCACTGCATTCCGGACATTATATATTCTGCGCGGGGATCAAGACAAAAGCAACATTCATCAAGGCTGCAGGCATTGTAGCTTCTCGCAGCAGCTCTCAGGAAAATGAATGCGTGCACTTTTTTGTCCTGAGAGAGATGCCCCATATCTCACCATCCCGGTTGCATCGCTACAATTTGTCCTCAGCTTTCACAGTTCTTTGTTGTTATTATTTCTGTCCTCGTTCTGCCTTTTAGCTGCAGATATGCATCAGCCTGATTCAGAATTCTCCCCCAGACCATACTCTTTCTCTCCAGGCTACAGCCCCACATGGATTTTGCCTGGCTGGCATTTGTCCTTGAACCCTGAGGGTGCTTCTTCCTTGCTTAGATGGAGGGTGGGGGGACTGTGCAAATTTTACCATGGTTGTTGTTTAGTTGTTTAGTCGTGTCCGACTCTTCGTGACCCCATGGACCAGAGCACGCCAGGCACTCCTGTCTTCCACTGCCTCCTGCAGTTTGGTCAAACTCATGCCGGTAACTTCAAGAACACTGTCCAACCATCTTGTCCTCTGTCGTCCCCTTCTCCTTGTGCCCTCCATCTTTCCCAACATCAGGGTCTTTTCCAGGGAGTCTTCTCTTCTCATGAGGTGGCCAAAGTATTGGAGTCTCAGCTTCAGGATCTATCCTTCCAGTGAGCACTCAGGGCTGATTTCCTTAAGAATGGATAGGTTTGATCTTCTTGCAGTCCATGGGACTCTAGAGTCTCCTCCAGGACCATAATTCAAAAGCATCAATTCTTCGGCGATCAGCCTTCTTTATGGTCCAGCTATCACTTCCATACATCACTACTGGGAAAACCATAGCTTTAACTATACGGACCTTTGTTGGCAAGGTGATGTCTCTGCTTTTTAGGATGCTGAATTTTACCATACAAAGGTAAAATCAATATTTGGGGCTCTGCCCACCACTGTGGCATGTGGACTGGAGAAAGTTGCCCACCACAGAAGAGAGTCTTCGGAAATGAGTGGAGGGTCCAAAGGATGGAGTATCTGCAGTTGGTACGATGACAGGGAGAGTCGGAGGGTATCCAATACAGAAAGTACAAAAAGAATGGAAAATTTTTAAAGAGTATTTGAAAAATTATTGTAACACCAACAATCTGCTGGCAGAACTCGAATGGTTCTTGTGAATTAAAAAGTATAGATAACAACTCCTTTTTTTGATAAGAACAGAGAAAATAAATGGTTATTTGAAACTGTGTGTGAAACAATAATAGGAACAACAATACAATGAGTCTAATCGGAAGTCAAATTTATTTATTTATTTCTCCATTTTTCCTTTATTTTTTAGCCTTTCTCTCTTTCCCTTTTTTTCTTCTTTTTTTCTTTTTTCTTTTTTCTTCTTCTATCTTCTTTGTTATGTAAAATAGATAAAGTTAAAACATATATGGAATGTCAATCCAGTTGTTGTGACGTTTTGTAATACTATGTATTATTAAGGATGGTTGAATGTAGTGAATAGTGAATGTTGTGTTAGTTATTGTTATTGTTTGAATGTTAAATAAAAAGTTAAAAAAGAAAAGAAAGGAATAGAGTCTTCGGGCTGAAAAATATCCCCCAACCCTGTGTTAAGTCAAACCATGGCTTAACACAAATGTGGGAGCATGTGAGCTCCCAGAAAGGAAATTGCAGCCACTTTGCTCCTCTCTGGTCATTCAGCTGTTGTGCTGTGCTTAGCTAACCTAATCCATAGCTGTCAACTTTTCCCTTTTCTTGTGAGGAATCCTATTTGGAATAACGGAATTTCCCTTAAAACGGTCAAGATGCGTGTTAACGCAATGTAAATAAGTGGACGATACTTAACATTGATGGATAAGAGTGTTTATTTTTACTTTTTTTTTTTGTTCGTCTATTTTCTTTCTTCTTTTTCTTTTGCTATATGCCTTTTGTTTTCAGTGGAAAATTTCAATAAAAAGCAAATAATGATGGAATAACGGAATTTCCCTTAAAAAAAGGAAAACGTTGACAGCTATGACCTAATCTGCAGTTTGACTTAATTTGTTGACCGAATGTGGGCCAAGGGTTTCACTCTCCTGAACAAACCATGAGCCATAAACCGTAGGCCAAACCTTGGAAACAGGTCATACTTCGGACTCAGTTACATTAGTAAAAAAATTAAAAAAACTTTGAATGTGTTGTAAACATGCAACACCTGATGGCGCTGCAGAGCAAAAGAAAATTATGCAATTTTTACATAGCGGTTTTTTTTCTTTTGTTATAACGATTTAATTTCTGACATATTTATAGTGTGTGGGGGGGTTCCTTCACTCCTAGTCTGGAAAGAGCTAGACCAGGTTCAGATGACACATTGGCTGAGCACAACACAGGAGCAGAATGACCTGCAAAGACCAATCTGCTCCTCTGGAGAATATATATAGGTAAAAGGAAAAAGTAAAGGACCCCTGGACAGTTAAGTCCAATCAAAGGGACTATAGGGTTGCAGCACTCACCTCGCTTTCAGGTCAAGGGAGCCGGCGTTTGTCCACAGATAGCTTTCCGGGTCAGGTGGCCAGCAGGACTAAACTGCTTCTGGTGCAACGGAACACCGTGACAGAAACCAGAGCACACGGAAATGCCGTTTACCTTCCCACCGTAGTGGTACCTATTTATCTACTTGCACTGGTATGCTTTCGAACTGCTAGGTTGGCAGGAGCTGGGAAAGAGCAACGGGAGCTCACCCCGTCACGGGGATTCAAACTGCCGACCTTCTCATCAGCAAGCCCAAGAGCCTCAGTGGTTTAGACCACAGCGCCACCCTGCTGTATACTCAAAAATGTACACTAAGCTGTGGTTTGGCTAAGTGTGATGTGCAATAAGGCCATCACCTTCTCCTCAGCCACCGCCCTGTGATGAGGCCGGGTGAGGTGCCTGCATCAAGTTGCACATCCCCGTTAAGATGCATCTGCATTTTAGTAAAAAAAATAATCTTGAAAACATTTTTCTATACTGTTTTGACCCAGTTCAAAGCACTTTTCCCTAATGGAATGCATTTTGCATGTTGTTTTTCGTGAATATATGCATCTTGGCCCCTAGAGGACCTGCTCCCTGCCTTGCAGGCCCTTTCCCACCTGGCCTGGAAGGTTGGGGCCCTAAGTGATTCCAGCTGAGTTCTCTTGGTGGTCTCATAGTGCATACCCGGGTCATTGAACCTGAGCTTCCACAGCCACTGCCTGCCATGAGAAACCATTGGCAGGATTGGCAGCAACAGCAGCAATTATGTTCTGTGCTTAAGAAAAAAAATTATTCTCTTGCTAATTATGCTATTTTAAATTAGCGTGTTTTTTAAACTTCCTTTAGTAATGTTTTCTATTGAAATGTTTTAAGATTTTTAAAAAGTTAACTTGGCTGTGTTAAATGTGTATTTTGCAGTTGACCTCCTTTGTAACGTTTTATTTTGAAATCTTTACGATAATATTTCAGCTTCCTGTTAATTACGTTGCTTTGAACATATACTTTATATTTGACTTTATTCGGTGATGTTTTACTCTAGGTTGTTTCAACGTAGGTTGTAAACGGCTTTGAGATTATTATTATTTTCTTTAAAATATAAAGTGGTATTAAAATGACATGAATGATGGTGGTGATATTTTTATGCATGCTTTACACACACCTTTTTGTAAACAAGACTTGGCCGGAGAAGTCCATTGCAAAATTTAGAGGAGTACAAAGTCCCAAGGGGGATTGTGTTTTGGTTCACATGTTATTTTGGAAAGCGCAATTTCGCTAAGTTCACCTTTAGATGAGAATGGAATTGAATTTCCCTACTTGTGGGACAGGCGGGAAAGTTTTAAAGGGGAAAAAAGAGGCAGAATTGAAGGAACAGGTTACCCAAACCTGACTGTGCAGTCACCCGAAGCGGGCCCCAAAATTCCCAAATTCTTTCTTCAAGGATCATTAGCTAAAATCCATTAGTTTGAGGTGTATAACACAAACCCAGCTGTATAAACTGCCTTCTCCTTTATCAGTCCATGAAGGCTTAATGGACGGTCTTGTCAGTTCCGAGTGGAGACAGGATGGCAGATCTGGGTCTTATCTTATCGGTTGTAACTATCCTGACCACGCTGACACACAGACCTTGCAAGACAGGCCTGTCAGCCCCCGTGCCCGGGGATGGCACCAGGAGTATTCCTATATAGTTAGGTGACCTTTTACCCCAAGATAAGAGTACAGAAACAGGAATCTCTGTTCATGCTCAAGGATGCAAACTTACGTGTACAAACTCATGAGGCTGGATTCCTGGGGAGGGGGAATGGGGACTTGAAGGGGTTATAAGCTGTATGTAACTGCTCTTTAAGTGTGCTTGCTGTGATTGATCACGCAGTGCCTTTTTGCTATCCAGAAAGCAGAAATAAACTCTTTCTCTGAACCAACCCTCAGTGTCCATTGACTCCTCCCTCCCTCCCGGGAGCAACGCGCACCCAGCCAATGGGAAGGGTCTGAAAAGGCTACAGAATCACACAGGCATTCTGGGAGGAAGTTCTGAGATGGTCTTAAAGGGAAATCAAGTTGTCTTTTGCTCGGGGCCTTTATTAGGGTCCAGGGACTTCACACTCATGGGGGTAGTAGATGGTTGGGGTAGGGACCCTCTTGGTCTCCCAAGGTGAGAGGATGTGAGGAGAAAGGAAAGATCCCAGGTGAGAGCTGGGAGAGACCACTGCCTTCTGTTGCAACATGTTATTCTTTGAAGGCGAACTACTTGAAAATGATTTACAGGTGGTATTTAACTTATGGTGCTGGAGGAGACTCTTGAGAGTCCCATGGACTGCAAGAAGATCAAACCTATCCATTCTTAAGGAAATCAGTCCTGAGTGCTCACTGGAAGGACAGATCCTGAAGCCGAGGCTCCAGTACTTTGGCCACTTCATGAGAAGAGAAGATTCCCTGGAAAAGACCCTGATGCTGGGAAAGATGGAGGGCACAAGGAGAAGGGGACAACAGAGGACGAGATGGTTGGACAGTGTTCTCGAAGCTACCAGCATGAGTTTGACCAAACTGCAGGAGGCAGTGGAAGACAGGAGTGCCTGGCATGCTCTGGTCCATGGGGTCACGAAGAGTTGGACACGACTAAACGACTAAACAACAACAACAACAGGCTTGCTAAGATGTATAAGACTGAATCAGATAAGTGCTGGAGATGCAATGAGGCTGAGGGTACTTTCTTTCATATGTGGTGGACCTGTAAATGGGTAAAAGAGTATTGGGAAATAATTCATAACGAATTGAAAAAAATGTTTAAAAGTACTTCCCCCCCACACACAAAAAAACCAACAAAGTTCTTTTTGTTGGGGATAATTCAGATGGACAATCCCAGGTGTCAAAAAGGTTATTTGTGTATGCCACTGCTGCGGCCCGTGTTTTGTTAGCCCCAAAATGGAAAATGAGTGTGGTCCCAACTAAAGAAGATTGGCAACTTAAACTGATGGAATATGTGCGGCTTGCGGACCTAACATATAGAATAAGAGAACAAGAAGAACAGACGTTTAAAGAAGATTGGGAAATGATTATTGAATATATGGGGGGAACACGTGTACACTAGAAAATGTTGGCAGCATTAAGATAAATTCAACAAACAAGTTTTGATGGATGTAATAATGGAATACTGAATGGTTTAATTTATGTAAAATATGCAGGGATTTTTGATATGCAAAATGAACCATGGAAAGAGAAGAAGGGAAGTCACTGAGATTTTAAGTTTGCTTAAATGAATATTCTAAAGTGTACGACAGAAATTTAATAATGCACACACACAAACACACACACCCCTTTAGGAGAGGACTCTGTATTCTATTTTTACTTTTTGCAGCTGTTTTAGTTTTCTATACCTTAGTGCATTATGGGGGAAAAACTTTAATAAAAATCTTAACACAAACAATAAAGGCACGAAATAAAAAAATAAAAGGGACATCAAGTGGTGGGAAATGTAATTATGGAATGAGAAACTTGTTGGGTGGGTGAGGGTGGTGGAGATGGAACAAGGGTAGAACAATGAGGGGTGTATTTGTGTGTGTGTGTGTGTGTGTGTGTGTGTGTGTGTGTGTGGCTGCCTTATATCACAAGGTGACCTAGATCGAGAATCATAAAATATAAAGTACATGGTTAAAATAGCCAAATGATTTTCAAATAGTTCTAAAGCAATTACATGTGTGGTTAATGCCATAGGGGGATCTGGAGGCTGAAGCAAGCGCTTATAATAAACACATTTCTTAAATAAATAATCGCTTCCTGAAGTTATCCTTTTTCTCCTTGGAACACCCTGCCTTGCCCACCCTTAGTTGGATTAGCTAAGAGGACTTTTAGTATTAGTGGCGCTCTTGTCGTTTTCTCTGAGATCACTTAAGCACGAAGGGCAATTGAATCTGAAGAGCCCTCGGGGTGTACAGTATCTTGGGTGGGTGGCCTGAGATGGACAGGTAAGATTTGCAGCATGATTCCTGCTCTGGGCAGGTGGGGGAAAGCAGCTGAGCTGCTTTAGGTATGTACTAAAAGAATAGAAAATAAAGTGTCCTATTCTTTTATATATATATAAAAGCTTTTGCTCTTGAAATCAAAAAGCATTAGTGCCAGGTCTGTTCTACCTTGGTCAGATCCTACCTGGAGTACCGTGTCCAGTTCTAAGCACCAAAGTTTGACGGGTATTATTGGGTTGGTATTGTTGTTTTGATCATATATATTGTGGTTTTTATGTTGAACTTTTCCGTGAACCGCCCTGAGACCTCCGGGTATAGGGTGGTTCATAAATTCTAATAATAATAATAATATCAACAAATTAGAACGTGTGCAAAGGAGGGTGACCAAGATGATAGAGGGTCTCAGAACCAAGTCTTACAAGGAAAGGTTGGCATCTTTAGCCTGGAGAAGAGAAGACTGGGAGGAGACCTGATAGTCATCTTTAAGTACCTGAAAGGTTGTCGCATAGAAGGTGGAGGAAGCTTGTTTTCTCCACGGACCCAAACCAACGGGTTCAAACTGCAAGGTGGTTTCAGCTAAATGTTAGGAAAAACTTTCTCATTATAAGAGCTATTTGACTGTGGAATGGGCTACCTCAGAAGCTGGTGGGCTTTCCTTAGTTGGGGGGTTTAAAATAGGGTTACCAGACGTCCCCAGTTCCCGGGGACACTCCCTGGATTTGCAAATCTGTCCCGGACAAATTCCGTCCCCGGGATGTCCCCAGATTTGCAAATCTGTCCCCGGGAATCGTGGCAGTGGCAGCCTCAGCAGCCCAGAGCCAGCCTGGTAGCGCAGTTGGCTCTGGCTGGCTTCAGGAGCTGCTCGCTGCCGTGGCGCCCGCCATTTTTCCTGAAGCCAGCCAGAGCCAACTGCGATACCAGGCTGGCTCCGGGCTGCTGACTGCTGCTGCTGCCGTCGCCACTGCCAAAGGGGAACCGGGGACATCCGGCGGTACAGATCTCCTGACCCCTTCCCCCTTTGTTTTTACTGATCGGGGGAGGCTCAGGAGTCACACGCGGGTGGCGCGCCATTCCCTAGTTTTTTTAAAACTCTGCACGTTTATGTTTCACTGGGTGCAAAAGAAGGGCTTTGCACCTTTATACAATATGCACATGTGCTTGGGCCCAGGATCTTTTGCCTCACCATTCCCACTACTGTAACCATATTTTAAAACAGAGGTTTTTGGGGATTATTTAGCTGCAACTCCTGCATTGCAGGGGGATGAACTAGATGGCCCTTGGGGTCCCTTCCAACTCTGCCATTCTGTGATTCTCTGCAATAAATCCTGACGCTTGCCCCGTTGTTCTCTCCTCTGCTCTGTTGCTAAGCCTCCGTTCTCCCACTTCCGCAGCCGTGTTTGCCAGCCTGTCAGCTTTTGCTACTGCCTGGCTCTTTATCCATAAACATTGCCACAGCCCCGTATGCTCTGAGAGCCCCCCAAGTCATCAATATTCTTCCCCAGCCCGCGTCTTTGCCACATCATTTACTTTCTTCTTAGCGTCATCTGATCAGATCATTTCACCCTCTGTTTTTGTTATCGCAACCTTAAACCCATCCGAGGAAGTGAATACGCGGGGGGGAGAGACTCCTCCAGCAATCAAATCCTGACTGCTTATGCTCACCGTTTGCTGAGCTCTGGCTTCCAAAACTCTTTTTGACATTCTGCGTCTCTTTCGATCGCCAAAACGGAAGGCTAAGCCTCTCCATTTGACTTGGAAATTGAGCCTGACTGCACCAGTTTGGAAAGGGTTGCAGAAAAGGAGATGCAGAAGTTCGGGTCATGAAATTCAGGAACAGAGGAAGCTGATTTATGCAAGTCAAGCCTTGGGTTCACCTCACTTGGTATTCTTGACTCTGACTGGCAGAGGCTCTTCAGAGTTTCAGACAGGGGTTGTTCTTAGCAATTGTTCTTGGTGATGCTGGGGGTTGAGGCAGGGACTTTCTGTATTGTTAGAGATTTGGGAGGAAGGACCCCCCCCACCCAAAAGAAAACAACCTAGAGATTAACAAATGGTTGGATTTTGATTATTGGAGATGTGAAGGGAGAAATACAAGCTACATTGGAATTCCTAAGCTAACCTATGCAAAAAAAAGACATGGCCAAGCTAGGGCCTTTAAGAATCCATACAGGGCCATTGGCAATGCAAGAGAACTGTCCTTCCCCCTTGCCCTGAGGTATGAACATACTGGGGATTTGGGAGGGTAACTGGGTGTGAGGTGACAGGAAAAGAGAGTCTTGAGTAAGGGTTGCTGGAAAGAAGGAGGAGGAGGAGGAAGAAGCAATCCATCTTGGGCAGGTTGGCTGAAGGCTGGCTGTGAGAGATGCCTCAGACTCCAGGGCTGCACTGCTGTGGGGTACAAGACCCTCTTGAAATTAATATGCTATAAGATCTGGGCTCCCTCCAAGAAGACTGAAGGCAAAACTAGGTGAATAAATCATATTTCTTAAAGCTACAACAGTCTTCACCATGTCTCAGTTCCCCAAAGGACGACAGACCCTGGGGGAATACCTGGAAGCCCTTGGATCTTGCTTCAGGTTGCCAGAGAGAGGGGATGGCATCCAACTTTTGTAACAGTATGCAAAGCACAAATTCTGCCACTGAACCGGAGCCAGTCCTCCTATGAGGCAGAGTAAGGCAGCTGCCTTGGGCGGCAAATTCTGAGGAGCAGAAAGTGGCTGAAAAGCTGTGCCACATGATCTGCTCTGTGCTAGCTTGGCCGGAGCACCAATGAAGTGATCTGAGGCAACCAGCCCCAAGCAGCATGCTTCCCCCACCCCACTGGGGCATGGCCCCAGATGTAGCAGGGAGCACTCTTGCCTCAGGTGCCAAAAGGTCTCCAGCTGGCCCCGCACTGAGCTATGGTCTTTCTCTAAGGTCATGTCCAAATTGACGTCCCCAAGAAGCATGGTGTCAAGGCTTCGGGAAAGCTATCCCTCCCCCGGTTGCAGCAAGAGCAGAGAAAACAAGGTAGAGTCCTTTTCAATGAGTTTATTCATTCATAGTAGCGAGAGACAACAGAACGCAACAAGCCCTGACAATGGCGTTGCTCCAAATGCTTTCCTCCCTCCTTCTTAGCAACAGCATCTCCCTGTGGCGTTTGCCCATTCGTTTAGAAAATGTCTGTATGGGGGGGGAGAAAGGGTTAAAATGTAGACCAATAGGTGGAGCCTACCTGTTTATAAAAGGGCTTAGCCCAAGGTTTGAGTTAGTTGTTGGTGGGTAGTTGGTTGGTTTTAGTGGGTTGGTTGGTTGGTTGGTTGGTTGGTTGGTTGGTTGGTTGGGAAAAGAAGTTGGAAATAGACAGTGCAGTTGGTTCTTGTGTGAGGGGAGGTAGAAGAGATAGAGACAGGATAAAATAAGACTAAGACGGTGAAGAGTAACAACGTCTGGAATGCAGTTAAAGTTTGTTTGTGTCTGAAATAAAGTACACTCTTCTTTGTTAACTTGAGAACCTGACTGAGACTAAGTGATTTACCAGGGAGGACCTGGTTGGTGGCAGCGGATTAGTGGTGTACGGGTCAATAGTCCGTGAGACGACCGGGGGCTCCATATGAACGCCACACTCCCCTTACGGTGGCCAATTGTCTCTGAGTCCTTTGTTGCTGCACTGTCAACAAATGCAAAGTTTTAGGAGAAAGAGGGGCCAGAAATACTCTCCAGTGACAATGTGTCCGCTGGCTGCCCTGCCTCTGTCTCCCCTCCCCCTTCTTCTAACACTTCCCAACTCTGCTGTTTATCTATCTCTGAGCTGTGACCTTCCTAAAACTCCTCAAACCCCTGCTGTCAATCAATGTTGCATTCCTCTTCTCCTGCAGCGTCAGGAGAAGGGGAGGGTGATCTCCACCATTCCTCCTCCCTCTCGTCCCCTTGAGTCCAATCCCTGACACAAGGATGTTGTGAGCAGTTAATCCTCTGGGAATGTCCACCTGGTGATTTGCACCAGGACCCCATTCTATTGCCTGTTCCTCCTCCCGTTTTCTGACACATTTCCTAACACTAGAACTCAGGGGCATTGAATGAAGCTGAAAACTGGAAGATTCAGGACAGAGAAAAGAAAGTACTTAGTGCAGTGCACAGTTAACCTATGGAACTTCCTCCCACAGGAGGCAGTGGTGGCCACCAAGTTGTTGTTAGGATATTCCATTTCACCTTACGTACAGGCATGACTGTTGTGTGTCACATGCCTGTTTACACTCCAGCACAGCTTGCTGGGAACTTTGATTTGTGTATAGCTATTGCTTCTGCTGCTTGCTTGGACATGAAGGGGAGAAGACATGTATTTCCTATTGAGCTGATGTATGCTGAATAAACTGCTTGTAAATATGCTCATCACAGCCTCTCCCTGCCACTTCTGTTGCGCAGCGTTTACTCCGCTGATTAGAGCGTGCTCCAGCTTCTGAAGCTGGGGTCGCTGATGCTGCACCAAGGACTGGAGATGGCCCGGCACATCGGCCGGTGGGCTGGTGCCAGCTGGGGGCTTGCAAATTGCCCCCGTTTCCTTGGCTGCATCCCAACAGTTGTATGGCTTTAATAAGTCTCTGGGAATTGCTGGTGGGCAGGGTGCTGCAACCTGGGGGGGGGCGGTGCTGGGTGGATCTGTGCACCCCGGCGCCGCATATGCTTAAGACGGCCCTGAGCCAGCTGCTCCGGCTCTGCTGCTTCCCTCTCCTCTTCCATTATCTCCCAGCTTTTTCCCTCTTTTGTCTCAGAGTCATGACCTTCTGCAAACCACCGTTGTAATTCTATACTGCCCTCCTCTTCTCAGGAAGGTTCAGGAGAAGGAAGGGGGAGCTGTCTCCACCATTTCTCCTCCAGTCCCTGGAGGAGTCCCTGACAGGCATATTCTGAAGTGCAGACCTTCTTCTTTGCAAGCTCCATCTCTAGGTCCCTTCCAAGCCTATAGAACAAAAACTAAATTTTGACCAGTGCAGGCATTATGGCAGACATTTTTTCAGCCTGAGGGTTGCATTCCTCTGTCAGCAATCTTTCAGGGGCTGCTTGCCATGTGGGCAGGCAAGAGTCAATATTGGAATGGATGTTGGCCACTCTGAGAACCGAATGCTGGACTAGACAGGCCTTGCCCTGCTCCCCCAGGGCTCTTCTGGTGTGATCCTTACCATTGTACCATGGCAAATGGATGTGGAAATGTGCAGAGCTGAACTTAGGGTTTGAAAAATGAGAACCTGAGAACCTGAGAGAAAACAAAATCGACAGCTTTGCCCATCCATGGTTGTAGCCATCACTACCAGGCATTCCTGACGAACTCTGGAGCAAAGGTCTGAGCCCCTGTCCCCTTATGATTATTATTTTCAATGAGGGTCTAACTTGGCTGAACATGAGAGCTTTCTAGATTTGCATGGTGCCTAGTGCACTTCCAGTTCAGCTCATCTCTGGTCTTCTCATTTCTCAGTTTCTGTAAATCCCAATTTCCTCGGGACATTGTAAATCCAGTATGCTCCTTTTGATGATTTCTGAAGCCTGACGCCCCACGTCACTATTCCCAGATCATTCTAAATCCCCAATGTGGATTTGACTGCCAACCAGGAGAGGTGGGTTTTTAAAAATAAAAATAAAAAAAGCCAAAGCAATGCCCCTGGATTCATATTAAGGCAATCACAACACCCATGGAGTTTTGCTAATAATAATAATAATAATAATAATAATAGCAACTTGTATCCCGCCCGCCCTGGCTGAGGCCAGGCTCAGAGCAGCTAACATCATAAAAACAACACAATAAGCATAAAAACAGACATAAATTAATTAAAATACATCTTAAAATTAATTCAGACAAGTTAAAATCCGGGCAGGTGGCAATTATCAGGGTGGAATTGAGAGCGGTTAATAATTGCCAGGACCAACTGATCATACAAGGACCGGTGAGCGGGTTGGGAGCCTCCTTCAGGCTTGTTTTATACAAAGGAAAGTAAGTCAAACTGCATCCTGCTCAAAGGCCTGGCAGAACAGCTCCATCTTGCAGGCCCTGCAGAAAGATGTCAAATCCTGCAGGGCCCTGGTCTCTTGTGGGAGCGCATTCCACCAGGCCAGGGCCACGGCCAAAAAGGCCCTGGTTCTAGTCGAGGACAGTCTAATTTCCCTGGGGCCTGGGATCTTCAGGGTGTTGTTGTTAGCAGACCGTAAGGTCCTCCATGGGGCATACCAGGAGAGGCGGTCCCATAGGTACGAGGGTCCTAGGCCATATAGGGTGTTAAAGGTTAAAACCAGCACCTTAAACCTGATCCTGTACTCCACCAGGAGCCAGTGCAGCTGGTATAGCACCGGGTGAATGTGATCCCATGGTGAGGACCCTGTAAGGAGTCTTGCCGTGGCATTTTGCACCTGCTGGAGTTTCTATATATTTCCATCTACTGGTCAGGATCCAGGGAAATATTAATCTCTTGCTTTGACTGATGTGATAGTTCTGCAACTAAAACTCCTGACATCTTTTTAGAATCGCAGAATAAGGGGTAGGGACACCTTTGTTTCAGCCTGAAGACCACATACCCTCGATGACAATTTCCTGGGGACTTCATACCAGTAGTGGGTGTGGCAAAAGTGGGTGTGGCCTGACACACACCACTCCCCATCCTCCATGCAGGCAAGCAGGAGGTTCGCAGTTCAATGACACCTTCAAGCTAGGAAAAAATGCTAGAGGATGTCATGGAGCAATGAGGCAGTGGCTTGGGGAAGGAGCATGGCCTGGGCAGTGCTGAGGGCCAGGTGGAGAAGGCCAGAAAGCCATGCAGGTTCTTGAGATTTGGAGCCAGCTTGCTGCTTGGTGTAGGAAACCCAAAATGGGAGCATCCTCAGCAGAACGTTCCTCAGCCTCTTTCTGAAGGCCACCACTGGAGGAGAGCCCACCATCAGTCTAGACCAGCCTTTCTCAACCTGTGGGTCCCCAGATGTTGTTGAACTACAACTCCCATCACCCCTAGCTAGCAAGGCCAGAGCTCAGGGATGATGGGAGTTGTAGTTCAACCTGTGGGGACCCACAAGTTGAGAACCGCTGCTCTACACCAAAGTTTCCCAAACTTGGGTTTCCAGATGTTTTTGGACTACAGCTCCCATCATCCCTAGCTAGCAGGACCAGTGGTGAGAGATGATGGGAATTGCAGTCCAATACAGCTGGAGACCCAAGTTTGGGAAACCCTGCTCCAGACCATTGGTTGCATCATCAGACTCCTCCTTACTATCAGCAAGTTTCTCCTAATATTCAACAGAAATTAATCCTCTTGCAAAGGAGGCCATTAGATCTCATCCTGCCTACTTAAGGCAACAGCGTGGAACACTTTGCAGGCAGTGAGTGGCTTTTGAACCATGTGGGATAGTGCGATAGTCAGGTTCACGGAAGTTTCCTATTTCAAAATTCTCTAAGCAGCGTACACTGTGTACAATATAAAAACAATATCTGTTAAAGCAAACATGCAACCTGAAACCAATAAAACAGCAAATTAAAACAAATTAAACAGAGATTTGGGGATTCAGACCCATAAAACAGTGTGCAGTCTCATGGGTCAGGGAAAGCCTAGGCAAAAAAAGGTAAGTATGTTGCAACAATTCAATGTGCTCCTTTTGTCCCTGTTTAGCAAATCCTTGTGCCTGTGTTTGCCTTTTGGGAATGCCTGGTTCAACGGATGCCATCTGTTGGAGATGCTCTAACTCAGGATTTTCAGCACTGAGCTGGGATTTGGGCTACATGGCAGACAAGGTCTCCTTCAGCTCTGTGGCTCCACTCTGTCTTGCTTCACGATGCAATAGCTCCATCCTTCACTGATCTGAAAGCCCATGGGTGACTGGTATTTTGTTTCTAACAAAATATATGCATTCTGCAGATGTTTTGAACCACAACACCCATCCTTCCTGACCAGTAGCCATGCTGGCTGAACCTGGCAGAAGCCACAGTCCAACAACCATCTGGAGGGCTGCAGGTTCCCATTCCATGACCCACAGAGAAGGGCCATAGCTTAATGAAAGAGCATGTGTTTTGCATACAAAAATATGTCACAAGAGACTAGGGCCCTGAGGGACTTGACATCTTTCCGCAGGGCCTGCAAGACAGAGCTGTTCCACCAGGCCTTTGGCCAAGGCACAGCCTGACCCCCTCCTTTGGTAATCCTCACATAACTCTAGCCCAATGGTTGCCATTAATTTGATTTTGAATTGATTTTAGAATGAATTGATTTTAGACTGCTGTATTACTTTTACTGTTGTTAGCCGCTCTGAGCCCGGCTTTGGCTGGGGAGGGCGGGATATAAATAAAATGTTATAATTTTATTAAAAATACCCCGGGTTCAATCTTTGGCATCTCAAAGTAGAATCTGAAAACTCACCTCTCTGAAACCCTATAACATGGGTAGGGGTCCAGATCCGGCCCAATCGCCTTCTAAATCCGGCCTGTGGACGGTCCAGGAATCAGCATGTTTTTACATGAGTAGAATGTGTGTTTTTATTTAAAATGCATCTCTGGGTTATTTGTGGGGCATAGGAATCCATTCATTTTTTATTTATTTTTTCAAAATATAGTCTGGCCCCCCAAAAGGTCTGAGGGACAGTGGACCGGCCCCCTGCTGCAGAAGTTTGCTGACCCCTGTCCTATAGTGCTGCTGCTGTAGACCAGCTTTTCCTAGTCTTTTTCATGCTGTTAGACTACAAGTCCCATCATCCCTAACAATTGACCATATTGGCTGGGGCTGATGGGATTTGTAGTCCAAAGCATCAGGAAGGCACCAAATTAGGGGAAGTTGCATGGGGACTCTTATTAAGCTTATCTGCAATAAGTTTTTGACACCACAAAATACATGCTTCCACCATTGTTTCTGTTTGAACTGGGCAGGTGTTCACCTGCCTCGTGGCAGTATTATGATGATAAACTCTGTGAGGGTTTTTTTGTCGGGGGGAGAGAGAACCATGTGTTTCTTGAAAGAACATGTAATAAATTCTAAACCCAATTTTAGAGGGCTGTGAGATTCAGGCAACTTTTTTGTATCTTATTGGATACTTGCTTTCAGCCATGAAAAGATGCTGCGCTTGGGGGCAGCCCCGATCAACTTACTATAAAGTTTCGAGCCTGATTTGTAAAATTGTAGCCGGCTCCCTATAAATAAGCTCCTCCGTGGGAAACACGTTGCAGGCAAATTTAAAACATGCAATTATCTACTTTGCCTTGCTAATGAGTTCTTCTCTTCCATTTCGGCAGGACGCAAGCGGGCGGGGGCGGGTGGGGGGGGGTCTCAGAAAGACGTCGGGGCAAAATGCAAAGGAGGCGACTCCGTCTATTTTGACATTCAAAAGGTTAAGGCGGCAGGTGGGGGCATAATGGGAAAGGATGCTCATCAAAGCACCTTGGGCATGTTTATGCGGGGGGGGGGGGCGGCAAATGCACTTGCGAGCCTTGTTCCTGGTAACGTGTCTGGCTTGTCTCCCCTGTCAATGTGGAAATTGCTGCTAAACCCGGGCGCACCCAAAACCCCTTCGCTTTAGCATTCCGCGCTGCTAGCCTCAAGTTTGCCATCTCGTGGCCAGTCCTCGAAACAGCACTGGAATAAAGCAGTATTGTTGCTGCCCTTGCTGTAGAAAGTACCGTACTCTGTGAAGCCTCATGGAGCCCATGCCAGTGGCATAGGAAGGTCAGGTGGTACCCGGTGCGGAAAATTTCTTGTCACACACACACGCCCTCCATTGAATTTTATTATTTTTTTGCCTGTAAAAATGGTTTGACTTTATTTCATATTTTTTTTGGGGGGGGAGCCAGAATTGTTAAGCTTTTTTTGCGGATATCATATGCCTTGCAACGAGGAGTCTGCCTGCCGCCCTACAGCTGAGGGGGAGCCGGTGGTCTGACCCTTTCGACAGCAGGAAGCCTGCGGGTTAAGAACTTAATTCGTGCCAGAGGTTCGTTCTTAACCTGAAAATGTTCTTAACCTGAGGTACCACTTTAGCTAATGGGGCCTCCCACCGCCGCCACGCAATTTCTGTTCTCATCCTGAAGCAAATTTCTTAACCCGAGGTACTATTTCTGGGTTAGTTGAGTCTGTAACTTGACGCGTCTGTAACCTGAGGTACTCTGGGCAATTTTTTTTAAATGTTTAATGTTTTCTTATTTTTTGAATATGTTGGAAGCCGCCCAGAGTGGCTGGGGCAACCCAGTTAGGTATAAATAGTATGATGATGATGATGATGATGATGGCGACAACAACAGTTATTATTGCTACTATTGTTATTATTGTTGTTAAATAGGAGGTCCCTATTTTCATCAGAAATATTGGAGGGTATGTAGAAGCAGTGGCCTGGAAACAGTCCCGCAGGGCTGATAGTTTCCTGCTTGGCAGGGGGTTGGACTCGATGGCCCTTGTGGTCTCTTCCAACTCTATGATTCTATGATTCTATGAATGAAGTAATTATTTCTTATTTCTTTATTTATTTGTGAGGGGAGCTCAGTCCTGCTTCATCGCTATCTTCTGCTGCCCAAATCCCATGGGCCAACTTTGACAGGTGGGCAGGACAAAGTTGGTCTGTGGCCGGAGGCAGGGTGGATAATAATCTGCCCCACTGGGCCAAAAACGCTCCCGGATTCTGGTCCAGATGGCCCATTGGCTTGACTCAGTATGAAGCTACCTCCTATCTTCTCCCCCCGTTGCTCATGTAAACACCCGTTGATTAATAGGAAACGGCTGCCGTTGGAGGGAGGGAGACTAATAAAGCTCTATTAATTATTGAATTTAATTTAGCTCCCAGGGAGGGAGTACAAGAGGCCTGGGGCGTGTGCCGGTTTTGCAGTGTCACACGCTTGCGCATCCCATTGCCACGGAGCCTACATTTCCCCACAACCCTTTGCTTTGCCATGCCTTGGCTTAATTAATCTCCATTCAGCGCCAGAGCTTATGAAATATGCAGAGCCATTGCATGTTAACCGTTCACCTATAAATAAGTTATTTCCTAGACGCAGCATGGAGTCTGCACATGGCCCTGGAACACGATGTTCTGGAGGTGTGTTTTCTTTCCCCGTGAAGACTTCCCCCCTCTTTCTCCGCTCATTAATGGATCTTGGCAACAAACAAACAAATGATGGAGGCCAAGCACTCTGGCGCTCCAACAGAGTTTGTAATAGCAACCTCCCTGAATGAGCGGTGCTGACAGATGAAGGCATGAAGTTGTGTTCTGTTGAGTCAGGCCACTCGTCCAACCAGCCCAAGGGTGGGAAAGGGAGTCCTTGTTTATTCATTCATTGCATTTCTATCTCACCATTTTCTCTAAGGAGCATAACGGGGCATCTTACATGGGTTTCCCCCTCCTCATAGCTGATCAGAAGGTTGGCAGTTCAAATTCCTGTGACGGGGTGAGCTCCCGTTGCTCTGTCTCAGCTTCTGCCAACATAACAGTTCGAAAGCACACCAGTGCAAGTAGATAAATAGGTACCGCTGTGGCGGGAAGGTAAACGGCATTTCTGTGCACTCTGGTTGCCGTCATGGTGTTCCGTTGCAGTTTAGTCCTGCTGGCCACATGACCCAAAAAGCTGTCTGTGGACAAATGCTGCCCTCCCCCCCGGCCCATAGCAAAATGAGCACCACGACCCGATAGTTGCCTTTGACTGGACTGAACCATCCAGGGGTCCTTTACCTTTACCTTTAATCCCTGCAACAGCGCTGTTGGTGTCAGGAGCCAGCCAGCAGTAAATGACACAGAGTTGTTGTTGTTGTTTAGTCATTTAGTCGTGTCCGACTCTTTGTGACCCCATGGACCAGAGCATGCCAGGCACTCCTGTCTTCCACTGCCTCCCGCAGTTTGGTCAGACTCATGTTTGTAGCTTCGAGAACACTGTCCAACCATCTCATCCTCTGTCATCCCCTTCTCCTTGTGCCCTCAATCTTTCCCAACATCAGGGTCTTTTCCAGGGAGTCTTCTCTTCTCATGAGGTGGCCAAAGTATTGGAGTCTCAGCTTCAGGATCTGTCCTTCCAGTGAGCACTCAGGGCTGATTTCCTTAAGAATGGAGAGGTTTGATCTTCTTGCAGTCCATGGGACTCTCAAGAGTCTCAAGAGACACAGAGTTAAGTGAAGCTAACTCTTCATTAGAAAAATCAGGATCGGCACAGAAGTGCCAGGCCTAATGAGCACACCAACTCTCTCTGGTAGGTCTTACTCCTATGAGGCAGTTAGAAGATCCCTGCCTTCACACAGCTGCCTAAGTGCCCTCCTCTCCCAGGGTTTCTGTAAGCAATCTGAGACTGCGCCAGCATGCCTGTCCTCTGCGCCTCCCACTTCATGCCTCTGCGGGTTCTAGGAGACCAGCAAGGAGAGGAGGTTGTCGCAGCAGCAGGAGACACCTGTGCCTCTTCACCAGCCAGACCCTCTGCCTCTTGGACTCCTTCCTCTCCTGCTTCTGATTCTGGACTTCTGCCACAGACTCTCCCAGCTCTCTAAGCCCTGTTTACCTCTTTAGCTTCCGAAATCTCCTCTCTCCACCCTCCACAGTCTTCTCCCGCCAACCACTCATCATCATCCCACCACCAATCCCCTGGCTCTGAGCCTTCTCCCCTTGATGTTCCCCAGCTGGTTCCTCCCACCATTACTCTGTGTCCAACGAGTCCATGAAAGTGAGGTAGGTTAGGCTGAGAGACCAATACTGACCCAAGCTCACCCAGTGAACTACACGGCCAAGTAGGGATTTGAACCCTGGTCTCCCAGGTTGTAGTCCAACAGTCTAACCACTACGCCACGCTGCACTTCTCAAGGGCTCAGGCAGAGAGATCTTTCCTGAGATGGCCCATTTTGCTGCCTTGTTTGGGGCAGGGAAATGAAGAAAGGGTACCCTTGTGCTGAAACGGGGCCTCAGGTTGTTGTCTATGAAGTAGACCAATAAATAGTATTACTAATAACAATAAAAATGACCCTGTAATGGGCAGACCACATGCATGCCTGCTTTTTCATCTTCCTCCTCTCAGCCTAGCATGAAGCACTTGTATTAATTTTTCAAGAGGACTATAAAACTGCAGATCCATTTTTAAAGAGTCTGGAACTCTTGTGAACAGCACGGGGCAGGAGAAAGGGCAAGTGAACCATCTGGCAAGATGGAGAGAAACCCGGCAGAAGGCCTGTTACAAAGGAACTATCATTCCATGGAATTTCAGGTAGGCTTTAAAATACACTGCTATGGGACTTCATGGAGATAATCAGCCAGAAGTATTGAACCACCGTGACCAGACACCATCTGCACTGCATGCACAAGGACACAGGGACCTCCAGGTAAGACGAGGAATGTTCCCTGTCTGAAATCCTGAACAGCTGCTACATAGGACACATTTCTCCTTAATATACACAGATTACAATGACTAACTAAACAGGGGTATTATCAGGGGCGAACGAAGGTGTCGTGACACCCAGGGCAGGGCGTCGCTACGTAGGGCGCATGTGTGGCATGCGCTGTACGTAGCGATGCCGCACATGCGCTGTACATAGCGGTTTGCCGGCGCCGCTCCAGCGCCATACAGCCAGTGCCAGGATCCCTCCATCACCGCTACAGCCATGAACGGAGGGTCCTCTACATGTGGCTGTAGCGGCAATGGAGGTATTCAAGCATTGTCCGTATGGCACTTGAGCGGCGCCAGCAGCAAACTGCTATGTACAGTGCATGTGTGGCGTCATTACGTACACCGCATGCGTGTGACACCGCACATGCGCTGTACATAGGGGTTTGCCACCGGCACTGGGATCCTCTGCTCACGCCAGGAAGTGTTGTCCTGGGGACAGTGCCTAGCTCTAGATAGAAAGGTTCGGAGGGCTTTGTGTGGCCCTTGGACCAGACATGCCCCAGCCCTGCAGTAGAAAAAGAAAGAACTATGGTGGACTCTTGATTAAAGACCCTGTGTAAGAGGCAGGGAAGAGAAGATCTCCCATGGTGGGAAGGTGGGAGAAGAAAGGCCAGCTTCCAGGTGAGAGCTAGAAGGGTTAATAATAATAATAATAAAATTTTATTTATATCCCGCCCTCCCCAGCCGAAGCCGGGCTCAGAGCAGCTAACAACAATAAAAGTAACACAGCTTTTCTCTGCACGGGACAAGTCAAGATTTATCTGTAAAACATTGTTTTGTATTCTTTTTCTCTTTCCTTTCCTTTTTTAAGGTTTTTTTTATTGTAATGTCTTAATAAAACTTTGTTAAAAAATGGAAAAGGAAGACACCAAGGTAAGCCTCTTCTTGCTTCTTAGGACTCATATTTCCTTCAAACCGCTCCATCTTCAAGAGGCAAGACTTTCAGTTGACACTTTCCGGGCAAGAATGGTTGGTGCGGAATGCCCAGAGAGTTTGGAATCTGCAGGAACAAGATCATGTGGCTCCCTTCTTGCACGCTCCATGGCCTGGGGAGGGTGGGGGTGCCTGAGAAGGGTGCATGGCATGGGCAGAAATCCTAAGTAATGGAAGAAGGTCATCTTTTCCCATGCTGTCCTGTACACACTGCATGCAGTGCTGCTTCCGTTGTGCTGCGGTTCGTTTTCTGCAGTTCATTGAAACCACTCCCCCCGTCATCTCTGAGGATCACTCTCCCAGGCTGCAATGCCTTCTTCCCCAGGGGACCTTTTTATTACCCTGAGATGCCTTTTCAGTGGACGAATGCAAAAGTTTGCCTCTGTTCAAGACTTGACAGGGTGAATGATGGCGAAAGCCAACGGCAAGTCAACTTGGATTATTGCTATGAGTCCAAAGTCAACCTTGGAAATCTTTTTGTTTTTATACATGTGCAGAAGAAAGCCTGGGGAAAGGGAAGGCACTGTGGCCTTTTGTTAACAGCATGTACAGGTTCACGGCACATGGCAACTCTGGGGCTTGTTAAAACACAGCCATATTGGAGACCGGCTCGTAATTGGCATCTCAAATGTGAGCTTGCTGGACGCAATGCATTAAAAAAGAAAACCATACAGCACCCAGAGGACCATGTACCGATGAGCAGCTGGACAGCTCAGGAAGGCAAAAGCCCTTTATGAGAAGTCCACTGCTAAAGAATCCCAACAGAAGACGTCCAATAAATCAGGGCAGATTCATGCAGTGCTCTGAAATGCACAAGAAAACGAGGGCCAAAGAAGGTTCAGGGTAGGAGCGATGAGCCTCTGGCCTTTCAAGCCTCTCTTTGTGGCCCTGTGAACACACCCCAGGTCATGTCCAGGATTGTGGGCGCTTTCACTACAATTCAACGCTAAAGAGCGAGCTTTCGCAGGGAAAGCACCAAGGCAAAAAGAGAGAGAGGAAAGGTGGGGGCTTGGACAAGCACAGATCTGTGCCTAGAAACGCAGCACAAAATGAAATCTGGGTGAGCCCTTCAAGCATGTCCACCAATTTCCATTGTATCAGAAAGGGTTTTAAAGGTAAAGGGACCCCTGACCATTAGGTCCAGTCATCACTGACTCTGGGGTTGCAGCGCTCATCTCGCTTTATTGGCAGAGGGAGCCGGTTTACAGTCATGTGGCCAGCATGACTAAGCCGCTTCTGGCGAACCAGAGCAGCGCACAGAAACACTGTTTACCTTCCTGCCGGAGTGGTACCTATTTATCTACTTGCACTTGATGTGCTTCCGAACTGCTAGGTTGGCAGGAGCAGGGACTGAGCAACGGGAGCTCACCCTGTTGCGGGGATTCGAACCGCCGACCTTCTGATCGGCCAGTCCTAGGCTCTGTGGTTTAACCCACAGCGCCACCCGCGTCCCTTGGAAAGGGTTTTACTAGCATCCAAAATAAGGGAATGTCACAAAATCTGGGCTAGGAGACCTGTGGCCCTCCAAATACTGTTGGGCTCCAATTCCCATCAGCCCCACCTGCATCCTGAAAGATCAGAGGTGATGGAGCCCAACAACATCTGGAGGGCCAACTCCATTTTATGATTTTAAAGGACAACTCTCTGGCCCAGAAGTTGTCTGATGTCCATTTATTTGAGGGGAACCCATGGCCCAGAGCACAGAATGGGAAACCTCTTTAATTTGCCATCTATTCAATCCTGCTTTTAATTCCTACATTGCTTTAGCGGGATTGTTTGGTTGCATATTTTAATTACGAGTGTTTATATTTAAATGTTTTTAATAGGGTCGGTTTATTGCGTCGTTTGATGATGGGTGTTAATATTTCGGTGTTTGTGCCAACTGTTGTTATACTTGGAAACCACTTAGAAGCCTACAATGGCATTAAGTGGTATATCAATAATTCAAGTAATAAATAAATAAAATAAATGAATATCACGCTTTGTCAGCCCACGGCTTGGTTTACCAGACATGGCACGCTAGACACTTCTAGCTTCTTGTGGATTTCAAATATGCATAGCCTGATCCCTAGCTCAAAGTAGCCTCCCTGAAAATAGAAAAAAAGGGGGGACAAGGGGGTGTTACACCCCCAAGAGTGAATAATGGGAGGTAATGGTTCACCTAATTAGCTCCAACCACACCTCGCTGCTTCTGGAATGCCTAGGAAATGGGCTGCAGGAATAATGAAAGCAACCTCCTTTGCATGTGAATGAGCTCTCCTCTGTTTCCAACACCAGCATCTTGGCTGCAGCAGCAAAAAGAACAACAACCTGGCATTGCCAGGGCAAAACCTGGGCCCACATCTCACCCCAAACCCTAAATGGGCATCTCAGTTTCCTCCACGATGTGTGCGTTATCTTCTGTGTCATTTGGCTACTATGTTGATACTAACAGTAAGTGACAATTGGTGCCAGAGTCTAATATTGTTACATACCTTCCAACATTTTCTCACCCACATCCAGGGCGTTCTCCCCCCGCCCCCAACACACACACACACACACACACACACACACCATGCCTCTGCCACTGCCCCTCGCCCGCCACTGCCATTGCCCCAGCAGCTTCTGTAAACCCAAGATGCCCTGCTCAAAGCAAGACTACGGGGTGGTAAGTTGTTAGGGGCCCTGGCAAGCATTTCTTATTAAGCAGATTGGTGGTTAATAGTCCACAATCTCTTGGCTGATGTTTCATCAGTTATAACTATTGTTCCGGTCCTTGGATAGGTAGAACTCTTTCACATGCATGCATGCTGGCACACTAAAACTCTCTGGCAGCTCCGAGTTAGGCCCCCTCCAGGCCCCTGCCTTCCTTTCTTAATCAATGACCTCCATGGGCCTTTCTCCCTTAGTGGTTCTGTGGGTGCCTCTGGCAGGGGCGGAGGAAGGGGAGTGCAGTGTTAGGATATTCTGTTCCACCCTAAGTACAGGCATGACTGTTGTGTGTCACATGCCTGTTTACGCTCCAGCACAGCTTGCTGGGAACTTCTGTTTGATGCTTTTGAATTATGGTGCTGGAGGAGACTCTTGAGAGTCCCATGGACTGCAAGAAGATCAAACCTATCCATTCTTAAGGAAATCAGTCCTGAGTGCTCACTGGAAGGACAGATCCTGAAGCTGAGGCTCCAATACTTTGGCCACCTCATGAGAAGAGAAGACTCCCTGGAAAAGACCCTGATGTTGGGAAAGATGGAGGGCAGAAGGAGAAGGGGACGACAGAGGATGAGATGGTTGGACAGTGTTCTCGAAGCTACAAACATGAGTTTGAGCAAACTGCAGGAGGCAGTGGAAGACAGGAGGGCCTGGTGCGCTCTGGTCCATGGGGTCACAAAGAGTCGGACACGACTAAACAGCAACAACAAATTGATTTTGCTTATGCTTGCCTGCTTGGACACGAAGGAGAGAAGACCTGTTTCCCTCTTGTCCTGATGTATGCTGAATAAACTGCTTGTAAATATGCTGAACACAGCCTCTCCCTGCCACTTCTGTTGCGCAGCGTTTACTCTGCTGATTAAAGCATGCTCCACCTTCTGAAGCTGGGGTTGCTAATGCTGCACCCAGGACCGGAGATCGCCTGGCACACCAGACGGTGGGCTGGAGCCAGCTGGGGGCCTGCCAATTGCCCCCATTTCCTTGGCTGTATGCCAACATGCAGTAGGTGCAGGCCACTCCGCATGTCACCACTGAGGGGGGTGACAAAATGCCAGGCGGCACTCACCACAGCGCCTGCAGGCTTGTGTATGTGCAGGCTCCGTGCTGCCCAAACGGTCCACCCGCTGCCTCCCCCCCCCCCCCCAGCTGTACGGTGGCTGAGTGGGAGGAGGCAGGCAAACTCCAGAGGCCTCCGGACTGCCAGTATTTTGTGGGAGGATTCAAGCACATGCCAGAACTTTAGGACTGTGTATTTAAAAGTGGATTAAATCCATCAGTTGCCCTGGTGCAACAAATCCACCATGGGGGGGTGCCACACATTTTTGTACACTATGCTTAGCTGAAGAACCAATTTGAAAAATTCAGAGGAATGCAGATTCCGATGGATGGATTTTGGTTTGTCTGTTGTTTCAGAAAGCACAAATTGGGTAAATGCATCTTCAGAGGGGAACTGAATCAGATTTCTCCCCCTTCCCTACTCTGGTCCGCCTGTGCAGCAGGGCCCAGCTTTGAGACTTGCCCAGGCTGGCTCCGTTGCCTCTTTTTGCTATTGCTCTCTCAGTCTATTCTCTGCTGCATTAACCTGATAAAACTGGGGAGCAGAAGAGATAAAATGTGACAGGATCTAAATAGCTTTGTTCTGCTGTTCGGTGTGCTCATTAGAGCAGGGTATGGATTTCTCCCCATCGCGCAGGGTATGTCTCTTTCCAGCGACAGTTCCCTAACTCTTGATGAATCTGTTGCATCCTTTTTTATTACCCCAAAGTTTAGACAAACACACCCAGCCCAAGGCAGCCTGGCTGCTGCCGACATGGGATTGGATCGGTTGGAGACGTCGGCGCAACAAGGAGTTTGCAACAGTCAACTTTCTTTCTCAGGAATCTAACTCCACTTCATCTATGACTTATTGGGGTGTGGAGAGAGATTATCGCAGGTGAGAGCAAAAAAGTCTGCAGGCAAAATTGAGTTTTTAGTTCAGCTTCCCATCCCTGAGGTGTGAATTCCTGCAGTTCTGCCATTCCTTCAGTATCACTGGGGCTGCCAGGATTTCAAAGGCGGAATTGACATCCGGGGGTGAAATTCTGAAAGGTGGTGCTTTGTCCTGGATCTTAGGCAAGTCAATCAGAAAATTGAGCGTGTGTGTAAAAGAAAGCTCAACAGCTGTCAGGTTTTCCTTTAAAAAAAGCTCAACCATTTTGGTGGTTTCCTAAAAAGCAGCTCAACAATTTTGGGGCCTCTCTTAGAAAAAGCTCGACAACTTTCAGGGTGTTCTGGTATCATCTATCCTAGTATTACCCATTCAGATAATGGTCTCCAATTAGAGCAAGGTTGGGGAACTTTTTTCAGCCCAGGGCCACATTCACTTTTCAGAAACCTTCTGGGGGCCACATGACAAGGGCAAGTGGGGCTCAGAAGGAAAAGCAGACAGAGCAGCAAATGCACATTTTAGCTTTGCCCACCAGTAGGCTAGTTTCTACAAATATTCTCCTCCCCATCCCCCTCTATCATCAATCCAGGCAAGCAAGAGGCATCATAAGAGATTAATAATAATAATAATAATAATAATAATAATAATAATAATTTATTATTTATACCCTGCCCATCTGGCTAGGTTTCCCCAGCCACTCTGGGCGGCTTCCAACAAAACACTAAAATACAATAATCTATTAAACATTAAAAGCTTCCCTAATAAACAGGGCTGCCTTTAGATGTCTTCTAAAAGTTTGGTAGTTATTTTTCTCTTTGACATCTGGTGGGAGGGTGTTCCACAGGGTGGGTGCCACTACCGAGAAGGCCCTCTGTCTGGTTCCCTGTAACTTGGTTTCTCGCAGCGAGGGAACCGCCAGAAGGCCCTCGGTGCTGGTCCTCAGTGTCCTAGCAGAACGATGGAGGTGGAGACGCTCCTTCAGGTATACAGGACCAAGGCTGTTTAGGGCTTTAAAGGTCAGCACCAACACTTTGAATTGTGCTCGGAAACGTACTGGGAGCCAGATCATGAACATTCCAGCCAGACAAAAACACTCAAGGAGTGTTTGCGTCAGTGTGATTTGGATCTGGGTAGTTTAGTGGAGTTCAGACCAAATGCCAGCATCTAATGTCCTTTCTCCTAGATTCTAGGTGTCAAGTGAAGGCCATTTTATTCTCCCACATGTCCATGGGAAACTCACAAGGAAGACCTGAGCGCAGCAAGACTCTCCCCACTTGTGATTCTCAGCTACTCATGTCCAGGTGTATATGGCCTCCAGCAATCCGATGTAATCCGCTGAGAGCAGTCAAGTACAACATTCCTTGTAATGCTAGAGAAGAAATGCAGGGGAACGTTTGGTCCAGCCAGTCAAAACTTCCTGTTCCACCTGGCTGCAGCATTCTTCTTTTGCATGTGATAGAAGGTGGTTGTGACCTTATCTGTCCAGGTAACAAAAGGACGAGTCACACAGCATACCTCTCTCTTTTTTCACTTCCTTCTCCGTTTGACCAGCTTTTAGCTAGGAATGCTCTAGCTAAAATGGGATTATTCCCCCATATGGGGTAGATCCACATGTACATATTTGTAACTAAGTCTGCCTTCAGGAATCCAACTGTAAACTGATGTGAGTAAACTTCTTTTATTGACTTTGAATAAGACTGTCGTGTCTTTATTCTTTTAAGAGGGATTCAAGGGAACTTACCAGGAACATACAATTCGATCTGATACAGACTGAATTGTATAATAGTGAGAGGCTTACACAAGCCTGCAACCAGTTATCTGCTGTGCATGTAAGAAAGGGGATTGTAACTCTGCTACATAAAGAAACTTGCTAGCACAAGTTAGGAAGGATATTAATAAACAATATATCCTCTCCTGCTACCCTGAACATTCCCACAGTGACTGCCTTGCCCTGTCTGCCCATCAAAGTGTGTGCTGGGATTGCATGCTTTTGCTGAAAGGTGGGGAAGACTGTCCTCTTTCAAGAAGCCTTTTCAATAGAAATCTTCATCCTGGTCTGCATCTAAGAAAATAAGAAGAGCCTGCTGGATCAGGCCAATGGCCCATTGAGTGCAGCATCCTGTTCTGCAGTGGCCAACCAGATGCCTGTGGGGAAACTGCAAGCAGGATTCAACCACGAGAACACTTTCCTCTCCTGCTGTTTTCAGCACCTGGCATTCAGAAGCATTACTATCAATGACCATGGAGTAATGGCTAATAGCCATTTGCATCTGTATTAGAACCATTTTGAGATATATATACAGTGGACGCTCGGGTTGCGAATGTGATCGGTGCAGGAGGCACGTTTGCAACCTGCAGTGCCACGTCTGCACATGCGCGGGTTGCGATTCAGCGCTTCTGCGCATGTGCAAAGCGCAATTTAGCGCTTCTGCGCGTGAGCGAGTGCCGAAACCCAAAAGTAACCCATTCTGGTACTTCCAGGTTCGGCGCGGTGTGCAACCCGAAAACATGCAACCTGAAGCGTCTGTAACCTGAGGTATGACTGTATACACAGACACACACCTGTTTTTATTTATTTTACACTTGTTTTATTGTTTTTAAATGATGTTTTCCTTTTTCTCACTGTATATTTTATTGCTGTAAACCGCCCTGGAACCTTGTTGTGAAGAACACATAATCTAATAAAATAAATTCTTCATTCTTTTAAATAACAGAATAGCTAAATAAACAAAAAATGGCCTTCATCAGCCTTCCCCTCTCTGCTTGGGTTCAGGAGGACAGGTGTCCTTATGCTTCAGTTCTAGAACTTTTTCCTCTTTCACTGAAGCGTCTTCTTGGCCTCCAAATGGGGCGGCCAGTTGAGTTGGATCTGGTGCATTCCCTTGGCTCCCTTTCCTAAGAGCTGCGTTGTATCGCAAGAACATTAAAGCAGCCCCTAGGAGGCCGAAAACCTGAGGCAGGAAGTTTGGTGGAGATAAGGGAAGGGATGTTTCTCAAGCAGAACCATTTATATTAGGGTGACATCTTTATTAAATTTACAAGAGCTGAGAGGAACCTCCAGCAAAAGCAGTACAAAGAGTCGTTTTGCTTTGCGGGGCTCTGCCGTGCCACTTCCTGCTTCTTCCATTAAAAGCGCTCCTCTTAAATGTGGCTTCAAGGCCGAGCTAAATCCCATTAGTCTCGGAAAGAATTTAAAACAAATTATATATTCAACGATGGGGTTGGGGGGAGGAGGAGGTAGGAAACTTTAAGGTAGAATTGTGGCACAGGCACTTGCATGTCTCCCGGAGTCTAAACGCAGACCCTCCAAGTGCCCCTGTTTTCCAGGGACAGTCCCAGATTTACAGAAGGCATCCCAGTTTGTGATTTGATCCCGGAATGTCCCTCTTTTGCTTAGGACATCCCTATTTTCATTGGAGAAATGTTGGAGGGTATGGAGTTATGTGATCCCCAAGCCAAGGCTTCCAACATATATAAAAACATAATAAAGCACTTTAAAACTTCCCTATACAGGGCTGCCTTCAGATGTCTTCTAAAGGTTGTATAGTTACTTATCTCCTTGGCTCGGGGGTCACATAACTCCATAGCCTTCGACATTTCTGCCTCAGGCAGAAAAATGTCTTGAGACTGACCTGCTCCCAAGCCTATTTATTTGGTAATACAGTGGTACCTCAGGTTAAGAATTTAATTCGTTCTGGAGGTCCGTTCTGAACCTGAAACTGTTCTTAACCTGAGGTGCCACTTTAGCTAATGGGGCCTCCCGCTGCCGTTGCGCTGCCGCCACACGATTTCTGTTCTCATCCTGAAGCAAAGTTCTTAATCCAAGGTACTATTTCTGGGTTAGTGGAGTCTGTAACCTGAAGCGTCTGTAACCCAAGGTACCACTGTATATATTTCTCTCTCTCTCTTTCTCTGTGTGTGTGTGTGTGTGTGTGTGTGTGTGTGTCTGTCTGTCTGTCTGTCTGTCCCAATTCTCCTCCTGCAAAATGGAGGTGCCCAAGCTGACAAATGAAACAAGACACACAAATAAAACCAAAAATACAAACTGGGATGGGCATCAATGAGATGTAATCCCTCTTCCAAAGCATTCTCAGCTGCCTAAAATTGTGTGTGTATCCCTTAGAGATTTTTTTTCCAACAGAGGGCAGTCAAACATAGACCTGGTGAGAGATTAAGCCAGTCTTTTTTAAGCCATATTAATATATTTTCGAAGATGAAATTTGAGAGCCCTGCTGATCTATGGCTTCCTATGGCTCTGTCCTAGGAAATTCAGTTTGGGGGAATGCGTCTGTAGGTACTTCCAGACAGTTGCTATTTTCAGGTGGGGTTCAATGACAAACCAGCAAATTCAGATTAGGCAACTGAAGTTGATTGTGCAGCAAATTCAGCCCACCACCACAACAACCACACACGTGAAATCTGACTTTGTGTAATATGGAAAGCAACGGGAAACTGCACTGGAAACTCTGGGAGATCCCCTTGCTTGACACAACATTGTCTAACACCTGTACAAAAAGAAATCAGAAGGAAGGCTCATCTATCCTTCCTGCAAACTGCTCAATAAAGCAGATGTCCAGGAGTGACCTACGTATGAGCACATGGCACTGAAAGGGTGCCGCTTGCATTTCCACTCAACTGGCAAAGCATTTTCCCCCTTTATTGAGATGCAGGGATAAAGGTAATAAAGTGTGTTCCATTTAGGCTGACACACAAATGAGGTTGAAAATACATTGCCCTGCTGAAAACACTTACCGGCTGCCACGGCTGGTGTGTAGAGCTGAGAAATAGGGAAGCCTTGCCTTACAATAATGATTTTCTTGCAAGAAATCTTTACAAGTCATATTTCCCCATTGTCTTTCCAATGGGAAGAGTTAATGGGGTAGCACATGGCTGGGCTGAGACGGCATTCATGCCCCCAGAAGGAAGGCAATGATCATCATCCCCAGTTAGGCCTTGTCTGAATCCTTGGAGAGGGGCTGGGGAGCATGTGGGTCTTCGGATATTGATCAAGTTCAGACAGCACATTAGGCCAAACTAGAGCTGGATGAATCTGCCAGTTTTGGTTTCTCTCAGTTTCTCACATTTCACAATCTGAGATTTTCTTTCATTTTAAAATCCTCATAAACATTTGTCGGCATGCTAGTGCAAAGTTCTCCCAATACAGTGGTACCTCAGGTTAAGTACTTACTGTATTTTTTGCTCTATAAGACTCACTTTTTCCCTCCTAAAAAGTAAGGGGAAATGTGTGTGTGTCTTATGGAGCAAATGCAGGTTGCACAGCTATCACAGAAGCCAGAACAGCAAGAGGGATCGCTGTGCAGCGATCCCTCTTGCTGTTCTGGCTTCTGGGATTCAGAATATTTTTTTTCTTGTTTTCCTACTCCAAAAACTAGGTGCGTCTTGTGGTCTGGTGCGTCTTATAGAGCGAAAAATACGGTAATTCGTTCCGGAGGTCCGTTCTTAACCTGAAACTGTTCTTAACCTGAAGCACCACTTTAGCTAATGGGGCCTCCTGCTGCCGCCGCGCCGCCAGAACCCGATTTCTGTTCTCATCCTGAAGCAAAGATCTTAACCTGAAGCACTATTTCTGGGTTAGCGGAGACTGTAACCTGAAGCGTATGTAACCTGAGGTACTACTGTAAAAACATTTTTGTATGCAGCTTTGGGTAACGTGCACATTTTTGCAAGTGATTTCCCTGAATACGATACATTTTGCTTGAGTACATGCTTTTTTATCCATAATATATGCATTTTTGTACAACTGTTTGCTCTCACCACAAATTTGGAAACATGCAGATTTTGAAGAACAGCTGTGTTTTGGTTCATGCGTTGGCTCAAGAAGTGCAAATGGGGCAATTGCTCATGAAAATGGAAACAAAATCACATTTCTCCCAAGAAGCGAGCCAGCAATAAATCACACAGTGCAAGTTGGAGTTAACTCTTTATTAGCAAAAAAAAACGATCTCTCCAGACCTGTTGGAATATCAAGCCTAATGAACACAGCCACTCAAGGTACCTTCAGTATGCTGATGACACAGCTCTAGTCCTCCATAATGTCTGAATCAGGTGAGGCTGTGCAGTCCCTGGGCCATCGCCTGGAAACAGTGGCCAACTTAAAAATGGAAAGCATAACGCCCGTGGTCAGCAAAAGAGGTTTAGAGACTGTCTCAAGGCAAATCTTTAAAAAATGTAGTATAAACACTGATAACTGGGAAACACTGGCCTGTGAGTGCTCCAATTGGAGAACAGCCTTTTCTAAAGATGTCATGGCCTTTGAAGACGCTCAAACTCAGGACAAAAGGGAGAAACATGCTAAGAGGGAGGCACGCTTGGCAAACCCTCACTGTGATCAACTCCCACCCGGAAACCTATGTCCCCACTGTGGAAGGACATGTGGATCCAGAATTGGCCTCCACAGTCACTTACAGACTCACTGTTAAAACTGTTCATGAAAGGCCATCTTATTCGGCTACAAGGGATCGCCAAAGAAGAAAGAAGAAGCAGTGGTGAAATGGATGGGGGGGGGACAATATGAGCTTGAATCCTGACAAGACAGAGGCCTTTGGGTGAGTCGTTCCCGTGTCCAAGAAATTGGTCAGTTGCCTACCCTGGATGGGGTCGCACTCCCCCCCAAGGAGCAGTTTCATAGTTTTGCAAAGGCAGATCTATAGGAGCGCAACCACTTGAGTCACACAGCGCATGGAGCTTTGGGGGCACTGCAGCAAGCACTGCAACTATGAAATCCAATTGAAAGCGAGAGATGGGGGCAGTGGATTTTGGCATTGCCCAGGGCGCCACTGAAATCTGAGATGCCAAGACCCGCCACTGCCCAGTGGCACTTATTATTATTATTATTATTATTATTATTATTATTATTATACCCCACCCATCTGGCTAGACATGCCTTTTATCAACTGAGGCTGGTTTGACAATGACGGCCATTCCTGCACTGGGAAAGCCTTGCCACAGTAGTTTGTGCATTGATTACTTCAAGAATGGATTACTGCAAGGCGCTCCATGTGGGGCTTCCCTTGCGCTTGATCCGGAAGCCGCAGTTAGTTCAGAATGCGGCAGCACAATTGCTGACAGGGGTGAGGCCTTGTCAGTACAGTGGTACCTCGGGTTAAGTACTTAATTCGTTCCGGAGGTCCGTTCTTAACCTGAAACTGTTCTTAACCTGAAGCACCACTTTAGCTAATGGGGCCTCCTGCTGCTGCTGCACTGCCGGAGCACACTTTATGTTCTCATCCTGAAGCAAAGTTCTTAACCCGAGGTACTATTTCTGGGTTAGCGGAGTCTGTAACCTGAAGCGTCTGTAACCCGAGGTACCACTGTATATGGCACCGGCGCTCAGAGATCTGCACTGGCTGCTGATTTACTACTGGGCCAAATTCAAGGCGGTGCAATTAGTTTATAAAGCCCTTGATGGCCTACAAAATTGCCTTACCCCACATGTGCCCACACAACTGCTTTGATTGGCATAATTGGCACTACTACAGGTGACACATAATACCCGTTCCACAGCGGTAAGAACTCGATCATTTTAGTGTGACAGCACCTACATTTTGAAACTCCCTGCCTATTGAGATCAAACAGGCACTTTCACTGTACTTTTTCTGGCTCCTGCAAAAAACATTCCTGTTTAGACAAGCCTACTCAGATGCTTAGAACATTAAGGTAATTTTAATCTAATTTAGCATTTTAACTTTGGTGTGTTTCAAAGTAAGGTTGAGAGATTTTCACGAGTGTGTGTGTAATTAAATTTTATATTTTACAATTTGGAATACACATTTAAACGTCCTCAAAATATCAACGACTTCCCTTCCTCTCTTTCCGTGGTTCATTCTGCATATCATAAATCCCTGCATATTTTACAAAAACTAAACCATTCAGTATTCCATTATTACATCCATCAAAACTTGTTTACACTGTTGAATTTATCTTAATGCTGCCAATGTTTTCAAGTGTACACAATTTCCCCTGATATATTCAATACAGTGGTACCTCGGGTTACATACGCTTCAGGTTACATACGCTTCAGGTTACAGACTCCGCTAACCCAGAAATAGTGCTTCAGGTTAAGAACTTTGCTTCAGGATGAGAACAGAAATCATGCTCCGGCGGCGCAGCAGCAGCAGGAGGCCCCATTAGCTAAAGTGGTGCTTCAGGTTAAGAACAGTTTCAGGTTAAGAATGGACCTCCGGAACAAATTAAGTACTTAACCTGAGGTACCACTGTAAACATTTTCCAGCCTTCTCTAAATGTATGTTCTTCTTGTTCTCTTATTCTATATGTTAAATCTGCAAGCTGCACATATTTTATCAGCTTAAGTGGCCCCAGCTTCCATCAGCCCCAAACAGCATGGCAAGGGTCAGGGGTGATGGGAGATGGAGTCCTACAATATCTGAAGGACCACATGTTCCCCACCCTCGTTTCAGGCTTTTTAGTTGAATTCTGCACATCAGGTAGACAAACCTATTTCGAGAAGGGTGGCGAGGATGGGTTAAATTTAAGCCCAGCTTGCCTCACCCCATGTGAGACTTATACATGATACCACAATACTATGCCACAAATCATTGTTATTTTTTCCTTCTGTGGGTTTATTTGGGACTTCAAAGGGAAACACAAATAAATCGGGAGGGGGCTGGAAGTAGAATGGCAGGACTGCTGATGCAGAAAACAAAGCTGCCCTTTCTCTGAGTAATTCTCCATGAAATTGTTCTGCGGTAGCGTATCTCGAGAATTAAATGGATCAGAAGGAAGTGGAGAAAATTCGGGGGTTTTTATTTTCTTTTCATCTTGATTGCGGTTTCTTTCGAATGCTTTTGATGATTGAGGTTGGTTCTTCAGAGAAATGGAAAAAATAAGGTGGGGGGGGCGAATGCGGCCCTCCGTGACTCTCTGTCTGGCCCTCAGAATGCTCCACACCTTTCACTGTCTCTGTTTTCCACCCGAAATGTTTGTTGTTGTTGTGTTGCCTGGTTGTAATGTATCCTTGATCTCTGATCATGCCTCTTGCTTGACTGGAGGAAGAATGGGGAGATCTGTGTGAGTCTGTGTAGAAACAAAGGTCACAGTTGCATTTGTTGCTTCTCTGGCCTGCACCTGGCATGTGAGACACACACACACACACACACACACACACACACACACCAAGGCAAAGCAAGATGAAGATAAATTGAACCGTGTAATTTAAAATACTCATTTTACATCCTTAAGATATCAACGACTTCCCTTCTTATCTTTCCATGGTTCGTTTTACATATCATAAATCCCTGCATATTTTACAAAAACTATACCATTCAGTATTCCTTTATTGCATCCATCAAAACTTATTTAAACTGCTGAATTTATCTTAATGCTGCTGGCATTTTCAGCTGTACACAATTATTTCCCATATATCCAATTAACGTTTTCCAATCTTCTTTAAACGTAGGTTCTTCTTGTTCTCTTATTCTATACATTAAGTCTGTGAGTTGTGCATATTCTGTCAACTTAAGTTGCCATTCTTCTTTGGCTGGGACCTCGCTCGTTTTCCATTTTGGGACTAACAAAACATGGGACGCAGTACAGTGGTACCTCGGATTAAGAACTTAATTTGTTCTGGAGGTCTGTTCTTAACCTGAAACTGTTCTTAACCTGAAGCACCACTTTAACTAATGGGGCCTCCCACTGCCGCCACGCCGCCGCCACGCGATTTCTGTTCTCATCCTGAAGCAAAGTTCCTAACCTGAGGTACTGTTTCTGGGTTAGCAGAGTCTGTAACCTGAAGCGTCTGTAACCTGAAGCATCTGTAACCTGAGGTACCACTGTATATCTATCTGTTGGCCACTTGTGTCTAATGGAGAGAAATATACCGCCCCACCCTTCAAAGCAGCCATTTTGTGTCTGGCACCTACAGCACTTTCTCAAAATTGCAAATGTCCCCACTGGCCATGAAAGGTTGGCAAAGAATCAAAGAAAAGAAAGGGGGGGGGGTCCTATTCAAAGATCCTCTGCACCGCCATTTTGTTCGGCCTCGTCTCCCTTGCAGTAATGACATCCAGAACGCCTCATGTATTTTCAGCCTTTATCCCTGCTTGTTTCCTGCGGTCAAGATATCTGCAAGGTGATATTCTAGTTTGTAATGCTCCATATTACAGTCCAAACACCATCATGGTCTCCTTGCTGGTATCATCATTATTAATTATTATTACTTCATGCATTTGACTCTACAAAAACGCCTAGTAATTTGATAACATGATATCCAATTACTCGCCTGACTAGTTATTGCAAATTACTTCAAAATATTTAGGCAGTTAACTTGCTAAGTAATTGAATCACTTCTGATGTAAAGGAATGCAAAACACCAGCAATTACTTTAATTTATCAGAAGCTGTCAGTCAAATGGAAAGACTGCCTGATCACAGTTTGATCATCACGCACTTTTACCTGGTGGTATGCACCTGGAAAAATGTCTCCAGGGTTTTGCTTTTTGAACAAATGCAGGTGTCATGATACGAATACCTATAGTTTTGTTTTGTTTTTTTACTACTGTGCGTTTAAAAAAAACTAATTTTACTTACTACTCTGGATTATGTTTTGCTTTTTAAGTCGTTTTTGTTTTTTCCAAGTGAAAGCACACACATAATGCCTGCTTTGCACGAAATGATAAGCCAAAGAATGGCTTGCCAGGACCATACAAATGTACAAACTACTGGAATTTACAGCCATTTTGCTCCTCTCTGGCCCTCTTGATTAAGTTTAACATGTTTGTTGTCTGAACCTGGGCTCATGGCTAAGCTCTCTCCTCACTAATCATTGTTAGCAACATCACTTAAATAATGTGAGCATTCACTGTAAGGAGAGCTGAGCATCCTTTGTTGTTGTTTAGTCGTTTAGTCGTGTCCGACTCTTCGTGACCCCATGGACCAGAGCACGCCAGGCACTCCAGTCTTCCACTGCCTCCCGCAGTTTGGTCAAACTCATGCTGGTCGCTTCAAGAACACTATCCAACCATCTCGTCCTCTGCCGCCCCCTTCTCCTTGTGCCCTCAATCTTTCCCAACATCAGGGTCTTTTCCAGGGAGTCTTCTCTTCTCATGAGGTGGCCAAAGTATTGGAGCCTCAGCTTCAGGATTTGTCCTTCCAGTGAGCACTCAGGGCTGATTTTCTGAAGAATGGATAGGTTTGATCCTCTTGCAGTCCATGGGACTCTCAAGAGTCTCCTCCAGCACCATAATTCAAAAGCATCAATTCTTCGGCGATCAGCCTTCTTTATGGTCCAGCTCTCACTTCCATACATCACTACTGGGGAAACCATAGCTTTTACTATACGGACCTTTGTTGGCAAGGTGATGTCTCTACTTTTTAAGATGCTGTTTAAGATGAGCATCCTTAAGAGACCCTTAAACCCCTCGCTGAGCTACGATTCCTAGAGTCCCATTGGAAGAGAGATTGGTTATTAAACCAGACTGGGAATTGCAGCTCAGTGAGGGAAGTCTCCCAACATCTCTCAACACCCTTAAAAAATTATAATTCCCAGAATTCTTTGGGGAAAGCCATGACTATCTATCATAGTGTTTTAAATGTATGGCATGGATGTGGCCCCAGATAAGACAGATAGTAAAGGCCACCTTAGGTACAGCATCATTTTGATCAGAGCAACTGACGAAGGCAGAAGCTGGAACATTTTGCTATAACAGTTTAGCATTCAGGTTTTGTTAGCCACTGTAATATGATCATTCACATACACACACACATACCCCAAAAACCATGTAAAAATTTAAAATCAGACGATCCGCTAACTATTGCGGAAGATATTTTCTTAGTGGTCAGCATAAGTGTGGTGGCATAAACATTTTTAAAAAATTGAATCTGTAAAAATGACTGTAAGTTCAGTACAGATATTGACTAGGATTTTTAAAAAGTTATTAGTACAGTGGTACCTCGGGTTATATAAGCTTCAGGTTACAGACTCCACTAACCCAGAAATATTACCTTGGGTTAAGAACTTTGCTTCAGGATGAGAACAGAAATTGTGCAGCGACGGCGGGAGGCCCCATTAGCTAAAGTGGTACCTCAGGTTAAGAACAGTTTCAGGTTATGAACAGACCTCCAGAACAAATTAAGTTCTTAACCTGAGGTACCACTGTAGTTTAACTTAGAATAAATTCCCCCAAATTGGAAAAAAAACTGTGGGTTTTTTATGAACTCTCAACACAGCCAAAGAGGGGATGGGGGTTCCAGAATGTTCTAAAGTGTTCTGTGTGTTCCCAACTGCCGGATATATATTTTCCACAGAAGCCCCTCTGTTCCAGCTCCAGGTGGCCATAGGAAGAGGGAGCTCAAGAGAGCAAGAAAAGAAGGAGGCGCGAGTGAGGAGAGCACACCGAGAGGACAGGGAAGCATGCCTTGGACCACGTGTCGTGGGGATATGGTGAAGCGGCGGTACCTGTGGTGGGCTTTGGGATGGCAGTTTAGGCAACTGTTACCACTGCCCTTCCTGGGCCGAAAAGTGCACCGCAGGACCTGGCTGGACCCAAGTGGGGAATCGGTACTGAAGATCAACCAAGCCAGGCCATGGGGACGCAGGGAGCCCCCACAGGTCAGTCACAGAAGGATGGGTGGAGATGAGACTGAGGATGCCAACCTGGCTAGGCTGCGCCACTTGTGGAGATGTGTGTGTGTGTCCTTGAATTGTGTGGCGATTCCCGCCTCCCCCCAATTGGAATAAATAAAGACACAGGATACCATTGATTAAGGTTAATGGGCAAAAATTGGCCACAACTTTATTGGTTACAGGTAAGAGTGGTATTGGCTTTAGGCATTGGTCCTATCAGACTATCCAGCTTCAGACTGTTAGCATGAACACCGGAAAGGGTTAACACCAGCAGCAGGAGCCCTGGGATGCACATCACTAGGAACTCCCCCAGGGGTCACCGCTCGGGGGCGTGCTTTGGGCCCTGGCCTCCATAGGTTTCAGACGAGACAACGCCCCCCGGAATCCTTTACCAGGTTACCCTTTAATATTTGGGGGAGGTGATGGCGCTCCTCCCCCCCAACACATCTATATAATAAAACCAAATCTGGAGCTGGGACGAAAAGGGGAGATCCCGGGGCCACGCCAGGCTTAAATGTCCCAGGCCACGCCCCCAGAGCCAGCTGATTGGCTGGCTCTGGGGCTGACGCGGCCCGAGGATTCCCCTGGTCGCGTGGGGCTGCAGCCAGCCCCACATGATTGTTGGGGGCGTGAGCCCGCAACACCACCTCCTCCTTATGTCGGAAGTGGCTTTCTACTCAGGGCCGTCTTAAGCATATCCGGTGCCGTGGTGCAAATATCTCTCCAGCACCCACCCACCCATTTCCCAGAGTTTTTATTAAGGTGGGGGGGACTTTGGTCCAGCTGGTTCACATCATGTGGTCCAGCGCACGCTCAGCGAGGCACGTAAGTAAGAGGCGCCCGGATCATAGCTGTCAACCTTCCCTTTTTTTGTGGGAAATTCCCTTATTCCAGCACCATTTACCACTGCTTCCCACTGCTATCCCGGATTGTTAGATATCCCGTAGACTGTCCCCAGGACAGGTGAGGCTGCTGATCCCTTATTTTCGAGGCTGCTGATCCCTTATTTTCAAATCTGAAAGTTGACAGCTATGGCCCAGATCGCAGCCCAGATGGCCTCCCATGAAGCCTCCCTCTAAGCGCCCGGTGCCCCTTACCTGCCCCCGTCCGGGGAAGTCTGCGCCACTGGAGGGCCAGCAAGCAGATCAAGTGGCTTCCCGGCTGTGCCATCCTCGCTCGGCGCCAGGATCGCACAGGGCGCTTCTCTGCTTCGCTCGCAGACTCCGCAGGGAAGCACGCAGGCAGCGACATGGCCAGAGAGGAGTGCCCCACGCCTGCCCCCAATCGCACCCATCAGGCACCCAGGCAGCAGCCCTGGTGGGAGGGGACACAAAGGGGCTTCCCTGAGCCGGACGCAGCATGCTCCAATGGGTGGCTGAGAGGAGAGGAGTGGGCTGCCCCAGGGTGGGGAAGGGAGCGCGCCCTGACTCTCCTTGCCTGACACTCAGCCTGTGGCACCCTCCAAAATCTGGTGCCCTGCGCCACTAATGTCTATGGGTAAGACTCCCCTGATTCTACTCAATATTGATCCAGAGCAGATTCCAATAATAATAATAATAATAATAATAATAATAATAATTTATTTATACCCTGTTCATCTGGCTGGGTTTCCCCAGCTACTCTGGGCGGCTTCCAACAAAATATTAAAAATACATTTAAACATCAGTCATTAAAAACTTCCCTAAACAGGGCTGCCTTCAGATGTCTTCTAAACTTCAGATAGTTGTTTGTTTCTTTGACATCTGATGGGAGGGCGTTCCACAGGGTGTATAGTTAGCAGTGTAAAAACTTAAACATGTTGCCCAAAAAATAGACCAAAGGCAATTATATTTCATCCAGCGGAGCTTTAATGCTACTGAAGGCAAATGAGCATAATTGTCACAAATCCAATACATTCAGGATTGGCACTGTCCATAAAAAATCCAGTTGCAGCAAACTTAACTTAAACTTACAATAACTTATAATAAGACTAAACCTTAACGCTATATACAGAACACCACACCAGAAGGAAAACAGTTAGAAAGAGAAAGTGAAACCTAGGCTCCTCCTGGCTTTTTATTAACTTGAAGAAAACAGAGCCAGTTTAAGCTAGCTGTACTCAGCTACTCTGAAGGAATAACCCAAACATCAGGAACCTTCTGCTTGCTTCTGTCACACAGAGAAGCTTCCAGAACCCTCTTGAATTAATTAGAAAAGGAAAGATCTCTACATATCAGATCAATACTTTCTGCACTAAGAAATGCAAACTGACAGTGTGTGTGTGAAAGCTTCTCCGAGTCCTTCCCACCAAAGTCTCTTCATGTAACACAATGGTGGAGAGTCCTTCTCAGCTCGAGGTCCACATTTCCTTCTGGGCAATCTTCTGGGGGCCACATTCCAGAGCTACATTTCCCAGAGTTCAGTTCCCTGGAAGATGGACTGATTGCTAACTTGCTTTGTGAACTGTAACTCTGCGGAGGAAATGGCGGGGTCTGCTAGCAACTCGCGGCACCCTTAGCAAGCTACAATTCCCAGGAATCTATGGGAAAGCCAGAAGTTTAAAAGTGGTATAATTGTGCTGGTCCCGGGGGGAGGTTACCGTGGGGCGAGGTCCAGGACCTGAGTCGAGGGTCAGCAGACAGTCCTCCATGGGCAAAGCGGAGTCCAAAGCGGGGAGCCGGGCAAGGACAGGAACTCTGGAGGAACAGGACTGGGTGCTGGCCGAAACAGCTCTTCAATGATGTTGCTCCCGCAACCTGGGACCGGGCTGACTGGCCTTTATCTTCTCTGAGGCCAGGGGCGGTCCCGGCCCCCAGGAGACCCGCCTCTCCTGGCCTTAAGGCGAGCACTCCTCCTGGGAGAAACCAGTTCCCTCCGCCTCTCTGCCCTGAGCCTCTGCAGCTCAGGAGAGGCTGGAGGGTTACTGGACCCAGGGGGAGACTCACCTTCCCCTGACAGGGCTGGGAGAGGCGCACCTGTAGGCACTGTGTCCTCAACCACCTCCGGAGCCAGAGTGGATTCACCTGTTGCCTGCTCCTGAGGATCCAGCACTGGTGCAGGCACTTCAGAATCAAGGCCCTGCCCCAGTTCAGCCGGCCCTGGAGGCGGGGACTCCTGTGCAGGCTGGGATTCCTCCGGTTCAGCCTCTGAATCGGATTCCCAGGCCATCACAATAACGATACTTTAAATGTAAGGTTCAAGTGTGGCCTTGGAGTTGTATTAAACCAAATTTAATTCAGAGTCAACACACTGAAATTAATGGCCATGGTAAAGGTAAAGGACCCCTGGACGGTTAAGTCCAGTCAGTGGTGACTATGGGGTTGTGGCGCTCATCTTGCTACAGGCCAAGGGAGCTGGCGTTTGTCCACAGACAGCTTTCCTGGTCATGTGGCCAGCAGGACTAAACCGCTTCTGGCACAATGGAAAACCATGACGGAATCCAGAGCGCACGGAAACACCGCTTACCTGCTCGTCACAGTGGTACCTATTTATCTACTTCCACTTTTTGGCGTTCTTTCGAACTGCTAGGTTGGCAAGAGTTGGGACAGAGCAACAGGAGCTGACCCTGTTGCACGGATTTGAACCGCTGACCTTCTGATCGGCAAGGCCAAGAGGCTCAGTGGTTTAGACCACAGCGCCACCCACGTCCCATGGCAAATGTATGGCAATCAATTCCCAATAGGTCTATTCTGAGTAAATGTTAAATGATGACTACCTTTCGTTTCCACTTCTCACATTCCTTAGGGAAGCTGCCTTACACCAAGTCAGACCATCGGTCCATTTAGCTCAATGTTGCCTGAACTGACGGGCAGCAGTCTTCCAGGTATCAAACAGGGGACATTATTATTATTATTATTATTATTATTATTATTATTAGAATTTATGCACCACCCTATACCCAGAGGTCTCAGGGCAGTTCACAGAAAAGACCAACATGAAATCACAATATAAATAATCAAAATGAAAACAACAACCCACTAGCACCCCCGCCCAAAAAAGAGCCACGTTTTAAAAGGGCATAGGGACATTCCTAGTCTTAACTGAAGGTAAGTGTAAAGATAAAGGTAAAGGACCTCTGAATGGTTAAGTCCAGTCAAAGGTGACTATAGGGTTGTGGCACTCATCTCACTTTCAGGCTAAGGGAGTCAATGTTTGTTCACAGACAGCTTTCCAGGTCATGTGGCCAGCAGGACTAAACCGCTTCTGGCACAATGGAACACCGTGACGGAAGCCAGAGTGCATGGAAACGCTGTTTATCTTCCTGCCACAGTGCTACCTATTTATCTACTTGCACTGGTGTGCTTTTGAACTGCTAGGTTGGCAGGAGCTGGGACAGAGCAACAGGAGCTCAACCCGTTGCGCAGATTCGAACCGCCGACCTTCTGATTGGCAAGCCGTAGGCTCAGTGGTTTAGACCACAACACCACCAGGGATTGAACCTAATACATTCTGCATACAGAGCAGATGTTCTAGCACTGAGTCAAATCCCTTCCCCAAAAGGCCCGTCCCTTGATTTTTCCAGAACATTTAGGAAATAATAGCCATCCAAACTAACTCTTTAAGAAATGATTTCAGAGATCCAACACTCCACCAGTCCACTTTAATGGAGCATAGATGGGGCCAGCTACAAATGGCTTAGATTGTTTAATGGAAAATAGTGGATGAGGTAAAGATTAGGAAAACGATATAGTGAGGGGGCACAGATTAAAGAAGGAGAAGATAGAGAGTCGGACGTTGCTGAGGTGATGAAGAGACGGTGGTTGGGATTGCAGCCAAAATTGCAAAAGAGCTAAAATGTAATTATTCTATTTTCAGGCTCAATTGTAAGAACAGTCTGACCATTAAGTTATTGATGGCACAACGGCAAGGTAGGTCATGAGTTTTTCTCTCCCTTTGAAAGTGTCAGGCTGTAGAGAGAGAATGATAGCTTCTAATCTTACCCAGAAAAAACTGTGTGGTACTGTCAACCACGTCTAGATATTTAAACTGCCACCTGCTAGGGATGCTGGAGTTGCAAGATTGCTGCACCGAGAAAAGAATTTGATTAGATAGCTCCACAAGATCCCTTCCAACTCTACAATTCTATTGTTTTATGTCTTCATATTATTCTAATTATTGCTACTACAACTACTACCTGCAAAGTCCCAGGGGAGGCTGCAACAATTTAAAATTAAAAAACGAGAAGAAAGTTGCAACAGATTATAATCACAGGGGTAAGAAAGCCCTGAGATGTCCTTTTTTTATATAACAGCAGCAGAAGCATCTTCAGGTTGGTAAGATTTGTGAGGCAGGCTAGGCCCAGAGAGTATGACTGCCCCAAAGTCCCCCAGTGAGCTATAGGGTTGAGTAGGGATCCCTCAGGTCAGTGGCTCCAACTCTAAGGAGTCCCTTTGAGACCCCAATAATACATCAGACTGAGCTCCTTGAAGGATAAAAATATAGTAACTAGAATAAGGTGGGAACAGGATATTTGGGAGCATGACTGGGGAGAAGCAGTTGTTGTTGTTTAGTCGTTTAGTCGAAATGATAAGCCAAAGAATGGCTTGCCAGGACCATACAAATGTGCAAACTACTGGAATTTACAGCCATTTTGCCCCTCTCTGGCCCTCTTGATTAAGTTTAACATGTTTGTTGTCTGAACCTGGGCTCGTGGCTAAGCTCTCTCCTCACTAATCTTTGTTAGCAACATCACTTAAATAATGTGAGCATTCATTGTAAGGAGAGCTGGGCATCCTTTGTTGTTGTTTAGTCGTTTAGTCGTGTCCGACTATTCGTGACCCCCTGGACCAGAGCACGCCAGGCACTCCTGTCTTCCACTGCCTCCCGCAGTTTGGTCAAACTCATCGAGAACACTGTCCTACCATCTCGTCCTCTGTCGTCCCCTTCTCCTTGTGCCCTCAATCTTTCCCAACATCAGGGTCTTTTCCAGGGAGTCTTCTCTTCTCATGAGATGGCCAAAGTATTGGAGCCTCAGCTTCAGGATCTGTCCTTCCAGTGAGCACTCAGGGCTGATTTCCTTAAGAATAGATAGGTTTGATCTTCTTGCAGTCCATGGGACTCTCAAGAGTCTCCTCCAGCACCATAATTCAAAAGCATCAATTCTTTGGCGATCAGCTTTCTTTATGGTCCAGCTCTCACTTCCATACATCATTACTGGGAAAACCATAGCTTTTACTATACAGACCTTTGTTGGCAAAGTGATGTCTCTGCTTTTTAAGATGCTGTCTAGGTTTGTCATTGCTTTTCTCCCAAGAAGCAGGCGTCTTTTAATTTCGTGGCTGCTGTCACCATCTGCAGTGATCATGGAGAAGCAGTACTGAGGTAAAAAAAACATAGGATTTTGGTTTGGGGCCCCAAAGGGGTCCACTACAGTCGGAGAAGACGGGTGAATGTCCAAACAGGGAGAGAAAGAAGCAAGCAGCTTTTTAAAAGCAAAGATCCTTTATTCAGTTGCCATCAGGTTCCCTACACGAAGGTGACAAAAGGTACAAGGAACCCAAAGGTAAGTCCAGAATTTTATACAGTCACAATTGTGGGTGGTCTTATTTGTTATAAGAAAAACTTGTTCTTTCTCCCTTATAGGGTACCCAAGAGCCCGTATAGAGACCTTATGTAGGTTCCCTATCGGTAGGAGAAAATAACAGAGACCAACCAGAGAATATTGAGAAGCGAAGCCTGATCTTTATTAACTGTTGCTACAGGGGGCTCACAACCACATGCAGGAGGCAGGAGGGACCCAGAACATTGGTGTGCAAGCTCTTATATAGACTTTTGAAATTGCCCACCCTGTAGCCCAAGACCACCCCCCTGAAACATCATACATACATCACAGAAGGAGGTGGTCTACAGCAGAAATCCTGTTTGCCAGGGTACCTGATAATGGTCACTGATTGCTTTTACCTGGGCAGTCTGGCTACTCTTTTGGGATGGTAAATACTCAGTTCCTGAATCCAGGTCACAGGCTCACCCTATTCAAACACAGATACGCCCTTAAGACAGGGTTTGTCAGCAAAGAGACAATGGGGAGGTTTTCCCATTTCAAAACATTTGAGGTCAATTAGGGAGAAACTAATTGACCAAACTGCGGGAGGCAGTGGAAGACAGGAGTGCCTGGTGTGGTCTGGTCCATGGGGTCATGAAGAGTCGGACATGACTAAACAACAACAGGGAGAGTCAAAATGGTTTCAGGACTGATTTCCTGTACTGTTTTCAGACATGTGGTTTATACTGTATATATTTGAGACCTTAAATTCTTATAACATATTTGTCACAAATTCGTCAAATTACAAGGTAAGGGGGAGGTACATGGGTGCAGGGTGCAAAAGGGAGGTTTGGGTGCAAGATACAAGGTGGCGTGTAAATACTATCCACATGAGTTAGGTAATACCTAGAAATCCAGGAAGAGATGGCAAATGATATGGTAATCCGTTTTTTCAAGATTAGCAATAAGGATGAGAGTGTCATCCAACAGTTGGATTTTTCTCCCTACAGGGTCAAAGGAAATGGATCTGGTCCTCTGGCACTTTACAGAAGAAGGAAGGGAAGCTGAGTGGAAGTGATTAGTTTGAGGCTAAAAACAACATTTATACTTTCATGGTTACAATAAAGTGGTGCAATTTGAATACATGGGTTCCACTTCTTATTTTCCTGGAAGTAGTTACATTCATTGAGAAGTTGAACGTATGCTGATAAGGCACAAGGATACAAAGGGGTCAGTTCCATTTGCAAAGACGCCAAATGTAACAATTGCAAAAGGGTCACCTTAGGGATTCACATTTACAAAGACACAATTATGAGAAAAATACCTAGATACAATTTAATATTACCTGGATACAATTACAAAAGAATACTTGGATACAATTATTAAAATAGAAATAGGGTAAATTCAGGAAATAGGGTAAGAGGCAGTGAAGGGAAGAAAGAAAAATGCTTTACAGTGGTACCTTGAGTTAAGAACTTAATTCGTTCTGGAGGTCCGTTCTTAACCTGAAACTGTTCTTAACCTGAGGTACCACTTTAGCTAATGGGGCCTCCCGCTGCCGCCGCACCACCACCATGCGATTTCTGTTCTCATCCTGAAGCAAAGTTCTTAACCCAAGGTATTATTTCTGGGTTAGTGGAATCTGTAACCTGAAGCCTCTGTAACCCGAGGTACCACTGTATTTGACAGAAAGGAAAAAAGGGATTTGAAGGAGGGGAATAACGGGAGAAGTGAATTAAAAGGAGACTAAAAGGCAAAATTCAGAACAAGGTTTATATATATCTCTTAGGTTGTCTTCATTTGGTTTATTTGGTTGTGGTTTTCAGCTTCGTTAGCTATTTTTCTACACCAGTACTTAGACAGGAGTGCATGAGATAGTCTTCCTGTCTTTTTCTCCATTCCTTCCATTCAGCTTTTGCAAAGGTGTTTACTGGTGCTGGAAGGTTTCAGAGGCCCTGGAAGGACACAACCTCCACCCATGAACCTGACCCGCCGCAAGCAGCAGCTCAGCGAATTTCATTCTCATCTGTCTGGCCTATACATCTCAGTCAGTTTGAGGCATAGAGGACTCCAGGGCAGTAGATTGCTCCCAGAGGTCATGATGGATGGATGTTTCTTGCTAAGACATTCGGCAAATGAGACCACGGGGCCTGGCCCACAACTCAGCAGATGACAAGACCATGGAAGAGCTACTGGGTGTTGAAACATGACTATTGCTATTGTTACAAACCCTGTTCCATTCAAGTGTGGGGAGGGAAATGGAGCCATGTCCTTACCCATATCATCCACCCATCCATTAATAAATCACCATTCCCCCAAGTTTGCAATAGCATTGGCTTGACTAACAACATCATGGATGTAGGCCCTATCACAGTGGCCTTATGAACTTCTCAAGGTGTCATTATGAAGTGACACCTTTCCTTGTTGCCATGACATTAAAAGCTAGGAGCATAGGAAATCCCACAGGCAGGATATGAAAGAAGGCCATTGTCCTCTCCTGCTCTTGCCTCCAACAGCTAATTGTCAGTGGCCTACATCCTCTGCACCAGCCATCTTCACAACTTCACGAGTTTGCCTAATCCATTTTAAAATACTCGAAACCACAGTTAGGCAAGAGGCGAGGCTGACCCCTATGATCAGGTAGAGTGAAACCAACCCTAAGAGATCTGGGAGACAGTAAAAGATAAAGGGACCCCTGACCGTTAGGTCCAGTTGCGGACGACTCTGGGGTTGCGGCGCTCATCTCACTTTACTGGCCAAGTACAGCTTCCGGGTCATGTGGCCAGCATGACTAAGCTGCTTCTGGTGAACCAGAGCAGCACACAGAAATGCCATTTACCTTCCCACCGTAGTGGTACCTATTTATCTACTTGCACTTTGACGTGTTTTCGAACTGCTAGGTTGGCAGGAGCAGGGACCGAGCAACGGGAGCTCACCCCATCGCTCACCCCATCAAACCGCCAACCTTCTGATTGGCAAGCCCTAGGCACTGTGGTTTAGACCACAGCGCCACCCTCATCCCTCTCTGGGAGACAGTAGCAGATGCCAAACAACACCAACCCTAAATGCCAGCCCTAATGACAGAAAGCAGAGGCAGGGAACCTCAGACTTAGGGGTCAAATGCGATCTTCTAAACTGCTCCATCTGGCCCTCAGGACTTTCCCTAGGCCAGTGGTTCTCTTTCTTTTTTTTTAATAATATTTATTAAATTTTAAAGGGTTACAAAAAGAAAAAATTAAAAAACAGCATATTAAAGAGATACAAAACATCACATCACAATAATAAAAAAAGAAGAAAAGAAAAAAAAGAAAAAAGAAAAGAAAAAAAATACAATGAATCTTCCCATAACTTATCTTTCATTTGCTTATTTCCTTGACCTCCTCACACCTCCCTTTTTTGTATTCTAGTTCAATTAGCTATTTCAGCAAGTCCTTTCCATCTTTTCCAGTTTTTGTCCTCTATTTTATCTTAATATAATGTAACTTTACTTTCCCTCCTTCACCACTTAGCAATCTATTTTTTCTTAATCCTTTATAGCATTTCTGCTAAAACCACATTATTTCATTCCAACATCCTTCTAACATTCCTTAATTTTACAACGTTTCTGTAAATAAACTTTAAATTTCTTCCAATCTTCTTCCACCAACTCTTCTCCCTGGTCTCGGCCAGTGGTTCTCAAACTGTTTTCCTCTGGGCCACACTCTCAGAATAAAATTTTTCTTGCGCCACACCAATTTTTTTTATTGAAAAACGAGCAGAAACAGCTCCTAGCAGTGCCTGATTTATAACATTGAACACAGCTATTTTATAATACGATCGTGGACACCCAGAAAGTATAAAACAACGCAGCAACATAAGAACATGAATCATTCCCAAAATATAATTATAAATGAGCCTCTTACGTATGCACCTTAGGTATGTATACAAACCCAGTGAGGGGCATGAGCTTGCTTTTGCAGGGTAATCTCGTTTATATTAGGTCTAATTTGAGATAAACAGACTTTCTTCTCATCAACACAAAGAAGCCTTTCTCTTCTCTGGTCTTTCATATTTGTCAGAGTTGAAAATCCATGCTCATGATATGTCATGGAGAATTGTAGAAGAATAGCCAATGCTTTTGAAGAGAGGTGTGCATACTATTTCTGGCTGTATATTTTTTAAAAAAAAGTATTTTGATACTGTACTAATTAGCTGGAACTGACCACTACTTTCTGACTAAACTTCTAATCTCTGATGACCCTTTATTTGCAGTCCAAACCAATTTATAACAGATAAACATCAGTTCTTCACTAAACAGGGCTGCATTTGAGCAATAAAGTTGCATTTATAGCTTATTACAAATATAGTCAGCTGCAGATTAACATTAATGACAATCTTAAGAGGAATGCTAAGGATAGAGGGAATCAGTGGAAAATATAGATATTTGACTTATGCAAGATCAAAAATTTATCCATGTACCCAGTATTAAAATTTCCACATGTATGTGACATTTGGAGCCTGTATGGTGTAATGGTTAACGTTTCAGACTAGGACGTGGTAGATGAGGGTTCAAATCCCCACTCAGGCATTGGGTGACCTTGGGCCAGTTACTGTCTCTCAACCTAACCTACTGCACAGGGTTGCTGTGAGGATAAAATGGGGAATGGAAGAGCCATAAAATCATAGAAGTGTAGAGCTGGAATGCACCCTAATATTCCTCTAGTCCAACCCTGTGCAATTCATGAATACCACCTTGAGCTTCTGGAATGAATGAAAGTTTGTTTTTTCCAGTAGTGCACTGCAGCAAAATCAACCAAAAGACTGAAGACACCTTAAAACCTAACAAAAGTTATCACGGCATAAGCTTTTACAGTTTACAGTCCACTGAAGTGGCCTCCAGGTCATGGACCCTTATGCCAACCTGGTGCCCTCCTAACGTTTTGAACTATACCAGCTAGAGCTGATGAGAGCTGCAGTCCATAACATTTGGTGGGCACCCAGTGGGCAAAGGCTGGCTTAAAAGGTACAGGGACCCCTGACCATTGGGTCCAGTTGCGGCCGACTCTGGGGTTGTGGCGCTCATCTCGCTTTATTGGCCGAGGGAGCCGGCATACAGCTTCTGTGTCATGTGGCCAGCATGACTAAGCCGCTTCTGGCGAACCAGAGCAGTGCACGGAAACTCCGTTTACCTTCCCACTGGAGTGGTACCTATTTATCTACTTGCACTTTGACGTGCTTTCGAACTGCTAGGTGGGCAGGAGCAGGGACCGAGCAACATGAGCTCACCCCATCGCGGGGATTCGAACCGCTGACCTTCTGATCGGCAAGTCCTAGGCTCTGTGGTTTAACCCACAGCACCACCCGCGTCTCTAAGGCTGGCTTATGCCATAATAAAATCTACCACTTCTTAAGGGGACACAGGACTCTTGGTTTGTAATGCTTTCAAGCTATCCATTTTATCCAGTTGTCGATGCATGCATTTTAAAACTGAGAAAAGAAAATGTCCATTTCAAAAAATAAATAAATTAGGAACTACAGTGGTACCTCGGGTTAAGTACTTAATCCGTTCTGGAAATCCATTCTTAACCTGAAACTGTTCTTAACCTGAAGCACCACTTTAGGTAATGGGGCCTCCAGCTGCCGCCGTGCCGCCAGAGCACGATTTCTGTTCTCATCCTGAAGCAAAGTTCTTAACCTGGGGTACTATTTCTGGGTTAGTGGAGTCTGTAACCTGAAGCGTATGTAACCCGAGGTACCACTGTATAGAATTGCTCTTCCTTTGAAAAAGCACTGCGAGACTTATCTCAGCTGTGGCAAATTCAGCCACAGAGACCACGTCTATGACTAGGTTTTGCTAACCTCATCCGTAATCATTAGCAGTCATGGATATTGCTAGTCAAGTAGAGCAACGCTGGGCTAGCAGCAAGGGTCCTGCCACCCTTGTTTCATTTCATTACCCAGTTTAATTGCATTTTATAAAGGTTGCTGTATAGGGGAAAGCCATTACACATAACAAGCACAGTTGAATACCTTTTCTGCCTCGTCTCTGCTTGCACTTACACTCACCCCTGGTGGAATTCATTCTGCAACTTGTCCCTTGGTGAGGGACTGGCTAAGATCCTCAAACTGAGCTGAAGATGAATTTTCAGAAGCAGGGGAGCGTAAGTATCATAATTGAGATGATACACAATTCCTGTACCAACCGTTGAGAATTTCCATTCCACCTTAAGGAGCAGACATGGGATTGTAACATGTCACATGTCTGTTTACATTCCAGCACAGTCTGCTGGGAACTTCCGTTGTGGGTATAGCTTTTGCTTTTCTCTGTCTCTCTGAGGAGAAGAAAGGGAGACAACATGTTTTCTTTGTCTTGATTTATGCTTAATAAATCTTTAGCTGTTGGTATGTGTCCACAAGCCTCACGCCTGTTATGTTTGCACAGTATGCTCTGTTAATATAGCGTGCTCAGGCTTTTGAAGTCTGAGTCACTGATTTACGTCGCACCAGAGATCGGGGGATCATCATGGCTGGAAGGGCATCCAGCTAGGGGCTAGCCAGCCGGCATCTCAACCCCCGAAGGATGCTGACACCAACATGCTCCCACCAAAATGTCATAAGAGCCCTTCTGGGTGAGAATTTAGTCCAGGGTTGAGGAATATGTGGCCCTCCAGATGTAGTTGGATGCCAGTTCCCATCAACCCCAGCTAGGATGGCCAATGGTCAGGCATGATGGGATGGAGGTTCACAGGTTCCTCACCCTGATCAGCAGTGAATGGGACACCTTTGGGAAGGTCACAAGAGAGGTATGGAAGAAACGCAGACCTCCCTATTGCTGCTTCCCAGCAGCTGACCTGTGTCAGTTTTAATGCGAACCAATGCCAGTGTACTGGAAGAAGCATAGATTGCCAGTGATGAAGCAACAATTCTTCAACATCAATTTCATTGGACTGGTCATGTTGTGTGGGTGCCTGATTATCGTCTTCCAAAGCAACTACTCTACTCCAGACTTAAAAATGGAAAGCGTAATGCTGGTGGTCAACAAAAGCAGTTTAAAGACTCTCTCAAAGGAAATCTAAAAAAATGTAGTAGAAACATCAACAACTGGGAAACACTGGCCTGTGAGCACTCCAGTTGGAGAACAGCCTTTACCAAAGGTGTTATGGACTTTGAAGACGCACAAACTCAGGACGAAAGGGAGAAACATGCTAAGAGGAAGGCACGTTTGGCAAACCCTCACCATGATCAACTCCCACCTGGAAACCTATGTCCCTGCTGTGGAAGGACGTGTGGATCCAGAATTGGCCTCCACAGTCACTTACGGACTTACTGTTAAAACCGTGTTCTTACTCAGCTACAAGGTATCACCAAAGAAGAACTGTGTCTTCCCCACTTTATTATTATTTAAAGGACTTGCATACTACTTTTCATCAGAAAAAGTCACATAGCAGTTTACAAAGAACAGCATGGAACAAAAGACAAGAAATTAAACAAAGGATGCGAAACAGAGGATTAGAGGGCGCCTGCAGGCTTTTCCAATGGTGTCTCAAATATACGCAATGTCACCTAAACGTTCAGGGCCTTGGAATGTGACCCCTGTATAAATGGGGAGCTGTCTGGGTTCACACTTCTCTGAACTTCGCTGTGCTGTTCCCCAGCCAAGTAATGTGTAGAAAAAGGCATAACTAGGGTCAAGTGTGTATAAAGTGAAACTTTCAACAACCATCTGCTCAGGCTTGGGATATTTGGAATCACCCACTGAATGTCATATGCGGTCTACATGCTTCCTTTCTTCTGTGTTTACTGAAATTGTGGTGATCCAGATGTTTACTGCTTTACTTTGAGTTTTATAATGTGCATGCCAGGAATAGGGGAAGTCGCTTAATCTAGTTTTATATGGTTTTCTCCCTTTCTCCATTCCTTCTTTCTCCCTTTTCCATTTTGCTCTTCTCCTCTGCTATCTTCTCACTGTCTTCTTTCTTTCTTTCTTTCTTTCTTTCTTTCTTTCTTTCTTTCTTTCTTTCTTTCTTTCTTTTTTGGTATGCTGTCCCTGCTGAAAATACAATAAAATGTTATTTACCAAAAATGCATATATTAGTGAAGATAATATACAATAAATGCATTATATTATATTCACTTGCAAAACATGTATTTTAGGCAAAGTTGCATTTAAAAAGGTGTATATTGGATGCAAGTCACACTAAATTCAAAATCAGATGTGGAACTGAACTTAAGATTGGAACAAATGAGCAACAGAGAAAAACCAAAATAGACTGATTTGCCTATTATTGAGAGCTGGACCATAAAGAAGGCTGATCGCCGAATAATTGATGCTTTTGGATTATGGTGCTGGAGGAGACTCTTGAGAGTCCCATGGACTGCAAGAAGATCAAACCTATCCATTCTTAAGAAAATCAGCCCTGAGTGCTCACTGGAAGCTGAGGCTCCAATACTTTGGCCACCTCATAAGAAGAGAAGACCCTAATGTTGGGAAAGATTGAGGGCACAAGGAGAAGGGAATGACAAAGGACGAGATAGTTGGACAGTGTTCTCAAAGCTACCAGCATGAGTTTGACAAAACTGCAGGAGGCAGTGGAAGACAGGAGTGCCTGGAGTGCTCTGGTCCATGGGGTCACGAAGGGTCAAACATGACTAAACGACTAAACAACAACAACTGCAGCTTAGACCTATTGACAGGTTTTGGGGTGCAAGTTCAATCTTCTCATTTGGATCAAACCCTGTGTGTGTGTGTGTGTGTGTCAGATTGTTAGCCAACATAGCCAAGACCCCAGCGATAAACTACAACATGAGCTAGAAAGAGAATTCCTCATTTAGCAATGGCACCCCAGCCTTTTCCTCCCTCTCCCCACCTCCTCTGTTTGAAAATAGGCTCACCCGCAAACAAACAAAAAGGAGATAACTTTTAGTCTGTTGCAACATCGGGACTCATTTCCAAAGTGACAGAAAGCTGAGCCAAAGGTATCATTATGCTGAGCCATATACCTTGGCAAAGTGTTGACGGCAGCTCCTGCAGAGTTCAAGTAGGCATCCATGGCAGGGAGGCCATTGTTTCTCTGAGAAGTAAACAACGGATAATGGATACCTTGCCCAAAGTCAGCTGAAAGGTAATCATTTCCGCATCCTTTGACTGGCAGGCAGATTGCTAGCTTCCATACCCTTTCACAAAAGGAAAGGGAGATATAATTAATCTATTTCTTCTTAACCAAGTTAGGCAACTCATCGTTTCCTCTCTGTGTGTGGAAGCCAGCTATTAGGAGAAGGAGGGTGGCACACTCAGGGCACTTCAAACTAGTATGCATGCAGCAGACCTTCCCACAAAGGGCACTCATCCAACAGGACACTCTCTTGCACAGATTCCCTGTTCAAATTCCCCTCCTGCTTGCTTGATATGTTACCGGGGCAGGCCCAGGAAGTCCCACCCTGTCAAAGGCAGCCATTGATTTTTCATCAATGGATCTTTCAACCGGCTGGACTAAACCGTTGGATTACGGCACCACCTAGTGCACCATCCTTTCCAACATGGTCAAGTGTCCGTCTTCGGAACCAAGGATGTTTTAGCACAGGCAGGGGAACGAGGGAGAATCCCAGGTCCCGGGAGCAGATGGGGACTTGCAAGCCTCTCTATCTGGCTCTTGGGACCCTCCCCAGGTCTTGCTTCATACCCACTTCCCCCCCCAAAAAAAAATTGGGAAGGGGTTTTCTCTGGGTGAAACGCATCCTTGAACTCTGATGATGCCTCCTGCTTGCGTGGAAGGAGGATAGAGGTGTGAATGCATATGCGTAGAAACCAGCCTGCTGTAAGGTAAAGGGACCCCTGACCATTAGGTCTAGTCATGACCGACTCTGGGTTGCGGTGCTCATCTCGCTTTATTGGCCAAGGGAGCCGGCTTACAGCTTCCAGGTCATGTGGCCAGCATGACTAAGCCGCTTCTGGTGAACCAGAGCAGCACACGGAAATGCTGTTTACCTTCCTGCCGTAGCGGTACCTATTTATCTACTTGCACTTAGACGTGCTTTCGAACTGCTAGGTTGGCAGGAGCGGGGACGAAGCAACGGGAGCTCACCGTGTCGCAGGGATTCGAACTGCCGACCTTCTGATCAGCAAGTCCTAGGCTCTGTGATTTAACCCACAACGCCACCCGCGTCCCTGCTGTAGAAAGCTACAAATCACATTGAGGCCTCTACTGAGTCTTGCCTCCTGCCCTACCCACCACTGGCCTATGACCTCCAGAAAGTTGCCCAGAAGGGAAATTGGCCTCCGGGTTCAAAAAGTTTCTCCACCCCAGGCCATATATACACCAATCGCTTTTCCATTATTACATCCATCAAAGATTATTTGCACTGTTGAATTATCCTAATGCTGCCAGCATTTTCAGCTGTACACAGTTATTTTCCGTATAACCAATAAACGTTTTCCAATCTTCTTTAAACGCATGTTCTTCTTGCTCTCTTATTCCACATGTTAACTCTGCAAGTTGCACATATTTTGTCAACATAAGCTGTTGTTCTTCTTTGGTTGGGACCTCGCTAACTTTCCATTTTGGGGCTAATAAAACACGGGCTGCAATTGTTGCATACATAAATAACGTTTTCTGACACCTGGGGATTTCAGTCTGAGTTATCCCCAACAGAAAGGACTCGGGGGGGGGGAGTAATTTTAAACATTTTTTTCAATTCATTATAAATCATTTCCCAATACTCTTTTACCTTTTTACATGTCCACCACATATGAAAGAATGTTCCCTCCACCTCTTTGCACTTCCAGCACTTATCTGATTCAGTCTTGTAAATCTTACCAAGCCTCGGAGTTAGAGACCACCTATGAATCATTTTCAAATAGTTCTCCTTCAAAGAATAACATGCTGTAGATTTCAAGTCCACCTTTGGTCTGATTCAGCAGGGCTTGTGTTGTTGTTGTTGTTGTTCCTATTGTTGTCATTGTTGTTATATATATATACTCCACCTTTCCCCCTGATAACTTACTTCACAGTGCCTTGGAGTCCTTCCTCCAGTGCTCTGGACTCCACACATCACAGTCTGAAAGATTCAGCTCCCCAGAGGCAAATCTCCCATTTCTAAGAACCTCCTTGCTCACTCTCTTGGCTGAGTTTCTCCTGTCAGCAAAATTAGGTCAGCAAGCTGTCCGCATTCCTTAGGAACATAAGAAGCTGCCTTACTCTGAGTCAGAACTTCGCCTGGGGAATGACACCACCCGCCACCCCATGTTCTTCTTGCTCGGCAGACGACGCTTCACAGAACTATGATTCCCAGAGCAGATTAACGTACAATCCCCCTTCCCAGGGAACAGGGGAATATGGCTCTCCTGGAAATTCTCAGCACCCTTAATAAACTGCATTGGAGGAAGCCATCGGTCTTTAAAGGGCTTTAAATGTAAGATGCAAATGCGGCCCTGAAAAATGTGCCCATCTGTGATCTAAAGGAATGACCATATCTATAGTAACTGTTTTGGATCTTAAGAGACCTATACAGTGGCACCTCGGGTTAAGTACTTAATTCGTTCCGGAGGTCCGTTCTTAACCTGAAACTGTTCTTAACCTGAAGCACCACTTTAGCTAATGGGGTCTCCCGCTGCCACCATGCCACCAAAGCACAATTTCTATTCCCATCCTGAAGCAAAGTTCTTAACCCGAGGTACTATTTCTGGGTTAGCAGAGTCTGTAAGCTGAAGCATATGTAACCTGAAGCATCTGTAACCCGAGGTACCACCGTATTAGATCCTTCCTACTGCCACTAGCATATGGGTAGGCAAACTAAGGGCCAGGGGCTGGATCCGGCCCAATCACCTTCTAAATCCAGCCCGTGGACGGTCCGGCAATCAGCGTGTTTTTACATGAGTAGAATGTGTCCTTTTATTTAAAATGCATCTCTGGGTTATTTGTGGGGCCTGCCTGGTGTTTTTACATGAGTAGAATGTGTGGTTTTATTTAAAATGCATCTCTATGGGGCATAGGAATTTGTTCATTTTTTTTTCTTTCAAAATATAGTCCTGTCCTCCACAAGGTCTGAGGGACAGTGAACTGGCCCCCTGCTGAAAAAGTTTGCTGACCCCTGCATGTGGCCCCTGAAAACTTACCCTGAAGGGAAAGAGGACCTTGGACCGAAGAAGGTTCTACATGCCTAAATGGGAGATCTGGCTCACAAAATGATCTGCAGTACGGGACTAAGGGGCATTATAAGCATGCCCTTCTTTCCATCAGCTGGGGGGGGTGCCTCAGAGGCAGGAGTTCTGCCTGCCTGCCTGCCTGCCGTCCCCAAACTTCAGGCTCACTTGCAGTCAACTGAGCCTTGTGTCCTGTGTAACTACATGGGGAGCCCGGCTGTTGAAAGAAAACGTTACAAGAGGATTTTGTATCTTTAAACTCTGACCGTGTTTTAATTTATTTTCCCCCTGCTGCTTCCAATTCTCAGCTTGAGCGCTGGGGAATGGGGCCAGCTCAAGCAAAGGGAAGAGGGAGATGTTTGGAGGCCAAACGGAGCGCATTTGGGAAGGCCTTGTCAGGCCACCGGTTTCCTAACACCCTGGAGTGGGTTGCTGGCAATGAGATCCTTCGGCCAAACAACAGCTCAGCGTTCAGGACCCCAGAGAACTTGGTGCCCTTGTGTGCTATTTTCCTGTTTATTCTCTCCCCCTCTCTCTTCCTCTCCTCCTCCTCTCTCTTCCCCCCTCTCCCCTTCCCCCCTTTCTCCCCTCAGGGATTGGAAATACCAGAGCTGATGTCACGAGCAGGCAGCACTCGCCAGAAATAAAATCTTGGATAAACTCACAGGCTCCAGCCAGTCCTTTTCAGTCCCTCTCTTTGCCATCTATATTCTCTTCCCCTCCCAACGCCACTTCCCAACAAGATCTCAGCCTGAGCCAACCAACTTCCTCCCCACCCTCCCAGGAGGAAAAAATATATATATTTTTAAAATTGCATTAAGGCATTTCAAGCAGTTGGTCTTAGAGGGCAGATCCCAGACCAGAAACCAGTTTTCATGTCAGAGTGTATGGACAGGAGTCACTTTGGCTTGTGCCTGGTAGCTGTGGCTCAACAGGTTTGTAGACAGCAGCCTGCTCACAGGGGTGTTGGCTAAGTACTTGAAAGAATCAGGGTACAGCCCCCTGACATAAATCTGCACCAAATCTGCATATGCTAATTTATATAACAAGAGAGGTGCATATTAAAGCAATGCATGGTTGGAGATCTCACTGGCGATGTGCTTTGCAAAATGCCCGGCAGCTCTGCAAGCAAAGGCCACAGCTTCACCATACATTTAAAGCCCTCTTATACCAGTCCTATGGGATGTGGGTGGCGCTGTGGGTTAAATCACAGAGCCTAGGACTTGCCAATCAGAAGGTCGGCGGTTCGAACCCCCGTGACGGGGTGAGCTCCCATTGCTCGGTCCCTGCTCCTGCCAACCTAGCAGTTCGAAAGCACGTCAAAGTGCAAGTAGATAAACAGATACCACTCCAGCGGGAAGGTAAACGGCGTTTCCATGCGCTGCTCTGGTTCGCCAGAAGCGGCTTAGTCATGCTGGCCACATGACCCGGAAGCTGTACGCTGGCTCCCTCGGCCAATAAAGCGAGATGAGCGCCGCAACCCCAGAGTCGGTGACGACTGGACCTAATGGTCAGGGGTCCCTTTACCTTATACCAGTCCTGGCTCCTCCAAAGAATCCTGGAAACTATATTTTATTAAAGGGGGGTGTCCATTGTTAAGGGGCCACCACTGAGAAAGCCTCTCTTGTGCATCCCAGGGAAACATCTAGATCTTAATGGTGGGCTCCCAAGAAGGACCCCTGAGCTAGATCTTTGTATATGGGAAAAATTATTTGACCAAAGATGACTGTTTAGATAAGTTACACCCATGCTGTTCAGGCTTTGAACAAAAGGGGGTAGGTATCTAATCTTTCCTTCTCTCTTTCTGGCTCCTGTTGCTTGCAGCTCTTCAGCCTTGCCAAGTGATGCCTGTTACTGCCGACCAAATGGCATATGATGGAGGCATGAGCAGGGCATGGCTCATATAAACCCCAGTGACATCACACATCCTCTGCATGGGAATACATGCGGCCTGGATGACTCAGTTTCTTCAAGCGTGGTGCTGATAACACCAAGGCTATAGAAAACTCAGACTTTTATTTGGCTGGAAAGTAGCCTATTCTACAAGTGTACTGCCCATCACTCTGCCCACTTCTGCCTCTGGCCCCACTGATCACCAGCATGTGGTTCCTGGAAGTTTCTCCATGAAGGAATGTGGCTCTTGGGCTGAAAAAATCTTCTCCATTCCAGCCTTTGCCAGTGCCTTGAGTGGCAATGGTGGTTTCCTGACAGAAGGAGGAAACTGGCGGTGCAATTCATTTCCTACTCAGACATTAAAGATTCAACAGCCTCTGTCAGGAAAGGGAAGGTCAATTGTGAATCTGGGCTCTTAGTAATAATGTTCAGGAACATCTGGGCCAATGCCAACCCTCCCAGAAGAATATTCTATAAACAAGCCAGCTATGTCAGCCCCTCAAATTCCCCTCAGGCTACAGCAGCATATTTATTGATGCCGGATTCATTCCTCCACGACGACTGATTTCCATAGTTTCCTCCATCCCCAAGGTACAATCTTCAAATTCAATTCAACGACCAAAAACACACACCTGGTTGCAATATTTCTTCTGTGCACAACTGGGGGGTTTCCATCCTGAGAAGCGTCAGCGCACTAAGAATGTGATGCTTTCAAAGCTGGGATAAAATCATAGGCAGAGACTAACTTCTTGAGACCGTGGCCTACAAATAATGCACAGTTGTGAGGGCCCCATTCACATCCACCCAGGGCAGCATGGGACCCTGTTCCCTGTGATGCAATCCTAAACCCTTGCTGAAATCACACCCACTCTATTTCCATCTTTCAGGTTGCATGTGCCATTGGTCATCAGGGCAAAAAGGCCGGTGGAAGCTGGAGTCCAGTAGTGTGTGAATGGCCACAGGTTCCCCATGCCTGTATGACACAGCAACAAATTTCTCCTACATAGCAATGCTTCAACCCTTTCCCTTTACCTCCACCCAAGAAAAACCCTTGAATACAGAGTCAAATAAAGAGCAAAGTTTCCTTGCTGTATTTATATACACGCTCAGCTGTATTTTCTGGGTATGTTGCGTGTGTGCATGCATGCATTCATGAATAATCCTGAGGGCTTCATTTTGCCCTTCTATAACGGACTGGCAAAACATAAGGACATGTTTCAGTTGCTCTGTCTAGTTCTTTGGGGGTGTTCACTGTTATCCCTGAAGACGGAGTTTGCTCTGAAACGTTCGACTGAAGCCGTTTGGTCGAGGTGCTTTGAGAGTGGGGGGTGGGGAAACACTGAGAAACTAACAAAATAAAAGTGGGCGGTTTTTAGGACCCTGCATACCAGACACTTGCAAAAGAGTCCTGAAACTTCCCAGCATTTTTTCAGAGCCTGTTGCTTATTCATTCAGACCAGAAGCAAAGACATTCAGCCAAGACATTCAGCCAAGAGTAAGCAGGATCAACTGGCGTCCCCTGCGATGGGCAAAGCAGCAACGTGAAGACGACAACCAAGAGCAAGAAATAGACAAGGAACAAAACTTTCCAGGCTCTCCTGAGTTCTCAAGAGACTCGTTCATCTGCCTCTCTCCCTTTCTCTTTCTCCTCCAACAAGCTCAACATGAAGCTTGCGGGAGACCCCTGGAGCAGCTTCAAACAAACAGGGAATGGACAGAGTTGAGACCGATTCACCTAAAGAAGAAGAGAAGGCAGCGGAGAAAGAGAAAGGGGACAAGCTGTTGCCACAGGCCCTCCAGGCTGCTCTTCCACGACTTCCTCCCGTCAAAAACACCCATCAAGGTCATTGATCCCTTTCATCACCATGGCACCTCTCAGCTTCTGGGACCTGTGGGCTTTGATGGGCTTTGGGGCTGTCCTGCTGGTCCGGGGGCAACATCCACAAGGCAGCAACGTAGACGCCGGTCGATGGAGGCAGATGATCCAGTGGGAGAACAACGGCAGAGTGTATAGCCTCCTGAACTCAGGCTCCGAGTATGTCCCGGCCAGCCACACAAGGGCAGACAGCAGCGCAAGGGTCATGCTGGCTGACGCTGCTGCCAGCCAAAGCAGCAGAAGGGTCCCGGGGAACACCCGGCGGCAGGCTCCCACCTTGCCAGTCCGGGCAGGATCCGATACCATCCGGGGCCAGACACGGCATCCGTTTGGCTTCGGACAGGTCCCTGACAACTGGCGGGATGGGGCCACCGGGGACGGTCACTCCAACTCTCCACGTCCCTGGTCGCCCACCTATCGGCAGCGTCAGGTGGGCTCCTCTTCCTCCTCTTCCTCCTTTGCACATTCCTCATTTGGACAGCTCTACCCGCAGGCCTCTTACCCCCAGCCACAGCCGCCGTTTGCCAACCAATATGAGGCCTACGACCCGCAGGTCCCCCGTGCGTACGACGAAAGCTACACCTACTACCGCGCCACGGGAACCGGAGGGGGTGCTGTCGCCGCAGCGGCAGCCAGCGCTGGGGTCGTCTACCCTTTCCAGCCCAGGGTGAGATACGAGGAACATGCTGAGGAGCAGAACCCCTACAGAGCCCAAGGATACTACCCGGCGCAGGAAAGACCCTATGTCCCTGTGCCCCAACAGCTACAGCCCTCGGACGGCTTAGACCGAAGGTACTCACACAGCCTCTACCATGACACTGGGACTAGCTATGACCAAAGTGTCCAGGACCCTTATGCCCAGAACCAGCAGTCTGCGGGGCAAGGGGTGCCTGTGGCAGACAACTTGCACATCAACTCGGGGTCCCCCGTGAGTGCTGGGACCAGGTATGGGAACGAGCCGTGGGCAGGGCAGTACCCTCCCTTTGGAGAGGCGCCCGCAGAACCCTACGTCCCTCCCCGCAACGTGGAACCTCAGCCACCTTTCCGGCCCTTAGACCCCCATGGGGTGCCTAGGCCAGAGCCCTACCTTCCCATCCGGAACGCTGAGCCTCCCCAACAGATTCCAGACAGCCAAGGTGTAAACCAGGCCCGGGTCAGCGTGGGCAGCATCTACCGGCCCAATCAGAATGGACGGGGTGAGTCACGGACCCCAATGATTGGCGGGAGGGGTGCTGGGGAGGAGAGGAAGCAGTGGGTTGTGGGGTGATTCCTTTCTGTAGACCTCTAGGGACGAGGCGGTCCAAGAAAGAACCTTCAGCACCTTGTCTTAGCTTGAATCCCTCCTACTCTTCTTAAGGAGACCAGCTAGGAAATCCCATATCTTCTGGTAAAGATGCATGAGCAATGAGCCGCAAAGCTACTTGAGCTGCATATAGCTATAGGGTCTAGGAGAAGAGGTTCTACTTCAAACTGGGGCATATTTGTGCCATAGCTTCCTGAAAATGTGAAACAGTTGTGTTGGTGTGCAGGGCCTTCCCCTGTGGAGGCTGTGCCATTGCCATTATCTTACTCATTTGTTGGTGGCTCCTGCCAAGTTAACCTAATCGGCTAATGGCATTGTTTCTGGAAATCTCTTCAGATGACACCAAGTTGGGCAAAAACAGGGATGGGAAACTGATGGACCTCTGGATATTGTTGGACTACAAGTTCCATCACCTGTGACAACCAGCTGCGCTGGCTGGGGTAAATGGGAATTGGAGTCCAACAACACCTGGAATGCCACAGGTTCTCTATTCCTGGGCAAAAGCAACTGATAGCTAATTCCTAATAATTTGTATGGGATTTGCATAGGGGAGAGTTCCACCTAGAACAGGCATCCCCAAACTTGGCCCTCCAGATGTTTTGGGACTACAACTCCCATCATCCCTAGCTAACAGGACCAGTGGTCAGGGATGATGGGAATTGTAGTCCCAAAACATCTGAAGGGCTGAGTTTGGGGTTGCCCTAGAACGTCTGCAGACACTGGGAAAATGCAGGGACAATTTGGGCAACCAGAATATTATGGTTAAGACTAAGGGAAAGCAAACGTGTCTTCCAGATGTTTAGGCAACTCCCATCAGTCTCAACTATCATTGTCAATAATCACAGATGATGGGAGTTTTAGTCTACAGAATTTGCAGGGCATATTGGCTACCCCTGGTTCATAGGATCAGAAACAAGCCACAAGTGCAAGCACACTTTTCCTACTCCCTTCATTTCTGATGTGTGACTTCCCTTGCAGTTTCCTGTTTCGCATTAGCTGCAGTTTTCAGTTTCCAACATCCAAACCGAGAAAACACATTTGCTATTGCTAGGATTGCTGTTTATTTCTTTCATAACAATTTCTACTTGCGTGGTGGTTATTATTTTTTTAAAAACCTCAGAGTGGTTTACAAAGAGAATAAGACAATAACACGATCAGTATACCGTATATCAGTATATAAAATTATCAGCAACTATTTAAAACATTAAAAAATGGCAATAAAATAAAAACAGATTAAAACATGCATAGGCATTCCACATGCCTGGGTAGACTTGTCTGAACAAAAATGTTTTTAGCAAGTGCTGAAAGGCACATAGCAAAGACACCTGTCTGATGTTGTGGGGAATGTGCCAGAAATTCAACAGGCATAGCTTTCCCCTGTACTAGATATAGGGAGAGGGGCAGAGAAGCTGCCATTGTTAATCTTGCCCTGCCTGCCATGCAACTGGCTGGACAGGGTTAGGGAACCTCAGGCCTGGGGGACCAAATGAGGCGAACTGAGCTTCTCTGTTTGGCCCTTGGGTTGCTCCCCAGGCCACACATCCACACACCTGAGCCACACACCTGAGCCACATCCATCACTTGCCCTGCTTTGCACCTTGCGTGAGCATTTCTGCCTGGCTGGAGCATCTCCTTGAAACTTCGACCATGCTACTCGTTTGCCCAGATGGAGGGTAGAGAGGGGTGGGTGAGTGTGAAGAAACTGGCCCACCCTACAAAGGTAAGATTTGCCTGCATTGCTCTGTCCACTTTTGCCTCTGTCCCACTAGAGATGGGAGAGAAATCAGATTCAGTTCACATTTAAAGCCAATTTATCAAATTGGTACTTTCGAGACCTGAAGCACAGCCCTCTTTCAAAATCAGCAGTGCTCCGCATTTTGCGATGCGGTTCTGCAACCCAACATTTACAAAAATGCATACTCTATCAGGGTGGAAATGTGCATAAAATTAATATATCAGTGAGAGTCACAGACAAAAGACATTGCATTACATTCCTCAGAATGCAAGCAAAAAATGTGTTCACTGGGGGAAAGCTGCACAAAAAGATGGGAGAATTTTCAGGAGGATTTACAGAAGTTGTTGCAGAAATCTGGAGAAGTGCAGACTGGAAAAATGAGAAACAGAGAGAGAGCCAAAACGGACTGATCCTTCCATTCCTAGTCTCCACCTACAACTGATATGTGACCCCCCCCCCCATAAAAAAGTTGCCCAGAAGGGAAGGTGACCCTCGGGTTTAAAAAGCTTCTCCAACTGACTTGTGAAAAACAAAGGAGGCTAAGACCCTTAGCACTATAACACACACACACAAAATCCACCCTTCTCCCTTTCCTGGCCACAAAGAAGGCAGTTTCTGCACGAACTGTAGAGGAAAATGAGGGGGAAATGGGGCTCATCACCCTGGGAAAATAGCCCATCTAGGAAAAGGAAAACGCTGATCCTAAAACTCTGCTGCCTTGTGGCTATACTCATCCCATCTTTGGGAGAAGAAAAGATTAAGGACTAAACCCAACACAAATTCAGAGTGTAGTCCCTAAGCAGTGGCAGAGCTTCATGTTCCGGTACCGGGAGGGAGCAGAGAGCAGGTGGGGGCGGGGCTGGCACGCGTCCTGGGGCATGGCACGCCACCCACAGGGGCATGGTGCGCATCCTGGGGGCGTGGCATGCCGCCTGCGGGTCGTGGCGCCTAGCACGGGGGGGGGCAGCCACAATGGCTCTCCACCAGGATCACGCTGCGGGGGGTGGTACGCTCCCCCTGCAGTCCTCTTCCTCCCCCAGTGTCCCTAAGGCAGTTGGACGGCAACTTGTATCCCTCCTTTTGGCAACTCCTGCAGCCCAGCTAGTGTCAAACGTCTCGCTCTGCTTTTCTTTGGACCACATCTGCCTATTGTTGGAGTCAATATGTCCCTGAATGCCTGTTGCCAGCATGGGCATAGCCAGGATTTGGGGGGCCAGAACTGATGTGATTGGTCAGTTAGTTTAGTATTTCTATGGTTTTACTTGATTTTGAGGGTGGGCAGCTGCCGCCCCCTTGGCTACACTCATGATTGTCAGGAGTCACAAATGGGGAGCACGCTTTTATGCTCAGGTCTTGCTTGCAGACTTCCCATAGGCTTTCGGTTTGCCACTGTGAGAACAGGACGCTTGTCCGGATGGGTCCAGCAGGGCTTTTCTTGTGTCCTGAACTTATGGAACTTTCTTAGCTCTGCAAAGCCAGCACCAATTACTTTTTCTACAGGGGAATGTGCAAAGAACATGTGCCTACAGCCTGAGGCTGTGTCTGAAGATCTGTGGGTTGTGGTAGTGATCGGCCCTTCACCATCTTGCATGTGGTCTATTCATTTCCTCTGCAATAACTCCATCCTCTGCTTCTTTAAAAGCCAAGAGGGTGATGTTTCTTTGGTTTGTTAAAGATATAGTAGGAAACCAGGGTTGTCCTACAGTGTATTATTATCAGTTGGAAGCACAGTAGCTGCAGCTTGCAAAATGTCAGGCATTGCATGATGACTTACACCACAAGTGTATATAGCTTATTCAAAAGTGAGGCCCACTATGTTCCATGGGACTTACTCCCAGGGAAGTGTGCATAGAAGACTATTTTGCAGCTTACATGCATTTGCCCAAAGATGGAAAACTTGTGGCCTTCCAGTTGCTGTTGAACCAAAACACCCAACAGACCTGGCCTGTTTGACTAATAGTCAGGGATGATGGGAGCTGTAGTCCGGGAACATCTGGAGGGCCACAGGTTCCTCATCCCTGCATTTACCTATGTACCCAGTCAAATTCACCCTTATCTGGAAGAAATCCCATGGGATTCAATGGGGCTTACATCCCAGTAGACATGTAGATAATTGCACCATTAAAAGTTAAAGGGACCCCTGACCATTAGGTCCAGTCGTGACCGACTCTGAGGTTGCGGCGCTCATTTTGCTTTATTGGCCGAGGGAGCCGGCGTACAGCTTCCGGGTCATGTGGCCAGCATGACTAAGCCGCTTCTGGCGAACCAGAGCAGTGCACGGAAACGCCGTTTACCTTCCCGCCAGAGTGGTACCTATTTATCTACTTGCACTTTGACGTGCTTTCGAACTGCTAGGTTGGCAGGAGCAGGGACCGAGCAATGGGAGCTCACTCCGTTGCAGGGTTTCGAACTGCCGACCTTCGGATCGGCAAGTCCTAGGCTCTGTGGTTTAACCCACAGCACCACCCGCATCCCTTTATTGCACCCTTATCCGCCACCAGTGCTTGAGAACAGAGCTGGACTTTGGACACTGACAGCTATAGCTAACAAAATTGAACCAGTACCTTGGAAGGCCCCAGGTTTACCAGAAGAGGCTTGTTACGTCTGAACCGGAGAGAATTCCTTTCACGGTGCAACAAGACCATGCCAGAACTGTGCTTGAGGCAGGGCCAGCCTTTGGCTCTCTTTTTCTCTCCCAAGGCCTGGTGCCTCCTGATTAGATAACCCCTAGCACCGGAGTCACAAACTGTCTCTCAGACTGGTGGGAAATCCCAGCGGTCCATGAGGATGCCAAGCTCCGAGCATGTTCCTGAGATTAGACCTCCTCCTCGGAGTGCACTCCACGTTTCGTGCAAGCAAGAGTGAACAAAAGGCTAATTTCATTAGCTTGACCTCATCTGATTTGGGCCTGGCTCCAAGAGCTCTAGAGGCTAAAGGGAGCCATGAGTGTGAATATCCTTGTCAGCTCTCTCTGACATATGTTAGCTTCTCTAAAATAAAAACAAACTCCTACTTTACTCCCCTTCGTTCCACTGGTACTGCCCTTTGCACTCTCCTCCCTATATTAGCTCACACCAGTTAGGGATGATGCAAACCTTTCTCTTCAATCAAGCCCTGAGGAGAATTCAGCTGTTCAGCAGAATTCAGATTACAGGATGTGAAGCCAGGTCTGTCTTCAATGAGTCGCACTCCTGAATGCCCCTGTATTTTTTTTATTTATTATCAATTAACTGAGTACAGTGGTACCTTGGTTTACAAACTTTAGCTGTTCCGGAAGTCCGTTCTTAAACCAAAGTGTTCTTAAACCAAGGTGTGCTTTCCCATAGCAGCGGGGGACTCAATTTACAAATGGAGCACACTCAACAGGAAGCGAAACATGTTCTGCTTCCAAGACAAAGTTCACAAACCGAAACACCTACTTCCGGGTTTGCAGCGTTCTTAATCCAAGTTGTTCATAAACTAAGCTGTTCTTAAACCAAGGTGCCACTGTACCGTTATCAGACATCTCATCACCAAGGTTCTCTGGACATTGAACCATTTGTTATAAACAGACCCAAATATAAAACATTGACAGATCACTGTTCAGAAACCCAGCCTTTGTCAAACCAGAGCTGAGCAGAGTTCATTCCATTGCAGCCTGATTCAGCAGAGCTTTTCTTATGTCCTGAACTTATGGGACTTTCTTAGCCCTAATGCAGAGAGTCCTAAAACATCAATGTAGAGCTAAAACACAACATACAGCAGAGATGTGCAGCCTGTGGGCCTCCAAAAGTTGCTGGACCACAATTCGCATCATCCCTGATCATTGGCCATGCTGTCTGGGGCTGATAGGTGGTAGCTCAGTCGGTAAAGCATGAGACTCTTAATCTCAGGGTTGAGGGTTCAATTCCCATGTTGGGCAAAAGATTCCTACATTGCAGTGGGTTGGATTAGATCAAGGGTCAGCAAGATTTATCTTGCCTGGGCCAGATCGGTCCCACAGAGATCCCTCTGTGGGCCAGATTGCGCACATGCGTGAGTTGCCCAGAAAAGTATAATTTATTCAATAATTACAGAGAGAGGCTATAGAACCCAGCCTCCTGGATAACGGTGCTGTCCCGAGTGAATCTCCACCCCCGTCTCTCCCAATTCCTCATTCGTCACTTCTACGGGTGTTGCTACGTGCCCTCTGTCTTTGAGCTCTTTGCTCTCCTACTTTCAAGGCTCGCCAGGCTCTGGGAGAGGGTGGATCTGGAATGCTTTCTCAAGGCACCGTGTCCATCAGCTGCCGCTCTGCTTATGTCCCATCCTCCTCCTTCTCTCCCATTATTTCCCATCTTTTCCATCATCTGCCTCTGAGCTGCGACCTCTGCAACTCCTGTTGTAAATCTAAACTGTCTTCCTCTTCCTCCTTCCTGGAGAGATCAGGCTGGAGAGGCAGTCTCCACCATTCCTTCTATGCCCAGTCCCTGACTAATAATAATAATAATAATTTATACCCCTCCCATCTGGCTGGGCTTCCCCAGATGTACATCAAAGGCAGGCTGAGGTTGAGGGGCAGGGCCCTGTGTGCAGTGGTGGGTCAGCCTGGGTGGGTCAGTAGGGGTGTGGAACCTACAGCCCTCAGCCTAGTTTCTGGCAGCCTGAATTTTAAGCACTCCAGAGAGGCAAGGAGGCAAATACAGTGGTACCTCAGGTTACAGACGCTTCAGGTTACAGACTCGGCTAACCCAGAAATAGTACCTCGGGTTAAGAACTTTGCTTCAGGATAAGAACAGAAATCGCGCCGCCGCGGCGGGAGGCCCCATTAGCTAAAGTGGTACCTCAGGTTAAGAACGGACCTCCGGAACGAATTAAGTTCTTAACCCGAGGTACAACTGTAGGAGGGAGAGGGCTTTACAATCCAGCAACGTTGCAAACCCTGCCCATTTTTTACTCTGGCACCACCCACTGCCAGCATGCAGTCTTCAATATAAGACAGAGAGTGGGGTGGGGGGGTGAGCAGTGCTGGACAGGGGTGGGGGGAGAAATAAAGTTTCCCCACCCCCTGTTCATCGTGTGCCAGGTCGTATCAAAACAAGCCTGGACATCTTGCCAAAGAGTTTAGGAACCATGGAGAAAGCAAACAAACAAACAATGGAACTTTTGAGGCTATGAAAAGGAAAGATTATTAAATGCAACCTTACGAAGCAATAGGGGAAATCTTCACATCTTGAAAGGCTTATACGGGAGACAGCAAACAGGAAGCAAGAGCAGGACACAATTGTTTCTCCCCAACAGGGACGGAACAGCAGCAGGAAACTCCTGACTCCACCCAGAAACAACTAGGTCTAGGGCCACCTAGTGGCTAAGCTATATAACAACAGTATCCACACACCGCTCCTTTCATTTGCAACGTTCCTTCATTCAAACCTTGAAAGCACAGGAAGTTCAAACCAGCCAGGACATACATTTGATATTTCTTCCACACTCTCTTGCACGTTGGTAACATTCAATAGCCCGAGAGTCAAAAACATTCATTCGGTGTTTTGCCATGAGAAGCATCATTTTATTTGTTTAATAGGATTTTTTAATATTAAAAAAATTGAAAGCATTTTTTAGAAGCATCTCCTCACAAAGTAGCAAACATGGCATGCAGCAGCAAACCAAATTAAAATCTTCAAATGTCTAAACATCAAATTGGGTAACACAGAGGGAAAAACCAAGAATTTGGCCAGCACAATTAAAAGCACAATATGGATAGTGCTACCTATCAGTAGCCTGCTTAAAATCACTTCATAAAAGTGTAAACGTGTTGACTGGTACCCATTAAGACTGGTAGAGAAGAAGACAGGGAGCCCACCAGTTGGTGGCACCAGAGCCAATGACAGGCAGAGACAACTAAGTCTAATTTGGTCCATAGCCTCCTTCCTGCTGAGATCTAGGAGGCCAACACTGAGACCAAAGAGGAGGAAATTAACAGGCAGGGCAACTCCTGGACAGGCTGTAAGTAAGAAGGCAGGCAGGTAGGGCCTGGCTGAGGGCAAACTGAAGTTGGTGAAGCAGTATCCCATTTTTTCCTAATGAACCAGCCTCTACTTCATGACAGACGAAATACTGTAGACGACAGCTGAGGAAGGAAGCTCTACAGAACAGAGATTGCATGGAGAATGTCTACACATGTCCAAAATGTGTGGATGTAGACTGTATATAGGTAGATGAGCTTAACAACATGTGGAAAAATATTATTATTATTATTATTATTATTATTATTATTATACCCCACCCATCTAGCTGGGTTTCCCCAGAAACTCTGGGCAGCTTACAGCACATATAAAACATAGGAAAACATTAAGACTTCACAATACAGAGCTGCCTTCAGATGTCTTCTAAAATTCAGATAGTCGTTTATTTCCTTGACATCTGAAGGGCGGGTGCCACTACCAAGAAGGCCCTCTGCCTGTTTCCCTGTAACTTTGCTTCTCACAGTGGGGGAACAGTCAGAAGACCCTCAGAGGAGGACCTCAGTGTCCGGGCAGAATGACTGGGGTGGAGACGCTCCTTCAGGTATACTGGGCAGAGGCCAGAATGGGCTTGATGCTTATCTATCCTTCCATGCATTAATTATCCCCATCTGTGCAGGGCTCTAATCAGTCCATCCATACTTCAAACAAATTCCTAACAACATATTAAAACCAGCACCATTATGGCAATTCAGCTCTCAGAACTAATATACAGATCAGAGTTGCTGTTGCTGCTTTTTTTTTTTTTGTCCTTCTACTGTGGTTGCATTTTTCTTTAAACTTTTTCTCTTCCTTGCGTCCATTAACTGGCCACTGAGAAGCTGAGCTCTCGCAAGGAGCTCTGAATTGACATAGCAGGTTAGCTCTTGCAAAGCTGATCTTCTGTAAGCCTGCAGGAACAGCTTCCTCGGAAAAACGAAAAGAGCAACACCACAGAGCCACAAGGACAGTGGATCAGATCGAAAGCGACCTAAAACCTAGACCAGGCCCTGCAGTGGTAATCTACCATTTTAAAAGAAAACACTTGCCTTCTATATTCAAGCCTGACCCAATGACCAACAGACGCATTCTGCTTGAAGCTGCCTGCCTTCTCTGCAGCCTCCACATGTCTCTGATTAGATTTATTTTCATTTTATTTCCGTATATGTACGAGGATCACTTAGCAACAGCTTGGCTTTGCATATTTGTCTTGGATTCCCACCGGGATTTTGATTCACCGCGTGGGCGTTGGGGTGATTTTTGTGTGTTCCCCAACCCCTCTTTTTCCCATTTGCAAGTTGGTCTGAATCTCAGACCCTGGGATACTGGCGGCAAGATAACCAGGTCTCTACATTCCTTCCCTGTTCCCCATATGCTCACTTAAAGTGGATGGCGATTCCTTGGGTTTCTGCTAAGAGAGGTAACACCAAGGTCCTGACCCAGGGTGCCCCGAAAAATTCCTTGACAGTTTTCGCAGGAGGGAGAGAGGGAATCTGCGTCTCTTGGACGCTTTTCCATCTGAGTAATTCGTTTCTGGCTTATCGGAAATTCCCCGGGCAGTTCCAATTACCAAACTTCTTCTCCTATAAACAATATTTGCAAAGCACTGCTAACACAGAAGAGCTGTCCATTCCACTTAAGAAGGGGCTGGGCTTAACATGCCCAGATGTTCCCAGGCTGTATAGGAACCCAACAGTGCCCAAGCCTCATTAAGTGAGACCAGAGAAACTGGCTTTTAGGGCCCTCTTCCCACAAAAAGCCTCCCCTGTCTTGAAAGGCAAAGAGTATCAGAAACTGCCTTATAAAGATGCACACACACCATAAATTTAAAGCCCATCTAAAGCACATGCATTCCGCTAGAGAATCCCAGGGAGAGCAGTTTATCTCTCACAGAGCTACAGTTCCCGGCACCCTTAGCAAACAGCAATCCCCAGGGCTTTGGGGGGAAAGTCATGTGCTTTGAACATATGGTGTGGGCACAGGCAGAGTCTGACAACTGGTCCGTGTAGCATAGTAAGATCTCGCCCTGACCTAGCCACTGTGATCCACGCGACGGTCACCTCCAGACTGGATTATTGTAACTCGCTCTACGTGGGGCTGCCCTTGAGACTGACCCAGAAACTCCAGCGGGTGCAGAATGCTGCAGCGAGACTCCTTACAGGGTCTTCACTGCGAGATCACATTCATCCGGTACTATACCAGCTGCACTGGCTCCCGGTGGTGTACAGAATCAGGTTTAAGGTGCTGGTTTTAACCTTTAAAGCCCTATACGGCCTAGGACCCTCGTACCTACGGGACCGCCTCTCCTGGTATGCCCCACAGAGGAACCTACGGTCTGCAAATAAAAACATCCTGAAGGTTCCAGGCCTCAGAGAGGTTAGGCTGGCCTCAACTAGAGCCAGGGCTTTCTCGGCTGTGGCTCCAATCTGGTGGAACGCTCTGTCACAAGAGACTAGGGCCCTGCGGGACCTGACATCTTTCCGCAGGGCCTGCAAGACAGAGTTGTTCCACCAGGCCTTTGGTCAGGGCCCAGCCTGACTCCCTCCTCTGGCAACCTGCACAGAATTTTGCTCAACGGTTGCCATTAATTTGATTTTAATTAATTTTTATAATGAAATGTTTTTAGAATGTTGGATTATTTGATTGTTTGATTATTTGATTGTTGTTAGCCGCCCTGAGCCCGGCTTCGGCTGGGGAGGGCAGGATATAAATAAAATTTATTATTATTATTATTATTATTATTATTATTATTATTCCAATGCAAATCACCCTGTGCAAGTAAGCCTAATTAATCTAAATTAGCCTAATTTCCAGGGGGGGAAATCTACACATCCTTCCCTCCCACCCCAAAAACCCACATCACTGGTCTTCCTTCTTCCAGATCCACCGACTCCAGTCCATTCCTACCTGCTCCCAGTTTCCCATTTCCCCCCAAAATCAACAGTCGACATTAGAGGAAGCCCCGTGGTTCAATGGCAGAGTATCTGATTTGCATGCAGAAGGTCCCAGGTTCCATTCCTGGCAGGTAGGGCTGGGAGAGAGCCTTTCCTGAAAGCCCAGACAATACAATGGACCAATGGTCTATGTATAAGGCATCTTCTTGTGTTCTTGTGTGGCAACTGCCCATGCTCAGTCTTTGTTAGGCTGCCTTTGCAGGTTCCCCCAAAAGCAGTACTCCTGAAAACCTTTGGCAACCCCCAACCGATGGGCATGGTTGGTGCTGTTTCACAGTTTGGCACATCGTTTTAACTGAGTACCCTCTGGGCTTTTAAATTAGCAGAAGAGAGGCTATGTCAGTGTACCATACAGTAGGTGGAATACAGCCTATAGCAGGGTGAAATAGCAAGCCAGGGCATCTTGTTGGATCCTTCATTGAAGACCAGGGTTGTTATATAAGCACATTTTCACCTGTAACACGTTGGGGGTCCTGGTTGATTGCTACCAAGCTGTCATAGCAAAACCAGGAACTGATGGCTCCAATACCAATCCAGGAAGAATGCAGGGCATTTAGATGTCATGCATACTGCACAGGAATCCAGCTTTCTCCTGCCTTCTGTTTCCAACCAGTTATCACAGGAATGGGAAACCAGAACTCTGGCCCACTGGTTATGCCTTGGTCCCTGAATGGTTTCTCAAAAGTTTTGAAACATCTAGCTCAGCACTGGGACATGGGTGGCGCAGTGGTCTAAACCACTGAGCCTCTTGGGCCTGCCGATCAGAAGGTCGGAGGTTCAAATCCCTGCGATGGGGTGAACTCCCGTTGCTCAGTCCCAGCTCCTGCCAACCTAGCAGTTTGAAAGCATGCCAGTGCAAGTAGATAAATAGATACCACTACGGCGGGAAGATAAACGGCGTTTCCATGCACTCTGGCTTCCATCATGGTGTTCCGTTGTGTAATGGACTTAGGGGTTGCTCGTGCGTAAGTTGCCGCCACTCCTGGTGAGGTTACCTGGTTAGACCCTTTCTGACTGAACAGCCTCCAGCATCGTGACTGTCTCAGTCGCTGGCAGAATCCGTCAGTGGGCGTTTCTTAAACTTCTTCCAGCACAAAAGTTCCTTGACGCCTAGTCTCCGCCTAGACTCCCTGCGCGGAAGCCTTCTGCGCAGGGAGGGTGTGGGCAGCGGAGGACCTGTACTCTCTCCGCTGGTCTCTGGCGAGGAGTCTTGGAGCCTCCTCTCCGATTCCCCCATCTGCCCCCCGTCTCTACTGGTGTTACGCTGATTTCCTTCCCCAGCGGACGGGCTGCCTCTCTCCCTACTGGGACCCTCTCCGCCATCCCTCTGGAGCCTTCCCTCCACCTCTAGCTCTGATGGCAGTTCCCTGACACGTTGCAACAGAAGCGGTTTAGTCCTGCTGGCCACATGGCCCAGAAAGCTGTCTGTGGACAAACGCTGGCTCCCTCAGCCTGAAAGCAAGATGAGCGCCACAACCCCATAGTTGCCTTTGACTGGACTGAACCGTCCAGGGGTCCTTTATCTTTTTGTTTACCTTTTGTCTACAATGACTGGCAGTAGCTCTCTAGGAGAAATAGGAATGCTCTTCCACATCCACTCCTTTATAAATACCATATTTTTTGCTCTATAAGACTCACTTTTTCCCTCCTAAAAAGTAAGGGGAAATATGTGTGCGTCTTATGGAGCGAATGCAGGCTGCACAGCTATCACAGAAGCCAGAACAGCAAGAGGGATTGCTGTTTTCATTGTGCAGCGATCCCTCTTGCTGTTCTGGCTTCTGAGATTCAGAATATTTTTTTTTCTTGTTTTCCTCCTCCAAAAACTAGGTGCGTCTTGTGGTCTGGTGCGTCTTATAGAGCGAAAAATACGGTATATGTTGCTTGTAGTCTGACACCAACCATTTGTTCTGCAGGTGAATATGGGCACTGTACCCCATCATGTGCAGCCCACTGTTGCTTGTGAAGATCTGCAGGGTGGGGCACCAATCCAGGGATGGGCAACCTTTGCATCGCCCAAGTTGTTGCTGGACTCATCAGCCTTGACCATTGGCTGTGCTGACTGGGATTGATGCAAGCTGGAGTCCAGCAACATCTGGAGAGCCATAGCTTCCTCATCCCTGAGTTATTACAAATAAGGGGAGTGTGTGTATATGTATGCATGATGACAAATCTCTCCCCACCCCCACCCTCTTAATGCATGTATTAAATCACTGAGTCATAAAGATCCCTTCTCCTTAAACACTGACAATCAGCTCAAGGAATTGGGGGGGGGGGCAAGTCTCACGTTTCACTTTTTAAGAAGGGAATAGCTCAGTTAAAGAAACCATTTCCCTTCCCCTCCACAACACCTCCCCCCCCCATCTTCTCTTAATGTGATAATCCCTTGGGGATTACATCAGCAGAAATGACTAAGCATAGAGGCAGGAAACGAGAGCCAATGTGGTGATGTGATTCCTCCGGGGAGAACAGCCCATGAAACAAGAAAGCATTGTTCTTTCTCACTCTCAGTAAAAATAAAAAAATGAAAAATGAAATCAGGGGCCAATGGTGCTCCCATTAAAATCTGGATCAGAGGAGAGCAGGCTTTCCCCTTGAACAGTCAGCATTCGTTTTCAGGCAGACTCTCCATGGCCCATTAGCAGGTTTCACATTTTACACAGCAAGAGTGCATCAAGAGAGGACTTTGGGGCAAAAGCCTGGGAGCCCCGCCCCCCAGCACAATGAGCTGCTGAGGGGTGGGGGACAACCACGACAGAGCTGGCTCAGCCCACACATGGTCATCTTAAGAGGTAGGTGTTGGGGACAAGATCATTATGACCAGAGTTTAAGGTCGTGTGCACATTGCTGCTTACCCTGACTCCAGCATGCTCCCACTGCTAGGGGCAAGTGGTGTTAGCCACAATCCATAGGTATCCCGTAGGTTTCTGAGAAATACTCCTGTTTGATGCACTTTCCTACAAACCAGCTTCCATCTGATTTGAAAGCAGAAGCTGCCGTTAAGTTGAGGTGTGTAATTTCAGGCAGCCGTTGCGAATGCTCATATGACAGCTTCAGGGAATGGGGAAACACATCAGGGAACGGGCAACAGAATGTGACTTGAAACACTGCAAAGCAAAACCTCACAAACCACTGGTATGAACATAGCCTAGAGTCACCACTGGGATGTCTTCACACTGATGGCAAAAACTGCAGGACCCTCCATTGTGCACCTCTGAAGGCATTTCCAGGTGACATGCTCATCGAGCATTCAACCTAAGGTTAAATGATGTTGTCTATTTAACGAACATTCACTTCGATTTGTTTGCGGGGCAGTCAGATGACATCTCAAAGCAAGTGTTATCCCACACATTTCAGCGGATTTTCCCCATCACTTTCCTTACAGCAAAAAGCCCAGTGCTTTTGAGCGAGTGGGAGAGAGAAATGTTTTTTTCCCCCAAGAGCATCCAATCAGCTTCAGTTGCATGGCCTGGATTCATTTGGTTGAAAATAACCATGGTCTGGAAGCACCCAATATCAGTAAATCTCCTATGAATATAGGGCTGGGCCAAAATGGCCTCCTCAATGTGGTGGCCCCCTTTGCAGACTGAGACATTGGGTGGGGGGATTTTCAGGGGTAATAACAACAATATTCAAGGCAGGAAGGGGAAATTTCTCACGAGCTTTTATTGCTTCAGTCAGTGAATGGCAGTCATCTCCCCATCCCTACCTTCCCAAATTCCCATGTTTTGAGGGTCATGCTCAGGGTTGGCATCAGTGAGAGGCCACAATCCAATGTCCACAATCTTGCAGGGCGTCCTGCCAACCCTTGGAGCCTGCTGGTTGGGCTGCTGCTCTTAACTTGATGTCATTGCCTGTTCGCTTGAGGCTTGTTCACGCATTACACCAAACACGGGTCAACGCCATCCATGTGTTTTTGTGGAAGTTTAAACAGAAATATAGTAGATCTCACCTTACCAGGAAGAAGGCTTTGTCCAGGCGGACTAGGTGGCTTGCTCAACCCACTATGCAGGTGATAAGGCCTTTGAGGTCCCCACTTGCCCTTCTTGTGGTTCCTTCTCTTCAAGCCACACATGGGCAGAGAGAGTCCTTGGGACAGAGGACTCCTTCAAAAAGGGGCCTGTCATCTGATAATCCTCTAACCTTAGAGAGAACGGTGACAGTAGGACCCGTGGCCACCCTGAGCTTACAGGGGGCAAAATCACCGCAGATGCTCTGGATGGGGCCAGCCTAGCGAAATGAAAACACTTGATTTAATCAACTCCAGAAGAACAGCCAAGTGGTCTTGGACAAGGTACGTTTTTTATTTGCCAACACACACAAAATAAACTAAAACAGGGTCAGGCTTAGACAGGCAGGCTCTTTAGCTAAAAATGAAAGCTGTCTTCTGCTTTGAAATTTTTTATAAGTCCATCTTTGGCTGGTTACTCTTGCACAGGGGTAGGCAACCTAAGGCCCATGGGCCACAAGCTGCCCACGGGGGTCATTTAACCGGCCCACAAGCTGTCCCCTGAACCAAGCCGCCCGCTTGGCAAGTCCCTGAACGCTGCACTAAACTGGCACAGCGTGGTGCGGGGACTCACTTCCGCGGTGCCAGAATTCGCGACTGCGCAGACGCAGATGCCGGAAATTGTGTGCACGTGCGCTCATGCACACGCACGATCTGGCCCATGGAGTGAACTGGCCCAGGCGAAGTAAACCTTGCCAATCCCTGCTCTTGCACTTATATCACCACAGCTAACTAACTCCTGCCTCTCTCAACAGGCCTCCCTGACCTTGTTCCCGACCCAAACTATGTCCAAGCTTCCACTTACGTCCAAAGGGCTCATCTCTACTCCCTGCGTTGTGCTGCTGAAGAGAAATGTCTTGCAAGGTAATGTCCCTTCCTTCAGAACAGTCCTGTCGTGGCTGCCTTTATTCCGCAACCCCCCACCCCTGAAACAACTTTCTGCTGTGTGGTTCATCTGTCTCATTGTTCATAATCAGATCTGCCATTTTAGGTTGCCGCTGGGAACATCCTTGCTATGCCTCTTTGAGCTCATTTGGGGGGGGGGCCCTTCCCGAATGGGCTCACTTTTTCACCACTAATGTAGGAACACAGGAAACCATCTCATACCAAGTCAGACATCCCTCTGGCTCAATATAGCCTAGGCTATCTGGCAGTAGCTCTCCATGATTTCAGGCAGGGCTATCTCCCAACCCTACTTGGAAATGACAGTTCCTTACATCCACACTTAACTTTGCTCTCCATTTCTGGGCACAGGTCTGGGCTTTCCAGATCTGTGTTGGAGAACTTCTTTTTTTTCTTCTTTTCTTTTTTCCCTTCATTTTGCCCCACCGCTTTCTCTGCAAAAACCCACTCTTTACAGCTAAACCGGAGCTAACGGCAATACGTAGAAAACCCAAATGCTGTTTGCTCTGATTCAGGGGTAAAGAGTGGGTTTTCCTGGGGAAAGCAGTGCGGGGGGTGGGAGGGACTCAAAGTGCTCAGACATGGACTAGGAAAGCACAGAGCTGCCCCTGGAAAGTGTGGGGCAAAATGTAAGTGTGGATAAACCCTAAATGCAGACATGTCTTGAAACCTACCTGCCTCTAGGCTGTAAGGTAGTGTTAGGATAAATGTGATGATACATTTAAGGACATTTTCACTATCTAGTTTAGGAGGTAGACCCAAGCAGGACGCAGAAGGAGAAAGTAGCTTAGGGAGAAAAGATGTGTTCTACATGGTTCTTTCATCAGACTATTTCTTACTCAACTCCTCATTAAACAGAGTATATTACAGATAGCAACCAACTGACTAGGAACCAATGGATCTCTTCTTCTCTCGACACCTGCCCTTGTTTCATCTGTCAGATGTTTGGGGAAATACTATATTGATGAAGCAATGTTTCACGACAGCGATATCATGACTTGCGGACCACAGACTAGCAAACCAGCAATTAGTTTTTAATGTTTCTCTGGGTCTTTTCGATCGCCAGTCCAAGGCGACTAACCGTCCAGAGGATCACTGAAAAGAAACGAGAAGAGCATTTTGATGGAAGATGCCTTCATGCACAGGTACAGCCTGCCAATAAGGTCTGTGCTGTGTGCATAAGTATGGGGAGTTTGCTCCACAGCTGCAGAAGATGGCACTGAGCTTGAATGACCTTGGCGAAGGGGCCAAGCTCAGTGGTAGAACATCTGCCTTGCTTGCAGAAGAACCCCTGATACAATCCCTGGTATCTCCAGGCAGGTCTTGAAGGAAACCCAGCCTGAAACCCGGGAGACCCACTGCCCATCTGTGTATAAAATACTGAGCTACATAGACCAAGGGTCTGACTTAGTATAAAACAGCTGTCTTTGTTCCTAAGCCAGCCTGGGATCTGGATGTTCAATTTATTCAACAGCATGTCTCCAGCATTTGTGGTTACAGAGAAATTTCGAAACATCTTCGTGTTGTTGTTTTCTCATTTCCTCAATTCCCTCTCTATCACCCTTTCCTTTCCAAAAAGGTAATATTATATGAATCAATTATTCCTTATGGTCATCGACCAATAAAATTAAACGCACATTTAAAATCATACAACTAGATATAACAATTAAAAGCTTAATATAGATAAGTATGCGTTTTTTAAAAGAAGACAACAAAATATATCTCCTAATCTGCACTGCAGAATCTTCTTCTACTTCTTCCAACATCTCTTAATGATATGGAAGAAACATCCCTTAGGTAAAACAATACCAAAACCACAGATCTTCCCAATTCTTAACAGTGGGAGAATCAACCTCTTTCTTCATTCAATATACAAGTTATAATGCAAAAGGAAATGATATCAATATTAACACCAATTTCAAATTATTTTAACTTGAATCGTAGAAGATTCCAAGCACTTACATGGGAGTAAGCATCACTGAGGCCAAAGGGACTCACTCCCAAGTAAATATGCCTGGGATCACAGCCTAGGTTGTATGATACTAAGCAAGACATGCTAATAGGTGTGAAGTACAGTCCTTCTAACAGCAAACCCATGTGGCAAGTGCCAACAGCAATGGGGCCCACCGAAGAACAAAGAAGGGGGGAATTTTTGCGGAAATACAAAAGCATTTTTAAAAATCCAATGATCACCCCAAAGCTGGGGGTGCTATTTTATGGCATGTAAGTAAACACTGGGTGCACTTCAAAAGCTGGTAGTCCTTCTGCCTTTGCACCCAGGACTGATCCTTTCCCAGAAATCCTCTTACCTTGTCCTGCCACCTGCTTTAATGTCCTTCCAGCACCGCCTACACCCCTGAAGCAACAGACTACGACGTCCGAGTTCTCCTGCGTTTCCCGCAAAGGGTGAAGAACCAGGGCACAGCAGACTTCCTGCCCAACCGGGCCCGCCACACCTGGGAGTGGCACAGCTGCCACCAGTAAGTAGGGGGTGCTAGTCATGGGGCTCTCTGAATGGGGCTGGGAAAGGGCTGGGTGATAAACAGGGTTCCCTGTATAATCCCATTGTTTGACGGGATTTAATAACAGTTTTTCATTTATTCATTACACTTTTATCTCACCGGTTCTCCAAGGAACTCAAGGTAGCACGGATGAATCTCTTCCCACCCCCACTTCCTATTTTATCTTCACAATGACCCTTTGAGGAAGGCCCAATGTCACCAGAAGTGAGCCCAGTGGGAATTTGAACCCCAAACTTCCAGATCCTGGTCCGACACTCTAAAACCACCACCCTAAGACCCAGGTCCCTTCCTTGCTAATTTTATTAATATATTATTAATAATAACAGTTGCATTTTTTTTACTCAATAAGCAACTTCTGAGCCCAAGTCATCTGCAGATTTTTTGAGAAGCAGCTTGACAAAATACCATATTTTTCGCTCCATAGGGCGCACCGGACCATAGGGCACACCTAGTTTTTAGACGGGGAAATCAATAAAAAAAATATTTCCCCCCCCCAGCCCCAAAGAGCAGCGTACAGGCTACGCACAACCTCTCCCTGCCGGAGGGGTTGTGCATGGCTATGGCACAAGCCAAGGCAGCCAGCGGGATGGATCCCGCTGGCTGCTTTGGCTTCCTCTTTAGCCCCATGCAACCTCTCCCTCCCGGGAGAAGCTGCGCAGGGCTAAAGAAGCCATAGCCCCGTGCAGCCTCTCCCTGCAGGAGGGGTTGCGCGCGGCTATGGCACAAGCCTGCATTCGCTCCATAGGACGCACACACATTTCCCCTCAATTTTTGGAGGGGAAAAACTGCGTCCAGTAGAGGGAAAAATACGGTACCTTCTGATGGACTACATTGGCTGACTACAAATCACAGGCTTATCTGGCTGGTGGGATAAGCTGCAGGCAGCAATTTTAAATTCCCCACAGTGCCCTGGAGGGGGAAATTTTAGAAGGCAGTCCTCAGAGGGGCGTGTGTCCTGCTTTACAGAGCACAATCCTCTCGGTGTCCTCGTGTCCTCATCCTGTTTGTCTTGTTGCTCCACATGCTTGAAATCCTTGTATCGAATCATAGAATCCTAGAGTTGGAAGGGACCGAAGCATCATCTAGTCCAACCCCCTCCAATGCAGGAATCACTGCTAAAGCATCCATGACAGATGGCCACCCAACCTCTGCTTAAAAACCTCCAAGGAAGGAAAGTCCACAACCTCCCAAGGGAGTCCGTTCCACTGTCAAATAGTTCTTACTGTCAGAAAGTTCCTCCTGGTGTTTAAAACTCTCTTGAAAACTTTTTTTTTCTCCTGAGGCCGTGGGTCTGAATAGCTAATTTTATTACCCCTGATGTAACGGCTTGTGAATTGTACATTTTAAACTTTTGATTTTCACTGCATCAATTATTTGTTGTTTTAGATTGTGTGCCCTTTGGGGTAGAATATTTTTATTACTTATTCCTTCATTTTTAAATTTGGGAAAAACTATGTACATTGATGGCACTATATAAATGAGTATGAGGATAATAATAATAATAATAATAATAATAATAATAATAATAATAATTTGAAGTCCTGTCAGAGGAAAGTCCTCTGTTTGAAAGTGTCCTCTGTTTGAAATGCTGTCCGGTCCAAGTCCAGTTAAAGGATTTCTCCGACTATGGGAATAAATATATTGCAATTCTATTAAAATTACAGCCATTGTTCCCAAATTTGCATGAATACATAAAAAATAGCATTTAGGTTTTCCCCTTTGGTGATTTATTAGCGACCACCCAAGACAACTTGCAGACATGACAGCTCAGCACAGCTGCCCAATAATAGGGATGTAACAAGACAGCAAATTTCGCCCCTACCTACATTCGTCACAATCAACGCTGTTTCCATTTCGCTGCAGTTTGGCTTCCGCCAAAAACTGTTATCCACCTCCCTGTCCACTATTTAACATAAGGTACCCAAGTTAAATAACTTACATGACTATTTACATAAAATGCATTCATTTATGTGTAAAGGGAACACCAAAATATGGAAATAAAAGAAGTCTGTGGACTTAAAAACATCACATCGTGAATGAATACAGATCGCATTCCCTTAGGTGATTTCTGTACCGGACCAGCAGCAAACTTGTGAACTGGAGCAATTTCCACTTCCTTTCCCATTTTCACTGGGATTCTTTGACATCCCTACTCAAGAGTGGCAGGTACTTATGCCAGGCCTGTTCTTGGGGCTTTGGTAATGTAGAATAGTAACATGAAGAGGTGGCTCATATAATGATCTCTAGCATTAGAGCAGATATGGGAAAACTTTCGCCCTCCGGTTGTCGCTAAATCCAGGGCTGGATTTAGGTTTGCTGAGGCCCTAAGCTACTGAAGGTAATGGGGCCCTTTATATGTCCAGCTGTCCTTTGTCAACAACAACTTGTTGACAAACCAGTGATATTTTAGGGAGCAGGCTAGCAGGTGGGGCTCATGACTTACATCATAGGAGCCTACACAACACAAAACACTGCTGCAGTATGTAGGTTTTATTTGTTTTTTATCTTATATTTTGGAAATGTACATCCAGTGGGTTTTTTTTCCTTTAATTTTTTTTGGGGCCCCCAAGAGAGTGGGGCCCTAAGCTATAGCTTGTTTAGTTTATATGTAAATCCGGCACTGTGCAGATCTGTGTGTGTATCCTCCTGCTACCATCCTCAGGCATTACCACAGCATGGATGAATTCAGCCACTATGACCTGCTAGATGCTGCCACGGGCAAGAAAGTGGCAGAGGGCCACAAAGCAAGCTTTTGCCTGGAAGACACAACCTGTGACTTCGGGAACTTAAAGCGCTATGCCTGTACATCGCACACCCAGGTGAGGACTGGGAGAGGGAGGTCCTCTGCCTCGGGACAGGTCTTCTGCCAGCTGTTGGTCACAAAACAATTTAACCCCTGTGTTGCAAACAATAGTCAGTAATATCCAAGGCAACACGATGGCCAAATACAATGATACAATATCAATGCACACTCTTTATATAATATGAAATATATGAAATCACATAAACAGAAAACTTATGAATCTCTGAAAGTCACAAAATATGCACTCTTAATGGATTCTCTTGAAAACATAAAACCAGATAAACATAAGTCTTATACGTCTCTGAAAGTCTTTGAAGACTATGCAAGTCTCTGAAAGAAGCAATGTATCAGATTCTTATCTGGTGAAAACAATCTGTAAAGCTTTGTTTATGGCGTTCAACACTGCCAAAGTAGTTTGCAAACAGACGTTGTGAACAGTGATTCTGGATATACCCACCGTTTCGTGGAATTCTTCTTCAGCACAGCGTAAGGACACAGAAATGCTTCATAAACCCATCTATATGGTGAATGGAAAAGTAGAACAACAATTGCTATGGAGCAGTGTATATTGATATCGTATCATTGTATTTGGTAACTGTGTTGCCTTGCATATTACTGAATTGTTGGTCACGGGCATGCAAGTAGTGATGCCAAGGCCTCATGCTTAAGACTAAAGCAGACATGTTGGAAAGTCCCAGGTTCAGCTCCTGGCAGTTGCTCAGGTAGGTCTGAGGGGGAAATCCTGAATAAAAACCTGGCCAGCCACTGCAGACCAGGGATGGGGAACAAGATCCTGCCAGGAGGCTGATTCCTGATATTCCCATCCACCAAACACCACCGGGATGGAAGAGTGATGCCATCCATGTGTCAGTTGCCTGACTTTACCATGGCATCAGGTAGACCGTTTGCCTTTGCAAACTGGTTTTTCAAACCACACAGGCAAAAGACACATCGAGCAAAACACTTCCTTTGTGTGCGCAGTTCAAAGTTAAACCCCACAGGCTAAGGAAACAGGACTGGCAATCATTGCCAATCAGTTGATTGATGGATGCCAGTCTTGCTTTCAGCAGGCATCAACCTGGGGAGGTCCTAAGTGGACCCCATCCCTGTTTGAGCTTAATAATAATAATAATAAAGCAATAAAATATCAAACATAAAAAACTTCCCTAATCAGAGCTGACTTCAAATGTTTTCTAAAAGTCAGATAGTTGTTTATTTCCTTGACATCTGACAGGAGGGCGTTCCACAGGGCAGGCCCCACTACCAAGAAGGCCCTTTGCCTGGTTCCCTGTAGCTTTGCTTCTCGCAGTGAGGGAACCACCAGAAGGCCCTCAGAGATGGATTTCAGTGTCCAGGCTGAACAATGGGGGTGGAGATGCTCCTTCAGGTATCCTGGGCCGAGGCCGTTGAGGGCTTTAAAGGTCAGCACCAACACTTTGAATTGTGCTCGGAAATGTACTGGGAGCCAGTGAAGATCCTTCAGGACCGATGTTATATGGTCTCGGCGGCCACCCCCAGTCACCAGTCTAGCTGCCATATTCTGGATTAGTTGCAGTTTCCAAGTCTCCTTCAAAGGTAGCCCCACATAGAACGCATGGCAGTAGTCCAATCAGGAGATAACCAGAGCATGTACCACTCTGGCTTAGTGTTTGGCGCCAAATTAAAGTTATGTTTTCTGCGTTAGGGTTTGAGCCCGGGTTGTTATGACACTTACAATGCTGACATCGACTGCCAGTGGATTGATATCACAGATGTTCAGCCTGGGAATTATATCCTAAAGGTAAGTCGTCCTCTTCATTGTCTTTCTAAATCTGTCAGGACAAAACTGAGCTGGCCATAAAATGAAAAGCAATTTCTGTGTTCTGCTGTGCCAAGTAATATTCGTAGAAGAGATTCTGCTTTTTGGCTGGCATTTTGGATGTTTCATAGCCAAAACACTTACCTCCAAATTTGCCATCTATCAGTTTCCATTCTAAAGGAGAGAAAATTTCACAGATTGGGAGGAAATTTGAACATTTTTAAGTTTCTTTTTTAGAATTTTATTGAGCAACGAAAACAGACAATACACACAAAGAAAAGAAAACCAAGAACAAAATAATCGGACTTTGAAAGTCATCTAATCTCCCTTGCTGTATTAAGGGAGATTAGATGACTTTCAAAGTCCGATTTCAAAGTCCGATTAATTAGTGTTTTTATGAAGCAGTCAAGTAATTTCGTTGTCCCCGAAGGGAGCAATGACAATAAAGATATTATTATTATTATTATTATTATTATTATTATTATTATTATTAATAAAACTAAAAGGGGAAAAAACCAGGAGCAATTAAAATGGATACGGTTATTACATTATAAATTGGGTATAAAGCAGAGCTATGTAAGAGGCAGAGACAGAAAAAAAGAAAATCAGAAGGTCTTCCTGTTTACAGACGTTGCCAGATAAAATAACATTTCTAAGGGATTTGACTATGCAGATGAATGATGGCTATACAATACACCCAGTTCTTCATCCTGGAGTCTGACTTGTTCTTTCTGCTTTGTTGCCGCAGGTTCAGGTGAACCCCAAATATATTGTGATGGAGTCGGACTTCACCAACAATGTGGTGAGATGCAATGTTCACTACACCGGGCGCTACGTCGCCACTACAAACTGCAAAATCTCCCAGTAAGAGTTCTGAGAATCATAGAGCTGGAAGGGACCCCAAGGGTAATCTAGTCCAACCCCCTGCAATGCAGGAATCCTTTGCCCATGACTTGAACCCACGACCCTGAGATTAGGAGTCCAGTGTCAACTGACTGAGAAATCCTAGAATTTTAGAGCAGCGGTTCCCAACTAGGGGTCCATGTAACCCACACAGGGGGTCTGCGGCACCAGTCACATAACAAAAACTACCATAGAGATATCAACATTTTCAAAAGTAGAGAGTCCTTGGCTTGGCTTTGGAAAAACAGGGGGGCACAGTACTTAGATAACTGGGACCCACTGTTTTAGAGACTAGAGGGGATCTTGTAGGTCATCTAGCCCAACTGCCTGCTTCAGTGCAAAAGTCCAATATCATCTGGAGGTCCACAGCAGTGGTGTAGCGTGGGTTGTCAGTGCCTGGGGCAAGGCACTGCCCACCAATAGGCTGCAATGAAGGGGCAGAAGTGTAGCGACCTACCTGAGTGACAACCACAGCATCCCATGAGCACTGAGCAGGGCGGAGAGCAGGACAGGGGATTGGTCGGGAGCCGGCATCTTTTCAAAGCCCATGCAAAAGGTGCCATAGCAACCAGACGCTGCCCAAACATGCTTCTCAGTCTACCTGTGCAAACATTGGGAGATTTTTTTGTGTGAAGATGAGGACACACTATTTTAAATTTGTTCTTGCTACATTGCTTGGCTTTGCTTTGCTTTTGACATTTTGCACCCCAAAGAATTTTGCGCCCAGTGCAACCACCCCTGTGGCCCCACACTACACCACTGGTTCACGACATCTTCATCCCTGAATGGCAGCATCCCTGGCAGAAGGCCACCCAGCCTCTGCTTAAGCACCTCCCAAAGCAGGTCTCTTCCACTGTCAGAACAGCTCTCACAGAGTTCCCTGGGAAGAGGGACTGACAGTTAAATCAGTCTGAGAATTGTAGCTCTGTGAGGGGAACAGTGGGGTGGTCTCTCACCACTCTTGACAAACTGCGGTCCCCAGGATTCTCTGGAGGAAGCCATGGCTGCATAAAGTGGCACAATACTTTTTAGAATGTATGGCTCAAATAGGGCCCAAGTCTCTATGTCCCTGCAGATGCTCAGAACAAGAGGAGCTAGTGGCAATCGAAGTCCCCACCTCCGATCATTTCACTCATGACCACTAGCTGCAGCTCCCATCTTTCCTTGGGCCTCCTCAGCCCAGCCCAGCCTCTCTGCATGTTTTGGTTCCTGAGGCTGACCAGAGTCAGCTTTTTCATGCTTCTAAAGCCTTTTCATGCTCCTAACCACATTCGCTGGACCGCCAGTATAAACAGGAGCCTTCCCAGAACTGCACTGCAATGCTTGTTGATTTTGACAAAGGAACTGAGAGGGGAAAGGAAGAGGAAGGGAGTGTTTTCCCCTAAAATTATGTAGTTGTGTTGCTGCTCTTTTTTATTTAAAAAAAACCTCATAAAAATGCATTCCTAGCTTTGAATTCTCATAAAATGTGCATTTCTAGTGTTTTGCTCCAACTTGGGTTTTGAATGGAAAAGCAGGAAGACGCCCATGGTGGATTGGGATTGGACCTGGGGATATGGTGGTGCTCGGATCAGAGTTCCCTGAGCAGCCACAATCCTGGATTTGCAGGGGTGCTGATTCTGGCTCCCTAAATGTTAAGGAAGGAAGATGAATGGGAGTGGATCCACACTAAACCCTGCTGCAAACCATGTCAAACTGGCAGAGTATTTAAAACTGGACCTTTCGTGGGGTCATTTGGAACATTGACTTCTCCTGTTGAAGCTAAGCTGCTTTAAGAATTTAAAACCAGTGTGGCATTGGGAGGCATGCCATGCCTTAGACCAGCGGTTCTCAACCTGTAGGTCCCCAGATGTTGTTGGACTACAACTCCCATCATCTCTGAGCCTTGCTAGCTAGGGGTGATGGGAGTTGTAGTTCAACAACATCTGGGGACCTACAGGTTGAGAAAGGCTGCCTTAGACTGTAATCGAGAGGTGTGATGAAGGCATGCACAGATGGGAGCATCCATTGGCTTACACATACACCTGCGCAACACTGTATTCAACCGTTTTCGCTTCAGCCATGCGCCCTCTGCTGAACTGCTGCCAACTGTATCAACTCCCCTGAGAGCCAGTGGGTTGTAAGCAATGTAGTGCTGAGTTAAAGTCACTCAGAGGTCTACTTCATCCCATTGCTTTAATGTGGAACATTAATGCGCAAGGGGATGCGCATGCAGGTTGCTGGTAGCTTTGTGGCACAATAGCAGCAGGTTCCTGCTAGCACAACTTTTGTGTTGGATTCCTCTGTTGCACAACATAAAAAAACTCATTGTTCCACTCATGCAAGACCCCACTTAATCCCCATACCATAGGAATATAGTTTAAAAGTGCATGAGTGTCAGGGACTGGGCAGGGGAGAAATGATGGAGACCACCTCCTCAGCCTGACCCTTCCAGTCGTTAACAGACATCAACAGGTTTACCATACCCATTGAGTCAATCATCCATCTCCTACTACCCTTCTGAGAAAAACCCCACCCCAGCCTCCCACTATATATAAAGGTCTGGTGACTTCTTTTTCACTGTATCTGAAGAAGTGTGCATGCACACGAAAGCTTATACCCAGAACAAACTTAGTTGGTCTCTAAGGGGCTACTGGACAATTTTTTAATTTTTTATTTATTTCGTGCTTCCAGAGAAGAAGACGACAGTTCATAATTACAACAGGGGTTTGAGGAAGGTCACAGCTCAGAGGCAGATAAGGGGAAAGCTGGGAAATAATGGGAGAGGAGGAAGAAGCAGCACCAGAGGGGGGACAGCTGATGGACACAGTGTCTTTAGAAAGCATTCCAGACCCCCACCTCTCCCAGAACCCAGCAGGCATTTATGGTAGGAGAGCAGAGAGCTCAGAGGCAGAGGGCACATCTCAGCACCCGTAGTGATGATGCATAGTGGAAGTGAGAGAGGGTGTCAGTGTTTGTAAAAAAAGGGGGGGTTCTGACCTCCCTTTTTTGCCTCTCCTGGTCCTCGGACCCTTGTCGGCATAAAAGAGTCCACGAGAAGAGTATCCTTTCTGCTTTTATTCTTAAAAGTCTTTCTGCAAAAGCGACTGACCAACTGTACACATCAACACTACCAGCTTTCACTAACCAACCAACCAACCAACCCAACAACAAACTAACATTTCTCACTTTATATATATATACAACCCGGTGCAGGCCGCTGTCTCATGCTGACCCAGCATTTTAAGCATTAAAGAAACAGCGGCCAATTTCTAGCCGTGACAGAGGGGAGGTGGAGACTCACTTGAAGCATGTCATCACTCCAAGAGGCTGCATTTATAAGCCTCTCTCTGTGAATATTGAATAAAAAGCATTGGTAAGCCAGATGGGCGGGGTATAGATAAATTATTGTTGTTGTTGTTGTTATCTGTTCCTGGCAACCTACCATGGGGGTTTGACTCTGACACCTGACAATGAGCATCCACAAACATCAAGGGAGTTGCCAGTACAAAACTGATGTGCAATTGCTGTCCGTAGCCTTAGACCTTTCTCCCTCACTGTTCCTTTTACAGGTCTTGATTCCAACCAGGGTGGTAGAATGGTAGAGGCCTCACTCTTCCCCTGTCCCCAGACCCTGCAAAATCCAAACATCTCTCAAGCTGGTAGCACACCCAGAGGAAACGGCTTGACCGCCACCAGCATCTGCGTGAGAGGACAACCGTTCGACTGCTTCGTTTTGAGAACACAAGTTAAAGAGTTGTCACTTTAAATACTTTTATAAATACTTTTGTCTTTAATCTCTGTGTCTGTTTTGCGCGAAGGTCATCAGTCATTTGGAGTGGGGGCATGTGATATGTGTTAATGGGACACAATAGTCCGCTATTCATTGAATATCTTCTATCCCAGAGCAGGGAACAAAGCAATAAGATAAACAGAGGGGAAATGGTATATGAAAATTACAAAATTATATAAGTAGGTCCAATAAACAACAAAACTTAACAATCCTGCCATGGTAAGCAAGCAAAACTACAAGCAGCCACCATAAGTAGCAATAATGTTGGACCTGGGCAGCGTGGGCCCCTGTAAATTAATGGGCCCTTTATCTTCTACTGTAGCTTTGCTCTCTTTCAAGCAGAGAAGAAGCACTCCAACTGTGCTGGTCCCGGGGGGTTACCGTGCAGCGTGGTCCGTGTCCAGTCCAAGGTCAAGGGTGTGGTATGGAGGTTGTCCGTCAAGGCTGAAGCAGGATCCAAGACAAGGAGTCGGGTGTGGTCAGGAACTCTGGCAGAAGAGCAGGACAGGGTGCCAACAGGAACAGGTTACCAACAATGTTGCTCCCACAACCTGGGTCTGGGGCTGGCTGGCTTTTATCTGCCCTGAGGCATAGGGCAGCCCTGGTCCACAGGTAACTCGCCTCTCCTGGCCTGGAGGCAAGCACTCCTCCTGCAGGAACTTAGTCCCCTCTGCCTCTCTGCCCTGAGCCTCTGCAGCTCAGGAGAGGCTGGAGGGTTACCGGACCCAGAGGCAACCTCATCTTCACCTGACGGGGCTGAGAGTGGAGCACCTGCAGGCAATGGGTCCTCGATCACCTCAGGAGCCAGAGCGGATTCAGCTGGTGTCTGCTCCTGAGGATCCGGCACATGTGGGGGCCCTTCAGGTTCAAGCCCCAGCCCTGGCTCAGCTGGTCCTGGAGGTGGGGACTCCTGTGCAGGCTGGGATTCTTCAGGTTCAGCCTCTGAATCCAATTCCCAGGCCATCACACCAACACTCAATTCAACTTAGCAGTGTTCATAGTTGATTCTAAAGCACAGTCATCTTGCTTCACATAAAATGGAGTCTCTCCTTCATGTTAAGTCTTTAGGATATATGGTTTTATTTCCACATGCAATCAAACCTTGGTTCCTGAACAGCTCCATTTTGGAACATTTCGGCTCCCGAACACCGAAAACCCGGAAGTACCGTATTTTTCACCCTATAGGACTCACTTTTTCCCCTCCAAAAATGAAGGGGAAATGTGTGTGCGTCCTATGGGGCGAATGCAGGCTTTGGCTTAAGCCTGGAGCGCGAGTGGGGTCGGTGCACCCCGACCCCTCTCGCTCTCCAGGCTTCAGGAAGCTATCCGCAAGCCTTGCACGCCCGGCGGGAGTTCCCGCGGGCTCACAAGGCTTGCGGGCGGCAGCCTGCAGCCCGAAGCATGGGGCGCCCTCCGGAGGATGCCCCGTGCTTTGCGCAGGTGTCCGCAAGCCTTGCGCGCCCGGCGGGAGTTCCCGCGGGCTCGCAAGGCTTGCGGGCAGCAGCCTGCAGCCCACAAGCTCGGGGGACAGCGGGGAGGTGGAGCGCCGCCATCCACCGACCTGGTTTGGAGGCTGGCGCTGGGGAGAAGCCCGCTTCTCCCCAGTGCCAGCCCCACAAGCTTGGGGGACAGCAGGGAGGCGGAGCGCCGCCATCCCGCTGTTCCCCGACCTGGTTTGGATTCCCCGACCTGGTTTGGGGGGGAAATAAAGGGGGGGAAATTCCTTTATTTCACCCAAAAAAAACCGGGTGCGTCCTATGGGCCGGAGCGCCCTATGGGACGAAAAATACGGTAAATGCTCCGGTTTTCAAACATTTTTCGGAAGTCGAATGTCTGACGCAGCTTCCGCTTGAGTGCAGGAAGCTCTTGCAACCAATCAAAGCCTCGCTTCAATTGTTGAACATTTCGGAAGTTGAACAGGCTTCCAGAACAGATTACGTTCAACAGCCGAGGTTTGACTGTATATACAACCTGAGCATAGGAGAGAGGGCTTACAGCATTAACACCCCAACAGATCTTGCATCTGCATGAGGTTTCCCAGGGGAGCCCCAAAGCCCAGAATGGAGCAAATATGTCTCTGTGTCTCTAGCTTCCAGCCTCCTTCCAACTCACTCACATACAACTCTGGCTCTGGTTTTATGTCACAGCTAGAACCCAGAGCAAATTCTTTGCTCATGCTGAATCATGGAACTTAACCAGCCACGCTTGACAAAGGAACAGGTTTGGCAAGCTTTGCCCTCACAGATATAGGGTCCCAGGTTTGGTAGGGAATCTGGGGTTTCATCCAGACTTGTAACAGCATTGACTGTCTGAAGGAAACCTGATGCATTTGTAACACATCGTAACACCCCGGCTGACGGCAAGGACCTCAGTATACTGTAACTCCAAAGTGACATCTCTTGCATCAACAGAAGGTGGTCTAATTGCAGGCATTGTTCAACCTGCTGTTCGTTTGTTTCTTTAAGGTTCTAACCTTTAATAGCTGATTAATCAATTTTAAGCTTTTTCAGCCAACTGAAAAGGCATCTGCAAGTCATCAGGAAACACATTTGTTTGTTTGCTGGCTTTGTTTTTGCATACCAGCTGGTTTTCAGGACAGTTAGCAACCTGGTAAACAATAAAAACAAAACAGTATAAAAAGAAATGGACAATTTGGGGGTGGGGGAAACACGCTGCTTACAGTCAGAGTAGAACCAGTATAATTAAAGGACATGGCTAACTTAGATGCACTCATTTCAGATCTGAGTAGAACTTTGTTGGATCCAATTCATTAAAGTCAGAAATGAACAGGGCAGCTCTATCCATGTCTGCTTATTTTCTATGCCTGGTTGTAAGTGATCTGCCTTGCTCTTAAATAATTGTGCTATGAATATGCATTTGTTTTAACTGTAACCCTCTCTCAAATTACAACTGCAATGAAGAGCAGGTAATCACAAGAGAGCCTAAACCAGAGGAAAAACCTACGCCCATGTATCCGGCGTCTTCAACAAGCAGGAATCAAGTACTAATGAGCTTCTCCTTTCGCCTCATTGTAACCACCAACACAGCACAGTATATGGCTACCAACGTACCTGAAGCCCTGCAACTATTGGAGAACCTCAGACTCAATTCTCCGCCAGAATGGCAACCAACAGACCCACCAATTGACAGCCATAGAAACACAACAAGGGAACTGTAAGAGAACCGATACAAGTGACGCTGACAGAAAACCTCACACATACATTAAGCAGAAGAATAGAAGCATAACCACCCCACCCCACCCCAATCACTACCCCAACTCTTCCCCCCTCTAGTACTGCACACAAGACTAATGTCTCGCAAGGAATGAAACTGATCTGTAAAAAACAGAACTTGAAGAAAGAGACAATGCACGTATTTTTGCGAACGGAGAAATCTTTAATAAAAACATATATAAATATATAAATATATAAATAAATGAAGTGCAGGGAAGAAATGCAGCAAATGAATGAAAACAGAATAAATACTCAAGAGTAAGCCCCACTGGTTTCAACTGGACTTGCTCCCAGGTAAGTGTGCATAGGACAGCAGCCCAAGAGCAGCTGATTAAGGTTGCAAATCTATGCCTGATTACTAGGGGAGTTAAGTTCAACAGAACACAGCAACATTTACTTTTGAGCAAGCCTTAATAGGATTACACTGGAAATTGCAGTTCAGGCTCAGAGCTTAAAAGCTCAAAATGCCCAGGAGAACAGAAAGGTCTACTTCTGGCACTAAAAAAAAGATGACAGCAAAGTGAGTGCCAAGACTAGACAAGCCTCTTTGGGGAGGGAGGTCCTTAAACAGGGTGCTGCCACTGATTAATAGGGCCATGCACGACCCCCTGACTATATCCCTGATCAGATCAACTCTTCCCCGGGCCAGCCCAGGGACCCCCCCATCCCCACCATGGATCTGGCATGAATCAATTAAGAGGGTGGTACTAATGTTCATGGGACACGGATGGCGCTGTGGGTTAAACCACAGAGCCTAGGACTTGCCGACCAGAAGGTTGGCGGTTCAAATCCCTGTGACATGGTGAGCTCCCGTTGCTCGGTCCCAGCTTCTGCCAACCTAGCAGTTCGAAAGCACCTCAAAGTGCAAGTAGATAAATAGGTACCGCCCCAGCAGGAAGGTAAACGGCGTTTCCGTGCGCTGCTCTGGTTCGCCAGAAGTGGCTTAGTCATGCTGGCCACATGACCAGGAGGCTGTACACCGGTTCCCTCGGCCAATAAAGTGAGATGAGCGCCGCAACCCCAGAGTCGGTCACGACTGGACCTAATGGTCAGGGGTCCCTTTAACTTTACCTTTACTAATGTTCATAATTTTAAAACACTGATTAAACTAACAGTGGGGAGAGGGGCAGGAGAGGAGATGCTGTGTGAAAACAGCATCCCAAAATGCAAAATCGCATCCAATAATGTGCATATTGGGAGGAATTTGCACTGAAATGCCGCTGAATTTATAATAATAATAATAATAATAATAATAATAATAATAATAATACAGTGTTACCTTGGTTTGCATACGTCTTGGTTTGCATACATTTTGGATTGCAAACATGTCAAACCCGGAAGTGCGTGTCCCAGTTTGCAACCTTTCTTTGGATTACAACCCTTTTGTTTGTTTGTGTGTTTGTTTGTTTGTTTGTTTGTTTGTTTGGATTACGAACAAATTTTTTTGGGAGGCCCCATTGGCGAAAGCACGCCTTGGGTTACAACCTGTTTTGGTTTAGAAACGGACCTCCGGAACGGATTATGGTTGTAAACCAAGGTACCACTGTAATAATAATAATAATAATAATAATAATTGCAGCAAACTGGTGTGGAAATGTGAAGATCTGAAGACTGGAAAGATGAGAAACTGAGAGAACTGAAATGGAGAAGTTTGCGCCTCCCTAGGAGGCACCTTCAATTACGTTCTGTAGATGTCACATTCGGAAGCCCGCCAGGCCATTCTACATGCTTTCCATTCATCTAGCGCTCCTGAGATTAGACAGTAATCCTCCCCCCGCCCTCCACCGCCTGCCCTCCCCAAGAAAGAGCAGCCAAGTTCCCAAGCTGCAGGGCCTGGGAAAGCAGGTCAGGGCAGAGACAGTCAGGAATGAGTAGAATGCAGCGGCCGATTCAGCACATTCCTCTCGGAGTTAACCCCTTGAAAGAAGCAGGAGAGGACACAACTCTGGTTTTATGCATAATCTCCAAAGCCAGACCTCTGTAACTGAATGTTTTAGGGCAGCGATGAGGGATTTTTGGCCCTACACCCTTGTGGAAATCAATTGAAACAAAGTCAACACATTTGAAGGTCACAGGGAGAGAAGCTTCATGATTGCCACATCGATGAGTCTGTCAAGCACCCACAAAAGAAGATGTTTTCGGGATATTTCATTTGTTATGGTGTAGGAAGCCTGCAGCCAATAGAAGGAATGATGCGCTCGCCACAATATATTGAGGTTCTACTAAAGAGAGTTATTCCAGAGCTGGAAAAGAGGTACCGTATTTTTCGCTGTATAAGATGCACTTTCCCCCTCCTAAAAAGTAAGGGGAAATGTGTGTGCGTCTTATGGAGCGAATGCAGGTGGGAGGCTCTGTCAGCGCTCCCTTTAAAGAGCTGCATGGAGCGTGTGTGCAGCTCTTGGGGGCTTTTCCCCAAGGAGGAGGAAGGGCTGCCCTTCTCCCACCTCAGGGAAAAGCCCCCACAAGCCACACATATACTCCGCACGCTCTTTAAAGGGAGCGCGGCTCTTGGGGGAGCCTTAGCCGCGCGCAGCCTCTCCCAGGCAGGGGATGAAGGCTCCCCTTGCCCGGGAGAGGCTGCACATGGCTAAAGAAGAAGCCAGGACAGCGAGCGGGATCCTGGCTGTTCTAGCTTCTGGCTTAGCGCGCGGCTCTGTCCCTTCCCCCACCTCCCAGAAAAGACCCCAAGAGCCACGCTCCCTTTAAAGAGCGTGCAGCTCTTGCAGGAGGGAAGCCAGTAAGCTTGCTTTCGCTGAAGCCAGGAGGGCAAGAGGGATCAGTGCGCACCAATCCCGCTTGCTCTCCTTGCTTCAGGGGTAGCCCCGCAAGGCCTCCTAAGCGAAGATGGAGGCGCGCTCCCTCTTAGCTCAGGGTGTTTTGCGTTACTTTCTTATTTCTTCTTTTCCTCCCCTAAAAACTAGGTGCGTCTTATCATCCGGTGCATCTAATAGAGCGAAAAATACGGTATCCTGGTGGTACTGGGATATTGCAGCAGGTCCTAGCCCTCTTTCACACATCAAAAGTGGTGAAGAAATTCGTGACAGAGCAGCAAATACAGGTACTTGATTGGCCAGGGAATTCCCCGGACGTAAATGCCATTGAGAATTTGCGGGCTATATGCAAAATATGTACAGATGCAGCAGAACTCCCAACTGAGATGAATCCCCAGCAGCATGGTCACTAAGGATTTCAAAAGAGGCCGACTGCTGGATCAGGCCCCATTCCCAGAGTGGCCAACCAGATGCCTCTTCTGGGAAGTCCACAAGCAGGATATGAGCATAACAGAATTCTCCCCACACGTGTTTCCCAGCAACTGTTGTTTAGAGACCTCCTACTGGAGCTGGATTGTACCCATCGTGACTAGTAGGCACTGACAGCTTTATTCTCTGCGAATTTGTCTTGCCTCTCCAAAAGGGTATGGGAAGATTTGATGCTAATGACCAGGTGGGTGATCGACCACGCTTGCGCGTTAAGCACACTGCTTTATGCAAGTGACTCATGTGTTAGAGGGAACGTTCTTTCATATGTGGTGGACTTGTAAATGGGTAAAAGAGTTTTGGGAAATGATCCGTAATGAATTAGGGGGGGGGGAGTTTAAAAGTACTTTCCAAAAAAACCCGGAGTCCTTCCTGTTGGGGATAATTCAGACTAAAACTCCCAATTCGTTCTGGAGGTCCGTTCTTAACCTGAAACTGTTCTTAACCTGAGGTACCACTTTAGCTAATGGGGCCTCCCGCTGCCGCCACGCGATTTCTGTTCTCATCCTGAAGCAAAGTTCTTAACCCGAGGTACTATTTCTGGGTTAGTGGAGTCTGTAACCTGAAGTGTCTGTAACCTGAAGTGTCTGTAACCCGAGGTACCACTGTATTTAAAATGGGGGCTCATCACGGGCAGTTGAGCACATCAGGGTGTTGATGCCCTTGACTTCCAAAGCACTATACAGACACTTAGCCAGAGAGGATCCGCCCTGCCCCATACAAAACTCAGCCAGCCTCCTTACCGCCTCTGAATTCCAAGCAGAAAGCGCTTTGAACATGAAAAGGCGTTCAAGCCACAGGGGAAAGCGGGTAAATATGGTGAGGAAATGGCTGTGGCGAGAGTGTGCAGGCAGATCAAAGAGCTTGCAAAGCACCTTTGGCAACGGCAAGCAAAGCCTGCCGAGCCCCAAAGCGGCAGGTGCAAGGTTCTTTCTCCACAACTAAATAAAGTCACATGTACCTATTCCAGTCTGTTTAAGTTACAGACAGAACTACACCCCAGGTCACATTTTGCACGTACAGTTGTATCTCGGGTTACAGATGCTTCATGTTACAGACTCCGCTAACCCAGAAATAGTACCTCGGGTTAAGAACTTTGCTTCAGGATGAGAACAGAAATCGCGCAGCAGTGGCACGGCGGCAGCAGGAGGCCCCATTAGCTAAAGTGGTAACCTCAGGTTAAGAACAGTTTCAGGTTAAGAACAGACCTCCGGAACGAATTAAGTTCTTAACCCGAGGTACCACTGTACTTCTAAACTCAATGCGGGATCTGTTCCTTGTCAGGTGACCACGTGTTCTACTTTGTGGAAGACAGCCCTCCATTGGAAAGGCAGCCAGATTCAAGCCCAGTCTGAAGATCAAGCGAGAAAGGAGAGCAGGAGAGGCCTTGAAATTGTTCATCAACCATCATGTGGAAGTTGGAGCAAGCTTGTTCCTGCTGCTCCAGAGGGTAGGACCTGTACCAATGGCTTCAAATTACAAGAAAAGAGATTCTGACTAAACATTAGGAAGAACTTTAAGGCAATAAGAGCTGTTCAGCCACAGCATGGACTCCCTTGGAAGGTGGTAGACCCTCCTTCATTGGAAGTTTTTTTTAGCAAAAATGTATAAAACAGGATCAAATGTTTGTTGGAAATGTAAGGGAAAAGAAGGCACCTTTTATCGTATGTGGTGGGCATGTAAGGTAGTAAAAGAATCTTGGGAAATGATTTATAATGAGTTGAAAAAATGTTTAAAATAACTTTTTCTAAAAAACCTGAAGCTTTTCTTTTAGGAATTCTAGGTGCCAAAATCCCAAGGGAGCAGAAAAGACTATTTATGTATGCGACCACGGCTGCACGGATATTATTGGCCCAGAGATGGAAAGAAGATAAAGTCCCTACCAGAGAAGAATGGTAGATTAAATTGATTAAATTGATGGATTATGCCGAATTGGCAAAAATGGCTGGAAGAATCAGAAATCAGGAAGACCAAAATTTATAATTTATCTTAAAAACCATTGCAAACAATGAAAACCAGGTTTTTTTCTGGGGGGATGCATATCCTTAAACATTTTGTGAATCTAAGTTTGGCCTCATTGAGGGGCAGTATTTCAATATGAGTAGGAGAATGAGAGCACCCCTAAACATTTTTTTTTTTTTAAGGAAAAAAGCATTGGTTAAAACCATTAGTAGGACTGGAATAACACTTGTAGTTTAATGGTGAATTTCGGACATAGAGAGATAAAAGATATGGATTATTATAAAAGATGCAGGAGGAAATGATTTGTAATAGGACCCTCAATGGGGAGGAGGGAAGTCCAAGAGATTCTTTGGAATCTTGTTTTTATGTTGTATATTGGATATGTGATTGTAAAACATTGATCTGAAAACCAAATAAACAATTTTTTTTTAAAAGACAATGTTGAGCTGGACAAACCAGTATAAGGTCACTTCCTACGCCTTCCAGTCACAGTGTGCACATTGGAATCCTGCACGCGAGACAGCCTCCCGGTGGAAAACAGGAGTTTTGCTAATCTAATAAACTCCAAACTACCACTAAGTGGCAGTCAAGGACAAGCTATCGCAGGCAATTTAGTTGATTTGTTAAACAGCAGCTATTCTAGCAGGAAGGCAGGAGAACCTCTTAGCTTAATGGAAGGTGGATAAACATTACTGGATAAAAAACATCCCAAGTGTCCCGCAACAGGACCAGCATGTGATTCGTTAGACGCTGACCTCCAGAAGCCTCTCTGAAGCATCAGCAGCAACGGAAGAGACTTCCGCAGTGATTTTAGGCGCTCACATTGCTTTGCAGACAAAGTTCTGTTGCAATCCTTACAAGCAGCCTGTAAAGGTAAGTCAGCTTTGGTTTTCATCCTGCGCAGTTCAGGAAATAGCACCCCGAAATGGTTTCCAGAAGCAATATTCGGGATTAGTGTTGCTTGGGAAACTGAAACCAAGAGATTGCTGTTGGTTCGTGTCCTATCTGACCCTTTTAAGGGTTCATAAAGCTGTGTAAGTTGTGTTTGAGTTCTACAAATGATAAGCGTGAGTCAAAGATGAGGAACCTGATGTCCTCCAGCTGTTTTACATTATATTACATTTTAAAATTACCAATCATCAATTATCATTATCATTTCGCTGCTTAATGCTGGTATATAAGTGGTTACAAAGTACAAAAAGCAGTTGGGCAAACATTTTAAAAATAACATCCATGTTTAAAACACACAATAAAACTGGGGTGAGGAACATAATGCCCAAAAGCTGAAAGTGGCCCTCCATTCTTATCTGGCCCCCAGAAAACTCTCCTTACCACCCCACCCTCTCCCCCCAGGCCGCACCCTCTCATCACCAGCCCTGCTTCACACCCTCCTTGTGTGTTTTTGCCCGGCTGGAAGGTGCCCTTGAACTCTGATCATGCCTCTTGCTTGCCTGCATGGAGGATAGACAGGATGCACAGAAACAAGTCTAGTGTGCAAGGAAAAATTTACATTAGTTGTTCCACCCACTTTGGCCTTCCGAAGGTTGTGGAGAATGGAATGTGGTCCCTGCACTGAAAAACACCGTATTTTTCGCTCCATAAGACACACTTTTTTCCTCCTAAAAAGTAAGGGGAAATGTCTGTGCATCTTATGGAGTGAATGTCTGGTCCCTGGAGCCAAATTGCCCAGGGGCGAAAAGGAGATCATGCTTTTTTTTTATTTTTAAGAAAGAGGGAGGTGGGTGTTGAAACAAAGCCGCTGATCAGCAAGCGATCGGGAGGGAGATAAGGCTGCTGGTAAAGGAGGCTACCGGGGGAAGGGGGGAGGTAACTTGCAAGGAGAAGAGACAGGAATACTAAAAACAAGCAATGAGGAGAGAAATTAGAAGAAAAGGAGGAGCAAAAAACTGCTCCAGCTAAGGAAAAGACACTAAGGCAAACAAGAGGGAAGGGGGTGTTGAAAGGAAGCAGCTGATTGTGATCAGGAGGGAGATAAGGGAGGCTAGCAATGAAAGAGGCTGCCTGGGAGGGGGGAGGTAAAAGCCCATGGATCCTCAGGATTTTTGCATTGGGTCACCCCAAATTCACCATCAGATCACATAGCATGTCCATGGCTACAGCCTGCACCCAAAAAAAAAAAATAAATCACACACCCACTGTTGCGTGGGGCCGCAATGGTGTAAAAACGTGGTTACAAAGCACAGATCCACATGGATCCTCAGAATTTTTGCATTGGGCTACCCCAAACACACCATCAAATCACACATCATGTCTGGGGCCACAGCATGAACCACAAAAATCATATATCCACTGTTTCATTCAGAATATTTTTTTTTCTTGTTTTCCTCCTCTAAAAACTAGGTGCATCTTATTGTCAGGTGCGTCTTATGGAGCAAAAAATACGGTATTGCCCTCCAGTGCAAGAAAATAGATTATGCAGTTCATTTGGCAAAAAGGAGTCACTTCCACCAACTTAAAGCAAACAGGAGACAGATCTGCATATCAAAAGTTTTTATTTTCCTTTCCAGACAGATTATCGCTTTTGTACATCAATACTTCAGAGGATGGGTAGTACTGGACGTCCCAGGGCATTGTAAACATGCCAGCTCTTTTCCTGGCACCCCTTGTGCCTTCAAGAGCCACATGCCCAGCAGGAATTCACCATGCGGTTTGCCCTGGCACCAGGATGTAATTCTCATGAAGAGCTTTATCTGCTCTAGCCTGCAGATCTGGCAGCCAAAGAGAGAGCACAGCCGGCAGCTGTGAGCCACTCGGAAGGGATGCCAGCCCAGACGCTTGAGCTAGGGTAGGGATTTGGCAGGGCCAGAGTCAGATTTAGGACAGAGTTCCACCGTGTCTTGCTCTTTGCCCTACACTCTTGCTTCATTTCCATTCCTTGATTCTTTCTTCCCTCTGTATGCACTAGTTTATGGAACAAGTCACAACAGACCGGGTTAAATATGCTTCAGGTTGAGCGCTTTCGGGTTGCATTCTGCGGGGACCTGGAAGTAACGGAACGCATTACTTCCAGGTTTCGCCGCTCACACATGTGCAGACAGTCAAAATGACGTCACGCACATGCGCAGAAGCGGCAAATCATGACCCATGCACGCACAGATGCAGGTTGCGTTCGCTTCAGGATGCGAACGGGGATCCGGAACAGATCCCGTTCATACCCAGAGGTACCACTGTATTTGTTTTGCTGTTATGCTTTATTGTACTGTTTAGATCGTACAATATTCAATAAGATAAAAGGTAAAGGGACCCCTAATCATTGGGTCCAGTCGTGACCGACTCTGGGGTTGCGGCGCTTATCTCGCTTTATTGGCAGAGGGAGCCGGCGTACAGCTTCCGGGTCATGTGGCCAGCAGGACTAAGCTGCTTCTGGCGAGCCAGAGCAGCGCACAGAAACGCCGTTTACCTTCCCGCCAGAGTGGTACCTATTTATCTACTTGCACTTTGATGTGCTTTTGAACTGCTAGGTTGGCAGGAGCTGGGACCGAACAATGGGAGCTCACCCCGTCACGGGGATTCGAACCGTCGACCTTCTGATTGCAAGTCTTAGGCTCTGTGGTTTAACCCACAGCGCCACCCGTGTCCCTTATTCAATAAGATACATTATATTTATATATATATACATATAATCATAAGCAGATTTTTTCTTCCAATACAGTACATCGGGCACACCAACTCCAGGGGGTCATGTTTTTAGCTCCCTTGAAATCTTTGGGCAAGGGGTTGGACCTCCTCAATATGTGATGTCTCTCTCTCTCTCTCTCTCACACACACACACACACACACAGAGAGAGAGAGAGAGAGAGAGAGCGCACTGGTATGCTGGACTCTTCAATTGGTGGAGTGCTGGACCTTTGGCATTCTGGCATAACCCTGCTGACAAGTCCAGTGCACCTTCCTGTCTGATACTGGCACTCTGGGCTCATCAGCAGGGTCGCATCAGAGTGCCGAAAGTCCAGCACTTTAGCGTGACCCTGTGTATGAGCCCAGCATGAACTTTCCCATCTCATCAGAGGTCATGCCAGAGTGCCAAAGATCTGGCACAATCCTTTGAGGGGGGCCCGCAATCTTGAGTGCAACTGAGTGCCTCTGCAGTACATCACGTTTAACTCCCCTTCTTCCCCTTTTCTCTTTTAATTTGGCCATTTGTCTACCTGTCCTGCAAAAAAATTTTAATCTCTCGGATAAGCCCCTAGCAGGGTCTTACAGACCCACCTGGCATAAAGCATATGGATGAACTTGAGAGATTTATGTTGGCTACATGCCAAGTACTAAGTAGTCCTTTGCCTTACAAAAATGTATAAACATCAGGCTGCTGAACAATAATCTGAATACTAGGTGTGATTTATGTAAACCTGACAGTATATAAGTCTGAAGAACACCTCTGTCAGGTAGAACCTCAGCGCAGGCTAGATTTGGAAAGTGATGTGTGCTGGCCAAGCTCCAGCTTCAAGAGTCCATTGCTCTCAGGGCTCCCAGCAACCAAAGGAAAGGCAGCAAGAAAATAAAGCTTTTTTCCCCAGCTATTAACAATATATTCAGCTTTCACCTAATCTGCGTGATCACTGTGTTCTGATTCCAGAAATAACCTCTGCTCAGAAAAATATGGAGGGCCAAAGGTTCCGAACACCTGTTCTTGGGGGTGCATCTTGGAAAAATATTAACCTCTTATGACTGTAGAAAGAATAATCCCCTCTCCTTTTGCTCATGCTCGATTTAAACTATCATTTCTTATTTCAGCTACCTCCAGAGATCACTTGGACACTCTTTAAACTACAAACCTACCCATTCAAGAGGTCCCCTAGGTTGGACAACACTGAGGTGGACAGATTCTTGCATCCTTTCAAGGTCAATAAAATAAAGCTCTGCCATAGATACTTGGATCTAGTGACTCCAGCCGCTGAGTCATGTTACTGAATTTGTAGACTCTAGAGAATGGAGTTAGCACAGTGTTATTTAGGGAGGGGAGGAAGTTGTCAGGGCTACCACACACTTTTTAGACATGGCACAGATCCCCATGCAACTCTTAGCATTACATTTGGACATCACTTCAAAGCTCAAGTATCATGTGGAAATTAACAGCTGAGGAAGCTTCAGGGAAATTGAATAAGCCAACATGTGAATGCAGCTGTCATGAGTACACTGAGCGACTTAATTCAAGAGTGGGGAACCAGTGGCCTCCCAGGTGTCCCTAGAATGCACCTCCCATCATCTCCAACTATTGATCATGCTGGTTGGGGCTGATGGGCACTGTAGACCAATGGCTTCTTGGAGGGCACCATCCCTTTGGCTACTCCAATTACATACTCCCCTTTCCATTACAGAAGAAGAGTGCAAGTCACAGTCCATTTCACCCATTTTTATTTTTATTTTACACAGCTTTTCCAGAAAGCTCTGAGATTGGAGTAGAATTGGAGTGGCTTTTTTTCTTGCAGGCAATGAGATATCCCAGAATCCCCAATGTCAAAGCTAGGAAGACAGTTGCTATGGACAGTCCTGCCATTGTCAACAGAGACATCTCATGGGTACCTGAGAAAGAGAAGTGGAGATTGAATATGGGCCCTTCTGCGTTTAGAGCATGTGCACTACCATAAAGGTAAAGGTAAAGGGACCCCTGACCATTAGGTCCAGTCGTGGCCGGCTCTGGGGTTGCAGCGCTCATCTCACTTTATTGGCCGAGGGAGCTGGCGTACAGCTGTAATGTGGCCAGCATGACTAAGCCGCTTCTAGCGAACCAGAGCAGCACATGGAAACGCTGTTTACCTTCCCACCAGAGTGGTACCTATTTATCTACTTGCACTTTGATGTGCTTTTGAATTCCTAGATTGGCAGGAGCAGAGACCAAGCAACAAACCCCCGTCGCAGGGATTCGAACCACCGACCTTCTGATCAGCAAGCCCTAGGCTCTGTGGTTTAACCCACAGCGCCACCCACGTCCCTTTACAATCACCTACCATGGGCAAAAAGATTGCAGGGGGGTTGAATTAGATGACCCTAACTCTATGATTCTAGCTCTCTAAGTGTCAAGCAGAGGTCTTTTTTAGCCCTACCTAGAGACGTAAGAGTTTGAACAGCAGACTTTCTACATGCAAAAAATGCCACCCAAGAGTGCAGCCTTACCTTCTTCCATTGCCCCTATGGTTCTTTGGTTTTCAGGGAAATGCCCCAAACTCTTTGGGACACCCAGGACAACAGGTCCTATCACCACGTCAGCCTCTGCTCTTCCCACCGAAGAGTCACCTGCAAAAGCATGAAAGCCTAGAAACTTATTTTGATCAGGTTCGAGTTAAGCTCCTTTTAACACATTTCCTCCTATGGGACAATTATAGCCAATCTAGACACTGACGATGCAGAGGGGTTGGTGGCAGCAGGTGGTGGGGGGTACGACTGGATGCGCTCTAATGGGATTAAGTCCCAGGAGGAGGGTACTTGTTGGGTGAACATTAGGAGGAACATCTTGGATGGCAAGAGCAGTTGACTGGAACCAGTTGCCTTTTGTCCTCTGAAAAATTGGAGCAAATAGGAAGCTTTTTTGACCCATGCCTAATTGCTATGCAGGAAGCAAGGCCTCATGTCCTGGAGTCACCACCCCTGTTCCATAAGTCACTCTGGACACAGAATTTACCATGCACAATAACAGGAGCATCTCTCTGGAAGCGTCCTCTCGTCTCTCTCCACCAGGGATCCATCCTTCCAGACCGGCCCCCAGGTGGCATACAGTTCCTCATCTCACAGCAGCTGCAGATGTCTGCAGCACCTTCAATGGGAGTCCAGCTGCAGCAAAAGGGGGATACAGGAATCACTCCTCCCATGCTGCTCTCAGCTTCTCAGACAGCCCCACCATCCACAGTTCTCAACTGCTTCCCTCACCTGTTCCTTGCTTTGTTGAAAGAGCAAGCCTTGTTCAGAGGACCAAGAGGCTGATCAGCTGCTGTGACTTTCAAGTGGCAAGTAATGTACACCTGGAGAAAGTAAGTGGGGAGAAAGTGAGGGGGGAACCCCAAAGAAAGACCATTGGACTTTCCAGCATTGCAGCCTATTGAGAAACTCAATGCTCTCCAAATGCCATTGGGCTCCAAGTCCCATCAGCTCCAGCCAGCATGACCAATGGCCAGGGATAATGAGAGTTCTAGTCCGTCCACATCTGGAGAACCACAGATTCCCCCACACTCATGCTCAAACAGCTCTGTCGCAGTGGCTTCACCAAGTCACCAAGTTTATTTATATACAGTATTGAATTTATAGACCACCCTATTCCCAGAGGTCTCAGGGTAGTTCACAGAACAAAATCAAAATATAAAACCTCAAAATATATACCGGTAATCAGAATAAAAACAACAGCCCAATAAAAGGCTAAAAACACAGCATGTAGCAATATCTGGAATCCATAGTGTACAACGCAGCCTCTCTAGCCATCAAAGAACAAGAGGCACAAAGAAGTTAGCCAGTAGTTTGCCCTTGGGAAGCACTATGCAAGGGGCTTTTGCAGGCATTGACAGTCAGCTGACTGGCATTACCTGCAAAGCCCCTTTCATCCATGCCCTGCTTTTCCTGTAGGTAGGGATGGAGGAGAAATTCAATTCTATTCACATTCAAAGCCAAATTTTCCAAATTTGCATGTCCCTAAATAATATGAGAACTGAAATGCAGCTAGCCTTCAAAATCTGCACCGATTTGAATGTTTGCAATGCAGTTCTCTTAGAAACATAGAACTGTAGAGCTGGAAGGAACCACAAGGGTCATCTAGTCCAACCCCCTGCAATGCAGGGATCTTTTGCCCAATGTGGGGCTCAAACCCACAACCCTGAGTTTAAGAGTCTCCTACTCTACCAACTGAGCTATCCCAGCTGACAATAATTACAAAATTGCACACATTAAGGAAAGTGGATTCTAAAAAAACCAAGATATTAATGAAAACAACATACAAAAAAGGAGGTGTCCTTGCAAGAATGTATACATTAGTCAAAACTGCATATAAAATGTATTTATTACAATCAATTCACACAAAAATGCTGGTGAACTTTCATGGGGATTTTTTTTAAAAATGCCAATTGCTGCAAAATGTGCCAGATCAGGAAGCTTGCTGTGTTCAGTAATGTCTCACCAAGCCTCCATTATCTCCTGCAAACTGGAAGGCATCAACTGTGAACTGGAGAGAATCTTGTCTGTGTCTTGGGGACACAAAGGCTGAACTGGAGTCATCTGATCTCCCATCAACCAGGCATCTAAGACAAAACACGTGGTTAGCAACATTTCCCCAGTAGTTGACAGCCAAATAAATGCAACCTAGAGATCCTGGCAAGAAAGGCATACTTACCCATTGAAGTCAATTATAGCATAATTGGGAGAAGAGTCTCTGTCTGGGCTCAGCGTGGCCACACAGTTGTCAATGAAGAGCTTCAGAACCACGTGGTTCTCAGTGTTGACATCAGCCTGGATGTGCATGGCATCTCCCAGCTGATACCTGTTAATGGTTCTCTCCGCACTCCAGTCATCTAGAAGGCGAGCCTTATCTTAATACAGGGATGGGAGTGCCCTATGCAAGCACCTGAAACCTCACATCACTCAGAGATTGGGGTAGCCTACTGTACAAAAGTTAAGATTTATATTCATTACTCCACACTTTTGCCTCTAGCCTCACCCATCACCGACATACAGCCCTTGAAGGCAATGCATCCCTTGGACTAAAAAAAGGTTCCCCGTCCCGACTTACGAAGTAGACAGTATTTTCCCCAAGGCTGCCACCTACCGTTCATCAGACGCAACGAAAAGGCCAACCTTGCTTCTGCAGAAATGGTAGAGCTGAAAGGAATCCACGTTGGCCTGATGGACTTGCTGCTCACATTGTCTTTCCTGAAAGGGACAGTCTTCACTGATCAACCAGTTCTCCAAGGAACAGTTATTGGGAAGGTGCGATCAGAGAACAAAGAGCCACTCACCTTGGATAGTGACATTCAATAGGAACTTCAGCTGGGCTGGTCCTGATGATTTGAGAGTTACTTCCAGGATTAGGTCTATAGTAGAGGCTTATGCTATAGACAAGAGTGTCTGGAGTCATCTGGAAGGAGAAGAGTAGTGGCAAATATAGAGTCACTACAGGCTTCATCAACCTGGTGCTCTCCAGATGTTATGGACTCCAAATCCCATCATCTGCTCTAGCTGGGGCTGATGGGAGTTGGGAGCCCACCACATCTGGAGGGCACCAGGGTAGAGAAGGCTGCTCAAATTATTGTTGGTTCATATAAACACATCATATTCCTAAAAAAAAAATGCCATCTTAAAAATATGGACTTGACCCTTGGATCTCTCCCAACTCCCAATTCTATTATCATTCCATTCCTAGTCTCAATATATATTCCCTATTAAGTGTAGGGAGGCACAATCAGCCCAGAGGGATGCCCCCTCCACCATCTGTTATAATGTAGGAGGATAGTGAGGGACCATGCAGAGGTGGCACATTGACAAAGAACCTAGGACCACCAGACAAATTGCATGCACATCTGAAAAGCACAAGTTGTCTTATGTAGGCTGCAAAAAGTGGTACATGAATTTTATAGAATTTTATAGACAACCAAATTTCATCCTCACAACAATTCTGATGTAGTTATTTGTTTAGTTTGTCACCCAATGCAAAACATCTCCAGGTACAGTTTTTAAAAACCCACCAGGTTTAGTGATAGCAGCACACACAAGTAAAAATCCAGCACCACAGAAAATGGCAGCTGACTTGCCTAAAGTAATCAGTCAGCTTCTTGAGTGAGTGGGGATTTGAACTCAGGTCTTGCCAGTCCTAGCTGAACATACCAGCAGTCACTACCTAGGCTCAACCATCATTAAACCAGCAGCAAGCCATAGGAAGTGAAACTTTTGACTATTTTGGAGAAGAAACCTAATGTTTTATTTGCAGACCTCACATAATGATAACTACTCCTATCCCTTTCGTTTTGAGAAGTTTCTGTTGAATGGAGGATTCTATGATAAGGCTCTAAGATTAGTACAGTACACAAGTTCTGGTGCACAGAGTATTGGTGGTTCAGGATCCCAACCTGTCCATCACATTACTCTCAGATAGTTGCTCCTTTTCTCACCTTTAAAGGTAAAGGACCCCTGACAGTTAAGTCCAGTCGCAAACGACTCTGGGGTTGCGGCGCTCATCTCGCTTTACTGGCTGAGGGAGCCGGCGTTTGTCCTCAGACAGCTTCCGGATCATGTGGCCAGCATGACTAAGCCGCTTCTGGCAAACCAGAGCAGTGCACGGAAACGCCGTTTACCTTCCTGCCGGAGTGGTACCTATTTATCTATTTGCACTTTCACATGCTTTCGAACTGCTAGGTGGGAAGGAGTTGGGACCGAGCAACGGGATCTCACCCCGTCATGGGGATTCGAACCACCGACCTTTCGATCAGCAAGCCCAAGGCTCAGTGGTTTAGACTACAGTGCCACCCGTGTCCAATATTAGGGTTCTCCCAAAGCCATCAATACCTCCCTCTCATGCACGGGCAGTATCTTTTTAACCACATAAACAAACATTAGCCACAGCCGGAACATCAGAAATATGAGGAGTCTTTCCACCCCCATTGTAGTTCCTCACACATTAGGCTTTTCTTGTTACTTTACAACAACTAAAAGAAGCTCAAGGAACTCAAGAAGCAAGTGCATTTCATCAGTTCACCTTACCTGTAAGATGCTGCCACACTCATGGAGCCCAGCTTCAAAGACCACCAAATTCTCTGCATTGTCAAGGGAGGTGTATGGGCAACCAAGAGAGCCCAGGATCAGGTCCGAAGCTTGGATGAGCCTCCCCGTCCCAAACAGGTCCCTGTTCACAGTTACGACCACCTGAGCCTCCATGCAATGCACAGTCACAGGAGTCAGGAGGGATAAAGCCCTCAGCTGGGGAACGTCCACCCAAGCCCAGGGTGAAGACCGAGACAAGACTGAGCCGGGAGGCTGTCCCACTGGAGGGACAGTCCTGGAAGGTGATCTCCAAACTAGATCATCCCCAGACAACTCCCAAGGGCCTGCGATGTCCACCACACCAATTACTATACACAAGAGCACGCCGCTAACAGAAGCTAATAGCCCCATTCTGACTGCAAAATTAACCCACCACCCACTGTGCCCCTAAGAGGACCAGGACAGGAGAGGAAGGCTTTAAATGCTGCAGACCCGGCCCCTTCACAGCTGCCTTACGTTCCAAGCAGCCTGGCCTCCCCTGCCAGCTGTAGAGCAGGAATAAGAGCAATGAGCCTCAGCTGGAGACAATGTAGCTTGACTCGCTGGGACTTTATCCTGTCTTTTTTTATATAAAAAAAAAATCCTTATTGAAAGTGCAAAAAGCACATAATTATTATTATTTTTTAATAAGATATTTATTAAGGTTTTTTTGAAATATTACAGTAAAAATGAAAAAGAAAAGAGAAAAATACAAAATAAAAACAGTTAAAAACACACATATTTTCAGTTACTTATTTTCCTTTAGCTTGTTTCCCGGACCTCCTCGTACCTCCCTTTTTGTATTCCACTTCAATTTATTGGTTCAGCAAATCCTTACCATTAGATTTTAACCCATTTATAACCCTTTTTTCATATTCTCTTAAAGCATTACAGCTAGAAACCGCTTAATTACTATCCAACATCATTCTATCATTCATTAATTTTACAATATTTCTGTAAATAGTCTTTAAATTTCTTCCAATCTTCTTCCACCGACTCTTCCCCCTGGTCTCGGACAAAAAGCACATAATTATATGGGCACTAAACATAGTGAGATGTAAATAAAAGAGAGAAAAAGAGAGAGAGAAACAGAACCCGTGTAAAAGGGGAAATAAAGGGGGGAGGGGGAACCCAAAACTCTGTATTTTACAAGGTTGTTACTGTGGTACCTCGGGTTAAGAACTTAATTCATTCTGGAGGTCTGTTCTTAACCTGAAACTGTTCTTAACCTGAAGCACCACTTTAGCTAATGGGGCCTCCCGCTGCTGCCGCGCCACCAGAGCATGATTTCTGTTCTCATCCTGAAGCAAAGTTCTTAACCCGAGGTAATATTTCTGGGTTAGCGGAGTCTGTAACCTGAAGTGTATGTAACCCAAGGAACCACTGTATTGTACTTCACCAGATCTTAACCTATTACAGTATTTGTAAGAATGGATTCCAAATATCAGTGAATTTGTCCATGGCAAGTCTGCGTTTATATGCAAGTTGTTCATATGCTGCAAGTTTGTATATAAGTCTTCAATCCAACTGTAGAAGGTACTTTATCCTGAAAACACTTAGCCCATGGGTAGGCAAAATAAGGCCCGGGGGCCGGATCCGGCCCAATCACCTTCTCAGTCCAGCCCACGGACAGTCTGGGAATCAGCATGTTTTTACATGAGTAGAATGTGTGCTTTTATTTAAAATGCATCTCTGGGTTATTGGTGGGGCATAGGAATTCGTTCATTAATTTTTTTTCAAAATATCGTCTGGCCCTCCACAAGGTCTGAGGGACAGTGGACCGGCCCCCTGCTGAAAAAGTTTGCTGACCCCTGACTTAGCCTAAGGGCGCTTCCAGGTGCTTTTACTCTTAACTGCCACACATTTGTACATACCGGTAGCTCTGAATAGACTCTCCAAAAGGTGTGGACCCTGATCACACAGGCACAGAGCAGGTGGAGTTCAGGGGGTTGGACTAGCTGACCCTTGGAGCCCCTTCGACTCTACAATTTATGATATAATGATTCATAATGCATAGTTGAACTATACAGTGGTACCTCAGGTTACATACGCTTCAGGTTACAGACTCCGCTAACCCAGAAATAGTACCTCAGGTTAAGAACTTTGCTTCAGGATGAGAACAGAAATCGTGCTCCAGTGGCGCGGTGGCAGCGGGAGGCCCCATTAGCTAAAGTGGTGCTTCAGGTTAAGAACAGTTTCAGGTTAAGAACGGCCCTCCGAAACTAATTAAGTACTTAACCCGAGGTACCACTGTATTGTGTATTTCACACCCAATAATAATCTACCTGTGTTCTCCATGTTGCTGCATGGAATAACGCATGAACAAGAGCTTTTGACTTAGTAAGTAAAACTCTTAAAACTTACTCAACAGTGTGTGGCCTGTGCTTTGCTAGAGGGGTAGAGAGTGGGGGCAAGACCTATAAAGCAGACTAAACAGGATCTGCAAAAGTGTTTAACAACTTGTATTCCACACTATGCTGCTGGTTAACTCTAATAGTGTTTTTAACTTTGCTGGGAGCTCTCTCCCACCAAAGAGTGTGCAGTGCCCTGTATTTTGAATCTAGATGCTTAGCTGATTCTTTTGTTAATTGCCCCCACACGGCTTGGATCTATTTTCCACTCCCACAGTTTGAACTTTCATTATGCAGTTCACTGTGCTTGTATTGACTTTTATTGGACTGCGACTGCCATAAATTGCTGTTCATTCAACTGTTTTCACACCAAGCAAATCATTGCTAGAAGCAGAGTCAACGTGGTGCTTTAGAGAAGTACATTTCATCTTACTATGAAGGTTTATATTAGAAACCCTTTGATATTAGAAATCCTTTCATCAACAAAATGCATGCATTTACTATAATTTTTCTAATAATAATTTTATTATTTATATCCTGCCTATCTGGCTGGGTTTCCCCAGCCACCCTGGGTGCCTTACAGCAGATGAAAAATGGTAAAACATTCAACATTTCCCAAAACAGGGTTGCCTTCAGATGTCTTCTAAAAGTCAGATAGTTGTTTATTTCCTTGACATCTGATGGGAGGGCATTCCACAGGGTGGGCGCCACTACCAAGAAGGCCCTCTGCCCCCATTATAATGCCCCACCACCAACAACAAACTTACATGCCCCTGAAAGGGAAACCATGTACAGTACAGAACCTCATTTATGTTACCACTCATCTGACAAGATCACATCAAAGGAAGCATGGATGGTGTGGCAGCACACAGCGTCAGGTGACCCCTCCCACATAAGATGATCCTGCCTGATTTGGCCAATGACCCAACTACTCCAGCTTCCTGTTCTCACAGTGGCTGACCTGTGAGACCTGTATCTACCTGTGGAAACTGATATTCAGGGGCAAAACACTTCTGACAGTGGAGGTAAGACATCATCATCATAATTATAATAATAATAATTTTTATTTATACCCCGCCCTACCCAGCCAAGGCCAGGCTCAGGGCGGCTAACAAGCAATAATAAAAACAAGTTGAATGAATACAACTTAAAAACAAAATTAACATACAACATTAAAATATTGATATATATATATATATATATATATATATATATATATATATATATAAAATGTAGCCTTATTACAGGAGGAGAAAGGAAAAGAAAAAAGAGAGCGAGGGAATCAAATTGGCTCCAAGCCAAAGGCCAGGCGGAACAACTCTGTCTTACAGGCCTTGCAGAAAGAAATCAGATCCTGCAGGGCCCTGGTCTCATGAGGCAGAGCGTTCCACCAGGCCAGAGCCACTACTGAGAAGGCCCTGGCTCTGGTTGAGGCTAATCTAACTTCCTTAGGGCCCGGGACCTCTAGGGTGTTGCTATTTATGGACCTTGAGACTCTCCGTGGGGCATACCGGGAGAGGCGGTCCCATAGGTACGAGGATCCTAGGCCATGAAGGGCTTTAAAGGTCAAAAGCAGCACCTTAAATCTGACCCTGTACTCCACCGGGAGCCAGTGCAGCTGGAAAAGCACTGGGTGAATATGCTCCCATGCCAGAGACCCGTGAGGAACCTCGCTGCAGCATTCTGCAACCGCTGGAGTTTCTGGGACAGCCCCACGTGGGGCAGCCCCACGTCTTCCACGAATTTGCCTTTTTATGATTCTCAGTTTTATACATTTCAATAATTTTACAATCATTTTAACATTTCACAACTCGACTTCCCCCCCCCTTTTTTTGCAGTTCCTTAAATTTATTTTTAATATTTTCTGCATATCCAAATTAACTTAATTTGCTAATTTATTTACAATAATCCTGCCAAAAATCTTATCTGTTAACAGATTGTAAATATTCCATAAACATTTTCATTCTTTTATTAGAAGTTTATCTTGATTTCTTATTTTCCCAGTAAGTTTTGCCATTTCTGCGTATCCCATAAGTTTTTGTATCCATTCTTCTTTCGCTGGGACTTCTACTTCTTTCCATTTTGGGGCAAGTAACATTCTTGCCGCTGTAGTTGCATACATGAATAGATTTCTATACAGTTTGGGTAGTTCTGTCCCTATAATTCCCAAAAGGAATTCCATGAAATTGCTTAATCCTCTTTTAAAGCTGACCACCACCACAATTTGGAATATGCAGAAAATACAAAAGACAAATTTAAGGAATCGCAGAAAGAGGGCAAAGGAAGTCGAGTTTTGAAATGTTAAAACGATTATAAAAAATTTAAATGTATAAAACTGAAAATCATAAAATAATTGTGGGGGGGGTTGACCACCACTACCTTCTGTGGGGGACGCGGGTGGCGCTGTGGGTTAAACCACAGAGCCTAGGACTTGCCGATCAGAAGGTTGGTGGTTCGAATCCCTGCGACGGAGTGAGCTCCCGTTGCTCGGTCCCTGCTCCTGCCCACCTAGCAGTTCGAAAGCACGTCAAAGTGCAAGTAGATAAATAGGTACCGCTCCTGCGGGAAGGTAAACGGCATTTCCGTGCGCTGCTCTGGTTCGCCAGAAGCGGCTTTCTCATGCTGGCCACATGACCTGGAAGCTGTACGCCGGCTCCCCCGGCCAATAAAGCGAGATGAGAGCCGCAACCCCAGAGTCGGCCACGACTGGACCTAATGGTCAGGGGTCCCTTTACCTTTACTTTCTGTGGGAGCAGGTTCCACAGTTAAACTAGAACTCAAGAGCTTCCTTCTGTTGTGACTCCTCCAACATGCAGCTTCACTGGATGTCTAAAAATGCTAGTGTTGTATGAGGGAAGATAACCTTTCCCTCTCCACTTTCTCCATGCCATGCATAGTTTTATGGAGATCTGTCATGTCAGAAGGGGTGTGGTGGCCTTAGACTAGCAGCGGTTCTCAACTTGCGGGTCCCCAGATGTTGTTGGACTACAACTCCCATCATCTCTGAGCCTTGCTAGCTAGGGGTGATGGGAGTTGTGGTTCAACAACATCTGGAGACCCACAGGTTGAGAAAGGCTGCCTTAGAGGCAAAGAAGCAAACTTGTGAATGGTGATGCCATGGACTGGTTAGACGCAGACCTGGTGAGAGGTACCAGGTGGGAAACTCCAAAGGGTGGAAGGCTCAGAGCCCAGAGAGTGCTGGTGGGACAACGATGAGTGCTCACAGGGAGAAGACTGGGAAGAGGAGGTGTTGGAAGCTGAGAAGGTAACAGGGCTTAGTGAGCTGAGGGAATCTGTAGCAGAGAAGTCTAGAATCTGAGGCAGAAGTTGAAGTAGGAGAGGAGAGAGGACAAGAGGCTGAGATGAGTCAGGCTGGTGAAGAAGCACAAGCTCCCCTCCTCACTTGTCTCTCAGAACCAGAAGAGGCATGAAAAGGGCAGAGAAGAGATGGGTGACATGCAGGCGCAATCTCCAATTGCTTGGGTGGGGGGGACCTGGACAGGAGGGGGCTTAGGCATCTGTGGGAAGCAGGAACCTTCAGCCTCAGAAACTGCTTCATTGGGGCACTGGGGTCTAAACCAATGAGCCTCTTGGGCTTGCCGATCAGAAAGTTGGTGGTTCGAATCCCTGTGACAGGGTGAACTCCCGTTGCTCTTTCCTAGCTCCTGCCAACCTAGCAGTTCAAAAGCACGCCAGTGCAAGTAGATAAAGAGGTACCGCTGTGGCGGGAAGGTAAATGGTGTTTCCGCACACTCTGGTTTCCATCACGGTGTCCCATTGCGCCAGAGGCGGTTAAGCCATGCTGGCCACATGACCCAGAAAGCTGCCTGTGGACAAATGCCAGTTCCCTTGGCCTGAAGCGAGATGAGCGCCACAACCCTATACAGTGGAACCTCGGGTTGCGAACATGATTCGTGCAGGAGGCACATTCGCAACCCTCAGCGTTCACAACCCACAGCACCGTGTCTGCACACACGCGGGTCATGATTTGGTGCTCTGCGCATGCGCTACCACCAAAACCCGGAAGTACCGGTAACCCATTCTGGTATTTCTAGGTTCGGCGCAGTGCGCAACCCAAAATCGCATAACCTGAAGCATCTGTAACCCGAGGTACCACTGTAGTTGCCTTTCACTGGACTTAACTGTCCAGGGGTCCTTTACCTTTTTTTACCTTTCATCAGGGCAAGAGCTACTGGAGAGGAGTTGCTGTGCGCATTAGGCCTGACACTCCTATATCGATCGTGTTTTAGATAATAAAGGGTTAACTCCAACTCGCAAGCTGTGATTTATTGCTGGCTGATGCAAGTGAAAACTAGAGCAGGGTTGGGAAACCTGTGGCCTCCAGTTGGTACAGTCTCCCAATTCAGTCTCAGCAAGGGCAGCCAATGGTCAGGGATCCCAGGAGTTACACATTATGTGTTCTCTTGTTTTATTCTCATTTTAAAGGCTTTCAGAAGAATCTTAAGTAACCTGCTTATTTTTGCTATTTCCTAAAGAAAAGCTATGGTGTCGTCAGCATGGTGCCTTCTCATGGAGCTTCTACCAATGGGGGGGAAATATTATGAAGATAGGAAGCTGCTTTAATCCCACACCACTGCTGCATCTAGTTCAGCAGTGTTTCGTATCCACACTAGCAGCAACACTCCAGCATTTTGAGCAGGATTCTCTCCCAACATACCCCACAAAGACTTTTCCAAGACAGGCTTCAAAAAAAAAGCTGTTACAGTTTATTCAGAACTATATTTTAATACATAACATAATTCTTTGGAAATAATGGCAATGAGCCTGAGGGGAGAGGGGAGGAAGTATATTGTGTTTACTAACCAGGTTCAACTTAATTACTTTAAAAGAAAGGCACTTCTGCCAAGTGATTTGGAGGGGAAAACTATTTGCCAGGGATAAAAGCCAAAATGAGGTAAAAACTGATGCTCCCTTGGAAAGGCAATGTGAGCAAAAGATACTGCTTTTCCTCAGGAGGGACCTTTTAAACCAGAGGCATGGAACCTGTGGCCCTCCAGATATGGATAGACTACATCTCCCATCATCCCCAACCATTGGCAATGCTGGCTCAGGCTGATGGGAGTTGGAGTCCAACCCCACTCCCAGTTTAAACGAGACATTCAAAAAATACAGACATAAGACACCTCCGTTAGCAAACATGTGAAGCCAGGGATAGACATCTTCCTCAAAGCTACTGAAAGAACCAGATTCCTGCAGTAGCAAAACTGAAGCTAAAGATCTCACCTGGAAATTAGTGCACCTACAAATAAAATCTTTTGGATCCCAAGCTGGGCTGCTGAAATGCATGTTATAACAAGTTGACTCTTTGGGATCACTGGCAGTCTGTATCAGTTTCACCCTTGTGACATCCTAGCTAGAAAATTGAACTAAAAGCGCCTCTCAAATTCCTCATGCTATAGAAACCACCTGGGTTCTGCACAAATTTGGAGGAATAGCAGCAAAGAGGCACATACTCTCAAAAGAGAGGTGTGTTCAGAGCTTCCAAGTCTGCAGGTTGTTCAAGAGAGACTGTTACCATCAGATATACCCAGGGCTCTATCTGAGCCCACACCCCAAATCTGCCTACCCCCACCCCAACACACCTTGAGTTCTTATCTCACCAAGATCTGGTCAGGAACAGTAAACATCCAATCAGGAAAAACTAAGAAAAAACTAGCTTCTATGCCCTAAACATACAAAGTAATAAGAAATGTTTCAAAGACATACATAAAAGATCAGCTTAGTCATAAAAAAAATACGAGACTTCTTTGCTGGTTCAGGAGGAAAGATCTTTACAATGAAGGCCTCAAGCACGGGCACAAGGGAGAGGTATAATAAACCTTTTGACCTGTGTGCTTAAGTTCTGGGGCCACCCTTCCTCAAAGCTACAGAACACAACCAGCTACTGCCTTGCACTCTCGTTCTGGACCATTTGCCTTTCCTGGCGTTAAAACCTCACTTCTAGTTTTAAAGAGATGCCCAGTAAATCAAATGTGGAATTTACAAAGGGAAGCCATTACACACTCCCCTCTTTTTAAAAAAAGTTTCGTTGCTTCCACATCCCCCTTCCCAATTCTATTCAAGACACTATGCAGAAATTTTGCATTGAGATCAGTATTTGCATTTCTTCTTATGACCAGTCACCGGTCGACACCTTCCTGCATCCTCCGCCGCTCTGGCTCAGACACCGTTTGGTATCACATCAGCAGACAAAAAGGCCCAACTCAGATGGCATGAAAACATCCCATCTTCATCCCAAGCCTTCGATTCTTCGAGTCAAGTGATTTTGTAGAAGACTAAGAGCATCTGGCACCATCCTGTGGGCAAAAGGCAAAACAGATCGCTGTCAACTCCAGAAGCCCGTGAACTGGGAGACTTTCTTTTCTTTTTTTTATAAGATATTTATTAAGCTTTTTTAAAGTATTACAATAAAAATGAAAAAAATAACAAAAATACAAAATAAAAATAATTAAAAACACACAGATTTTCCATTACTTATTTTCCTTTAGCTTGTTTCCAGGACCTCCTCATACCTCCCTTTTTTGTATTCCAATTCAATTTGTTGGTTCAGCAAATCCTTACCCTCTTTATTTATCCTAATCTTTAGTCTTGAAATAGTAACATTAAATTTTTACCTATTAACAACCCATTTTTCATAATCCCTTAAAGCATTACAGCTGGAAACCACTTAATTTCTATCCAACATCATTCTAACATTCATTAATTTTACAATAATTCTGTAGATAGTCTTTGAATTTCTTCCAATCTTCTTCCACCGATTCTTCTCCCTGGTCTCGGATTCTGCCAGTCATTTCTGCCAGTTCCATATAGTCCATCAGCTTCATCTGCCATTCTTCCAGAGTGGGTAGATCTTGTGTCTTCCAATACTTTGCAATGAGTATTCTTGCTGCTGTTGTGGCATACATAAAAAAGGTTCTATCCTTCTTTGGCACCAATTGGCTGACTATGCCCAGGAGAAAGGCCTCTGGTTTCTTCAAGAAGGTATATTTAAATACCTTCTTCAATTCATTATATATCATTTCCCAGAAAGCCCTAATCCTTGGGCACGTCCACCAAAGGTGAAAGAATGTACCTTCAGTTTCTTTACATTTCCAACATTTGTTATCGGGCAAGTGATAAATTTTTGCAAGCTTGACTGGGGTCATGTACCACCTGTATATCATTTTCATAATATTCTCTCTTAAAGCATTACATGCCGTAAACTTCATACCTGTGGTCCACAACTGTTCCCAGTCAGCAAACATAATGTTATGTCCAAAATCTTGTGCCCATTTAATCATAGCAGATTTCACCGTTTCATCCTGAGTATTCCATTTCAACAGCAAGTTATACATCTTTGACAAAATCTTAGTTTTGGGTTCTAACAGTTCTGTTTCTAATTTTGATTTTTCCAATTTTCTTGTCCAATTTTCTTGTCCAAATTATATGCCTCCATTATCTGATAATAATGAAGCCAATCTCACACTTTATTTTTTAGTTTCTCAAAACTCTGCAGTTTCAGTCTATCTCCATCTTGTTCCAAAATTTCCCAATATTTCGGCCAATTGGTCTCCATACTGAGCCTTTTCAGAGCTTTCGCTTCCATCGGTGACAGCCACCTTCGGGTTTTGTTTTCCAATAAATCCTTGTATCTTATCCAAACATTAAACAATGCTTTCCTGACAATATGGTTTTTAAATGCTTTATGCGCTTTGACCTTGTCATACCACAGATATGCATGCCATCCAAATACATTGTTAAAACCTTCTAGGTCCAAAATGTCTGTGTTTTCAAGAAGTAGCCATTCTTTCAACCAGCAAAAAGTTGCTGATTCATAGTAAAGTTTAAAGTCTGGCAGGGCAAATCCACCCCTTTCCTTTGCATCAGTTAATATCTTAAATTTTATTCTGGGCTTCTTGCCCTGCCAGACAAATCTAGAAATATCTTTCTGCCACTTCTTGAAACAATCCATCTTGTCCACAATTTGCAATGTTTGAAACAAAAACAGCATTCTAGGCAATACATTCATTTTTATCACAGCAATACGACCCAACAGTGAAAGCTTCAGATTTGACCAAATTTCTAAATCTTTTTTCACTTCCGTCCAACATTTTTCATATTTATCTTTAAATAAGTTCCCATTTTTGGCTGTCATATTAATCCCCAGGTATTTCACTTTCTTAACCACAGTCAAACCTGTCTCATTCTGAAACCTCTCTCTTTCACTGAAATCCCCCATCACTATTTCAACATTTCTAATCTGCTAGAATTTAAAAATCTAAGCTACATCAAGAGAGTGTGTCTTCACAAATTATTTTGTTTTTATTCAGAAGCATGAAAGCCTGATGTACTCTGCTCATAAAAAGGAAAGACGGTGCCTTGGTTAGTATATTCAGTTATCAGCACACTGCCAATTCAGATTTTGTGCTTTGGCAATGCACAAAGAAGTTTTTTCATGGCAGAAGCCCTTGTCCCTTCTCCCCCTGCCAAAATAAAAATTAAAAAAAATCCAAGGCATGTATAACCAAAATACTAAAGATTTCTAGATTCTTCAAAGGCCAGTTTGGGGAACTTTCAACTCCTTTGGAGCTGGCTGCACACTCACATTTTTCCATATGTTCTGACAGTCTGGAGTATACCTCATCCGGAGTTGGGTGGAATCCTGGGTTATCTAGTTCAAATGTCTCCACGCACGTTTCATGGTCACGCCACCTGTTGATAATAATCTTGTCTCTCCGGCCACGCACCTTTCGCTTAGGAGAAGTTAGTAGAGCTAGTTAAGGGACTGTAGCCTAGCAAGTTGCCAGTTAGAATTAATAATAATAATAATAATAATTTTTTATTTTTACCCCGCCCTCCTAGGCCAAGGCCGGGCTCAGAGCGGCTTACAAGCAATTAAAATACTGGAACATTAAAATATTAAAATGTAGCCTCATCGCAGGAGGAGAAGGAAAAGGAAAAAGAAAGAGAGGGAGGGAGGGAATCAAATTGGCTCCAAGCCAAAGGCCAGGCGGAACAACTCTGTCTTACAGGCCCTGTGGAAAGAAATCAGATCCTGCAGGGCCCTGGTCTCATGAGGCAGAGCGTTCCACCAGGCCAGAGCCACCACTGAGAAGGCCCTGGCTCTGGTTGAGGCTAATCTAACTTCCTTAGGGCCCGGGACCTCTAGGGTGTTGCTATTTATGGACCTTGAGGCTCTCCGTGGGGCATACCGGGAGAGGCGGTCCCGTAGGTACGAGGGTCCTAGGCCGTGAAGGGCTTTAAAGGTCAAAAGCAGCACCTTAAATCTGACCCTGTACTCCACCGGGAGCCAGTGCAGCTGAATAGAACTGTAGAGTTGGAAGGGACCCTGGTCCAACCCCCTGCAGTGCAGGAATATGCAGCTGTCCCACATGGGGATCAAACCTGCAACCTTGCATTATCAGCACCATGCTCCAACCAACTGGGCCACCCAGACTTCCAAACTAAGTGGAGCTCAATGGAATAGGCTGCTCATAGTACAAAAGAAAGCTGCTTCCAGAAGTCTGGAGCAGGCATGCCCCTACCAAAGATGTACATCATTCCTACATCATAGGATCATCTGACGATCTTGCCTAATACAAGATTAAGCCTTTAGTGCTTTACCAAACCACATTCTGCCTGTAGACCAGGGGTGCCTGTTGGGTGCTCCCCAAGATGTTGCTGAACTACATCTCTAGTCCCCGGACCATTGACCACACTGGCTGGGACTGATAGAGAGAGGACAGCCACAGGTCTCCCAGCTTTGCATGGCCTATCCCTGCAGAAAGCAGGATTCAAGTGATGGCCCACCAGCAGATAGGCCTGTGCTGTGCTCTGAAGTCTTGGTGATCATCACCGGATGTCCCTGTGCCATCAGGTGACTGACGGGTGGGTAAAGCTAAAAGGTAAAGGACCCTTGGATGGTTAAGTCCAGTCCAAGGTGACTATGGAGTGCAGTGCCCATCTTGCTTTCAGGCCAAAGGAGCTGGTGTTTGTCCACAGACAGGTTTCCAGGTCATGTGGCCAGCATGACTAAACCACTTCTGGCACAACGGGACACCGTGACAGAAACCAGAGTGCACAGAAACGCCATTTACCTTCCCACTGCAGAAGTACCTATTTATCTACTTGCACTTAGACGTGCTTTTGAACTGCTAGGTTGGCAGGAGCTGGGACAGAGCAACAGGAGCTCACCCCGTTGCGCAGATTCGAACCGCCGACCTTCCGATCGGCAAGCTTAAGAGGCTCAGTGGTTTAGACCACAGCACCACCCGTGTATCAGGTTGGTGGCACTGGCCAGCGAGGCACAGAGGAGAAAAAGATCTGGCCCTCTGTCCAGATCAGGTTCTGCACCTCTGTCTTGCAGTTTGCTCAAGAACCTTATTTTCAGCACACTTTGCCTTCTACATGCCAGACTCAGAAGGAAACAATCAAAAACATTTTGTGATATAAAAAGTGATTCCTGACGTGGGTGAGGGAGGAGGGGAACTCCATCAAGCTCCCACCTGACTTGGTGGGCATTCCAACGGCCATCAGGTCAGCTGCCTAAGGGAAAAACTGAATAGCAGGATCTGCCTTTGAACCATTGGACATTGTCACCTATTCTGACCCTGGTTCTGACTGGGGCGCAGGGAGGGAGGTGCTCTTTAGAAACTAGGGTAGGTAAAAGGTAAAGGTACCCCTGCCCGTACGGGCCAGTCTTGACAGACTCTATGGTTGTGCGCCCATCTCACTCAAGAGGCCAGGGGCCAGCGCTGTCCGGAGACACTTCCGGGTCACGTGGCCAGCGTGACAAGCTGCATCTGGCGAGCCAGCGCAGCACACGGAACGCTGTTTACCTTCCCGCTGGTAAGCGGTCCCTATTTATCTACTTGCACCCAGGGGTGCTTTCGAACTGCTAGGTTGGCAGGAGCTGGGACCGAGCAACGGGAGCGCACCCCGCCGCGAGGATTCGAACCGCCGACCTTTCGATCGGCAAGCCCTAGGCGCTGAGGCTTTTACCCACAGCACCACCCGCGTCCCTAACTAGGGTAGTGTTTCATAAACTCGAGTCTCCAGCTGTTTTGAACTACAGTTCCCATCATCCCTGACCACTGGGGTCCTGCTACTTGGGAATGATGGGAGTTGTGGTCCCAAACCAGCTGGATGGAGACCCAAGTTTGGGAAATGCTGATCTAGGGCAAGACAAAGCCAGAACCCTTACAGGGAGCAAGAGCAATGCAAAAAAGAATGATTGTATGGTTCATATGAGATACTTACCAGCAGAGCCAGGATAGGAAGAGCAACTATTGCAAGGACACAGAGCACAATGATGGCTACCACATAGCCAGGGACACCTCGATGTGTAACGGGAGGCTCCAGCCCATCACCTAAATAAATATTTAAAATGAAGAGAAGTCACGGAATCCTCGAGTTGGATGGTTCCTAGAAGTTCATCTAGGAAGTTCATCATCCACCACCCACTGCTAATTGCAGGGGGAGAAAGCAGATTATAATTCAGAAGTGCTTTATTGGTCCAGCTTCAGATGGGATTATAGTTCCTCTGAAGGAGCAGGTTTGTAGCTTGCGGGTAACTCCTGGATCCTTTGCTCTCACTTGAGGCTCAGGTGGCCTCAGGAGTGCCTTCCATCGGCTTCGGCTGGTGGCCCAGCTATGCCCCTATCTGGACGAGGATAGCCTAACTACTATTGTCTATACTCTGGTAACCTCAAGATTAGATTACTGCAATGCTTTCCCTTTAAGGCCCCTTTCTGAAACTTATACTGGCATACCTGCTACAGTAAAGGAGAATGGGTCCACTTGGAGATCTGAGGAGTCCAGATAATCCTTCGGGCCAACTGAAAGAGCGAGAGTCTGTAGGACATCCTTGCTTGTTGGAGCTGGGTGCTGGAATATCACATCTCCATGACATATCAGGGATCCACCGCTGCAGTCAGGACAAAGAGATAGGCTTAAGGATAGGAACCTGTAGGAACCGAGTTTTCAACACTACCCTAGTGTAGAAACTTGGCTAAATTCCCAGTTGTGAAGAAAGGGCAGACCAGACAAACTTACAATTGTAGAGAAGGGGTAAGAAGAAAAGCCCACTAATATATTTGGCCTCACACAGTAAGAGGCGCAGCTAGTGGGAGAGTCACCTTGGTTTTAAAAGAGATAAGCTTAGCCTTTAAAAAAACAAGTTCAGTTTACCTAGGTTAAAAAGGTTGTGCAGGTTTTGCAAATGAAAAAAAGGCTCACCTGCGAGTTTCAGCTTTCAGTGCCTAGTCTGTATTAGAGCAAGTGAAAATCAAGACAGAATTACTTACGTGATGTCTCGGATTGCCACTTGCAGGAGGTTTTTGTACTTCCCCAGAATATGTGTTAGCTGGAATAATAATAATAATAATAATAATAATAATAATAATAATAGATGTTTACAGTTGGTCACTTGCTCTGCGTATCATTACTCAAAATCCTAGGAAATCATAAAGCTTAAATTCCTTCATTGGCTTCCTGCAAGCAGCAAGATCCTGCACAAACACCTTGCTTTGCCTTTTGAGCCTTTTGTGGCCTTGCCAGCCTCATCTCTGCTTGAATATCCTCAATACGTCCCCGCCCCATAGATGGCCAGTTGCATCCCTTTTCATCATCCAGTGGTTTCCTACTCCTTCAAGCAATTCCATCTTACATCCCTTGCTGTTGTTAAAGCAGCAGTTCAAGTGCTTTTACCTATCTGGAATGTGTCTTTAGAGGGCAGGATGGAATGGGGCTAGTGAGAGTTGAAAGGCCAGAAAGAGAGATCTGAAGGGCCACATCCAGCTTATGGGCTGGAGATCCCCTGTCCTTATATTAGAGACCCTACCAACCATTAACGTTTAGTATTAACATCTCATGCCTACCACATCAGATATATCCTTAGCAATGTTCTGATGCTCTACAGAAGAACGATCCATCATTCTCTCATTGAATATCCTGTTGGTTACCAAGAAAGACACTGGAAAGACCTGGAGACTTAGGCGTGACCCTGTAAGCAGAAAGCATGGGGTTAGGAGCAGAGAATTAAGCTTCCCACCTACTGCCCATCATCATCCCTAAAAGCAAGCCAGAAGGAGAGTGGCTACTGACCATTGATGGAGAGAGACGTGAGGTCCACAGAGTAGTTTCTAAGCCCCATCAGTGCTTTTAGAGCCCAGTCAATGTCCACATGAGCACTGGTATCAATATAGACATCTCCATTTATATTGACACCACCTTGGCTATATCTGCAAGCAACAGAAGTTGTGTTACCCTGTGCACATAAGAGAGTATCCCTACCCCCAAGTGGTGCTACAATACACCCTAAGGAACCCAGCCAGATGGGTGGGGTATAAATAATAAAATTATTATTAAGCAGGCACCTGGCCAAACATGTTGAAAAACATTGACTGTTTTAACACTTGGGATTGGTTTTGATCAGGCACCCAATCATAGAGGTCTTTGAGGTCCCGCTCAAACAACAAGTTACTGGTGAAAAGCATTTTATTCCTAGTCAAGTCCAAAGGTTCCATCAATACGTACCAAGACTACAACCAAGAGAAGGTTATCCAGCTTTGACCAGCCTAGGCATTTAGGTACTAGATAGCTCAAACCTCCAGCTTAAAAAGTATACACCAGCACTTTCTAGGGTTCAGATTATAAAGTATGGAAGAGGAACCTGTGAAAGCATCCAAAATATTGCCAGACTACAAGTCCCAACCATTGGCTATGCTGGCCTGAAAGTTGGGAGTTGGGAGTTGTAGTCCAACACTGAAGACCGCAGGTTCCCCTTTCCCCATTATAAAGCTTTGCTGAGATACAAACTGTTTGCTTGAGCCAGTACAAATCTAGTATAGGAGATGGCATGACCACAGATTTACCTTCTTCAAGAGTGGATCCTTCCCACTAGGACACAAAACAGAAGCCGACGCTTGTAAGCTGCCCAACAGCACCACTGCCCAGCCCCTAAAGGAGATTAACTCATGTACATACCCGACTTGATTAAGAGAGATATTCTGGACTGTGTACCGAGTTCCAAGCAACAGGAACACCTACAGACAAAAGTCAATGTTGTTCTTACTCAGAATTCATCAGCATGCAGATGTTAAACCTCAAAGCTGGAGCCATCACCGCCGGACAGAATCATAGAATTGTAGAGTTGGAAGGTTTGAATCCATGAGATTAATCCTGAGATTAAGAGTCTCATGCTTAGCAGAGTTTAGGGTTTCTATGGCAAACAAGGGAAGATGAGGCCACAAGAACCCTGTGAGCAGAGCTTGGGGGAGATTCCTCTTCAATGTGCCACAGCGTTGGTGGTTCAGCTGGAAGGTGAGCCAGTTGGACTGGAAAGGATAAAGCGGGGGGAGCCTTGCTGAGGATGCAGCACTGCTCTGCCCAACAGAGGATAACGGTGGGATGAGAGATACATTGGGTGTGGATCCCAGCCACCAAGTGAAGGGAGAATGGGGAGAAAGTGGGAATGTGTAAGGAACCATAAAACGGAGGAGGAACAAGCAGAGATGCAGGGAGTAAACAGGGGCAGGAACAGGGCAAGTAAGAAGAGATGAGAGCAAGGTGCTGACTGAAGCAGGAATAAGGGGAAAGAGCAGACACAGGGTTCTGAAGGCACTTGGGACCCACAAAGAGGTAAGACAGGAATCTTCCCAAAGCCATTCAAGCCACGTCCTCCTTTGCTTCCCAATGAGGGCAAGACCTGACCACGGTATGTAAAAGCAGCACCTGACTCCAGGTGAACTTGCCCATTCATCCATTTGAAGGCCTTCTCAGATGCTGCCACTTGTGGAGGTCAGGCAGGTGCCAGTCAGAGGGGGCCTCTTCTATGGTGGCATGCCATAATAATAAATAATAATAATTTATTTCTACCCTCCCCGTGTGACCGAGCTTCCCCAACCACTCTGGGCAGCTTCCAACCAAATATTAAAAACAATACAGCATCAAACATTAAAAACTTCCCTAAACAGGGCCGCCTTCAGTTGTCTTTTAAAAGTAAAATAGTTGCTTATTGCCTTGACATCTGCTGGGAGGGTGTTCCACAGAGCAGGTGCCACTACTGAGAAGGCCCTCTGCCTGGTTCCCTGTAACCTCACTTCTCGCAGCAAGGGAACTGCTGGAAGGCCCTCGGTGCTGGACCTCATTGTCCGAGCTGAATGATGGGGGTGGAGATGCTCCTTCAGGTATACAGGACCGAGGCCATTAAGAGCTTTAAAGGTCAGCTATGTACTTGCCTCTAGATCAGGAGCAGGTGCCCAAGAGATTATGTTTCGACTCCCAGCTCCCATTGGCCCCAGACAGCCTGGCTGATGGTCAGGGATGATGGAAGCTGCGATCCTCCTAACTTTTGGGACTGCAGGTTTTCCATCACTGCTTTAGACATGACTTCCGGGCTTCTTCAACACCACAGATGCCAAGCAACCCGAAGCACTGCTTACAAAACTTCATTAGCTGCAATCTATTCCTTCCTTTTATTCTGCACTCTCTTTTCCTGCCTTTTGCTCCCATCTGATACTGTTAGGTGGCTTGCAATTCACTAAAAGCAGGGTTGAGAGCTATTGTGGGTAAGGGAGGATCAGTTTTCTAAGTGAGGAGTTGTCACCAGCACCAGTAAGCTTAGGCAGGATGTGTCAGCCACTCTTAAAAGATTAGGCTACACTGCTACAGCCACCCAACTACATCTGATTTAGCTGTAAGAATGAGAAAGGTAAAAAGAGAATTATTGCAACCAACTCACAAGGAGGACAGCATCTTCCAGACGTTAAGTCTCCCACACCTGAAGCCAAAGGGCCTTTCACCCCCAAATTACCTTGCGTCTTAGCTTTTCCATATGTTCCAGGTTCATCATGCCATCAAGTTCATCATGCCATGCTGAAGATCCCAGCCCCAGAACTGTGAATGATACAGCCAGCTTCTCTGGTTCTAGGTTTTTCAAGCTGAACCCTAGTAGAGATACAGATAACATTCAAGGGACAGAGCAATTAATAATAATTGCTTTTATTTCTCATGTTTTTTATTTGTTTTATAATTAATAGAAAAAGGAACATGCTTGCTTTCTTCCTCCCTCCTCTAGCTTATCAAATGACTGCTATTACTGCTGTATAGACTGTGGTTTTTTTAAAAAAAATTATTTATACTTTTCAGGTTTATACATTTCACTAATTTTTATACATTTCACCAATTTTACAATCATGTTGACATTTTAAAATTTGACTTCCTTCCCCCTCTTTCTGCGGCTCCTTAAATTTATTTATAATATCTTCTGCATATCCAAATTAACCTAATTTAAATATATAGTATAGACAGTTGATCTTGAGACAGCAAGTGTGTGTGTGTGTGTGTGTGTGTGTGTGTGTGTGTGTGTGTTTAGAGAGAAAACTGGAGTAGAGACCTGGGTTCAAACCCCCTACTCAGTCACAGAGCTGACCTTGGGCAGGCACTCTCCCAAAAAAATCTACCCTGCAGGGCTGTTATTGAAGCAGGACCCTAGAGGATTATTATCCTTAGGCTTTTCATATAATCAGCTATTCATATAATCAGTTATCAGTTATCAATATATTCGCATATGCTCACATATAACCAGAGTTTTACAGTGATTTTTATAATCCATTTGAATCATAAAAAGCTTTTGCCTAGTCTAACAGAAAAACTGCTTGAAACCACAAGTTCAGAGATGGACCTTTCCCCCAGTGCTTTCTTGCACCCTAGAGAAAGGGGAAGCTATAAATCAGAAGACGCTGGTACAACTCTCTCCCTCTAGTCCAGACTAAAATTGTACACGAAACAGGAAGGGCTGACCACAATACCCCTACATGAACAGATGCACGGGGGAGTTATGGTCAATTCCCTGTTCCATCAACTAGGGAAAAGGTCAGACTGTACAGACAAAGGAAAGCAGAAGTTGGGAGTTGTACTCTGCGCACGGTCAAGAGCATGGCAGAATGCGCGCTCATTGGTTATTTTTCGCTGGCGTTCGTGATTGTCTCATGATTGTCTCATGATCTGTGATGCTGCACTCAGGTATATAACTCCTGAACTTGAATTCTTTGGGGTCCCAGTCTTTCGGAAAGGATTCCAACTGGGTCCATTATTGCTCAGCAATAAACTTCACCTTTTTCTCCAAATTGCTGTGTCTGTCAATCATTTGTCTCCTCATAAGTGGGTACCACTGCCTAAATTTTGCAACATTGTGAGTGTAAAAGAGAGACCATGCACACAACTAAAATACTTGCAAAGCAAGTATTACAGTGCACAGGTAACATATCAAAGCGCTTGAGTGGGCAAATATGGTATACAGCTATCTTACAAGTAAACTGGCCTCATACTGTTAATATAAGGCTGAACATACTGTAGTTGTTCCAATATTCAACAATTACTATTCCCCCCCACCAGTAAATTCATTTGCTACACGTCCTTCAATTACTCATCTATATAATACACAGGTTCTGTCAACTATGCTACATCCGATATAGTTTTATTCCATTGTAAGACGTCAAATGCTTTATCAGATTTCCAGTTTCTTGCTATGACTAGTCTGGCTGCAGTGATCATAGCTGTTGCAACTTCCAGATCCTCCTTGTCTTTATGATGTCTTTCAGATATTCCAACAGAGCTCACCTTTTGACTGAAGAGATTTCAGATCCACCCTCCAGCCAAAGAAGGTGTCCATTTCCCGCCTCTCCACCTCTGTGACAATTGTACGGATGACGTCCGAGGGTGTGGGAACAGGGCCTCCAGCCTGGAACACAGCCACAGCCTCAGCGATCACAGAGCCATTCCTGTGGAGAAGCCAGAACAACCACGATGTATTTGGCCACCTCTAGTAGACCTCCTATCATAACACCATTGCAAGGAGGAAAGAATTCACCACCCTCTGGAGTGCCATCAAATTGATCAATATGATCCCCTGTTCCTAGAAAAGCAAGTTTGGGATGACGTGCTATGACTAACCATTTTAAACTCTACTTGGAGAGCAAAGGTTTGGCTTCCATGCATTCTCAAAATGCCAGGAGGAAATGGGCCCTGGAGTGTTCCCATTAAAATACTCATTTAAACATCCTTAAAATATCAATGACTTCCTTTCTTCTCTTTCCATGGTTCATTTTAAATATCATAAATCCCTGCATATTTTACAAAAACTACCGTATTTTTCGCTCCATTGGACGCACCGGACCATAGGACGCACCGGATCATAGGAGGGGGAGAACAGGGGAAAAAATTTTTTTTCTTGTTCTCTCCCTCTAAAACAAGGTGCGTTCAAGGTACCTAATTTTTTTTTGGGGGGGGGAAATAAAGAAAAAAAAAATCCCTCCCCAGGCACGGGGCAGGAGCGGGGGAAGCCCGAGCTTCCCCCGACCCCAGCCCCCAGAACAGCCTGCTATCCGCAAGCCTAGGGAACCGAGCCGGTCTCCCCAGGCTTGTGGAGAGGTGCGCGAAGCCCGGGCGCGCTCTTCAGTGCGCACCAGGCTTCGGAATGCAGGCAGCTCTGCGCTACTCTCCGGAGCCCCGCGCGGCTTCACGCCGGGATCAGGAGGGTGGCGCGGAGCTGCAAGAAGCCCTGGAGCGCAGGCAGCTCCGCGCTACCCTCCGGAGCCCCGCGCGGCTTCGCGCCGGGATCGGGAGGGTGGCGCGGAGCTGCAAGAAGCCCTGGAGCGCAGGCAGCTCTGTGCTACCCTCCGGAGCCCCGCGCGGCTTCGCGCCGGGATCCGGAGGGTGGCGCGGAGCTGCAGGAAGCCCTGGAGCTCAGGCGGCTTCGCGCCGGGATCTGGAGGGTGGCACGGAGCTGCAGGAAGCCCGGGAAAGCCTGCATTCGCTCCATAGGACGCACACACATTTCCCCTTCATTTTTGGAGGGGAAAAAGTGCGTCCTATAGAGCGAAAAATACGCTAAACCATTCAGTATTCCATTATTGCATCCATCAAAACTTGTTTACACTGTTGAATTTATCTTAATGCTGCCAACGTTTTAAAGTGTACACAATTTTTTCCATATATTTCTCTAAACGTATGTTCTTGTTCTCTTATTCTATATGTTAAGTCTGCAAGTTGCGCATATTCTGTCAGCTTAAGTTGCCATTCTTCTTTAAGTGGGACCTCGCTTATTTTCCATTTTTGGACTAACAAAACACAGGTCGCAGTAGTTGCATACATAAATAACCTTTTCTGACACCTGGGAATTTCAGTCTGGGTTATTCCCAACAGAAAGGACTCTGTTTTGGGGAGGGGGGGAAGTAATTTTAAACATTTTTTTCAATTCATTATAAATCATTTCCCTATACTCTTTTACCTTTTTACATGTCCCCCACATATGAAAGAACGTTCCCTCCATCTCTTTGCACTTCCAGCACTTATCTGATTCTGTTATTTATATATAGACTCTTCCCATTATGCATTCTCCCGAACTTTGAGAGACCTCTACGCCTGATCAACTGAATGAGAAAATTGAGACTTTCCCATTGAATGTGTGACGGTTAGGATGGAGCTTGTAGGCATGGGCCTCCTCTATTCGTCCTCCTCTGTTTAGATCTGGCGCCCCTCCAGATGTTTTGAACTGCAGCTCCCATCAGCCAAGCCAGTGTGGGCAATGGTCAAGGCTGACTGGAGGTGCAATCCAGCAGTATCTGGGTGAGAAAGTCTGGTTCAGATACTCCATGTCTTGGTGCCACTTGCATTTCCAAACCACCCAATGGTATTTGGCAGTAATTCACAGGCGGACTGGTGGTGAAGACCCACCTGCTCTATACACTCAAAGCAATAATGTATTAATACAGTTGTGATTCCCCCCTCCCTCAAAGAATTCTGGGAACTGTCGTTTGTTATGGGCGTTGAGAGTGGTTAGCAGATCCCTCTTCCCCTCGCCATGTTGCAGTTCCTAGAGTGGCGTATCAATCAAGCCCTCTTCCCAGGAACCTCTTGGAATTGTAGCTCAATGAGGGGAAGAGGGTCTCTGAACTTCTCACAGCACCCTTAACAAAGGGATTCCCAGGATTCTTTGTGGGAAGCTGCGAGTGTTTAAAGTGGTAGGCTACGGCTTGAAATGTATAGCAGAGACCTGCTAAAGAGTGTAGGTCAAGTTGCACCAACAAACATAGATGAGGAATGAATGAGTTCTCTCTCAGCTTGAAGTGCACCTCAAAAAAAGGCCTTTTTCTACACTGAAAGTGAATCCTAAGTTCACAGCTAAGCAATATGTGATAATGCTCAAGAAATGAAAGCCAGGTACTTTCTGAACAGGCCAACCTTTTCCTCTCTGGAAACACAACAGTGCGGTCGATAAAGAGTAACTTACAAGAAACGGAGAATGTTTGCTTGGAGAAAGGTCTCATAGGTAGATAGCATCTTGTTTAACTGAAAGCAGAACACAAAGATGCTTATTTGTGCAGGGACTGTTTGCCCAGAAGAACATTTAGAATGCAGAGTTCCCACGGAACAAACATGCAGATGGCGATGCCATGGGATGTAGCTCAATGTTTGCTCTTCCTGGACAGCAAGAGACAAATTGGACCAGACACATAACGATGCTGTTTTCGCCTTAACAACAGGGGTGGAGAACCTTTTTCAGTCCAAGGGGGACATTCCCTCCTAGGCAATTTTCCAGGGGCCACTTGCCAGTTTCAGAAGAGCCCGAGCATAAAGAGAGAAGAGCAACAAGTGTAGATCTTATAGTTGTACAGTAGGCTTTCTGGCCCTCTTTAAAAAAATTAATTGCCAAGAGCATAAAGCTGAGTGGGCGCAAGTTAAATGCACGTAAGTTGCAGATCTGCTGTACAATTGTGCAAGTAATTGACTCAAGAGGGATAAAAAGAATAGTACGGATTCCTAGAGTTGGCCTCACCCATGGGTAGAGGGCCCACCACCAACAAACCTGTAGGACAAAGTGGTGGAAGGGTAGATTACCACAGTGATAATGTCAAAAATGCACCAAAATCTGATCCAAAGTCAGTTAAATAGGTGTGGTGGTGTTTTGTTTTGTTTTGTTTTAAACCATTGTCTAGAATACTTACAGTCAACTTTACTTCTTTCTCCAGCTTCTTGTAGCTTTGAGAGGACTTGTTCTGCAAGGATTCTTCATAATCAATTCCAATGAGACGGAACTGCAAAAGCAGATTATGCACAGCCAGAACAGGTGGCGTAGATGTTCTCCAGGTCAAACTCTCCTTCCTGGTGAACTGGCTCAGTGCTGGAGCCTCGAACTTTGACACTGGCTGCTTTGGAGTGTTGCCGTCTTGGTTTCCAGACACCATTTGTGTAGTTGTGCTTATCAGATGCTCAGGGCTGGTCTTCTTGGTGCCAAGAACTGCACTGGCCCCATTCTTCATGGCATCTGTTGACCCCAGTAGAGTAACTAAAAGCTTTCTAGTCGTGAGTGCTTGGGTAGTAGTGGGAATCTGAGTTGATGCACCTTGAGACGGAGTGAAAGATGCTGGGATGGTGCTCACTGTACAAGGGGCATTCCTGCAAGCTGCTCTTGACAACTCACCAGGAAGAATTCTTGGGCTAGTCGGCAGATCTGTTGTAACAGAAGACACAGGGACAGCCTGGGTAGATGTGGTCTCTGGGAGAGACAGATATGCAGGGCCTTGAGAGGCGGTGGAACTTTCATACCCTGAGCTGCCAATGTGCAAAGCCATTGTGCTAACTACTTGTGGGACAGCTGCAGTAAAGGCATCTGTGATCTTGTATCCTAGTATGGTCCCCAGTGTAGTTGCTACAGCAGAGACATTGAAGTCAACCTCAGAGGCCCTTGTAGGCAAAAGTGTGGTTGTATCTGTAGTGTTAGCTGCTGTTTGAGAAGAAGTGATGGCTTTCAAATCATGTGTCCATGCTTCTGCACTGGACGCAACGGGCAGCATTGTGTTGGTAGGTGTCCCCTGCTCTTTCCACCTGCTCATTGGGCCCTCAGTAGCCTCATCATTTATCTTCAAAATTGACTCAGGAATGCTGCTCCTAGAGGAGCCCATTGAGATAAAGCTTGTAGATACAGACCCACGGGTTGGAATGACCAAAAATCTTCCTGATTCTGTTATGTTTCCATGTGAAGCTGTGGCATGAGATGACATTGGAATGGCAAGCTTCCATCCCTGGGAAGTCACACTGAGAAATTCTGCTGCAGACCTAGTTGTAGCATCTCCTGTAGAGAGATCAACATGTACCGTACCATCAGAAACATCTCTATTTGGCAAGGTAGCCTCTGCTGTTTCTAGGTATGGGCTAGAGAGGCGCATAGTGTCACTTCTTGCTGTAAATGTGTGCACAGTGGAATCATTAGCCATCTTTGTGGTCGAGGACACTGTTAGAGTCTCTCGCTCAGAAGGCTCCTTGGACTTCAGCACAACCCTCGACGTGGCAAGAGAGGTAGAATTTGGAGAAGGGGTTGGCATCGATCCACTCCTCCTCCTGGGCAAAGCATGGTGCTCATCTGTCAGCTGAACTGGGGACTCTGCAGAAGTTAAGCTAAAGACCAAGTCTTCAGCTGGAGTACCTCCTGAAGCCATCAGTGGGACCTCCGAGGAGAACATAGGCATCAGTTGAGCGGCAGCGGTTATTTTATGGGGCTCCCTGTAACTAGCAGTGTTGGTTACACCTTCCAGTGGGCCAACATTATATCCTGTTTCAGCATCCCCAGCATGCAATGTGCCAAGTGAAGAACTTGAAGCTTGCCAGGGTGGGGAACTAATGCCAAAGTTGGTCATGCCACTTTTGCTGTTTGAGATGGTGCCATGTGTAGAGGCCTCATTGAAACCAATAAGCTCCTGTGGTACAGGAGAGGGGTCTTCCTTAAATTCCAGCCTAGCTTCTTCGCCTGCAGAAGTGCTTATCACTCCAACAGTGGCTAAAGAGTCCTCTTCAGTAGTACTAGGAGATGGCAGCAGAGATGTGACCTGCTCTTTCATCCGAGAACTCTGGGATCCAACAGACAGGCCACTTTCTGCATGAGTGCCAAGGCCGAGTGACATAGCGGCAAGAGAAAGACTGAATGCTGCCTCCCCATCTGCTGATGAATGAGGAATATGTGTAGTAGTCTCCAAAGCCAGCTTGTTAACACTGCCATGAGCCACATCAGCAGAAGACTCTGCTGTCAAACTATGAGAAACGGGTAAAGTAGGATTTCTAGCTTTGGACCACAGGGACCTGTTCATGGTGGACTCTGTCATGGTTGGCTGGCTTGAAGAGCTAGTCAGAGCAGCTGTAGATGGTAAGCTATGGCTGGGCGGGATTGTGCCCTTATCCTCCCAATAAGGGAAGACAGAATTCAGAGGTACCTCAGTGTAGTTCTCTGGATTGACATGGGCTCCATCAGTGGCAGCCGACAGTGAAGACACAAAAGGAGACTCTGTAGTCATGGGGATAGGTCTATGTGGAGAAAAGCCAGTGCTTAGGAGTTCAAGCTGCTGCGGAGTGGGAAACCCTCTGGACTTTCTAGAGCCTGTGAAGCCTGCCAAAGTTGTAAAAGCGGGGAAAGTAACAGCTGGCAAAGCTTCATTTGAATGACTAAGTGAGGGCCAGAGGGAAGACTGGGACAAAGTTACAGGGACAGCTGCGGGGGGCCCTCTACTCACTGATTCAGTGGTATCAAGTTTCTGGCCATTGGACACAACATTCGGCTCAGAGTCAGCCTTATGTGAACTTGCACCAGAAGACTGTGAAGAAGAATCAGGCAAGGTATTGGCAGGAGTGTGCAGCGTGGAAGCCAGAGAACTATGGGATGCATGCCCACTACTTGGGTGGAGAAATTTCATCCTTATATTAGTGGTTCCAGGAGAAGTTGTTCCAACAGAAGAGGTCATCGAATCTTGATGAGTGGTATGCAGTGTCTCATAACCTACAGATGTTAGGTAGGACCCTTCTTTCTTCCTGTACTGCTCACTGAGGAAGTCACTATGTGTAGAAGTAGCTGTGCCAACATACTCAGACATTATCCTACTTATACTGGTTTTGTAGACCATTTCAGTTGAAGACAACGTTTCATGTAGGCCCTGCACATCCCTGGTGATGTGCTCCAGAGCAATTGGGTTTCTTGAAGTTAAGACCACAGTGTCAGCAGCAGTTGGCTGATCAGTAGCAGCAGCAGTATTTTGGAAAGCAGGTGCAAACTGGTGTGTTATATTTGGATCCAACGGCAAGGAGCTGCTCGTGTCTGGAAGAGGCAATATTGGGGACAATGTAGGAGTTACCCTTATGGTGTAAGCAGTCTCCATTTTTTCAGTTCCTACTGCTTGTGATATGAGAGACAGAGGTGCCGTGGTAATTTCTAGCTGCTCAATACCTTTAGAAGCAAGCTTAAGAGAAATGCTTGTAGAATCAGGCACGAGTGAAGTTGCAAGGTCCAGAACATTAGAACTGTTCTCGTCCATCTTCAAGACAGTGGAGTCAACACTCAGGGGTCCTTGCTCACTAAAGTTTAACTCCATATTTCCAGAGACATTACTTGAATCCCACTGGGTATTTGCAACAAAGGACCAGTCAACAGTGCCAGCCGTGCTGGCTGATAAGTTTGCAGTATACAGATCTCTCCCTGTAGCAGGAAAACGTGGTCGGCCACTGTCAGACCAATTTTGCAAGTCTTGCCTAGTCAACTGCTGCCCATCAGTAACGTTCTGGAAAGGCAAGGAATCTGAAGACCCTGGTTTTGTGCCAGGTGGAGTCTGGTAAGTCACAGCTAAATAGCTTTCGTTATAAGCAGCAGTGCTGGCAAAAAGAAGAGGAATGATGGACAAGACAGTTTGCCATGTCTGTCTTTGGGCAGTTGTTGCCAAACCCAAATTAAAGCATGAGGATGTTCTCCTGGCTTTACTTGAGCTTCCAGAAGGGGCCAGTTTGCCACCAGGTGGTCCTGTTGTTTGACTTATCATAAAAAACCCCATCATGGTTGCTTGGCTGTGAACTGGAAGGAAGAAATGATTTATTTAAACAGAAATAAAAGTATGAGAACAGTAGTTCTCCTAAATTATAAATCCTATAAGCTAATAAGGATCCACATTATGTAGCCAGAACAGCACCACCCATGCAAGGGATTCTGCAGATGGGTGCCATCACTGAAAAGTCTCTCTGTTGACCATGCACCTTACTTTGGATGGGAGCAACACCTGTGCTCCATGGAAAAAAGGCTCATTAAAATGGATTTTAAAAGCATATTCCCCATCATTTTAGAATATGGGGTAAATTGTGTGAATGGGCCAAGGGATCAGGACACCAGCCCTGCCCACTCATAAAAGCCAGTATGGAGCAGTGGTTAGAGTAGGGTTTCCCAAACTTGTAGTTCAAAAACAGCTGGAAACTCAACTCCAATCATCCCTAGCCACCAAGACCAGTGGTCAGGGATGATGGAAATTGTAGTCCAAAAAGAGCTAAGAGATCCAAGTTTTGGAAATCCTGGGTTAGAGCACTGGATTAGAACCTAGGAGACAACGGTTCAAACCCCCACTCAATCATGAAGCTCACTAGGTGACCTCAAACCAGTCACTGTCTCCCAGTCCAACTTACCTCCCAGGGGTTGTGATGCTAAAATGGGGAGTGGAGGGAGATCCACATATATGCCACCTTGGGCTCCTTGGAAGAAAGGCAGGATAGGTAAAAAAATACTAGTCTGAACAGAAGAGAGGACTTCCCTCTTCTAGAAGCCCATTTGATTTCTATGCCAAGCATAGAGGATGGATGCAATGCTCCATCCATGCTGTGCCAGCCTGCTCACTCGCCTACATGCAATTCCTGGTCACCCATTGCAACTAAGCACGTACTTAAGTGCAAGGTTGGAATAAGCCAGCTCCCTCTGGCCCTCCAGATTTTGCTGGACTCCCACCAATCCCAGCCAGCATGGCCAGCGATCAGGGAAGATGGGAGCTGCAACCCAACAACATCTGGAGAGCCACAAGTTCCCCACCCCTGACCAAATGGGACCCGCCTAGTTTTCCCCAATCTAAATTGCACACCCACAAACATGAAGTGACAGCCAAGGCCATAGCACACTTGGGGAACGGGTGGTAGAGCATCTACTTTGCATGAAGAAGGTTCATTCCCCAGCATTGCAGGTAGGGCTAGGAGAGACCCCCATCTGAAATCCCAGAGAGCTGCTGTCAGATGGTATAGATCATGCTAAGTGAGATGGATGGATGATCTGACTCTGTGCAGGACACCCAGCTCCCCTTTAAGCAGCTTTTCCCCCAACCCTAGTGCCCCCCAGATGTTTTGGATGACAGCTGCCATTGGTTGTCATCCAAACGATCTCGAGGGCACTGGGGTTGGCAGGGGAAGGCTGCCCCTCAGCTTATGCCCTGCTGCTCACACCAAGACCCAGAGGCAAAGGACCTCTTCAAAGCAACTGAGGTGTACTTAGGGGAAGGGGCTGCCCGAGGGGACTGGAAACAACAATGCAGGCCAACGGATTGGGTCCTGAGCTTCCCCCACTGCTTAAGATACAACTAGGCTTCAAGGAACAGTTCTTCCTCATCACAAGATATTACAACTACCTCCTCAAGTTCTTCTAGACCCCCGTTTCCCAAACTTGGGTCTCCAGCTGTTTGGGGACTACAATTCCCATCATCCCTGACCACTGGTCCTGCTAGCTAGGGATGATGGGAGTTGTAGTCCAAAAACAGCTGAAGACCCAAGTTTGGGAAACACCGTTCTAGACTTGCATTCTGAGGGCTTGCCCACATGCAACCATGAGCAAGCCATTCAAGTTGTAGGGTGGGGCTTCAGCTACTATTTACTCTAAACCAGGGGTCGGCAAACTATGGTCCCCGGGCAGGATCAGGCCCACCTGGGTCCTAAATCTGGCCCGCACCACAAAGCTAGAACCCATCGGGAAGCCGAGACTCCCGGCGATGGCAACTGGAAGAAGAGGCCAAGCGGCGGAGGCTCTGCCAATCAAACGCCGTGCCTGGTTTACCTCAGCGGCATTTGATTGGCAGAGACATCCCCGTGCTGAGCTGAGGTAAACCAGGCATGGCGTTTGACTGGCAGAGCCACCGCCACTCGGCCTCTTCCTCCCATCGCCATCGCCACCCTGGTGCTCCTGTGGGCCACAAAGCAGAGCAGACAAGCTCACTTTGTCTACCCGCTTCATGAGAAGAAGCAGCAGCAGCAGTGGTGGCGGCAGCAGCCCCTGGGAAGGTAAGCACCGCACTTTCTTCCTCTAGGCGGGGAGGAAGCCCGTTTCGTGCCACTGCCACCAGCCCTTCGGCGAATGAGGCTGGCAGGAAACCGAGAAGAGGGCCGGGGCAGGGGTGGGGAGGAGGACTACTTGCCCCTCTCACAGTGTGCATAGGAATTCGGATAGATAGATAGAGAGATAGAGAGATACAGTGGTACCTCAGGTTACATACGCTTCAGGTTACATACGCTTCAGGTTACAGACTCCGCTAACCCAGAAATAATGCTTCAGGTTAAGAACTTTGCTTCAGGATGAGAACAGAAATTGTGCTCTAGTGGTGCGGCAGAAGCAGGAAGCCCCATTAGCTAAAGTGGTCTTCAGGTTAAGAACAGTTTCAGGATAAGAATGTACCTCCGGAACGAATTAAGTACTTAACCCGAGGTACCACGATAGATAGATAGATGATAGGTAGGTAGGTAGGTAGGTAGGTAGGTAGGTAGGTAGGTAGTCTGGCCCTCCATAAGGTCTGAGGGACAGTGGACCGGCCCCCTGCGGAAAAGGTTTGCTGACCCCTGCTCTAAACATCCCTCAATGAGAGGGATTAACTCTCTGCAAGACCATAGTTCCCCATCAGACTACCTCCATTCTACATGCGCTAATGGCATTGGCACCAAATCATGCTTTATTAATCACACTATTTGAAGATGAGGCAAATGGATGCCAGCCATTTCTAGTTAGCTACCTAATGAAAAGCTGACATGATGCACTGTTTAAAACACCTAACCTTATTAAAACATGGTGGCTTTCCCCACTGGAGGTGATATCTCCCTTAAAAGAGAGAGAGAACTGACTGGGCAACTGATAAAGAATTATTAATGGAAGTAGAACATGAATTAAAATTAAAGAGGTTTGAAGATATAAGAGGACTATTAACTTATCGGTTACAATACCATCAGCTTAATGATATCTTTAAGATGGACAAAAATAAAGGCTTTTCTAATGAAACCTCTAAATTTGAAAAAGAGCGGTTAGAGAATAGGACTAAATTGCTTTCTAAAATGTATAAATTAGTATTAGAATGGCATGCGAAAGTCGAACAGGTCAAATCAGTTATGATACACTGGGCAAGGGACTTTGGACATAATATACAACTTGCAGCATGGGAGAAGTTATGGAACTGGAATTTAAAGTTTACAGTACAGTGGTACCTCGGGTTACATACACTTCAGGTTACATACGCTTCAGGTTACAGACTCTGCTAACCCAGAAATAGTACCCCAGGTTAAGAACTTTGCTTCAGGATGAGAACAGAAATCATGCTCCGGCGGTGCGGCGGCAGCAGGAGTCCCCATTAGCTAAAGTGATGCTTCAGGTTAAGAACAGTTTCAGGTTAAGAACAGACCTCCGGAACAAATTAAGTACTTAACCCGAGGTATCACTGTATGTTATACTCTGAAAGAAAATTATATAAGAATGATGTATCGCTCATATTTAACCCCTAGCAAATTAGCTAAAATGTATAAAGCAAGGTCAAATACATGCTGGGAATGTAAGAAGAAAAAAAGGCACCTTTTACCACAAGTGGTGGACTTGTAAGGTAGTAAAAGAATTTTGGGAGATGATAATGATGAACTGGAAAAAAATGTTTAAAATAACTTTTTCTTTAAAAAAAAAAAAATCTGAAGCTTTTCTTCTAAGAATTCTAGGTACCAAAATACCAAGGAACCAGAAGAGACGTATGTGCCCGCAGCTGCCCAGGCTAAACAGAGCCCCTACCAGAGAAGAATGGGAGATTAAATTGATGGACTATGCCAAATAACAAAAATGACTGGAAGAATTAGGAATCAGAAAGACCAAAATTTTAATAAGGAATGGGGAAAATACATAATTTATCTTAAAAATCATGGTAAACAATTGAAATTATCAGTAGTATTGGAATGATACTTTGAGTTGAACGTTGTGCTATGGTTATAATAGAGATTTAATAGAATTGGATTAATAGAGAAAATGGGGGGGGGTTAACATAAGAATCCACAAAAGGGAGGCGGGAAGTCCATAGGAATTTATTGAATTCTCTTTTTGTTTTGGTTGTTTGACTATTGTAAATGTCAAATTTTGGAAAATTAAATTTTGTTTTTTTAATGAATAAAACGCCTGACCTAAGAATCAGAATTCCCTGGCTCAAATCTGCTGTCCACCAGGAGCTCTTTGAAGAAAGCTGCTCTCAGCCTGAGATCCCTCCATCTACAATATGGAGTCAGGAGAAGGATAATCATTAAAGTTGTTGGCAGGATGGCAGCCAGAACAAAGCTTGTGTGGCACTTTCAGAAACTTGAATAAGTGCAATACAAATACTAAAGCACTATTTGATGTGGCTCTGCCTTTGCTGCCTTGGAAGCACCCTGCAGACTGACAAAATTGGGGTGGTGGGGGGGGAGAGAAGACTCCCTACACATAGGAAGGCAAAAGGCTAGATTAGGGCTCACCCCTGGCAGAATTTATTTAGGGCATACAGGCAGGGCTGGATGAAGACCTTTAGAGGCCCTTAATCAGGAATAGGCAAACTCAGCCCTACAGATGTTTTGAGACTACAGCTCCCATGATCCCTAGCTAACAGGACTAGTGGTAAATCTGGCAATGGAAAATTTCTGGAGTGCCCCCCTTCCCTTGATGCCCTAACCATGTGTTTATTTCACTTACTGGTTAATCCAGCCCTGCATACAAGCACACCAAATCATGCAAATACAGACTTAAGCTGGTACAGTCCATGCACCAATTTACGGGATAGTACAAAGTCTGTGCAAATATCAGGCTCAAGAACCAAAGAGGACCTGGTCCCCCATTTTGCTTATGTGAGGAATTGCCTTCACACTCGCATGTGTGTGTGTGTGTGTGTGTGTGTGTGTGTGTGTGTGTTGCCCTCATTCGAATTCCCCATCAATTCTGGCTAGCTGGCTTCCTTCTCTGTTTCACACACAGGCTGCATGCAGCCTTAAAGCTCCTTGTGGCAGGCCAGCCACAACCCTTGCCCTCTAGATGTTACCAGATCCTGCCATCAGCAAGAACAATGGTCAAGGATGCCGGGAGCCCAACATATCTCAGGCCCAGGGGTGGCCAACATGGTGCCCTCCTGCAAACCCCATCATCCCCGACCACTAATCCTGGCAACAGAAGCTGATGGCAGTTGTAGTCCAAATGGATTTAGATATCGCCTCCAAGTTAGAACATTGTGGCTCACAAACCAACCAATAGCAAACAAATGTTGGCTAGAAGGAAGAAGGTGAAGAGATGGGGAGCGGGAGACCCATTAAGGCTTTCGAAGCTTGGCATTCATTGTCCCTAGGAATTGTTATAGAAACAACTGAGGTTGGCTTTTGCTGCCCAACTCCCCAAGGGACTCGGAGTCCCCTAAGTCTGTGATGGGTTAAAGAATAGATGGAGGCAGGAACCAGCAGAAGGAAAGCCAGGAAGATCTTTATTTTCCTGTTGCAACAGAGTTCCGTCCCCCCCCCCTTTTTTTTCGACAGGAGAGAAAAGAACAAAGGCCTGCCCTGCAAAAGCCAACCCCAAATTTTTCTACAACAATTGCAAGGCAAGTGCAGAGCCCTAAACTTTAATGGAGGAGGAGCCAGGTATGTTTTGGTGTGCTCCAGTCTTCTCTTCATGGATCACTGCCTTGCCGTGGCAAAGGGGCTTGAATAACTCAGAGAAGCTATGAGCTATGCCCTGCAGGGCCACCCAAGATGGACAGGTCATAGTGGAGAGTTTTGACCAAACATTATCCACCTGGAGCAGGAATCAGCAAGCCACTCCAGTATCCCTGCCAAGAAAACTCCATGGACAAAGTATGGTGCTGGAGGAGACTCTTGAGAGTCCCATGGACTGCAAAAAGATCAAACCTAGGAGTTTGCATTTGCCAGCTTGTTCACTGACTTAGAATATTCCTCTACCACCACCCACCCCACCCCACCCCCGTTAAAAAGATACGGGCAATTCAGCCCAGTTCAATACTGCTCCAACGACAGCACAGCATTAAACTGCAGACCATCATCGTCCTTCATTTATTATAATTATTAGAAGGGGGAGCAGATTGGGAAGAGAGAGTTCTTGAAACAGGGCTAGAGCAAATCAGGTCGCCTGCTCGCTACGCTGGACCCATTTTACAGAAAACACCGCCGCCGTTTTCTTACCTGCAAGGAACTAATCTAAGCACAGAAACGAAGACTTGCACCCCAGCCTGCTCCTCCGCGCCTCCTGTTATTGCATTTGCCCCTTGAGGGGCGGAGACTGAGATTTCCCAGAAACCCAATGCCTGCTTCAGGTTGCAAGCCCAATTAACACCTTTTTGCAGGAGATAATCGCCTCCAAGCCAAAGGTGGCCCCATCTCAACAGAGGTTTTGCAAAACAATCGCGGCCACCCGGCGGGTCGTCTTTTTTTTTTTCTTTCTGGTGTTGACGCCTCCCCGGCTGTCTGAGCAGGTTTTACTCATGAGGAGGAAGAGGAGCCAGGCACGTTTTGGTGTGCTCCAGTCTTCCAAAAAAAGCTGCTGTAAACCGCCTTGAAACTTTGGTACTGAAAAGCAACATGCGGGTTGCAAAACCATCACAACAGCGACACTGTAACAGAACATATGTGTAAAAGTAAAAACAGTACAGTGTTGCCAACTTTTGTGCTGCTGTGTTTTTTGCTGGTTTTTTTAATATAATTTTTATTAGTTTTTTTAACATGTCATTTTCAACAGTAATTAAACATACTTTTACATCTTATTCAAATTTTTGACTTCCATCAATCCTGTCTGAAAATTTTCCAATCTAATCTCTCAGTATGCATTTCTTATCTTCCCTATTACATTTCAAACTCATAACCAATATCTCTATCTTTTTCTACTTTGTAACACTTCGTATATTTCTCCTTACAAAACTTCTTGTAGTCCTTCTAGTGTAATTTGCTGATTACAGTTGCTCTTCAAATAATTCATATACTTCTTCCAATCTTCTGTAAATCTCTGGTCCTGCAGGTTTTGAATCCTTCCTGTCATTTTGTCCAATTCTGCATAGTCCATTAATTTCGCCTGCCATTCTTCTTTTGTCGGAATTTCTTCTTGTTTCCATTTCTGGGCTAACAATACTCTTGCCGCAGTTATTGCATATAAAAATAATTTAACATCTCGCCTATTAATGTCCTGACCTATAATACCAAGTAAAAATGCTTCTGGGTTTTTTAAAAACCTGCTTGCTCTTGCTGCTGTGTTTTTAAGCAGCAGGAGCAAGCACTGACTTCTCTGTGGGCTTCCTCGATGCCTATTGCAGAGTACTTTCACAAATAATTAAATCAGCCAAGGAGATGGATTATTGGTATTAATTGCAATTTTATCTTGCTCTTGCACCAAGGGCTTTAATTTCATTCCCCCCACAACAACCCTATGTGGTCGGTTACTCTGAGAGAGAATAACTAGCCCAATGTCAGCCAATGAGCTTCATAGTCGAGTGAGGATCTACCAGATCTAACTTGCTAACCACAGACTTTTCTGACCCAGTGCCCTTCAGATGTTTGGAGTAGACTTTGCCACACATTTCCTCTTAGGACTTCTATTGAGCAAACCTGGTTGGGAGACCTGTGGGTTCCTGTAGGATATGGCTCCTGTGCCTTTAAGTAAAATGTGATGTTTAGAGGTGAAATATGGAGCCGAATAAAAAATGCAGATCACCTGCCAATTGCTGCAAATGGCACTCCTGTTAAAAGAGCAGCCTCAAGGAGGGATTCCAGAGTCCATAGCCTTAAGGAAAGTCATTGCTACAGGTCTTTTATGGGGGAAACTGCAAGACAAAGAGAAAAAGGCTGTCAGCTATTTGGATGCAACAATAACATCGTGTCTTTCAGCATATTTTACCAAGTCAAGCTAGCTTTCTTCCTTGCCAGACATTCCGGGGTGTTAAATCCAAAAGAAAGGGAAGGTTGCACTGGAGAAAAATATGTTTATCTCATTTTATATGTATATGCTGATGTACACCATCTTGATATTTTCTGTCAGTGAGTAGTATACACGGATTTTTTAATAAGTAAAATAACTTCTTTCACAAATGAATATTTTACTTGATAACAACAGTTTGCGGGCCACTTTTAGCAACAATATCTAAGCAGTTTGCCACATTTTTAAAAATCCTAGTCTTGAACACATTCCAAAAAAAAAATATAATTCTGGTATTGAGTATGTTTTTTAATCAAAAACTAAAGTTTCGGAGAAAAAGTCAGAATGCCCCCCACAAAAAAAATCTGTGTTGGAATGTTATAATCATTTTACACGTTTACCAAAAGCTGGGTAAACAGAATCATAGTGTTGAAAGCGACCACTAGGATTCTAGTCCAACCCCCCCGCAATGCAAGAATCTTTTCCCCACCAACTAAGCGGGTGGCGCTGTGGGTTAAACCACAGAGCCTAGGGCTTGCCGATCAGAAGATCGGCGGTTTGAATCCCTGCGAAGGGGTGAGCTCCCGTTGCTCGGTCCCTGCTCCTGCCAACCTAGCAGTTCGAAAGCATGTCAAAGTGCAAGTAGATAAATAGGTACCGCTCTGGCGGGAAGGTAAACGGCGTTTCCATGCGCTGCTCTGGTTCGCCAGAAGCGGCTTAGTCATGCTGGCCACATGACCCAGAAGCTGTACGCCGGCTCCCTCGGCCAATAAAGTGAAATGAGTGTCACAAGCCCAGAGTCGGTCATGACTGGACTTAATGGTCAGGGGTCCCTTTACCTTTAAGCTATTCCAGAGCAGTAAATGACATACTTGTTATAGCAAGTTAAGGAGCCTGTTACAAAGTTGTAAAGTTGAATGTCGATCACATTGTCATTGTATCTTGCATTGTTTTGTATTTATAATATGTTGCTTAATAATTTGTATCTATTTTTGTTGCATTTATATCCCACCTTTCCTTCAAGGGACCGAAGGTGGCAAACATGGTTCTCTTCCTCTTCATTTTATCTTCACAGCAACCATGCGAGGTGGGTTAGACTGAAAGACGTGACTGGGCCAAGGTCACCTAGTGAGTTTCACGGCTGAGTGGGGGATTTGAACCCTGGTCTCCCGGGTTCCCGATCCAACACACTAAGTGCTACACCACACTGGCTCTCACACTAGGTATGGAAGAGACCCTGTTTGTAAATTTTATTATAGAGTGTGTTTTGCCCCCAGACCAGTATGGTTGCTTCTGGTTTTTGTCACCCAAAAGCAACTGTAGCTGTGTCAGCCCATGTAGAAAAATTCCGAATTCCAAACCAAGCTGTTACAAAATAAAATGTGCAAGCTTTTTAGTTTTACTGAATGCTTCTTTGGACAAGACAGACAACAAAAATGGAGTGGCGGACAATGTCAAGTTTAATGAAGCTCTGTGAGGTGTTTTGCTTGCTTGCACGCACACACACACACACACTGCATTCCACCTTAAGACTGTGTCTGAATGCAAATTCCCTCTATGGCATGGGTAGGCAAATTAAGGCCTGGGGGCCAGATCACCTTCTCATTCTGGCCCTTGGACGGTTCAGGTATCAGAGTGTTTTTACATGAGTAGAAGGTGTTCTTTTATTTAGAATGCATCTCTGGGTTATTTGTGGGGCATAGGAATTCGTTCTTTCCCCCCAAAGAAAATACAGTCCAGCCCCCCACAAGGTCTGAGGGACAGTGGACCGGTCCCCTGCTGAAAAAGGTTGCTGACCCCTGCTCTATGGCTCCAATATCAGCCATCCCACCACCACCACCCCTCGCCCAACCCTTTGTATTGTTTGCCACCCATATCCCCAAACTTTTACCATGAAGGTGCCCGGATGTTAATAGCCCAGAAATGGAAAGAAGAGAGAGTCCCTACCATAGAAGAATGGCAAATTAAGTTGATGGACTTTGCGGAAATGGCAAAAATGACCAGAAGAATCAGAAATCGGGAAGACCAAAATGTTAATATGGAATGGGGAAAGTATATAACACCTTTAAAAACCATTGTAAACAATTAAAATTAGTAGTAGTAGGACTGGAATTGGAATAACACTTGTAGTTTAATGTTGAGTTTTGGTCATTATACAGTGTGTAGATTTGGATTAATAGACAAGATGCAGGAGGAAAAGGTTAATATAGGGACCCACAAAGGGGAGGAGGGAAGTTCAGGAGAGTCTTTGAAATTCTCTTTTTATGTTGGTTATTGGATAATGGTTTGTAAATTTCTAAAATCTGAAAAACTAAATAAAAAATTTAAAAAGAGAAGAAAATCTGAATGTGTACACACTTACGTTGTCACTGTTTTGGTTGCCCTAATGAAGGTGGATTTTATAACTGGTGTGACTCTGCAAACTCTTTGCAAATGTATTCTCTTAGTGACACTGGAAGCTACCTTATCCCCAATCTGCCAAGACAACAAAGAGGGGGAAATCCCCAACCAAACAAAGCTAAAAAAAAAGACCAAAGTCCATTTTAAACATGGGTCCGCCTTCCCTTTAGGAATGTGTTTCCAGAGGTGCCAAGACCTGCCAATGGGATCCTTCCCCTGGCTGTTATATACATCAAATGTGAATGGTGCTATCATTTTATTGCATTGCCCGTTCCTCATGCGAGACTTGTTTTCTGCAAACGTTTTGTTTCTGTCCTGCAGGAAGGGTATAGTGTTGAAAAACTTTTCTTTTAGCATACTGGTTTTGTTTTTAACAGGTTGGTTATGTATATAAGTAACAGTAAAGGTAAAGGGACCCCTGACCATTAGGTCCAGTCGTGACCGGCTCTGGGGTTGTGGCGCTCATCTCGCTTTACTGGCCGAGGGAGCCGGCGTACAGCTTCCGGATCATGTGGCCAGCATGACTAAGCCGCTTCTGGCGAACCAGAGCAGCGCACGGAAACACAGCTTACCTTCCCGCCAGAGCAGTACCTATTTATCTACTTGCACTTTGACGTGCTTTCGAACTGCTAGGTTGGCAGGAGCAGAGACCGAGCAACGGGAGCTCACCCCATCGCGGGGATTCGAACCGCCAACCTTCTGATCGGCAAGTCCTAGGCTCTGTGGTTTAACCCACAGCGCCACCTGCGTCCCACATAAGTAACAGTAAAACAGAGTAAAAAGCAGTGTTTTGTTTGTTTGTTTGTTGCATTTCTATCCCTCCTTTCCTCCAAAGGAGCTCAAGGTGCTGTACATAGTTCGCATTTTAGGTCAAGTAGTGAGCTTCATGGCTCAGTGGGGATATGAACCCAGGTCTCCCAGGCCAACTTCCTCCACCCACTATTGTTTCTTGCCCCCTCCCCAACGCACACATTTATAAGTGTTTCTGCAAGGGGGTTCAGTCTTTGGGCTGAAAAAGCTCTCCTTCCCCTGCCTTACCTGCCAGTTTTCCATGGATTTCTAGAGCAGGGTTTCCCAAACTTGGGTCTCCAACAAAACAGCTGGACTACAATTCCCATTATCCCTAGCTAGCAGGACCAGTGGTCAGGGATGATGGGAATTGTAGTCTAGCTGGAGACCCAAGTTTGGGGAAGCCTGTTCTAGACGGACCAGTTGTGTTCTTTTTATTCATAATGTTATATGTTTTGGGGGACCCACCCCCTAAATCCTAGAAATTGAGAAACTATAGGGCTTTATTTCACCCAGGTCAAAGACCCAGTTTGGCACCAGCCAATGGACTCTCCAATGTTCTATTTGTCCTGGAAGCATTCAAGTTCTTGACAGGCCTTTTGGGGGATTAAAAAAAAATATGTGTAGACTTGCACTAGACTAGAGAGTCACTGATGTGCATTGAAAGCACTGCTGTATTTTCGGGTGGTTCCATTGCACTTCCAAAAATGACAGGTCTCCCAGGTCTGCTATTAAACAGAATGATGAATGAACACACAAAGAGAAGACAGCAACACACCAGTTCCAAAACAGACATTTTAATCTTGGTGAAGCACCTCTTAGAAATTGTATCCTTACAAAACTTTTTTTATTTAAATAAAAAGGCCAAGGTGCTCTCATTGGAACTCTGTACAAAATATACAGTATCAAACACTTGTTTCCAAATGGTTGCACAGTACTTAAATGAAGTGGAGAAAAGACCCCTTTTTAAATTGTCTGGCAGGACTGCAAGATGGGGAAATAGCAGGCTTTCCCCCTCCCCTTTCCAAACCGATCTGCATACTCAGTGCACCACGGAAATAATAATATTAACAACAAAAATAACAGCAAAAATAACAAGGAGAAAATGGCAAGCGGTGCTGCCTCTAGATACTATCACATGAGCACAAGGGGCGTCGCAATGCATCCCTCGCCTAAGATTTGCTTAAGATAAATCACTTCCTCTGTGACCCAGCTTGCGGTGCTGTGTTCTGTACACACATCTAGTCTCTGAATTCTGTCCGGAGCTGGCTGGAAAGGGACTTTGTCATATCCAAAGCCTTCCAGTCCGCTGAAAGTTTCAATGTGTGGCAGGGAGGGCCAACTGCTGTTAGACACCCAACTCTCATAGAATGGCCAATGGTCAGGAACGGATAGGAATTGCAGCCCAAGAACATCTGGGCAGCACCACAGTCCTGCCTTAAAACTATCTTCCATTACTGCCTCACGTCTCTTTTTCAGAACAGTAATTTTGCCACCAGCACAAACACATCTTCAGGTGTCTTGGACGATTCGCACATGACAGAGCTAATCTGTCATTCATACTTTCCTTTCCGATTCCCTTTAATATACACAAGAGCTTCTTAAAAAAAAAATGATCTTAAGTCCACAAACAGTACCAAGAACTGCTTTGAAAACTTGCACAAAAATAAAGTACCAAATTTGAAGCCTTTAATAAAAAAAAACATAGATCTGAAGGCAGCAGCAACTCCTTATAAAGGCCAAGCTGTCACATTTCTAAAATGTGATAGTTTAAGCCACAAAAAAACCAAACATTTAAGTACAGGCGCCATGTGTCCACTGACGTTATGGAGAAATCAGGACTTTTCAAACCTGTCTTCTCTTTTTTTAAATACACACACAGGAAGGAAACTGGTTGTTTTTTTTAAAAAAAGAAATGTATCAAATGGTCCCCATTAGAATTAAGGATGGGTCATTGTTATCAACAGAAAGCAGGTGAAATGGTAAAGTTATTTCCAGGCTGATTCTCTTCTGATGGTGACGGGTGGAGGCCACCAAGACTGAATGCTTCACAAATCTCCAGCCTCAAAAACATAAAGGAAAACCTGCTGCACTTAGAAAAGTAGCTCATCAGGGGGAAATAGAACCATGGATTGCTAGCTTTCTATGTGCAGTGATACTTTGCATCCTTACGTATTGTTGTATGGAAGGCGTATTCAGTAACTCAGAAAACTGTGCTTCCACCTCACCTGCATGGTTTGAGCAAGTGAATTTGGCAAGAAAGGCATCAAAAAAAGAAAAAGAACCCCAGTCGGGTAGGTTGCATGGCATCTCCCATGAGTGAAATTCATCTACAGGAAAAGGAAACCCATGAAATGCAGCCCTTTCTGCAATGCCAGTGGGAGAGGCAGGACTCCCGAAAGGTGCTGCTCATCTCTTTTTGGAGGCCTCAAGAAAGCAGGAAGAAGCAGCAGCTGCTAGTACAGCAACAGCTCCTGCCTCCATGCTGAAAGGATCCGTTCCTCTCTTCCACCCACCCACCCACCAGTCTTGCCTGCTGCTTCAACAAGCAAATCAACCGAACTGCAGGCCCAATCCACACTTTGTGGCAAACCAAGGTGAATGGCTTTTACTGCGAACGTGATGATCTGGGCTGCTTTCTTCCACCCCATTGGGAGAAACAAACTGATGATTCTGGGCATAGCATTATGTCTTGAACTATGGAATAGCGGCCTTTTTTACACTCAAGCAAACCCCCAAGAGGTAAGCCATGAACAAACCTCAGGTGCTAACCATGGTTGGTTGGTTTTTGAACAAAACAAACCATGGTTCTTGACGTGGACATGGGCTTGGATCCAGTGCTAGTCCAATTCAAAGCCAACCCGCTGAAATTAATGGACTTAAGTCCATTTATTTCAATGGATCTACTCTGACTTAGTTGGCAAGAATACTGAGCCAGGGATCATGGTTTGTTTCTCTCCTTGCAACGGCAAGGGGTAGCAGAGCAGCTAAAATCAATGTGTTCACAATGAACTATTAGCTATTGTTCACCAGGGTGAGCAAATAGGGCCAGTGGTCACAGATGAAGTTCATTGCCCTCTGATGTCCCTGGACCAGTAATGCTGGATTCTCTCTTTTTGTCATGGGTGTGGAGGCAGCAGGAAGGAGAATGAACTACAAACTGCCAAGCAAAATCTTTTCTCTCCAGCACCCAAACTGGCAATTGCTTAAGAATTGTGTCTGGATCATCTCAGAATATATGGAAGTCTCGTGGTTTGCAAGGGATCCAGGGATCCACCCCTCCTTTTTTCTCACTGGCCCTCTGAGCAGTGCCAGGCAGCTTTTCCTTTCCCACAATGCCCCTGACCTGCTGTCACTTTGGAGCACTGTGGGAAATTTAAAGGGTGACAGCTGTCTGTCACAGCGGCCAGCTATACTTGCCGGTGCCCACCAACACAAGAGGAGGCCCACCAGTGGGAAACAGACCAAGGGCATCCTCAAACCTGGACCTCAACCCTGAACGGAGGAGTTTTAAAAGACCAGTAGCCAGCTGCCTCATTCAGCAGCAAGCGCAGTGTGCTTTGGTGCTGGGAGGAAGAGCACAGAAGCCATCTTGTGAACTCTAGGTCCTGTTCCCATGTTCCTCCTTTGACATGGCTGCCACCACAAACTACCGCAACATGCCAAGGTTTCCTGAAGACATGTGGAGCCCTGTGGCATTTGGCGGGCTCCACGCCACCAGAGGAACATCTGGAGAGAGTCCTCATCAGCCTCTTCAAAATGCATGGAGATTAGGCCTGGGAGATGCCCAGGACCATGGAACATAGCTATGCTTTCAGGCACCTTGCTAATGGGGTTCCAATCTGCCAGCAGGATGACCCAATTGGACATTATCTCACTCTCCCCACCCACACCAAACACACACACACACTCACTCACTCACTCACTCACTCATCCACCTCCAACCAGCCTTTCTTATAGTCCTGCAAAATCTCGAGGTAATATTGCCAATCAGGCTCACTGTCATATTGCACCGCGAAAACTGTCTTCAGAGGGTTCCTGTGGTATTTGTGAATCCGCAGCACCAATCCTGGGTACCACGCTTCTGTCTTGTCCTTCTCCTCGTACAAGTGCCTGATCCGCTTGCCAACAAGGTCCGGATACTGAGGGGGCAAAGCGTAGGCCTTCGTACCACCCGGCGCCCGGTGCCTGAACCTCTTCAGGAGCACTGAAGGCTGCTTTCTCCTCTTCTTGCGGGCAGCTTTTGGGGCTGGTGGCCCCTGGATATCTCGAAGGGCGTTCTGGAATTTGATGTGGACCATAGATTTCTTACAGTGATGGAGACCCTCTGAGGTACTGCCTGTTTTCCTGTCATCTGATTTGGCCAGCTTCACCTTAAGAGCCCCGGGGAGTTTAAGGGCTGGCAAAAGCTGCTCTGCAGTTTTAGGGTGAAGCGGCAGTCCTTTGGTCTTCAAGGCCACAGAGGCAGAGTCTTTCTCAGGCTGCAACTTTGCTCCCTTTAATGCAGCGTCCCTTTGGATAGAAGGTGAGGAGGGTCCCTGAGACATATCATCATCTATTTGATGGCAGGTCTTGGAGGGCAAACAAGAAGCCAATCTATATTTTTTGCCTTGCTTATGCTTCCTTGCGAAGTGTTGGGTGAGAGACTGGGCTGTCATACCCTGTAAACATCTGGTTGCATCTGTTGACTTCAAGACGTCTGGTGATAAAGCTTCAGTGTCCATCTTTGGGCTCTCCTCTGCAAGATCACCTGTGGAAACAGAAAATTAATAATAAACGTTCAGCCAAATTAGTGCCTGCGCCCTCAACAGACAACCATCCATCGCAGTCCTATAACCTGATCAGAAAATACACAGCCTTCACTCAGAAGATGCAACAGACTCTCACCTGGACTCCCCCAGTAGGTGGGACTGTAGATAAAAAGGTAAAAGACCCCTGGATGGTTAAGTCCAGTCAAAGGTGGCTATGGGATTGCGGTGCTCATCTCGCTTTCAGGCCGAGGGAGACAGAGTTTGTCCACAGACAGCTTTCCGGGACATGTGGCCAGCATGACTAAACCACTTCTGGCCCAATGGAACACCGTGACAGAAGCCAGAGCGCATGGAAACGCCGTTTACCTTCCTGCTGCAGCGGTACCTATTTATCTACTTGCACTGGCATGCTTTCGAACTGCTAGGTTGGCAGGAGCTGGGACAGAACAATGGGAGCTCACCCCGTCACAGAGATTCGAACCACTGACCTTCTAATCGGGAAGCCCAAGAGGCTCAGTGGTTTAGACCACAGTGCCCCCCATGACCCTAGGTGGGACTGTACACCTGATCTAGCTCCTGCAAAGATCCTCTTAAGCCATGGAGAGGGAAGAAGGTCAACTGGAGTCCACTGGACAATTTGCAATGGAATACTGGTTTCCTTGCAAAGAAACTGGGGGTCAGGTGAATCTTGTTCTTGAGCACACAGCTGGGGAACCTGGAGCTCTCCAGATGTTGCTGAACTCCACACTCTCAACAGCTCTAGCCAGCTTGGCCAATGGTCAGGGTTTGATAAGAGTTGTGGCCCAGCAAATACCTGGGATGGCCACTAATTCCCCATCCACGTTCGTAAGCAAGAGTGCAGACTCCAGGATAACAGCATCACTGCAACCTTTTGAAATCTCCATCACAGAGGTGGCACCCATTGATGCCCACACTTGCAGTGCTCATGTCAGGTGGCAGAGGAACCAACCCCCACAGCAGATTGCCAGGAAAGAATAAGACAAGCAAAAGTTCTTACCATCTGCTTTTTATTCAAAATTCACAGAGAGAGGCTTAGGAATGCTGCCTCCAGGAATAATGGCGTTGTCCCGAGTGAGTCTCCACCCTTCCGTCTCTCCCACTTACTCATGCATCATCGCTACAGGTGCTGAAAAGGGCCCTCTGCCTTTGAGCTCTTTGCTCTCCTACTTTCAATGCTTGCCAGGTTCGGGGGGTAGGAATGCTTTCCAAAAGGACTGCGTGCGCCAGCTGTCATCCCCCCGCTTGGTGCTTCTTCTTCCTCCTCCTCCTCTCCCACTATTTCCCAGCTTGCCCCCTCATCTGCCTCTGAGCTGTGTTCTTGCTCAAACGCCTGTTGTAATTCTGAACTGTCTTCTTCTTCTCTGGAAGGGACAGGCTTGGGAGGTGATCTCCACCATTCCTCCTCTGCCCAGTCCCTGATATATAATGCTTTAGGACAGCTTATCACCACTTGCATTTTCCAATTGATTTCTTCAGCACCCTTCGCCTGCTGAGCGACGAGGCGACTGGCGCACACATGCCGAGGTGGCTGCAAGCCGACCATCTCTGCTCCAGGCAATTCACACAGGAACAGCGAGGTTCAAAGTATGTTTTCAAGCAAGGCTGGCATCGTCATCTGGCACCTTGGGACAGCTGCCGCAGCCCCAGCCCCTTGGGACAGGGCCCACCACAGCCTGCTCAGAGACACCCCCACAACAAGGTTGGCTATGCACTACCATTCAAAATTTCACAAAGCGCCAGAGTAGCATCATTCCAGGGCAGACGGTGGGGCACGTCTTTCTCTTAAGGGCTGCATTGCCTTGAGAGTAATCTGCCAGGGGCAGCTGGGTGGCAGAGGGTGGGGCCAAAGGCAGGCAGGAATCTGCTTTTCTGACTTCTTCCACCAACCCCTTCTCTCTCTCTCTCTCTCTCTCTCTCTCTCTCTGACACCTTGAACCAAGATGCCTTGAACCCAGCCACTAGTCCATTTAACTCTGATCAGTGATGAATCACTACAGTGTTAGGACTGGGGTGTGTGTGTGTATTTTTCAGCACTCACTACCTTTGAAGCTAAAACTTCCCACTACCCCTGCCTATTGGGTCATGCTGCCTGGGACTAATGGGAGCTGGAGTCCAGCAACATTAAGAGTGCACCCAATTTCCCCATCCCAGTGCTAGGGGTCAAAGCCAGGGTCCTTCTGCAAGCAAAGCATGGGCTCTACTACTTAGGGAAAATGCAGGGGGGAACATTTGGCCCTCCAGTTGTTGCTGAACTACAAACCCCACCATTCCTGGTGGGGGTTGCAACTCCCATCAGCTCCAGCCAGCATACCTGCTGGTCGGGGATTATGGGAGTTGGGAGTCCAAGCACCCCTGGAGGTCCAGAGGCCGGGGGCACCAGCTGGTCTCCACCACTATAAGCAGCTGCACACCACATAAACCCACACAAAGAACAGATACCTACTTGGAGGTATGCAGGACAGCCTGTGAAGTGGGACCTGGAAAAAAATAAAGTTACGCATAATCATCTGGTGTGTTAGTGAAAGGGTCGGTCATAAAGTTGGCTGGCAGTGGGTGTTTGGATGGAGCTAACCTAAGGGTGACAACCCCCTCTGCAAAAAGAAGACTGTGCCCTCTCTCTCTCCAAATATATATATATACAGTGGAACCTCGGTTTCTGAGCATCTCGGAAGCCGAACGTCGAAAACCCGGAAGTAATTGCTTCCATTTTCGAACGTGCCTCGGAAGTTGAACACCTTCCGAGGCGCATTTTTCATATTTTTCCCCCCGTTGACTTTGCAGCCAACCCATTGATCCTTGGTTTTCAAATGTTTCAGAAGTTGAGCGGTCTTCCGGAACCTTGTAAACAGAGGTTCCACTGTACACACATTAGGCTGCCATTTCACATCCCCTGTGTGAGGAGTTGTAGTGCCTGGATTTGTCATGAGGAGGGGGAACAGGCTTGGAAGAGCCGTGAGGCTATGGGGGACCAAAGGAGCTGTTAAGGGATGCAGCATTCGCATGAAGTGTAATGTGGGGTGCTAGGATCGGTGAGCAGCACAAATAGGGCCACCAGCCCCTAATACCCTCCCCCCACACACGTGGATATAGACAGCTGCCTTTTACAATGTCAGATTGTCCACTTAGCCCAGTATTGCTTGCTCTGGCTGGCAGCAGCTCTCCAGGGGCTCAGGCAGACGTCTTTCGTATCAGCTGCTTCTTTGATCCCTTGGCTGGGGACTGAACCTGGCACCTCCACCATGAGCCTCGGGTATATTATTCAACACTTTGCAGAAAGGCAAAAAAGCCCAACGGGCTCACGGCAGCCTCTTTGGACCCTTGGTGTAATGGCAGAAAAACAGATTCAGAAACCACCGACAGGGGTGGGAGAGGCACGTCCATGCTGCAACCAGGGCTCTCCATGAGAACCAGGTATCCCGACGGTGGCAGAGCCCATTCTGCCCCTGCAGGCTGCTTGGGCATGATTTTCACCTGCTTCCCCAAGGCTAGGGAGCAGATGGAATATCCTGGTGTGCAGTGAGTGTTGCATTCAATAACTTTCTGACTGTAGGAAGAAGAAGAAGAGTTTGGATTTGATATCCCGCTTTATCACTATCCGAAGGAGTCTCAAAGCGGCTAACATTCTCCTTTCCCTTCCTCCCCCACAACAAATACTCTGTGAGTTGAGTGGGGGTAAGAGACTTCAGAGAAGTGTGACTGGCCCAAGGTCACCCAGCAGCAGCATGTGGAGGAGCAGGGAAGCAAACCCAGTTCACCAGATTACAAGTCCACAGCTCTTAACCACTACACCACATTGGCTTCCTCGGAAGGTGGTGGGCTTTCCTAGGTGGTTTTTAAGCAGAGGTTGGATAGCCATCTGTCATGGATGCTTTAGTGGAGATTCTTGCATTGCATGGATTGGACTAAAAAAAAAAAGAAGGTAAAGGTAAAGGACCCCTGGACCTTCCCGCCACAGCAGTACAGGTTTATCTACTTGCACTGGTATGCTTTCGAAATGCTAGGTTGGCAGGAGCTGGGACAGAGCAACAGGAGCTCCCTCCATCGCGGGGATTCAAACTGCTGACCTTCCAATCGGCAAGCCCAAGAGGCTCAGTGGTTTAGACCACAGCGCCACCTGCATCCCCCGGGTTGGACTAGATGAGCTTCAGGGCCCTTTCCAACCCCATCTACAATTCTATGGTTCTATAATTCTGACAGGTAGAAATGTTTCTGTTTAGGTAAAGGTAAGGTAAAGGACCCCTGGATGGTTAAGTCAGTCAAAGGTGACTATGGGGTTGTGAAACTCCACTGAGCCTCTTGGGCTTGCCAATCAGAAAGATGGAAGTTCAAATCCCTGTGACGAGGTGAGCTCCTGTTGCTCTGTCCCAGCTCCTGCCAACCTAGCAGTTCAAAAGCACGCCAGTGCAAGTAGATAAATAGATACCACTGCGGCGGGAAGGCAAACAGCGTTTCCATGCGCTCTGGCTTCTGTCATGGTGTTCCATTGCAACAGAAGCGGTTTAGTCATGCTGGCCACATGGCCCAGAAGGCTGTCGGTGGAGAAATGCCGGCTCCCTCGGCCTGTTTCTATTTTTTCCAGCTCAAGGATGTGCGTATGCATATGCACACACAGAGAGAGATTTTCCCCTAACAATTTCACCATTCCTTCTGCTGACCTCCCTGCAGCCTAAACCAGCTCCATTCTGCCCTATCCAAATCAAGAGGCTGGAATGGTCCGAGATATTTGCACCCACACCTCACCAGATTCTGAACTAGACAAGAGCTCCCATCCTACATGTCACACTCACAGTCATGCAAATGCCTAGACTTCACAAGAATAGCATCCATGCCAAACGAGAAGCAGCTGAGCGCAGGCACCAAAACCCAAGAGTACAGCAGAGATATCATTTTGCTTCAGGGTAGAGCGGGGAGAGAGCTCCTTGCTGAAAAGCAGGTTGCATGCCACCGTTAGCTGCACTTACCAAGCTGTTGCTTGACGCAGTCGTGCCAGTGGAGGTTCAGAAGGTCTGGGTAGATATCGGGCAGCTGTTTCAAGGCCAGCAGTTTCAGCATCCGGGAGGTGCAGCTCTTTAGCTCCAGGTCCCTCAGCAGCCTCTCCTCAGATAAGGTTGTGGGACGTAGCTCCACCCTGTGGTCCTGCAGCACGTGGTCAACAGAGGAGCTGGACAGGTTGGGGAAGAGGGTCTCCTTCACCACGTGAATGGGGATGAAGATGGTGCCCGCTCGGATCACGTGAGGAAAGGGGCACCTGCGAGTAAACAGGATGGCCTCCAGCTGAGACAGCAGTTTGTTAAGGAACAGCGCCATGTCCTTGAAAGCCAGCCAGATCTCCTTGCCCTTGGAAGGCATCGGAGCTTCAGAAAACTTCGAGCCGTTCTTGTGCTTTGCCGACCCTACTGCCTTCCCTTGGCGATCCCCTTTGGACTTGGTCTTCTCCAGCCACTCCTTGAGGAGCTCTGGAGCGGAGGTAGACACGGAGCAGGAAATGATGGTGCAGATCGATGTATGCAAGGCAGTGAAATGCTGCCTGGGGGAATGTTGCTTATCGGGCAATTCGCTGCTGGTGGAAAGCGAGGCACCGGTCTCTTCCAGGGCAGGAGACACAGCAGGTGCACTAGGAGGTGGGGCTTTTGAAGCATCTGGCAGCTTAACGTTAAAGCAATTCTGTGGCAAGAGTTGAGTTTCGGGCTGAGTCACCGCCTGCTGAAGGCTTTGCTGAACCGGAGACGTGTTTTGCTGAGTCGCCGCGTGTGGGAGGCTTTGCTGAATTGGAGGTGTGTTTTGCCGAGTCGCTGCATAGGGGAGGCTTTGCTGAACCGGAGGCGTGTTTTGCCGAGTCGCTGCATAGGGGAGGCTTTGCTGAACCGGAGACGTGTTTTGCCGAGTCGCTGCATAGGGGAGGCTTTGCTGAACCGGAGGCGTGTTTTGCCGAGTCGCTGCATAGGAGAGGCTTTGCTGAACCGGAGGCGTGTTTTGCTGAGTCGCTGCATAGGGGAGGCTTTGCTGAACCGGAGCCATGTTTTGCTGAGTCGCCACTTGCGGGAGGCTTTGTTGAACTGGTGGGTTGCTTTGCAGATCCGTTGCTTGTCCAGAGCCTTCTCGCAATGTAGAGACATCACTGGCCTTAACAAACACATGGGAGCTCGGTTGCAAGGAGGAAGAGTCTTGTTGCACTGCACAACCTCGCCCAGCTGCATGCGACTTTTGGATTTTGAATTTTTTGTACAAGAATGCTGAAGAGCTGTGAAAACTGCTCTTTCCCGCAGAGCCACTTTTCCCGGCCAACTCTGCCATTTGCACATTAGCCTCCTGCACAATCTCCTGTCTCTTAGGCAAAGTCTCGCTCGCCTCCTTCCCTTTGCTCTCTGAACTTTCCCTTTCAACAGCCTCCATCTTCCCAGGTGACCTCTGAAGACTGGGCACTTCTGCCAAGCCTTCTGTTTTAAAGCTGAGATCCAGGGCGTGGTCTTCTCTGGCCCCAGCACTGCCATTTATACAAACTGGTGGGGCCTGGTGACTGGGCGCAGGCCCACTGGGAGGCAAGCCTTTGATCCGGCAGCTCTCCCAAGTCCCAGCATTATCTTCATGCCCTCTCACAACCCCTGCACAGTTTCTGCTTGGCTCCCTTTTAACAACTTTTGCCATCACATCACAAGTGGTTTCTTTCCTTCCGGGCAGCGGTGCCTGAGACACTTCCCCTGACCGTACAGGGTCTGGCCGCGGTGGGCTCTGGACTTCCATGCATTTGGCTGAGTTACCAAAAGCAGTCTCCTGGGTTTGACAGCTTTTAGAGAGCGAAATCTCCGCTGACTCCGAATCAGCCAGGTAACGTTGGTAAGGCGCCAAGCTAAAGACATTGTTGATAACAGGCATAGGAGGGGAAGAAGAGGGGAGGGGTTCCTCGGGTCTTTTAGCACCCCTTCCTTTGTCCTCCGATGGCTGCCGCATACTTTGGAATGAGGAACCGGAATCCTCAAGGATGTTTTGGAGGAGATCTCCTTTAATGCAGGACTCATGGGACGCAACTGGACTGTCCGAAATCACGATGCACTTCCCTGATTCAGTTTTGCAAGCCCAGAAGTTGCTTTTCTTGGCTTCGGGTATTAAAGCGGACCTTCTGGGTGTGTCACAGAGTTCCTCTCCCTTAGCGTTGGCCTCTTCCGAATGGCTCCGACCCACCCTGCAGGCAGCCTCTTGCATGGACCGAAACCTACTAAGGAAGCCAGGCAATCTGTCCGCAGGGTGGTGCATCTGCGAAGGCTGGCGTTGAGGAGGTGCCCATTGACTCGGAATGTTCTCGTTGCTTAGCTTGGCTACGTGATCGCCCTCGCGACAATCCGGAAGGCCATCTCTGCTGGAGAAAGAGCCACAATACGAAGCCTTTTCCGACAGAGTGCAGCTGGAGATGGGAGCCTCGTGCACCAAGTCCGCTTTGGTCCTCGCGTTTGGCTGGGGCTCATGTTCCCGAAAAGGCTGGTGGCTGGGCGGGGTTGCCGCAGGAGGAGGAGGAGGACCAAGTGATCTGTAGATATAGCTGTCCAAGTGACTAGGATAATAACTCTGTGGTGTTAAGTAAGAGCCTGGGAGAAGCTGAGGATCATCGCGGCCCGGAGAAGCAAAGCCTTTGCAGGCTGGCAGAGCAAAGAGGGAATTGGGTTTCTCTGCCTGAACACAGCTCTGGTGGTACAACAGCATCTGTTCGTGTGAAGTCAGCGCGTAGGAAGTGAGCGGGTAACATGCAGGTGACCTCTCTTGGTACACCAGGTTCTGGGGATTGGCCAGTGGGCTGGTAGGAGGAGGTAGCTTTGACCAGGCATGTTTGCGAGGACTTCCGCCACGAGCCTCAGGGATATTCGGCGGGCTGTGGTATGTGGCCTGGCATTTCTCAAACACTTTGCGGAACGGCGAAAAGCCAACCGGGCTCACAGAAGTGTCTTTGGACCCTTGGTGGGATGGCAGGTAACCCGATTCAGAAACTACCGATTTGGGGGGCACGGCTGTGCCACAACCAGGCCTCTCCACGTGAACCAGGTGTCCAGACGGTGGCAGAGCCCATTCTGCTCCCGCCGGCTGCTTGGGCATGCTCTCCACCTGCATCCCCAAGGCTAGGGAGCCTTTCGGACTGTAGCTGGACTCAGCACAGTAACTGTGGTTCCGGAACACCGGTTTCGGCACCGCCAGAGTCGAGAAACCTGCCGCTGTTCGAGGAGAATGCTGTGCCGGGTAGCTGTGCACCCAGGCCTGCTGAGTGAGTCCTGTATGGCCCATGTAGTTGGCCAACTTCTCCTGAGCAGCCATGCACTTGCTGCCAGCCTTCTCGTGCCCAGGAATTTGACCCCGTGCCCCAAAACTTTCTGCTTCCGGTCTGTACAGCATGCACAGGGCTTTGTCTGTCCTCGGGGGGTGGCTGGCCGCGGCACCCGTGCAATGGGCGTAGGTCTCGGTGGGAGTCCAGGGAGACAAAGACTTGGGCCCTTCGTGGCATTGAAGCGGGTAGGCAAAGCACGATCCCTTGTAGCTGTAATGGTTGTCCGAAGTGTAGCCAGGCAGGGTGCTCGACCTGCACAAACCCGACGAGAGAACATGGCCTGCCTCCACCTCCAGTCGAGGGTGCTTGCTGTAACTCAGGGCCCCGAGTGGCTCCAAACGTCGCTTCTCAGCCATTACACTGCCCTCACCACCTCCGGTCTTGGAGAGTCACTCTGGATACTCTGCAAGGGGACGAAAGAAAAGGCAAACAATCAGGGATCCAAGCCTACCACACTGTTTTCTTGCTAGGCAAAGATTTGCTCGCATGGCAGTTGTTAAGTTGTGGGCGAACATATCAGACGACACAGCGATTCTTCAAACAGCTCTTGTTTATTCAGAGGCCAGAACAGAACCGAGCTGAAGGGCTCAGTAAGCCTGCTCATATAGAGCTCCAGTACAATGTTACTGTAGCAACTTTCTAAAACTATCCAATCACTAACGTCACTTTCGATCCTTCATTTGCATAACTATCTACAGTATCCCCCTGCTGGCCCAGGGTGAGAACTTCAGTACATAACAGCAGTCATCTGCACACCAAGGCTCTCCAGATGTTGATGGACCACAATTCCCATCTTCATCCCTGGCCATGCTGGCTGGGGCCCAGGAGAGCTGTAGCCCCAAAATACTTGGAAGCCATCAGCGTTACCTATCCCTCCATAGCTGATGCTTCTCTCTTGCGAGTGGGTGATGCCATTTTAGAGACACAAGCAACAGCACTCACAGCCTCAACCTCAGAAACAGAGGGAATTACGTTGTCTCCCTGTTTGAGTATGTAAAACATTGGGGGTATAAAACCTATTGCAAATCGAGTTCTCTGGTTATGTCACCAAACTGGGAAAATTATGAGAGAAGGAGAAAATTCTCTCTTGCACTTTTCCCACTCCATTCCAGATTTCATACACCACAGTCATCTTCTTTTTCTTTTGAACTGAAAAGGTTGCAGATAGATCTGACATCTTTCCTGCAGAGGGCACACAGAGCCAACTGCTCAGGCACTGAGAGAGGAAATCCCCTTTTCAGCACAATATAACAGAGGAATTGCTTTGCCTATCTACCAAGCTCCTGTCGTTTCTTTAACCTGGCAGTATTTTGTATAGAAAACATTTATCGAGGAAGGTTAGTTTTTAAAGGGGGGGAGGAATAATCATAAATGTGCACATTCATTTCATCTTTCATAATTTCATTCTGCTTTATTTCCCATAGCCCCCCCGAGGGGCAAAAGTTCCCTACAGTAAACCTGCTCAGATTCATCTGGCATCATCCACACATTTTCAAGATACATCCACTGTCTTAAGGACTAGAAACTTGGGGTTTTTTAAAAAAAATGAAACAAAACATGAAAGTGGAAATTCTCAGAGTGCTATGCTAACTGCTCAATTTAGCATGTTTATTTTATTTGTATTTAGTGAACAAATACAATATTTGGCCAATGCAATATTTGGGAAGCATGGCAGTTTTGACTTTTCTAGCTTTGTTCACTAAATACAAATAAAATAAACACGCTAAATTCACCCTCTGGTGAAAAAGTTCCCGATGCAAACTGCCATCATTTGCATAGGAACAAATTCATACCTTGAGGGGTTTTGCCTGGCTGGAAGGTGTCCTTGATACCTTCATGGTGTCTCTTGCTTCTTGGAAAATAGAAAAGGCTGAACATGCCCAGTGGGCATGGTACGCTGGCTGACTTTTGGGGTGGGGAGATGGAAAACCAGGGAGAATGAAATATCCTAGAAAAGGATAGAGCTGGCTGGACTGTAAAACAGGAGCATTCTACACTAATGCATTTTGTTGGTGATCCCACTGGTCCATACTCTGATTTTTCAAAGCAGACAACAACTTTTGCAGAGGGGGTTAAGAGGAGGGAGAAGGGAGCCTGACTTAAGAGAGAAACAGGCTCTAAGCCTTGCTGGCTCCTGTTTCAAATCTTGCATCACTTAAGTGGTCCCCCTGCATTCACATCTTTGCAGTTACACATTCGCTTAAGTCAGAAAGTCAGTAAAACAACCAACTAAGAAGGAACCGTCAGACAGCACTAGGTCCCTGCGTGATTCCTTGGCAGGAGCCAAAAATGTCTAGGAACTAAACATGGCTTCTCAGCAAATGCAGAGTCACCACTAAACCGTTTGGGATTTGGGATTCTCACATTAGGAAGGAGGCACTTCTTAAAGGTTCCTCTATTTTTCTTGGAAATTTCAAATCTGACCTCAAACACCTGCTCTCCTCCAGGCTACAGTCAACACCTGCTCTCATCCAGGCCTCTGAGCCTGCAGAAGGTAAACAACTTAGATAGAAACTACTTTGACAGAGCAATCCTGTGCATGTCTACACAGAAGTGAAGTCCCATTTACTACTTACTTGCTTACAAGGGAATAAGCTCAAACAGGCTTATTCGCTAGTAAGCAAGTCTGCTTAGGATCTTAGTCAAGTTATAAACTTATCCCACGACTTGGTCACCCATGACAAAAGATGTTTGGAAGCAGAAATATAAGACTGAGAACATTCTGCTCTTGCAATTTGTTTATTGTGGAAAGATTTGTTTATTGTCTCTCCACAAATTGTTTATTGTTCTGTTGGGGCTACAGTAATTTTTCTCAAACTTGGATTACCAGCTGTTATTGGACCACCATTATCCCTGACCACTGGTCCTGCTAGCTAGGCAATGAATAAAATTTCTCCCCTTCCCTAAATTGTCAGCCACCTGAAGCACTTTGCTTAGCAGGTGTGCTTTACATTCTCCCAAATAAATTAGTAACACAATTTTCACGGATTATCTACTTTGGCCACAACTGAATTCTGGACCATTAGGTCCAGTCGCAGACGACTCTGGGGTTGCGCACTCATCTCACTCTATAGGCCGAGGGAGCCAGCGTTTGTCCGCAGACAGCTTCCGGGTCATGTGGCCAGCATGACTAAGCCACTTCTGGTGAACCAGAGCAGCGCATGGAAATGCAGTTTACCTTCCTGCCAGAACAGTACCTATTTATCTACTTGCACATTGACATGCTTTCAAACTGCTGGGTGGGCAGGAGCAGGGACCGAACAACGGGAGCTCACCCCGGCGCGGGGATTCAAACTGCCGACCTTCTGATCGTCAAGCCCTGGGCTCAGTGGTTTAAACCACAGCGCCACGGGCACTTTGAGATCATCAACTCTCTCTGACCCCTAACTCACCCCCATTCTCCTCCCCCCCCCCCCCCGCAAAAAAGGAAAAATACAGTAAGGTCCCATGTGACCTGCCTCATCAGCACCCCAGTTTAAAAAAGAGAATGCAATTAGGTCAGAATCAGCAGCCACATTCGTAGCCAGATTTGTGTCAGCATCTAAGCCAAGGTACAACAGACTCAGATTCCAAAGTTCAGAACTGGATGCGAACTATCTTTCCTTTCCACCTCCCTAAGGAGATGCTAATTATATACTTCTCTCCAAAGAACAAACCGAGATTAGCTGTATGCACCGCGGATTGGAACTATTAACTGCGGCAAAACAGTGTGTTTGAAAAAATATATCTGGGGAGTTGAAGTGGAAACCTGCATGCTGAATCTGTGTAAGATGATAATTATAATCATCACTCACACATACACACACTGCTGTTCATCCCATGGGAAAAACACACAGGTGTCCATAGAAAGGGATAGCCAGGTGCAAAAGGCCTTTCAGCAGGTGAAATTCTTCTGCACAATCAATAAAGGTGCAGCTCTTTCTTCCCTTCCATCCTGCACCCCTGCCCCCCTGCCCAGACAATGGCCATATATTGAGCTCAAGAGAGGAAACAGAAGACGAAGGGGGAAAGATATCTGTTTTTTGGGGGGGGGATAGCGATACAAGAGTGTGGAGTTAATTCATTTCACAACAAACTAACCCTCCTGGCTCTATGCTTTTCACACAGAATCCGTCCCACATCTTCCCACACATCTTTTCTATTTGTACTCCGAGAAACCCTTTCAGTGTTTTTTATAAATTTTATTTCGTTTTCCAGATTTTGAAATTTACAAAAAAAATTTAACAAACAAACATAAAAAGAGAGCTCTAAAGAATCTCCTGGACTTCTCTCCACCCCTTTCGTGGGTCCTTATATTCACCTTTCTCTCTTGAATCTTGTCTATTAATCCAAATCTATTAAATCTTCTTTATAACCAAAATTCAACATTAAACTGTAAGTGTTATTCCAATCCTTCCAATAATTTTAATTGTTTACAATGGTTTTTAAGGTAAGTTACACATTAAGGTAAGTTACATATTTTTAAGGCAAGAAAGTATATACTTTCTCCATTCCTTATTACAATTTTAGTCTTCCTGATTTCTAATTCTTTCAGTCATTTTTGCCATTTTGGCATAGTCCATCAACTTAATCTGCCATTCTTCTCTGGTAGGGACCAGTGTGTGCTTTTTAGCAGGGGGTGAACAAAGCGTGGAGGATTGTATCATACTGGTCTGAATATAAGCCTCACTTTTTCCCCAAATTCCGAGCGTGAAAAGTTAAAGCATGGCTGAAACAGACATACGGTAAAACGGAACAAAAAAATGTTTTATTGCCGATTTGCGAGCTTGATACTGTTCATTTGTCATTTACGGGTGTGAGTGCCTGCGGAATTGTAGCAATTGAAGAGCAATTTGCAATTTTAGCGATTGTACGGTAACTTTAGTAGGCTTGCAAGATTGGGCTAAAATTGGCTCGGAGTTACAAGTCTACCAACCGCAGCAATTTTCAGCCTGTAACCCAATTCAAAGGGAACGGCTTATATTCGGGTATTGTCTTTTTCCCCCCATGAATTTTAAAGATGTGATTTATTTGTGGGTGCGGCTTATATTCGGACCAATACGGTATGTGTTGTGTTTCTCCTCAAGCAGCACTGTGACGTAGACTAGGCTGACAGAGACAGGAAACGCATTCACACACAAGAATTACTGTGTTTGTTTTTCCTATTATAATGCTAGCATTTCTATCCCAGATTCTAAGGCTCCTTTTACAAAGCATTAGCCATTCCATTCTGGAACTCTGCCTTAAAAAAAAAAAAAATCAACATACTGCTAAATGTTAAATGGCACGAAAAAATGTACGTTGGAATGCCAACACACCACATTTCATAGTATGGAATTACAATAAATTGCCATTTTCAAAACTCTTGCAATTTTCC